CAAGACAACCTTCGTGCAAAGACAGCCTTCGTGCAAGACACATTCTTTCAGAGTACTCTTCATTTAGAATACTGTTTGTGTAACACAATTTGTTCAGTTAGTTTAGGATAGTTTTTTTTGAGCAGGTCGATTTTTGCTCGAAATTTCTCAGATTGCAAGATTCATCTGGCATTCCTAATATTCAGCTTCTTTATGCCAAGCCCTCAGCCAACATGAGCGAGTAAACCAACTCCACTTTTCCAGCTGTGCCAATAGCTAGAAGAATATAACCAGCTACGAATTGTGGCCTCTTAGTGTCACGTATACCGATTCCGAACCTGATAATTCCTAGTAAGTGAGATCTCGATCTAGGGACACTATCCAGAGCAAGTTTGTTAAGTGACTTACACTGTGTAGTCTAGGTTCCGATTGCCTTTAAGCCATACTTAGTCGACTTTCTATTCTAGCTTCTAAGGTATCGTTACGGAAGGAAATAATACGAGAGTGATGTGCTTGAATATAAGTTAGCGATAAAAAATCCTACGATCTAGTAAACTTTACCTTGTATCTAAGGCCCCTTTCGAGCCTGTCCTCGTGTTCCGGTATAAAAGCTCCGATTCTTGTGCTAGTAAAAAGATATAGTTAAAGAGCCAGCATTATAATAGCCTTAAGCAATCCGGGCATAAACCGACGATGATCTGCTTGCTATATCGAGGTTACTACCCGGAAAAAATCTTTCTTGGTAAAGCTGTGATTTGGATCCTCGACATTTTCAATCGTTTGTTCATCTTCCGTCAATATTCTCTTGATCTACTGTTTTGCGATTAGATCGATTTATATCCGAAAATAGAAAATAAACTTAGCCCGACTTATGTTGAATACTTCCTTCCGGTCTTCTATCACAATGCTTATTTATATACTCTCTTTAAAACCACTAAATAGTCTTTCTATACAACTAAGGACCGATTTCATGACTGGTCGTCCGTTTTTTGCTTTCTGCCCTTACGCCGAATAAGAGTACTAGTGGAGGAATTCTTTGATTAGTGTATAATCTAGAGCTACATAGGAGCTGCCTAGTTTGTAGCCCTTTATCCTATTCTCTTCTATAAAGCTTGAATAAAGTCAGTAAACCCTTTCTTGTCTGCTATTATAAGGATATAAGGTAATATACTCTACTTAATCTATAATAGCCTTGTTATATCTTCTCTTAGTCTTCGGTATTCTTTTGTTTTTGTTGCGGACTAAATCTGCTTACGTATAAGCACCGAAAATATAGCTATTCCTTTCTAATCGCTTTCGGCGGTTCTCTTTAGCGACCTTATCTTTCGTAGCAAAAAAGAGATCTCTCTCTATACCTTAGGAAAGCTACGTCAAATTCCGAGACTAGTTTAGAGAAAAGGATAGGTATTAAAGTAAAGAGCGAAGGATAACTATATAAAAGGTCTTAAGTAAAGGGGTAGAACCTCCATTTTGTACTTCAATATTTAGGCACAGATCACCGGTATTCTTTAACACCAGAGACTAAAAAACGGCTTTTCTCCGGTACCTTCCTTTTTTACGGTATAATTTATCCGAGCTTTTTTTCCCTTGAAAGGATACAATAACTCAAGAAATTACTTCATAACAGAAAAAGAGGGCTATACAAAAGTGATTACGAAATAAACAATATTATAGGGCGCTGTGCTTTGGAGTTAGCCTAGGCGCGGCGGACTAGGTGCTCAATAGATGCCTCTGATCAGTATCTAAGTAATCAGTGAGCTGACTGGTCACACTCACTAAGCGCTCTCTGAGCAGTCACGTGAATACTCTGATCAGCTCTCTAAGTCTGAGTCTGAGTCTGGGTCCGGTCTGAGATCTACTCAGTGAGTCTGACTCCCTGAGCACCCTTATAAAAGCGGCGGCATCTCAGAAAGGAAAGCCCCACCTGGCAGAGGAAAAATACTAGGTAGAGTGACCTATCTAAGTACCTACTGGGTTGGCACTAGTGATAAGTTAGTAAATTAAGGACGTCCGCAATAGTACTTGTAGAGAAAGAACCCGGTACACGTGGCTCAGGATGGAACGGGCTTGGGCTGGAGTGGGCTCTGCCATTTGACCCGGATGACAAGTACTGTACAGCGCCAGCACCTCCATCTATACTCGAGTATAGTAATGAAGTAGTCAGGGTCAGGCCTTGCAGTGAAGGGACTAACTAACTAGTTAAGTTAACTGGTTAACTTACTGTACGATGAAGATTATTAAGCACTGAACAGAGAATGATCATACTCCATAGCCGCCGATGAGTGGAGCTCGTCTTTCCATACTTTAGTGGCTCCCATTTTAGGGTTGACAACGGAGGGACGATGGGACGTTCCGAGAGTCTGTACAGAGAGGTCGTCTATAATATGGTCAATGGTTTTGGAAGGGGAGTGAGAGTTGACACTTGTCTTGGACTAGTTACTCTATACCACGTAGCCTTCCTAGCCTTAGAGATATGGCAGGGCTATGATTAGTCTCTTTCAGGTAAGGCAGTCTCGCGGCTGGTGGACAGTATCCCGACTCCTGAGCAGTAGGTAGGAAATGCAGCGAGTCACGACAGCTAGCGACAGGCGAGACTATTATTGCAAAAGGGCCGAGGGGCAGTTTTGGCGCGTTGGGCACGAAAGGCGCAACCCCCCTCTCGCCTTGCCCCTTCCAAGATCACCAATGGCCTCTCTTTGGGCGTCCAAAGCAGAGAATGGCGCCAGGCTTGATTGTATCCACCTGGAATTCTTTAACATAGCAAACTACTGTCGCCCAGGCTTGGACTTGTTTTGGATTTGTCATCTTGCCGTGGGTTGAGATCATCGCACATACTGTACATTTGGACTGCAGCACGGAGACTTCTTATTATCTACTGTACTGTACATCGTAGGTTCTCAGGATCAGAAGAGAGGGGCAGATCGCCGACCGGGGCCGGACCATATGTGTAGCCTATAAACGGACCCGATCTAGATTCCGGAATAGATAGCAGAGCCCAAATGTATCTACGACCAGAGACCCATCCGACGACGAGAAATGGAGGAGGGGGAAAAGGGCGAAGTGGATAGCAACGACTGGCTGGCTGTCCCTTGTCCGAATTCCCAAAAAGCAAAAAGATGACTGGGGTTCGTGATGCAGGATCTCCACAGCAGGATATGCTCGTCATTCGGTGGATCAGGGGCTCCAAGCGACACGACTAGCACGGATGGCTGGGTATCATCTTCACCGCTTGTCTGGCCAGTCGCCAGTCGTCAGCAGGAGGGAGGAGGGGAGAGAGAGAGAGAGAGAGAGAGAGAAATACTCCGTACAGGACTGTAGATTTTATTTATCAGGAGGGCTGGAGAGTTCTAGAATCATGATGGATGGGGATACCAGCCATTTCATCATCAGCATGAACTTCCATTTCGTTCGGATTCAATAATTCATTCAGGGTATATCAATAGTCCATTGACACCATCGAATCGGGGAAGAAGCAAAACATCCTTCGGGGTTCTTTGAGTTCCGGCAGACCCATGGGATGGGCCATGGATAACGTTGGTGACCAAGCGAACCGCGGAACCAAACCCCCGCGGGCGCGAACCATAAAGTTATCCAGTGAAGCACCCAAATGGCGTAAGCGCCAGACATTTGAATTGATGAGACAGGTTATTCATCGCAACTACTGAAGAAGATGATGATGACGATGGTGTTCTACACCAATTGTCATTCGCCGCCTCCTCCCTTAAGTCCTCATCATCCTACCTATCATCAAACGCTAGATCGATCCAGGTACCCCCATCTGCCCCGTGCGGTGGCTAGCCACCGAGAGAGTTAGAGGGCGATCCGCTGTCACATCCTCCCATCCCTTCAGCATCACACACCACTCGGTGGGGTCTCCACTTGGCGGAAATGATACAGTGGCTGTTCCATTTACTCCATTTAGGCGTGGGCGACCTGCAGCTGCAGCTGCCACGCTTTTCGCGAACAGCGCATCCCGATGATGGCAGGGTTCCCTTTCTTCTCTGGCCTCTGGGGGTTGGGAGGGTTGATCTTAACTGTCTGGGCACTGCGAAATTTGTTCTAGATAGGGCAGGAGACGAAATAGTCGTGGGATGCATCTGTACTCCTGCAGAGTATATCCAGATATAGCTTGGAGTCTTTCGTCGAGTTCATGGGCCCTCAATTTGTGTTACAAGGCAGGGTTGTCAATTTATCGCAGAAAAGCAGTGTCCTCCGCATGCGCTGTCTCTCTCTCCGTGCGCCTTTCCCTCAGGGAGGTCCCAGTCCGATGTGGAATTGACCATTCGGCATTCTCACGGCTAATGGGATCGAGCCTCGCGTGCTCGCTGTCGGGCCATGGAGCACCCCAGCCAGTGCTGCTCGGAGCGATTACTGCATCCTCGTCGTACAGCGCGTTCAGGCGGAGCCTCCCCAATCATACGTAAGGCCCTGACCGATTCCCGGGTCGGGCGATCATCAGTCATCTGCTGTGACCGTCGAAGTGGTCCATAGAAAGGAAGGGGATTATGGGCTTCCAGGACAAAGATGGAGATAGACTCCGTACCTTGTAATCTGTCGTTGCGTCTCTGGGGGTCGTCGTGGCGGTTCGGGAGGCTGACTGGACATGGATGATTGGGAACAACCTGCTGGTTCCTTGGTTGATGGGACATTCCAAACAATATCCAAGTCAATGCCAGTCATGATCAGAGCTCTCTGCTTGCTGCCATTTCGAACGAACAGATATTGTAAAACCAACGTGACCCCGGGGGGAGTCATCAGCAGTCGAAAGTGGTCGAAAAAAAAAAGAGACCAGCCCTTCGTACGGAGATTACCGAATCGGGTTTGAGTCTCCCCGCTCCCCTCGCCCAGCCATTCTTCCATCTTCCAATCTCGCTCCTCTTCCCCTTTCCTCCCTCCCCTCTCCCCTTTCACACCTTTTCTTTGATCCGATTCTCTGTACAACAGCTTGTTCTCGGTCGTTTCTGCTTGCGCAGTGCTCTCTGGACACTCTCGTTTGGTTATTGTGTTTGGGGTTCTTTTCGCTAAGTAGGGGAGAGAGCGGTAGGTCGTGCTCCATCCCACGCAGGACTCTCCCTGCGGCTGATCTCCGCACTCTCGTCAGGAACCACACCACGGCCGATTTTGCAGCCCAAACGGTTCCCCTTCGATGAATTCCTCGACTGTCGCATTGTGTGGATCTTGATCAAACGTGCGTCGCTTCTGCCCTTCGAGGCGTTCATTGTGTGAGCCATACCCTGCCTTCGGGTTTTTTTCCCACTCGCGCCGATCATCGAACCCCTCAGCCCCTCTTGAGTCCCCTTACTTAGGGGGCCTTCTGTCCAAAAACCACACCGCCAGCCCGCCACCACACGCCGCACAGTGCCCTAGCCCTTACCCTGCCACCACTGCCGCTTGCGGGGTACCTCGTTGGGTGGCTAGTTTGAGAGTGCTTTGCAGTTGGTTTTGGTCGGGTTTGCGTGGCCTTAAAGAGCTCTGGGCGGAAACCCTGGTCAACAAATCGATATCTGTGCTGACCGATGCTGCTTTTTCACCATAGTTGGACTTATAGGCTGCTTTGCCCACCATGGCCTTCAAGAATGGGCTGAGTGAACGCCTCGACGAGCTCCGTTTCCCTTCTCCTCGCTCCCCTCCCTCCGAGTCGGTCTTTCCTGGATATACATCACTATCGCCCGGCCACTCCAACTTTGGATCGGGCTTCTCACGGCCCTCAGGGGATGTCCGGGCCAATCTGCAACGCCGTTTCACCACAGACTCGAGCAAGTTGACCTCGTCATGGAATTATCTCAATTCGGGCCCCACGCAACTGCCAGACCCTCTTGATCTGCTGTCTTCGGTGAGTATAATGTTCCGTTGTAATCTTTGCATATTGTGTTCTTGCACCCCTGCGCCGGTGCGGTGCCTAGGATAAAGGGTATAAGGTAGCTGGTCATCCTGGAACCAGACGGAACGTTGCGGTCCTCGCGCAATTTTTCACAGTCGCGTGATTGGGCGGCTCGAGAAACGATTTTTCGTGCTATTCCCGTTGCCTCCTGGACCCGCAAGCGTATTCGTTATAAACCCTTCCCCTTGAGCTCTTCCAAACGTCCTTTCATCCTTTCTACCCACCGCATTTCCCCCATCCTTCTTCCCTTTCCTTGAAATTCCCTTTCCTTCTGCTTAGACAGTGGCTCAGCCGCGTCGAAGGCATTTCCCGCACTGTCAGCGTATCCATTTGATCGTACTTTTGGTCAATCGCATCTTTGGAGGTGCTGACAGCGACTTGGAATCCTTGACTTGAGCTTTAGGCCTTGCCAGAAGCACCCTGGGTTGTGTTATTGGCGCCCATATTCGTCCCATGCCGTTTTGCGTTTTTTCCTTCAGTTGATTATCTCTCTGCAAAGAACGCCAGTCTGACTCTTACCAGTTTGAGAAGAAACGCCAGCATATCGAATATATGAGAGAGCAGAAACGGCGCTTCGAAGAGGACATGAAGCTGCTGGACATGCAACACGAGAAGGAGAAGATCGAAATGGATCAGCTCGCTCGCGATTTGGCCAAGGCTGGCCTCTCGGGGCCAGTGAGCGAGCCGACGACCCCTCCTGAGCATGTCGTCGAGCCTATAGTCTCTTCAGTCTCTCGCCCCGGCATATTCTCAACTTCCAGTGTCACTTCGTCTCCGGGATTCTTCTCGGCCTTTGCACCTTCCTCGCAGTTGACTTCGCCTCAAGGCCCCTCCCACTCGCATTCGTCTCAATCCAACCATCAGGCAGTCGATCGATTTGCTGGCCACTCGATGCCTACGTCTCGTCGCAACTCAGAGAAAGAAGAATTCATCATGGACAATGCCCCTTTCCGTCCCGGACCTTCGTGAGTCAACGCCCATGACCTTGATTGCTCTTGCCTTGGGATCCCAACTCCTGGTCAATAAGAAGTTTGCTCTCGAGTGACCGCCTGGTGACTCCCAAGGCAACGATCCATCTTGTCCCTCACTTCATTCTAACCTTCCAACTTCCCATCCCAGGCAACATCGGTATTCCCTGCCTAGCAATAATTTCAGCAGCCCTCCCTATCGATCCAACGTCTCCACATCTGGCTATAAATCTCCCTCTGGTATCGATTCCTTCGCTGCTACCAAGCACCTCTTCCACATCGACGACCTCAGCATGAATCCTCTCAAGGACGAGGATCGACTCTCTACCCCGGACATCAAGGGGTACATTAAGATGACAGAGCCTGACGATAAGTTCCCCACTCTGTCTCGCCGAGGCGGCTCCAACATCGTGAGTTCATCGCCCTTTCGACTCATCTCAAATTCGAGACTAACCAGATCCTTTCAGCTCTCTGCGAACCCCGATGCGCATGATCTCGCCAACGCTCGCACCCCGGGCCCGGAGTCATATGCGTTCCACAGCCGCTATCGCAACAGCCACCAGAGCATGCCGCAGAACCTGACCGGTGCCAAGCGCTTCGAGCAGTTGACCAGCCCGGCCAAGGAAGATCGTAGCACTGCAGCCCACCCCCGCCACTTTTCTCGTCACTCGCTCGAGGGTGGATTGATCTTCTCAAATGAGCGCAGTGCCGATGCTCGGGCTTCGGTGTCTTCTACCCGCCCAGCTGGACTGCAGTCTTCCTATTCGACCAATGATTTGCCAACTGTTAAGGGCAGTGGCTTTGATGCGGCGATCACTCCTCCTAAGACTAATGCTGAGCACCTTCACCAGCACAATGCCAGCATGGGCCGCATCCCCACTGGAGCAATCAACGCCCGGTCTGCCAAGGAGTCTCCTGAGACTGAGATCATCAAGGGTAGCTTGCCCGTGCAGACAATGCTTCAGGCTAATGCCGCGCCTTTTGGTCCTCAGTTGACTTCTGCCACATCTAACAACGGCATTGCAAGCTCTGCTGCCCCGGTTGGTGTGCCATTCCCGCCTCTGTATGGTTATGCAATCCAGCCGTACGTCGCACAGCCGGCCCAGACCACCAACCAGATTGCCAATTTCGGACAGGCCAATGGTTACGCTGCTTATCCTGCTCCTGCATTTGCGGCTAACAACTACCGCTTCAACGATGCTGCTGCTCGCGGTGCTGTCACTCAACGCCGGCAAACCGAGAGTGATGCTGGACAGGCCACTCGCTACGCGAACTTCCCTATCGAGCACTACAAGGGCGATCTGTACAGCCTTTGCAAGGACCAGCATGGATGCCGATACCTGCAGCGAAAGCTGGAGGAGCGTAACCCAGAGCACGTGCAGCTCATCTTCGCCGAGACCTACATGCACGTGATTGAACTGATGACCGGTATGTTGCCTCTTCGCTCTTTTCATCACGACTTTGGAGTCGCAAGCTAACCTGTTCTCTTTTCATTTATATAGATCCCTTTGGTAACTATCTGTGCCAAAAGCTCCTGGAGTACTCAAACGACGAGCAGCGCACCGCCCTCATTGATAACGCTGCTCCCCAGCTCGTCAAGATCGCGCTGAACCAGCATGGTACCCGAGCTCTTCAGAAGATGATCGAGTTCATCTCTACCGCTCAGCAAACTCAGACTGTCATCGATGCTCTGAAGAACCACGTTGTTGAGTTGGTCCAGGACTTGAATGGAAATCACGTCATCCAGAAGTGCTTGAACCGTCTGAACGCAGAGGAGGCTGAGTTCATCTACGAGGCTGTGGGTACTCACTGTGTCATCGTCGGAACTCACCGTCATGGATGCTGTGTTCTGCAGCGCTGCATTGACCATGCCTCTGGTCCTCAAAAGGCCCGGTTGATTGCTCAGATCACCTCGAACTCGTTTGCTCTTGTCCAGGACCCCTTCGGGAACTATGTGGTTCAGTACATCCTGGATCTTGCGGAGACCCGCTTCATCAATCCTCTGTGCCGGACGTTCTCTGGAAACATCCCTTCTCTGTCCAAGCAGAAGTTCAGCTCCAATGTGATTGAGAAGTGCCTGCGCACTGCGGATAACTCCGTTCGCCGTGAAATGATTGATGAGGTCCTGAATGGCAACGAGCTGGAGAAAATGCTGCGTGATTCCTTTGCCAACTACGTTGTTCAGACTGCTATGGACTTTGCCGATGCGGACACCCGCCAGCGCATTGTTGATGCCATTCGCCCCATCCTGCCGTCCATCCGCCAGACTCCCCACGGCCGCCGCATTGCGGGCAAGATGATGGCTGCGGATGGCTCTGGCCGCTCTAGTGCCCAGAGCAGCGGACAGGTGACCCCCAACGAGGCCACCACTAGTACCCAAATCCCGAAGCACATCCTTGCGAAGCCTTACTCTTTCCATTCGGCTTCTAGCTCTTTGCAAACTACCAATGGTTCCAGCGGTTTCAATGGACATCCATTTTCGTCTGGCGCCACTTCTCCTCCCAACGCCGAACCTAGCGAGGGTACCGCGATCTACAGCTCGCCCCCACCTCCTGTCAATGGTCACATTGGCGCTCAGGGACAGGTTTATGCTGGTTACTACTAGCGTGGGCCCACTTTCTTCTCCTCAACCCATGTGCATACCCCCCCCCCCCCCCCCCCCTCTTCAATCTGTACCCATATCGACTCACATGATGCCATGAATTTCTGATGATTTAACGGATTTACATTCAAGACTGTCATCATACTGGGGCCTCGTTGCATATGCTATGATCTCTTCATCATCAGCATCTCATCCTACCCCATTTCCACTTGTTTCGCCTGCATTTGACTTTCTCTTCCCATGCATGAAGGAATGCGTCACGACTCTTTCATCATCTGGCAAATATTCACGTGTTGCATCCTGCATACATCATCATACATCCAGCGAAACTCACATGGTACAGTCAGCGTTGGGAAGCCCTGTGCAGCTTCAGGCTTTCTTCGCTTTTGTTCCCCCCCATTCTGCCTTTTTTTGTACTTTTCCCCCAATGGTCTTTGTTGTACCTTGGCTTACATGGCCTTCCTCATGACATTGGACGGCTCTGATTCCTTCCCCTGCGGAGCAATTAGGCTGCTCATTGTTTTGGTCCTCGTGGCCGAGGTCAGCAGAGAACCGTCTCCATTTCCTGCATTGTGTTTCCCCACCAATTTACTTTTCATTCATCTTTATTTCCCCCTGTACTTTGCGCTCATTTTCATTTCGAATTGCACCTGTGTCGTGATGGGTCTTTTGTCCCAAGAACATTCCGAACAGAATGAATGACGTGATGGTGGGCAACTTTGGTTACTGGATCAGCTCGCTTGGGCTGACTCGGTAATTGGAGTCATGTCGCTTGTCTCTTCTTTCTTCTATCTGGCCATAGGCTCCCCCCAATCGATGTTCTGTCATTTCCTATTCACACACGATCTGCACTTTTGTATTCTAGTACTGGAATCGAATTCGGTTTCATTGATATCCTCTCTTCAATCCGTAGATATGTTGTTCATTACTATCTGGGTAATTTAAGCTTCAATTTAGGAAGAATAGTAGTCCCTTGTCCTTGGGTCCCTCTTGACGCGTCGCGAAAGCACGTGACCAAAGGGGCACCTCGGACGGCAAGCTGGAGGTCGAGACCACACGCCGCATCATCTTCTTTGCTGTTGACACTTCATTCTACAGCCGAGAAAGCTGGGACTCGGGAACTCATGCAACCCGCGGACGTTGCTCGCTCTCTGAGCTCTCAATGGCCCTGTCGGGACATCCAGGCACGGCAGCTTGCCAGCCTACTACATGTAAGTATTTCTCGGAGGTCCCCAGGAGCTCCGCAGCCAAATGGAATTAGATCAAACAAATTCACTATCTCCAACTTGCTAACAATGAATCTCTACGATAGCCAAACACCCCTAGTCTGCCTACATTAGTTGTGCATGGCGTGTCTGCCACTTGCAAAACAACCATCATTCGCGGTGTCCTCTCGACACTTGAGGTACCGCACGCCTTCGTGCGCAGCTCGGAATGTATTACGGCTCGACATCTCCTGACCAAAATTCTTTGGAATACACTTGAGGCCTTGGGTCAGAAGGATGAATGGGAAAAGTATGGTAAAGGGCGATGCGAGCACGTTAGTACTCTTGTGGTGCTGCTGGAGGAGTGTCTCGCAGCCAGGGCGGAGGGGCAGCGAGGGAAGTTTGTGCTCGTGCTGGATGAAATTGATCGACAGCGAGAGGCGCCACAGACATTGCTGTCTGCTTTGGCACGACTGGGGGAGATTGTAAGTTGTCGCTCGAAGCTCTGAGATGCAACCTCCGCACGGCCAAGTACTAACCTGCTGTTTTTGCAGATCCCGTCACTCTGCGTTGTTCTCGTCCTAAGCTCGACTCCTCGACCACTTTTCCTGCAAAACGCAGCCGTTCCTCATGTCAGCTTTCCTCCATACACGCGGAAAGAAGCCATCGATATTCTACTAGCTTCCCCTATGCCCTTGGTGGAGAGCCTGCCTGACGAAACTTCGTCACGGGTATATCCCCATTTCGTTGCTACAGTCTATGATACCCTGATCGGGCCAACGGCAGGCTCAATTCCAACTTTCCGATCTATATGCCACCAATTATGGCCATTGTTCGTTGCGCCAGTGGTTCAAGGCGAGGCACCGCCTGGTGGCAACGCGGAATGGGACTTTACTCGTCTGCTGGTGAAGAACAGGGCACTTTTCCGGCGTCAGGGCGAGTCTGCACTGGTGCACCGAATTGTACCCGAGGACACTTCAGCCCCGAGTAAGACATTGCGCAAGCCATTGGCAACCTCAGCAGCACCGTCCGCACTCCCTCATCTCCCTTATTTCTCAACGTTGATCCTCACGTCGGCGTACCTGGCATCTCACACCCCGCAACGACTGGACACCATCTTCTTCTCCAAATTCTCGTCTAGCTCGCTATCTGCACGTAATAAGCGTGCTCACCATCGTCGCCGATTAAAGGTCCTTTCACAGGCGCAAGCAGAAGACAGGGCCGCTGGGAACGACGACCCATCTACTCCTCGAAAGGGCAAGCGGACGAAAACCCGCATCACCAAGTCCACTCTCTCGTCCGCCTTTGCGACATCCTCGGCAACGACATCCGCCGTCGGCGGCGGCGCGGGCATCACAGGCCCATCGACCATTCTATCAGCTCGCCCGTTCCCATTGGAACGTCTACTTGCAATTTACCACGCCGTTGATCCAAACCCACCAGAGAACCCCATCAACACTGCTGCCGTGGCAGACCAAATTTATGCCGAACTAGCCACATTGCGCCGTCTACGTCTCGTGGTACCTGCTTCCGGTCACGTTGGATTCGCCAGTACGGGAAGTGGAAATACCAGTGCGGATGCGGGCGAGAAATGGTGTGTCAATGTATCGGGTGATTGGATCGGGGAGCTGGCGAAGGGAATTGGCGTCGAGGTTGGAGAGTGGCTTGCTGGTGGACTGGATTGATCGCGTCATGTATCCTGTTTCTTGCACTGCTGGCGTACGAAGATGGATTTGGTGATTTGGATATTTTGCATTGGAGTCTTGATTTGGTTATTGTTGCATGCGGAGGGAGCATCTGGCGTGGGATGCGAATGAATTATACCCGTTTTTCTTATGGACCTTATGGACTACTTTCTCTTTTTTTCATATCGGGTCATGCATAGTTGTAGCTGTGAAAGTACTGTTGAAAGAGTAGAACGACAATGGGCATACAAGGCTATCATGATAATCAAAAACAAAGACGAAACACCGACAAAGGCACATTAGGGTATCCCCGAGAAGACCAGAACAACACGCCGGACGCGAAACAAAGCACACCGAAAAACCCCCTTACCAGACCCACTGGTCTACCGAAGCCTGGGAACAAACCAACAAGCTGGGCGTCTGCGGGCCATGCGAGTTCATGATCTCCCCCGTTGCCTCGAAGCACAAACCCGTGATGGGACGGTTATAGTGGGCCTTCGAGAGCGGCGAGGGGACAGGCTTGCCAGAGTTGAGAGAGAAGAAACGTATCTTCCTATCATCGGCTGCTAAATAGTGAGAGTAATTAGAAGGTGAAGATGTTATCAAATAGTATGAAAGAGAGAGCTTACCGCATGCCAGGAGTCCCAGCTCCGTGCTCACATCGAAATCGGGAATCTGCTCTGGCGAGAAGTCCCCGAAGGACAGATATGGGCGGCTCGAGATGTGAGAGCCGGTCATGGGCTTTGGCTTGTGTTGGAGGCCCTTGGCTGTGAAACGGATGTCGTACATTTCAACCTGACTTGGTATGAGCGGGATAACATAATCTCCGAATGTAGTTCGGCTGACTTACAGTGTTATGGCCTCCAGCAACAATCCGCCACGGATCCACCTTCCGGATCTTAGTGACCGACTGCGAATGCTGCAGCCGCAGCGAACTATCGCCGGTGCGCACGTCGTACAGGAAGACGGTCGAGTTGCGCAGGCCCGAGACAATGACGTCCGAGGAGAGCCACTCGACCGCCTGCACGCTCGCGTGCGAGGAGTTGCCGTATCGACGGAAGCCGAGAGTCTCGTTCCTCGGCTGGTGGGGGAAGGGCTTCTGCGAGAGCGTCCAGTGGCTGCCGAGGCCCTCGAGGGTGTACAGTCCGTCCGAGGTGCCGATGGCAAAGAGTGCCTTGTCACCGGTTGGACAGGGCGCCGAGCACCAGAGGGTCTGCGTAGTGTGGATGCGGATGGGGTGGATTACTGTCTTTGTTAGTAACGCTCTTGTTTTGTTGCTTGATTAGATGACGTACATGCAGACGGCCAGCGGTAGTCACCCTCCTCATCTGGGTCTGGAAGCAACCGCGGAGCCAGGAAGGCGTGACCCTGGGGACCACTGTCCATTGTTGCTCTGTAATTGTTAGTGATTGGGGTGGATGGAGGCTTGAGATAGAGGAAAAGACATACAGTAGATAGCCAGTGTGGCTAAGGCAGATGGAGGATAGCTGCACATGAGCAGTTAGTAATATGTATCAGGCTGAGACACAGAGCGACATACTCTGTATGGCTCTTTGAAGAGGACCCGCTCCATGGTCTGGTTGTACGTCCATTTGCCTTCGTCATGATCAGGGAAGCAGATCCTGTTGTGAGTTAGCGGACGATCCGACCCCACCGCGAGAGAAATAAACTCACGATACAGAAGATTGACTGCCTTGAAGACCGGCTATGGAAGTGATTAGTCGATTATCAAAATCACTCCAAAGCATCCTACGTACTGGTAATCAAGGCACCCGAGCGAGGATTCCTCAGCACATGACGGATGTTCCAATTGCCCGGCCACGGCTCAAACTTGTGAAGCTTATTGCGCTTCAACTGGCTCATGTAGACACTTGCCTGCCGATCTTGAAGCTCAGCAGCAGAGAGAACGTGAGCTTGAACCTCCCGGTCCACACCGACGAGTGGGTGATGGAGGAAGCTTGGCTTGCGGACAGTCTCACGGGCCATCCGCTGACTGACGCGCTCCTGCTTCACCTGTTCCTGTGAAGATTCAGTACCGAGGTATTTGAGGAGCGTTGTTTTGTAGTACATTGAATACTCACCTCGTGCTCATTGCGCTTGCGCTTGACGGACTCCTGGGAATACTGAGCATCCGGTGGCGCAACGTGGTTTGCCTGGATCTTGAAGTACTTTTTCTTCTCAGGGTCTGACCAAGGAGCAAAAGTGTTAGCTCGCTGTGACTAGACCTCAAAGGCCACGATATGATATCATCCAGAGCTTCATAGGTGCAGGCTGAGTCGGCCGTGGAGAGCATGAGACTCACCATAATAGAAGCCAGGAATTTCGGGGTTCATGTTCGCGGATATCTGTGATCAAGGGAAAGATTGATGTAGCGAGTTGGAATGCGAGAAACGGAGAGATCGAAGGGTTTGTAGAATGCTTGTTTGGGAATGAATCATGATATGGGAAGTGGAAAGAGCTGGGTACAGTGGATTGATGGGAGTTTTTAAAGGACAGGCTCACGACGCCATGAGATAGGGAGCGACGACGACAACCATGCCCCACAATTCATGTGTGGACACAAAGCTATGGTTTTAGCAAGCGTGTCTAGCTGTTTCCACCATTGCCCAGTCGACGGGCGTCTTCAACGGCATCGATTTTGTTCGATGGCGATGGTGACGTGCAGGCAATTACATAAGCTGCTGCCTGAGGCGACGATCCAGGGACCATGGATGGTGGTTGATAGATCGTTGACTGTTCCCGCAAGACACCATGGTTCATGATGGTTACCACAACGATTGCAGTCAGCAGCTCTTTGCTTGTTTTGGGTGGCCTTGACATGGCATGTAGTCCTTCGTTTACTTTGCCACGCCATTTTCGAGCAACAATGCCTGTTTGATGTTTTCCGCATCAGGTGTAACTTCCAAAGTATATCTTCGGCCCTTTGAAATACATTTAATATCCTCGAAAATTCGTGCGCTATTGAATCAACTTGGCAGCATTTGACAACTCCGACACTTTATCACGATTTTGACATAGCATTTGCAGAAACCTGCCGCTTTTCAAATGGAAATTATCGCCACTTCGTCGCAGAAGAATACCACGCCAGCATGTTCGAAACACCCGGTGGACGAAGGGCCTCGTACATGACGAACAAGAAGAGGGATATCTAGAACGCCTGCAAAGCTCGTGAACCAAATTTTGAACTGTGGTATTGATCGACAAGGGTACGAACTCTTGGTCGAATGGCAACTGCCGGCATCACTGCATAACTTGCCCATGGCCTGAGATCAATTACTTCCAAAGTCCATATTTTTCTTGCCCCGTAATACAGAGCTAGACAATGCAATTGGATCATTTCTCAGCCTTGAGAAGACAACACTGGCAAGGCACCGGGCTTGTCAATGTACCCCAGCCCTCGAGACTGGGACACTTGGCCCATTCTGCTGGAGTGCAAACCTCATCCAGGCGACATCCCGAGGGCGTAGGCGCCTCAGTATCCAGGCGCCTCATGCACTTCCTCTTCAGGCAGCTTCGGTTTGCTTGTTGGCTCGCTCTTTCTGGATTCATCGAAGGTTTGTTGACATTAGGGCACGCGTCCCAAGCTGATCACGGGCTGCCCTGGGGCCTTCTCATAGTAAATCCAAGTCAGACGCGTCTGGCTGGCCAAAAGAAGAAGTCGTGCCTTCTCCTCTTGCTGCCAAAAGCTAGTCCATAGCCCCAGATAGCTGCTCTTTTAACTGTTGTGACCCCCCCTCCCACTTCATCCTTTTTCTTCTTCCGTCACTTCGCTCGCACATCCATCCATAACATCTCTTCCTTCCATCGTTCTTCATCACCATCAGAAACATCTCTTTCATGACTCTCAAGCACCTGTCCCTGCCGTCCTCTCCGAGGACTTTGGATCCCTTCGATCCTCGCAACATGTCGGTCAGCAGCCACCCGCCGGATCACGAAAGTGACCAGGAGGACAAGGAGACTGTGGCCACCCCTGAAACCAATGACAGCCCTAGCCCTGTCATTCACTCCTATGTCGGCCTCGATGAACTGGCTCAGCAGGAAACTGCCAATGACATTGACCTTCTCATTGCTGAACTTGAGGAGGAGGATGGCAAAGAGCCTGACCCTGAGGTGATCACCAGTGGCGATGGCACTGACCTTCGCTACCACGCTGATCTGCTTGAAATCAACGTCAACCTTGGCCTGAACGATGCTGAGATCATCGCTGCACGCCGCAAGTATGGCCGAAACCGTCTGAAGCAGGAACACCGCAACAACCTGGTGAAGTTTCTCGTGCTCTTCGTTGGTCCTGTTCAATTTGTCATGGAGGTATGTAACCCTGCCTGTGCATATACCTCCTTCTAGTCTGCATTTGGAAGCCTGCTAACAAAGAACCTGAACAGGCCTCTGCGCTCCTAGCTGCCGCACTGCAGGATTGGGTGGACTTCGGAGTCATCTGCGGTCTGCTGATTCTCAATGCTGTGGTTGGGTTCCTCCAGGAATACCATGCAGGAAACATCGTCGACAGCCTCAAGCAGACACTGGCTCTAAAGGCTACCGTGACCCGAAATGGACATGTTCTGGAGATAGATGCAGAGGAAGTTGTTCCTGGTGATGTCGTTCACCTCGAAGATGTAAGTATTCTCTAAATGTCCGACAGTGGCATGCAAAAGCTTACTTACTTGGCTGCAGGGTACAATCATCCCGGCTGATGGTGTCATCGTCGGTGAAGGGGCTCACCTGCAAGTTGACCAGTCCTCCATCACTGGTGAATCTCTCGCAGTCGACAAGCACGACAATGACAATTGTTTCGCCTCATCCGCCGTCAAGCGAGGAACTGCTCATATGGTTGCAACTGCAATTGGTGATAAAACCTTTGTGGGACGGGCTGCAGCACTTGTGAATCTTGCGGATAACAGTACTGGTCATTTCACCATGGTGCTGAATGGAATCAGCATGATTCTCCTGGGCCTAGTGATCATCACTTTGTTCATTGTCTGGGTGGCATCTTACTACCGTTCGAACCCTATCAGAGATATTCTGGATTTCACTCTGGCAATCACAGTTGTTGGAGTACCAGTTGGTCTTCCTGCAGTCGTCACCACCACTATGGCTGTTGGCGCATCGTATCTGGCCAAACGACAAGCGGTCGTGCAGAAGCTGTCTGCGATCGAGTCACTGGCGGGTGTAGAGATTCTTTGTTCCGACAAGACCGGCACCCTGACCCGCAACAAGCTTGCCCTTGGTGACCCATACACGACTCCCGATGTAACCAAGAACGATCTTATGCTCACATCCTGCCTTGCTGCAAGCCACAAGAAACGGGGACTCGATGCCATTGATAGAGTCTTCCTCAAAGCTCTCAAGGCCTATCCAGAGGTCAAGGCGACGATCGGATCATACAAAGTCATTGAGTTCCACCCATTTGATCCAGTCTCCAAGAAGGTTACGGCTGTTGTCGAGTCCCCCCAGGGCCAGCGAATCATCTGTGTCAAGGGAGCCCCCCTTCCAGTACTCCGGACTGTTAAGGATGACCACCCTATCGATGAGGACGTCGAAACCGCATATCTTGAGAAGGTTACAGAGTTCGCCAGCCGTGGGTTCCGTGCCCTTGGAGTTGCTCGCAAGATAGGTGACCAACCTTGGCAAATTCTAGGAATTGTGCCTTGCTTGGATCCTCCTCGCTATGACACTGCAAAGACTATTGCCGAGGCCCAGCGACTTGGACTTTGCATCAAGATGCTGACTGGAGATGCTGTGGGAATTGCACGCGAGACTGCCCGCCAGCTCGGACTTGGAACCAACATCTACAATGCGGAGCGTCTGGGTGTCACAGGTGCTGGCGACATGCCCGGGTCTGAAATCAATGACTTTGTCGAGGCTGCCGATGGATTTGCAGAGGTATTCCCTCAGCACAAGTACAGCGTCGTGGAGATTCTCCAGAAGCGAGGCCATCTGGTTGCAATGACTGGAGATGGTGTCAATGATGCCGCGTCGCTGAAGAAGGCCGATACTGGTATTGCGGTCGAGGGAGCTTCCGATGCTGCTCGCTCAGCTGCCGACATTGTCTTCATGGCTCCCGGATTGTCTGCAATCATCGACGCCATCAAGCTCTCCCGGCAGATCTTCCACCGCATGTACTCGTATGTGATCTATCGCATTGCGTTGTCCCTGCACCTCATGATCTTCTTCGGCCTGTGGATTATCGTCCAGAACATGGTCATGGATCTCCGCTATGTTGTCCTGCTGGCCATCTTCGCCGACATTGCTACCTTGGCGATTGCGTACGACAATGCGCCGTTCTCAATTTCCCCGGTCAAATGGAACCAGCCCAAGTTGTGGGGTATTGCCATCATCATGGGCTTTATCCTGGCGGCTGGATCCTGGGTCGCATACGGTACCATGCTTCTGAATGGTGAGAGTGGTGGCTTGGTGCAGAACTTCGGTGATCGCGATTCGGTGATGTTCCTTGAGGTCACCCTCACTCAGAACTGGCTGATTCTCGTCACTCGTCACATCGATGGGCCTTTCTGGAAGAATCTGCCATCCTGGAAGCTGCTTGCGGCGGTTCTGGCCGTCGATATCGCGGGGACGTTGATGGTGCTCTTTGGCACATTCGGCCACTCGCCGACATCCATCGTGGCCGTGGTTCGCACCTGGGTTTTCTCTGTTGGTGTCATTGTTATACTCGGTATCGTGTATAACTTCCTGCAGAACTCGCAAGGTTTTGACGACCTCATGCACGGTCGTAGCCTGCGCGCCAAGTCTCGAGAGCGGTCCTGGGAGGATTTCTGTGAGTTCCATTCTGGTTTCAAAGGTTCATTCTACAACAGTGGTACTAACTGATCACAGTGCTCTCTCTGCAGCGGGTTTCGACCCAGCATGAGAAGACGACCTGAGAGGTGAGGCTGGGAAAAATCCCCCCAGAGACTCTCACCCTCGGGGAGTGTGTGGTTGGCGAGAGTCAGGCGAAGCGGACTCTCGTCAAAGATATCAAAGGGGTGAATCAAAGGAAAGAGAGAAGGGGACTCGTATGAGTCGTAATTTTGTTTTGAAAGTTCTGGGCGAGAGGCGTCCTCCCTGACATGTTTATCGCGAGGCAACGCACTCCTTTCCTAGCTTTGCATGTTTTACGACAACAGCTGTTAGCCCGCTCGTGGCCTTGCATGGCAGACTTAAGACACTCTTTCTATTTTGTCCAATTAATGAAGTTTGTTAGATTACAACTCTCGTTCCATTGCTCGGTAGGGGTTCTTGGGATCTTCTTCCTCTTCTTCGGCGGATGGTATAGTTTTGATCACCTTACATGGACTGCCAACAGCCACCGAGAAAGGAGGAATGTCCTTTGTAACAACGGAGCTTGCTCCAATAGTACACCCCTCACCAATCGTCACTCCAGGGAGAATCACGACATTACCGCCAATCCAACAGTCATCACCAATCTTGACCGGGTGACCAAACTCGATATACTTCCTTCTTGACAAAATACTGGTCTCATGTCCAGCGGTGTAGATGCCGACGTTTGGGCCCATCTGAACGCGATCCCCAATAATCACCAGGGACGTGTCAAGAATACTAAGGCTGCAATTGGCTTGTCAGAACACGTCCAAGATACGTGTCACGTAGAAACAAACGGAAAGTCATGAGTGGTAAACGTATAGGCTCCACCGACTTACTTCCAGTTGATAAAGCAATCCCGCCCAATGATGACATTGCACCCGTAATCGGGCCGAAACGGCGGCTCAACAAACGACCCCTCGCCCACCTGTCCAACCAGCTTCTGGAGAAGTTCAAACCGGACGTCTCTGATCTTCTCAGACGGCACAGTCCGCGGGTCCAGGTTGTTGTAGTCGTTGGTCAAGATGCGGCAGCGGTGTCGGGCTTCTTCTAGGCTAGGGAGGAGTGGATTGTATCTAGTGAACACATTAGTATAGACATACCAGTTTCGAATAGCGGGTACTGTTCGCTGAGATGTGTATTTCATTATGAGAGTAAACCGCCTGGAAGAATCACGTACAGCATTCCTGATATCATCTTCTCGTAGTCGTCACTCATCGGGACGCCGGCCAAATCGCGGGCGAGCGCTATCAGCTCGGGGCGTTTCACTGGAGATGCCATTAAGGGCGGTTTTGACAGCTCTTATCTTGAAGTATGTGATCCAGGTTTTAAAATCGAAAAGTATGAAGTTTTGAAGCGATTGAGCGTTGTCAAAGTTGAGGTACAGTGAGAAGAGGATGCTGGTGGGGGCGGAATCAGCCCCCGCGATGGTTTGGCGGGAGACCGCGGCCACGGAGTTTTCTCGGAGCAGGCCAACCAGGATTGATGGGCCCTTACATTCGAGATGACAGATACATGTACGAGATCCGTAAGAAGAAAAATTCCAAAATCTAAATGTAGTTGATTTTTGAGTATGGTAGAGACATGCCACCATACTCCCCTAACTACCCCCAAAAAAAACAAACCGGCCGGTCCCTGGTATGCCCGGGACAAATGCAGAAACCCCAGCGATGCAGAGTGAAGACGCCTCAGGAAAGAAAAAGAAACCGCAAAGCAAAGATCTTCTCTAGTGTACATGTGCTTTGCGGGGGGAGGAAAGAAAGAAGAGCTGCTCCTCTAGCGCGGAGTCTCTGGCCGACTGTCCACCGCGGCAGCAAGCCGGGGATTGATAGGCGCCGTGGAGTCTGAAGAGAGATGCAACGCGATGCCAATATTCTCTTCCTTAAAGGAATCGGCACCCTCTTCTTCTTCCCGAAGAAGTCGTCGTTGCTTCCTGTACATCTTCCAGAAGACTATGCTGCCGTGGAGCTGGGCAGCCGAGAATGCGATGTGCAGTAGAGGTGTGGCCACTTTGAAGGCTATCTGCCATCGATTCCAGAGACTACCGAATAGCCACATCGTCACAATCGTCTCACAAGTGGTGCCCGTTGCGGTCGTGATGCAGGACAGAAGAAAGACCCGACTGAGAAACTTGTGACGATTAGGCCAAATGCGATAGAGGATGATGGCAACGTGGGGGAAGAATTCGGACACTATATCGAAAGCTCCTACAGAGAAAGGTTAATATTTGATATCCTGGCATGTAGTGCATCATGGAAAGGTGGATATGACTTACCCCAGACCGTGCACAGAATAAACTCAATATCAGCATCTGGTTCACGTGCAAGTTTCAAACTAATCGCAATCGCCGACTGTCCGATGATGATGGTGCCGATGTGATGGGACACCGCAACTGGAGACAACTTGGCCCGATAGATGAGCTCAAAGACATACATTCCAATCAACATCTGAGCGATGACGACAAGTATGTCACCCATAGTGACCGATGAGTTTAAGTGAGGAGCATAGAGCGAGTTGAACGTTGCCTTGCCAAAGGTGATGCAGACAAATGGATAGGCAGCGATAGCCAGGATGATGAATTTGGTGACACCGGCAATGTGATGATTGATGAAGCCGCGGCGGTCCTTGTCGTCTAGATTGGTGTAAATGCGGCCATAAAGACGATTGATCAGGAAGGCCTCAAGGATGTAGTAGCGAATGAGAAAGAAGATCACGAGTATGAGTGAAATGATGAGAGCGGAGAACGGGGCAAGCTTGGAGATGGGTTCAAGAGGCTTCTTTTCCAGGTTTGAGCTTGCATGGCGAGCAGCGAGGTCAATCATGATGGGCATTCAATGAACGTGAGATGGAGCGAGTGTGGAAGAAGGATGGGACGAGGAAGGTTGTGATGAAGAAGATGAAGAAGTTGGAGAGTTTGGTTGGTGACGAAGACGCAGGTGCATGATCAGCGGGGAAAGGTCAAGGACTGAGGTAGCACACGAGAAGGAAAAGAAGGTAAAGAAGAAGAATGATGGAAACGGTGTTGATCTGATACTCTCCGGTTGGCAAGAGTCTAGATCAACATGGTGATTAGGCAGGTGTATGTAAATATGGTGAAGCAGGGATTACAAAGACATTGTGCAAGAAGAGCCAAAACAGCAAGAACAGAGCCGCCACGAGGGATTGAGGGCATTGGGCTTATTTAACAAAGAAATTTGCTCAACGCCGTGTACCCCCTTTGCCCCCATTATTATTTTACGCCCCAGGAAGCCCACGCTATGATCCACACCCGAGGTAGCCCTCTCGGCCTTAGCACGACATTAAACAAAAAAAAGGGACACCTGAACAGGCTAGGTCATGAGTGACATTCCATGAGTTTGACTAACATGTGTCCACAAGCTCCATTGCTATTCTGGGAGAAAGCAGTCTAGTTAGCTCGTAATTTGGCCAGCGGGGAAGTTGATCTCGTGCAATAGTTCGTTCTGCCGTTTATCCAGTTTATAGTTTTGGTGCAGAGCATAAGAGGACGCAAGTCGCGAGTCAATCTGCTTTTGAAGAATACCAAGAGAGGGCTCAAAAATAATACAATTGAAATTCCCAACGCAATGGAAAGATTACCGAGGCGAAGGCGATCGACCCTTAAATCCTTCGTTGCAAACGTGTCTTTGGTCGATTAGGGGAGCCAAGCTTTCAAGCGACGGCAGGTAAAGCTTATCCAGAAAGATCAAGCCTGTCGGTTGGTGCACATTATGTTCCTTGCTCCGCTAGTCCACGCTAATCCAGGGTCCATGGGTCAACGCGCTCGGTCGCTAGTTCTTCCTATTGGATTCGAATGTTTCACACCCCCATCTGACACGAGGGTAGGCAACAACGTATTTGGCTAAAGGAAATAGGAGGCTGCTTGTGGCTTCCGGTCGTTGGAATATTCTTCCGCTTGACCCTCAGGTGGACGGATGAGGAAGCAATGGACCGTGTTGCTCGTGCCCCTTTTACAAACCTCTTTTTAAAGGCAATCTTCCCATGGATCGCGACATTTTGGGGTTGAGCGTTGGGGGATGGATATCTCATGCGACCAGTTCTTTGTCCCACTCTCCGCGGATTAAACTGTGGAACTAGCGAGCTGTTTCATTCGTTGGGGCTGAAGAAAAGGTAAAATTAAGTTGCCTAAACCCGCAGCCCCTCGCGAAATATTGCAGAAATTGCTAACATGGCCGTACTGCGGAAGGAAAATTTTCCCCGAGAACGTGGTTGAATGGTTGGTTGAGGGACTGATCTGAGTGCCTTTAGAGTAGTTGTACATGACAGTGTGGCCTGATGATTCTTTTCACTACAGTTATTGTTGGAGTTAGAATTTACAGACGAGATCTATTTCATGCACTCCAGTGCTCCACTTACATTTTGGAGATGGGAACGCTCTGATGCAACCGCCCTACCTCCTGCAATGACAATCTTCGCTGAGAATACGATTCTTACCTCATCGGGACTTAGTATTATTCCTGCAAGACGATCGCTACACGGTACGACCCATATGTAGCTATTTCAGGGCCCTGTACCGGGCGGCCCCATCAGCCTAGGAAGGCTTGATACCCCGAGGAGCATGTTAATGGAGAGTCAGAAAAGGTTTTTAGGCTTAGTCGTAGTCATCGCCAGCGTGGCCATCCATACTTTGAAACACTGGTTTAGAAAAGCAACCGAGCAAGACAGATACGTCGGGAAATCACCCCGAGTGTGCTGACGGACCACCAGCTGAAGAGATGCTAGAAACAAATCGCTGATGCACAGCTGCCGGCTTAAATCTCCCATTCAATTTAGCCAAGGAGCCGCCAAGACGTCGCCTAAGCGCAACCCCGCATCTGAGAATGGCGATGAGAAAGAAGAAGATGTCGACATTAATCCACATATCGTGGGGTGTGAAATAATGGCATGAAAAGCCATCGAATGTTCAAAGACGGCCCGTGTGTCAAGAGGTTGAATAATGGGCTCCTCCCAGCAGCCGACTGAATAAAGGCCCACACTTTTTGTCTCCGGAGTGTATGAAAAGACCAATATCAAGGTATCAGACAGGATCTACATGCAATAGAAATTCAGGTACTCGGACGGAGTGGCCGAACCCCAATGTGCTATTATTGAGCATGCGGCTGAGGGCGAAGGAGGCTCACTTTAGGGAGAAAAGACCCACTTCACGCGACTCCAATTGCCATTGGGTGTTGGTAGAAGGAATACGGATTCAGTAATGTCGGAGCCGGGATGTACGTGAGACCGTTCATCAGGCTTCCAAGAACGCCTTGTGTGAGCATCGATGGTAGCACTGAGGTTGGTGCACAGCCCCCGAAGCACGATTTGCAGAATGGAGAGAACTGGGGAGGGAACCGGAATAGTTTTAAACATCCTGTTCGTTAGTAAATACGCCCGCGCACCAGGGACTTCAACCTTGACGGTATCTGGGAGCCATGATGCTCCTTTGTGGAATTGGATAGCCGCTCAAAAATCATGCAAAAGACCCGAAGCCAGCCGATCCACACCATGCAAAATTCTCTATGATCTTTCACTCACTTTTAGTTCTCAAGAATTCTGGCTTTGGGCCGTCGGATTATTCATTCGGCTGCCAAAATATGGATAATTCACATCCCCTGTAGGCATTGATCAATTGAGCTGTATTGGATATGGACAGCTAACCCAACCCATGGTAGCCCTATACTACTAGACCACGTGCAGGAAAGTAAGCCTCGGTGGAAATATCTCCTATCTCGCTCGAACATCGGTCTGGGTCTCTCACTTTGTGTTGCATGCGATGGAGGCGTGCAATAGTCTGTCGCCCTCATGTTTTGTCGCCTGGTGGAAATGCAACATAGCTTTAAAGAGATTGGAGTCGATATAAACCTTATATGCATCTCAAAAATTGAAAACTTTTGATTTTCATGGGCAGATGAACCGTCATTGGTTATTAGAATTTAGCCTCACGTAAATCTTCTGGAATGTCGGGGTCTTCTTCTAGAGGCAGCACTCCCAGCCAGAGATAAACCGGAGTCCGGCTCCGAGGCGTCTGGTAGAGTGGGTACTAACGATTAAGCTTAATAAAAGTAATTGAATACGAGAGGCAGCTCTGATGAGAATACATAGATCTAAATCAGCGAAGACAATGAACTAGTAGGGCAGTGCATCAATTAGAACCTGGGGTATATATCCGTGTCTCCTTCCTCTCTCCTTCCACCGAGAATCTTGAGACTCCGAGTTACTTTGAACGGATAAGATGGGTAGAAAATATTGGCTCGTGAACTTCTATGCTTGCGAACTATTTTCCGGGAAACTTCATAGTCCCTGCTTTCCTTTTGCGGTCACATGTTCCAATGCACTCTCAGCTCATTCGTCGCTTTTCCAGATTTCGATAGACGAGACAGAAATGAATGATACACCTTGTCCATCAAAGACGAGTGGCTCATGTCGAATGAAGCCTGCTGCGCCCAGGACTTGGTGCCGGGATGGCCGTCTATAGCAGTCATGAACTGACAGAATTGGCAAGCGACGGTGGGCGCTTCATTCTCAAGAAGATAAAGAACTTCATCCAAAGCTCGACGCCAACGATTGACAAAGTCCTGGGCCGTCTTGTAAGCGCTGAAACTGCAGTTGATCCAGTTGGCCCACACATGCTGCTTAGCGAGTCCGCTAAACATACCCTCGATAATGCGGTAAGCCTGGGAGCCCGTCCTGGCCAATCTGACATGAAAATGGAGATGCGATCCGATGGTGACCAAGAAAAGAGGTAGCAGTTTTTGATCGAGGGCTTGCCAAGCATTGAGGGAGGCATTGGGCTGGTGGACGGATTTGTTGATGTGATCCGCTATATGATTCGCAGATATCGATTCAAGGGGGATGCCGTACTCGTCGGCGAGAACTTCGCGTACTACATTGTCATCAGGGACCGTGAGTTTGTGCAGAACTGGTGGCTGGTTTGTGCCCATCAGAGTAGGCCAGAAGCGGTGGTCTTGTCGTTTGAGAGCACGGCGCAGACGGCTATGCCACCGCGTGTAGTTAGTATGATCCTTCAGTTTCCCAACTTCTGCATCCAGGCTTTGCATGATCGCCCTCATTTCTGAGGCCATTCTTCGCTTCGGGGTTTGTGTATCAACCGGGTCGCTTATGGGAGATGCAGCCGCAGATTTGCATGAAATGCCACGGAGGCGCAAAGCTAACGAACGGCGGACAGCTTCGGCCCTCAGAGGGCGTGGGTACGGGATGGAATGGTCATTTGTGAACCGAGAAAAGACGGGGATGCTTTGTAGATGGATTTTCGGGTGAGAGATGATAGGCAGCAATATACGAGGCGGATGACGGTCAGGCGCGTTATCCTAGGTACCTATCGACGATGTACCTTCGCTATGTACCTCCTCCTTACCAATCTTTTTTCAGGACTTGTATTATTTGAATCTACAAATTGTTTATATGAAAACTCTCACATTACAAATGATCTCACTTTTCGAAGGGCAACTCTCACTCTGACACATGAAGTTCACTTATCTGGAAGGCGGTTGTTTGTTGTTGTCCCTCCAGGAACATCCGTATTTTCATGCGGATGGAGTCTGGTCAAGTAAGTACCTCTGTAGCAATTCATCGTTGTGACCTGTCACTGCCCAGGTTTGATTACCAAAAACTACAGTACTTGATATCATAAGTGCCAGTTGAGCTGCGGCGGCTCGAGTTAGCTCCTAATAGTGTCCTAAACCGTCTTAACCAAGTCGGGAATTTCCTTCGATCGGGGTCACTACATTCTGCAAATTGAGCGGTGTCAACGGAACGACGACCCAGCCGGAAGCGCGGCAATATGGTAGGTAAGCATAGTTATGCTTGCTAATGATGGTTGTGTTTAGTCGGGAATTGTGCCTTAACTAATTAGGCCAGGTTTCTTGTCTACCATCAAGGACCGGCGTGAATGGAGCCATCTTTGTTGGGCCTTGGTCGCACACATCCATCCTGATTATCTGATCCATTGTGGATGGGGTTAGCCTAGCTTGCTATCAATCATTTGATGTCAGCAACTGGCCGATATCTTCATCAACTTTGAAGAAGGCCTTTACCAGCAAGGTGTCAAGACACCTGGTGGATGGAAAGGATGGCGGAAGTTCTTCATTGCCAACAAGAAAATCGAAAGTGACGAAATCATTTTTCTTCCATCTGGTTCTGGTCGTCAAGGACCAACTGCCGACGTACAAGCCAGGTCAATTCGTTACAGTGCGATGCTATGTACCTGGGTTGAGTTCCTATCAGCCTCGACAATACAGTATATCTGATTCACCAACGCCCAACCACTTCCGGATCTCGGTGAAGAGAGAATTCGCGACTGGACCTAAACCAGCCGGTCGCGTCTCGAATGTACTCTACGAGTCGTTACCCATTGGTGCAGAGTTGGACGTCAGCATGCCATTCGGCGACTTTGTCCTTTACATCAACGCCACGACGCCGGCAGTGCTGATCAGTGGGGGTGTTGGATTGACGACCATGATGTCCATGTTGAAAACCATTGTCAACCAACAAGGCAACGCCCGCAAAGTGGTATTCATCCACGCTACTCGGAATGGCTACGTCCACGCTATGAAGGAGGGCCTGTTTCACATCATTGCTGAGAACCCCTCAGTTAGTCGCGTGGTATTCTACGAAGAAGCATCTGCGCAGGACAAGAAAGGCGTGGACTATGTTCACGTAGGCGGTGTGAACTTGGCTGAAATTAAAAACGATGCCGTCTTGCCCGATGCAGACTACTACATTTGTGGGCCGCAGCCGTTCATGAAGGCCCAGAGTAAGAGTCTGGAAAATTTGGGTGTCTCGCCAGACCGAATCCACATGGAAGTATTCGGTTCTCCTTCCGATTAAGCATCGGATCCGTTCTCCTTCCAAAGAATGACTGTACTCGAGTACAGCTTATTGATCGAAATTTATAAGTTAGCGCAGGCGGCCTGCTCCATTGTTATAATATTTCTCAAACAACGCGTTTTTCCCACTTTAATTACAATCTACTTCTTCTGGATGGAAAAGGTGTACGTTCTTGATAAGGTCTTATTAGATGACGAAAGGGTACGGTTTCATTCTTGAACTCATGGAGTAATCAAGGTACTAGCAGGGAACTAGAACCGTTAACTTAGATGTGCATCTGTTATGGCTCTAGCACTCGCCCATCATCTGTTATCCATGATGATTCTATCCCAGCTAGCAGCTCCTCTGTTTCCACGGTCATGAGGGTGTCAGACGGTTCATTATTCAGAATGTCACCAATTTCTCCAAATGACGTCGAATGTCCCCGAAGGAAAATGGCAGGATCGAATATGGGCTCTGTGGATAGACACTGAAGATATTCAGGCGTCAAAGCCGGAGCGGCTAAGTCCTGTACAGCTGCACTTGTTACTGACCGGGCAGCCGGCGCTTTACTTTGGCCAAGGTGGTCTCTCTTCGCGGGCCTCCGCAATGACAAGGTATTGTGAAATCTCTCAGCGAGCTTCTCGGCTTGGACGCCCGATTCTCGCATTTTTTGAGCTGCCTTTCTTGCAAGCGGCAGATAATCGCCGCATCCCATTGATATTGAAAAATGGCGGACCATCCTCGCAGCAGATCTGTTTCGGTAAGGACTTGGTGTAAAATTCTCGTCAAAGCTACAGCATGATTGAGACAATTGATGCTGTGACAATCAGACAGAGGTGTAATTGATGAGGATCCGGGTGGGAAACGCAAGAAGGTCCGAAAAGTTGACAACTGAAGATGATGATATACGATTTCCAGAACAAGTCTCTGTCTCTGTAGCCATATGGGACTAAATTGGTCGAAATTCAGAGGAGTTCGCTCCGTGGAAAGCGGTTCTCCAGAGCCCTTTCGGGGGATTTTGAGGGACTCGGGGACATTGCGTGCCCACTCGTACACAATTCGAGCCTTTTGAGCAAGAAAGCCAGCGAGCTCTTCGAGTGAGAATGGATCCTCGTAAATTGTTCGTGTGGATTTCCTTTCAAGTAACTGCACGCATCTGGCTTCAAACTCATTCTGGACACGTCTCACTAGCGAAACCAGGCGAAAGTATTGGGTGTGAAAGCTGAGCCAAGTGATATCTTCGTTGTTGGGGCATATCAACTTGGATCCAGACAGGATGCTGTCTTCTTGGCTGTCTACTGCCAAGTCGTGACCAATCTCCCATCTGTCAATGAGCGGCGGTCGACCAAGAACCATGGATATCTGGCTATCAAGTGTAAATAGAGTTGACCAAATTCGGCGATGCAACTGTCTTTCTCTAGGAGGAAGCCCGTCACTGGGTTGTGAATTTAGTCCTAACGTCTCAGCTGTTCCCGCAGCAGTCCTCAAATAGTTGTATGCTGCATTCAAGGAAGAATTATTGTACAGAAACACAGCGCAGTATACTTGACTTTGCAAAGTGATAAGTGACGGTGTCTCGAGTTCATCGAGAATAAGTTTTTGGGACCGGCTGTAGAGTGCATAGCTACTCCGTGACCCAGCTTCCACATGATACCCACTTATATCCCCATGACCATCGCTTGTCAGGAAATTGCTTCCGTATTGCATGCAAACAGCCAGTATGCTGTCAACAAGCGTCGAAGAATGACGTTTTGTTTCATTTGCAGAGGTCCTCCACAACGAGTCGTAGTGTTCCCGAAATTCGTCTTCAATTATGATAGGATATATGCAATTAAATGTCTGCCAGAGAAGATCCAGGAAGTATTCTTCTTGGGCTCGCGAAAGCTCTTCGAATGCCCGATCGTCCTCAAGTCCCAGGTTTGCCGTGTCCTGGTCTAAGCCACTGGATAACAGGAAATTACCCGCCGGTAGTGTCAGTTGAGAGTCCAATAGTAAGCTTGTATGATTCGATTCTAACTCTCCAAGCTTCTCCCACAGATGGCGACTCATGCGATCAGCGAAGTAGGGAGATGATAGCGGGCCATAATAAATCAAGGCGCTTTGCCTCCCCTCAGGGATTCGGATACCCTCCCATCTCGGGACAGGTAACGATGACGCCTCTTGGGAGTTTTCATGATGGGGAGTAGTGGATTGGGTAGTGCCATTGGATTCTGGCGGTGATGTGTATTTTGCGGGAGTCGGGTCTGTTGTGTGCTGGATCGCAAGGTTGAGCTGCTCCTGCAGCTTGGTGACCTGTTGCCGCAGTTGTCGAATCTCTCTGGATAACCATCAGGTGAGACTTTTCAAAAACCGAGCACTCTGACATACCTGCTAGCTGCAGGCAAGGATAGAGACGACTCTTTCTCTCTGTTGTGGGTGCAATGGCCCCCACGTTTGGCACAATTTTGACAAGGCTGCGAGTCGTCACACTTGATTCGGTTCAGGCGGCACCAGTCGCAGGCACGAGAAACTTGCTTTCTCTTTGGGCGTGGTCGGTTAACCTTGTCAACTGTGAGATCTGCAGAGAATGAAGAAAACATTTCCAGAAGAGGAAGAAGCTTGGGAAAGAAGATGATGAAGAAATAGCTTTTGCGATTGTTACGGAATCTTCCTATCGACTGGAGTGATTAGTCCCGGAAATAGGACCACGCTATGTCCTAGCGCCGACGTCGATGATGAACTCAGCCCAATCCATCCCATCAATGAGATCCACATCCAAACTTATTGAATACCAATCTTCGGATCGAAAGCCAGCAAGCTGTGTACTGCATCTACCACACTCTCCTTGAGTGGCCGAAACGGTACACCTAGGATCTCGCGGGCTCGCGAGTTATCAAAGCCATACACTCCATCGACCGGATAATCCCCTGGAATGAGAGCCTCGCCTGAAGGCAGTCGATCCTTGAATTGTGGAAACTCCTGACCAATAATTTCTGCGATCTCTTTGTTGGAGAAATGGCTCGATACCGTGAAGAAACGTTTACCGCCAGCTTCGGGCTTTTCGATCGCGAGAACATGCGCTAGTGCTAAGTCGCGCACGTCGACATAGAGATAGTTACCTGTCGGCGGACATCTTTCCTTTGCTGCACCAGTGATGAGATCCCGAATACGTTCATTAGAGGTGTTGAGGCTGCTTAGAGAGGCGAGGTTGTGTGCAACGGGGCCCAGGACCAGTGGTGGATTGATGACGGTAAGGTTAAATGAGGGATTCTCATTCTTGATAAAGTCCCACGCTGCTCGTTCCTATTTTTTTTTGTCAATTTATGGCATAAATCTTGGAAATTTTCAAGCGTGACCCACAGCAAATGTCTTACTAGCCCGATACGCATTCGCGGGATTGTCGTTGGCTTGTGCCTCGGTGATCGGACACCAGTCGGCCTACATGTCGATTAGTTTCTGTTGGACAAAACGATGGTTAATAGATCTTGGTATTACCTCGGAGTATACTTTGCCCTTAGCCTTGGCGTAGATATTGTTGATTGCTGCGAAAGAAGAAGTCACGACGACACACTTGACTGAAGGAGCATGCTTCTGCACAGATTTGAGAATCCCCGTCGTTCCAATAATCGCTAATTGACATAACTTCTCAGATTCGATTTTCTAAGTCTCCGACTGTCCAGTGCTCACCTGGCTCCAGTAATTCTTTCGCATCTTTGGCATGGAAGTGATAAGGGCTAGCGGTATGAATGACAGCTTCAAAGGGAAGCTCAGATACCACCGCATCGTCAAACGCTAGATCAATTGTTAGCTTGAGGAAAGCATATGTGATGGATAGAGATCCCCTACCGTCAACTCGGGCCATATTTTCCACGATAGCACAATCTAGTCGATCTTTTGATAGCTGTGGATGAGCATCGAGAATAGCTTGCGCCTTTTGCTGGGATCGAACGGTGGTCACAACCGAGTGGCCTCTTGCAAGGAGAGTCTCCAGTACATGAGTTGCAATGAAGCCACTGCCGCCTGTCAAACGTTAGAGGCCGGTTTAAAACCAGGTAAACAATTGAGAACGCTTGCCAGTGAGAAGGACTCGAGTCATTGTTGTGCCTAGATGATAGGATATACTTTTCTTAGGAGTTGTTTATATCCTAAAAGGATTGATCTTGTTGAATCTTTGCCCTTGCACTGGTGGAAGTCAAGATGCTTATATAGTGTCCAGCTTGTACGATATCTTGGATTGGGCTCGGTATCTATTGGCGGCGTTAGGCTAAATCCGCTTCACAAACGGTGTCACATCGATGGAAAAATAAACTATCTTGCAGCTATCTCTAGACATGTTTAAATCCGTAGTCGAAAATGGAAGTTCTATCTCAATTGCTCCTTTGGGAACTCCGAAGACTCCGATTACTCCTTCCAGCAAAGTGGGGGCGATCCGCCAGGAGCTGCTGTCGAAGCTTTGGGTCTTCCACTCCTACAGTCATGTGAAGTGTATTCCAAATTCAATTTATTATTGTGACAAAATGATTAGTTACAATCACTCATACATTATAGATTCATGATTTGTTGATCTCAAGTCATGACCATCGCTTCGCACAGCTAATCCCCACGCTCAAATCCAGCGAAACTGCTCACCATGTGGCTGCAAGAGGCGCGCGGCTTGAGAAATCCAATACTCTTCCGTATTAGCACCGGCATAAGCCATTGATCTCCCAGCCAATCGATCAGCCAGCCCCGAAGTCATATGCCAAAGCTCATCTTCATCTGGCAAAGCAAATCGCAAGTCAGCCAGAGACAAGAGATTCATCTGTGATGGACCCGGGTCACTGTGACAAAGCACGTTTTCTAGTTTTCCAGGATTATGAAGCCGAGCTCTCTGACACACCCGATACATAGATAAGCCAAAGCGTTTTACTTCCTCGACGCCGACCCAGACAAACACTTCGGGATTTTCTCCCTGTTGGAATTGACATAGCATCGAGGGGTAGAAAAACATGTTCCGTTTGCGACAGCTGTGAACGAGAGCGCGAAGAAGCCGCGAGGGTATTTCAGGTAAATCCAAAGTAAGTTCCAAATTGAATGGATCCTGATTTTGGAGCATGGAGAAGATTATTTGCAGCAAGATTCCTTGGTAGGTTGCCAGTGGCCAGGGAGTAGCATCAGTAGAGGGAGTCTCGAGACAGTCCTCAGCTACCTCATGATCCTCCGGTATGGCCCATTTACTCTGAGACATGATGTGTCAGATTAGCTCGACTCGTAGGAAACACTTTGGTGCTTACACTCTGCTCATATATGCACGAGATCAACTCGTTATGTAGGTCTTTCGCCGTCTCTTGTGCACCCCTTTCCGTGGCCGCCCACATCCCCATCATTGTCACCGATTGAAAAAGAAAGGCCGGTTCCGGGGTATGATGAAAGGTTACTGGATGCAGAAAGGGCCATTTCGGATGAAAAATATCAAAATATGCCTGGATATAAGGTGCGACTCTGCAAGGGCTAGAGTCAATTCCTTTCGATCGTGGAATGGAACTCAAACGCGTCCTTGAACCTTCCATTTCCCGATCTAATGTGCCACGCTGCGTTTGGGATGGTTCTGGATAGGAGCAGTCCTTTGCCAGTCGAAAGCACCTATCACACGGAACTTGCCCATCACATTTCGACCTCCGCGCACGACAATGGTTACACGCTCTCGTTGCCCTGGATGTTTTCAACTCTTTATCCTGATGATTGGAGCGAACATGGTGCCGGAGAGTGTCATTTCGGGCAAACCATCGGTCACAAAAGGGACATTTGGAAGATTGATTATTAGAGTGACGTTTCGCATGTCGGGTTAAGTGTTCTTTGCGTCGGTAGCTTAGGTCACAGCCAGGGAAGTGACATGCGAAGAGGGACGGTGTCATGAGAAGAGACTGGCTCGAGTGATGAGGGATATGGGAAAGCAAAAGGACTAGTCAAGATGGTAGGCGAGAAATTCCAGAAGTTTGCTTTTAGGTCAGCAAACTGGAATTTGAAGGGTTTTTGTATAGCAACAGTCGAGATCGGTCATAGAAAGGCACTGGTGGGATGCCGATGGGATGCCGACGGAATGGTGACAAAGACGGTTGGGTAACTTAGTTATCTCGCCATGGCCACCTGGCTTGGCACTTGGCAGTTACCAGCAAACCATATTCAGTTCACCTGCCAGCAATAAGCGACTCGGTGGAGAAATTACAATTTACAATATTTTTACCGCGCGTTTCAAGAAATTAGATCGATTATGGGTTATCGTGAACTACACTACACTAGAACAAGCAGGGGGAAGCAGACACATTGGACAAAGGGCTCGTTTCCAGCGCACGTCGTGAGCAATGGCTCTCCTCTGCGAAGGAATATCCCAGGTGAGATCAATACAAACGCGGCATGATGAAGGAGGACTAGAAGAGGGGAAAGAAAAAGATGAACACAACGCTGAAGGGGATAGAGATGAAGAACAATGCGCGAGAAACTCTGTGGAGGATAAAATAGGAGAAAGAAAAGACACAGAGTCATGAAAGCATCACGGCAAAAGAGAAATATGTGTGGATGATATGTGCACGGGGGAAGAGAGAGGAGGAGTGTGAATTATGTTCGATTCAAAGTCAGGACTTCGAGGTCAAGTAGTCTGCAGCCTAGACGAAGTCAGTAACGACATTCGGAGGGGTTCGGAATAACCAGAGATTATCGCACCTTATCGAGATTGTAATCGAACTTCTCCAAAGCCGCCAGAGAGTCATCGCGCGGGAAGCCCATACCTGTCAATCGCTGCAAAATCAGGTCATCTTCGCCGGAGTCGTTGTTGAGGGCCCAACCAGGATTCTTGGAGCTCGCGTCATTGGCAGTCTCCTCTTCGGCGGGCTTGGCGCCTGCGAGGGGAGCAAAGAGAGCGTCCCAGTCATGGCCCGCGGCCTTGGAATCACCTCCATTTGGGGAGGTGGACTGGGCGGTGGGGGCGTGGACGTTGTTGTCAAAAGAGAAGAAATCGGAGGATCCACCCTGGCCAGCATCAGTGCTAGAAGAAGCACCGTGATTGGCCTGGGAGGGAGAATCGAATGAGAAGTCAAAATCTGAGGTATTCTTGTGATCATTGCCCTCATCATGCTCATCATCTTCATCATCATCGTCCGCTTCCTTCGCGGGGGCAAGGTTGAGTCCGGCAAAAGCGGCCTCGAAGTCAGGTCCGCCGGTCTTTGCGCCACCAGCGATCGCTGGAGCCGCCGTCTCTGGGCCTGGATCTCGCTGAGACTCGTTGGCAACTACCGGTGCACCAGTGCTAGATTCAACAGAGTGAGGAGCATCCGGGGCAACAGTGGGATCCGCACGTTCTGGCAGCAGACCGTTAAATTGAGGCGGCATGTGGCTAGCATCTCCAGTGGTGCTGGCTTCATACTGAGGAGGGCTTGCCTGTGCGTCAGCGGGAGGTGGCTGAGCCGATCCCGGAGCAGGGAAGGCAGCAAGTTGAGCGGCGTCGATAGAGTCAGCCTGCTTCTCCTTCTTGGGACTGGTGGGAGAGACTGGGGTAAAGTTATCGTCGAACCCCAAAGGGCCCTCATCATCCGAGCTTTCATCGTCCTCCTCGTCATGGTGCAACTCCTGAATAGGAGGGAACTCGGACGAGGGGGCAGCCGCAGCCGCACCATTAGTCTTCTCGTCCGTTTGCTGCCTCAAAGAAGCGAAAGCCTCCTCAAAATCATTCTCCTTCTGGGATTCGGATCGCTTGTGAGCCTTGCTTCCGAAAAGCTCGTCAAAAGACAAATCCTTAGCTGGCTCCTGGTTCCCGGTAGAGGTCGGAGAAATCGCCGACGGGTGTTGAGCGACAGCAGCAGTGGCCGCCGCAGCCTCGGGGCCCGCTGGAACCTCGTCGAATGGCGAGCGGGCGGGTGTACCCTCGAAATCCGAAACTGGAGCCCGACTGTAATCGCTCGATGTGGCTATGGATGGTGGACCACCCTGGTCGCTGGCGTCCTGTGGGGTTGCAATGCCCGAAGTGTCTGGACCACCAAATCGGCTAGCAGGGGGCGAGACCATAGTAGACGAAGTTACGGACTGGGGTTCACCGAAAGGCAGGAAATTGGGAGTGAGCTGGCGGGACTGGCTAGGTGGCGGGATCTCAGACGCAATGCCTGGGAACGCGCCAGGAACGGAGACAGCAGGGATTGGAGAAGCGGACGGAGTAGGGACATTGGAAGTCACAGGCGACTTGGAGGCAGCCAGCGGCGACTCGGCGCGGAATGAGGTGGGAGGAGGCCCAGCGGCAGAAGGAGCTGCAAAGGACTGGCCAAAGAGGTTATCGAAGGCCTTTTGCTGATCGGTGGGAGCCTCAGGAGACAGAGCACGCTCGCTTGAGCTTCCAGTTGCGGTCCGGCGGAAGAATGGGTTGGTGTTCTGGCTTGCAGTAGAAACAGCAGGGCTAACCACCTCAGCAGCGGAGCTAACCGGGGTGGCAGTCTCAGTGTACTGGGGGGTCTCCTTGGCAAGAGTATCGATTTCACCCTGGATCTTGTCACGCTCACCCTCAACAGTGGCCAGCTGCTTCTTGTTGATGGCAACAAGGCCCTTCTGCTGGCGGGCATCAGAACGAGCCTTCTCCAGCGCTGGCTTGAGCTGAGCAACTTCCGCATTGGCCTGGCGGATCTTTTCCTTCAGACTAGCGTTCTCCTGCTGGTCTGCAGCTAGGGCGGTCGAAACCTGTGTGTACTGGTTCTGCAGATCCTGTCGGCTGCCTTCAATCAGAGCATACTCTTGCTGAAGCTTGGTAGTCTCGGCCTTGGAGACTCTGAGGCGCTCCTCCAGAGCTTTAAAGTTGGCCACCTCTTGTTCATACATAGCGCGCGCCTGGGCGAGACGTGCCTCGAAGTCGCGCTTCTGCTGAGAGGTCTGCGAGATACTCTGTTCGGCAGAAGTGCGCTTCTCTTGTACGGTGTGCATCTCCTTCGCCAAAGAACCAATCTGGTTGGAAAGGTTGGCGAGATCACTCGTCTCCTGGGTGAGCTTCTTGGATTCCTCGGGGTCATTGTCGCCCAGCAGGTCATCGGAAGGTTGGGGGGAGAACGAACACCGACTGGTGTTCCTGCTGATGCACCTGTCACTTGTGGCTGCAAACTCTGGCCGAAGGTCGACGTCGGGATGAACGGCTTGAATGTTGTAGATGCAACAGGCGGGGAGGCTCGGGAGGCGGGGGAGCCTGGCGTGTGGAATGCTGCATTGGAGCCACCAGTAGACTGGGGGAATTGAGTTTGGGCGACAGGCGGGACGGGAGAATCGAGTCCGAACAAGTCATCCGCAGCAGATCGCGGAATCGGAGCAGGCGCGGGAGCAGGGGCTGGTGCCGGTGCCGGTGCCACAGCAGGCACAGGAGCTTGACGACGCATTGAAGGTGGAATCAGGGCAGGGGGCAGCACTTGCGGAAGAGGCTCCTTTCCGCTGCGCTGCAGCCTCACGAGGTACATGGCCACTGCAAACTCGTCCCGGTTAAGCTGGCCGTCAGCATCGATATCTGCAAGATCCCAGATCTGCGCAAGAACTTCCTCGGATAGCTGAGCCTTCATAAAAAAAGCAACAGCCTGGTCACCAGTGATCAGCCCGACCTTGGCGGTATCGACGGTCTCAAAGATGCCATCGAAGTGCACCTTTTCTTGAGGGCTGATCAGCCAATCTCCAGTTGACTGTGCCGAGAGCGGGCTGCCGAACGCCGGACGACCAGTGTGATTAGGGCTCATGGGGGTACTGGTACGCTGGGGGCCGGTGAATTCCTTGGGGATGGAGGGAACGGGAGGCACATCTGCACGAGCACCGAAGGAGCCCCGGCCAGATCCACGGCGAGCTGCGGCCTCGTATAGACCAGGAGGCAGTGTCTGAGGAATGCCACGAAGAGCGCCAGACTTCGAGGATGTGAGGAGGTGCATGGCAATGATAAAGTCGGTGGCATCGAGCGCTCCACGCTGCTTTGTGTCTGCAAGATTCCATATCCGCCCCAGAATCTCGTTGGGTAGCCGCGCACGTTCGAATATTTGCTTCGCAATCTCACCTAATTTGTCAAATTATTAGATATTGAAAACGCATACACGGTCTGGCAGGTCCAGCAGTGGTCATACCAGAAATCAAGCCATTCGAGGTATCTGACTTCTCAAACAGCGAGAGGAATTTAAGGGCATCTTCGGGTTGCAGCGGAGGTACTCGAATTGGGGGACCAGCACCAGGCGGGGGACTTGCGGCGCCAGACTCGGTGGGAGCGGGAGTGTTGTCGACGACAATGCCTTCAAATCGGGGCAGGGGACCGGCTTTAGGAGAAAGAAGTATAGTCAGCATTGGATCCTCTCAATCCTGCCTCTACCAGTGGAAGCACACGCCACACTTGCCGCAGGACTACTCACGCTGCAGAGCCAGTTCATCAGATGGTGTGCGCCCGGCCTGTGCATGTCCAATCAATCGAAGCACGATCCCAAAACCAGAGGGCGTCAGAAGACCCCTGTTCTCTTTATCCGCAAGCTGCCAGATCTAAAAGCCACGTCCAGGGAGTTAGTTCTCTCACATCCGGATGATCTTTATCCCCGAAGTATACACACCTCTCCAAGGGTGCCAGATGGAAGCTTTGTCTTTTCAAAGAAGGGTACGGCGATCTCGCCAGTGATGACACCCAGGTTGGTAGTATCCGCGGCCTGGAAGAGCTGGTAGAATACGCGCTTTTCCTCCGCGGTCAAGTTCAAGTTCGGGTGTCGTTGTGCTATCGGATATATCATTGTCAGTCTCCCTCGGTTCTCTTCCCAGGGTGTGAATTATACCAAAGGCGCCGAATGCGCGACGAGGGCGGCTAGAGCGGATGGGCAGCGAAGCTCGCGGCGGCCCTCCTGAGCTACACCAGAGCTACCAGAAAGCCATTGCAAGCTCCTCGGGCATTCGGAATCAAAGAGCGACTTACGAGTATCAGTCATGGCTGTGTGTTGCGAGGAGCGAATGCCCTCTCAGGACTAGATAGGATCCGAATAGTTGGTAGCCTGGGGGGCGAGGAGAAGGTGGAGGTACGGAGAAGCCGTCAGCTTAGCCGGAAGGGGCCACGATCATGGATTGGACCTAGCGCAGCTTCGAGATGCTGGATACGCGGCCGATAGAGGGCAAGCGACGGACTGCAGGAAAGAAGGGCAACTTTGGGGGAAGTAGAATGAAGTTCGGGGGGTGATTACTGAGTGGCTGGAGAGAGTCGATGTCGTAAAGGCACCCCCCAAGGCGGTCAGTTGGTTTAGTGTCCATTCCGCCCGACCAGGTCAAGGTCTCACCTCGTCGATATTAGCGCCGGTCACTATTGGAATAGTCATTTCATGGTAATTGGACAGTTTAGGTCAAACCTGGACTTGTTGGAATACAAAATTAATAAGGGGAGGAAGGGGCGCCCGCTTATGCGACCAATTTCAAGCTATGACATGTATTTCAAGCAACTTAGTACCACAATCGTAAGTCCTTGAACTGCCAGACATTCAATTCGTATACCGTTCGAGGTTGGTAATCTATCTAGTACTGTAGTATACTCAGTGATAGCCTAGTGGCCACCAATGGCCGTTCTTTGACTCGCGGCCGGGGGTCGCAAAACCTCTACCTAGTCGGTCCCCTTGATCCATTGCTATGTACCCAAGCCCTCCATCCCACCTAATGATGACTAGAATTTACCATTGAAATTCATCAGGTCATCAGCTCAATTGCTGTTGTATACTCTAAGTATGGATAGCCTGAAGCATGTTGAGGCTTCTCACAAGACGAAGTCCATCTCTCTCCTGTATCTTGATCATAGACTGGAAGGCGGGATATGATTATTCCTATATTTGCTGTCGGACTTCTTTTCTGTCTTAAAAAACACCATCTGCGCTGTGTCGTCATTCTCCACCCATGTTAGGCAGACTCCACAAGAAATCAAAGGAGTCCAAGGCGATTCCCAGAGAAATCCCATCACCATCCGAGGCAAATGGAGCAATACTAGGGTCAAATGGCCTTGCCAACCAATCATCCCCAGGAGCCATTGGTACATCAGTGATATTATCCTGCCCGTCTGCACCATTATTATCGGACTCGCGTATGACTTGATGAGGAAGATGTGGCCCAGGTGATAATGGAAATCTCGTCGCGCTCATATGAGTATCGCCAAGATCCGAGGTTGATGGAGAATGAGGTAGAATGAAATGCGCTCGAAATCGTGCCACATGCTTTTCAATTAACGCAGCGTATCGGAGAGAAAAATCCATGTCATCAGTTCCGGACGATCGCAAAGCAGCGATGCACCGATCCAATGTTCCTAGCGAGACCTGAAGATCCCACAGCTTGTCAGCAGATAGCGAGATACCGCACCGCGTTTCCCCTTTGAGTCGCAAGTAACGCGTATCCAATCGTACCGACAGAAGCGCAAATCGCGAGTAACCAGCCACGGCTTCCATACCGATCTGAAAGCCACGCAACCGCAATGCTTGCCACAAACGCTCCCAGATACGGCGGCGCAGTGAGGCCTTGGGCGTCGACAGAACTGTAGCCCATTGACTGGACGATCGTAGGAAGAAAATTCGACAGGCCGGCGAAGGAATAGTTGCAGCAGAAATGCAAGCAAGCGTGACAATAGTTTTTGTAGTCTGTCAATCCAGCTAGAACTTGTGCTTTGGATAGTGTGCTTTTCTTCGTTGTGTCGCGCGTTTCCATCCGTTCGATAGCGAACGTGCGTTCTTCCTCCGTCAAGAAATGTGCCATGGACGGCGAGTCCATCAGCATGAACCAGACGATCGGGGCCATGAAGATGGCTGGGGCACACTCTAAATATCATAGCATATATTAGTTTATCTCCACTAACATGCAAGGGTGGAGTAATTACCAATGAGAAAGATAAGTCACCATGGCTCCAAATGAGAATGGATCTGTGTGATGCCGTACGCCATCGCGCTGGAAATACAATTTGCGACTGGACTCGATCCGAGGAGTATGGAGAGACGCATGCCAAGTTCCCGGCGCTTGTAGCAGAGTGATAGGTAACAGGGGACGCCGGCTCCGAAGCCAGCCTCGAGAAGGCCCAGAGCGGCACGGCAAGCGATCAGTCCTCCCATATTGTTTACCAAGCCAGAACACATGGCCACGACGCCCCAACTGAAATCGTACACGTTAATTCTCAAAGATAGTGGCTTTAGAAGCCCCGTTCCATCAATTGACTTACAGTAAGCAAAGGATCGCGACATAGATATGTGCTGGGAAGATCTTCCAGCACAGAACCAGCCATTCCATGCACGTATAGACGATGTAGAAGGACAAGAGAACCCAGGACCACTACTATATCGTTATTAGATGCTCCAAAATTCCGTTCCCTGGTAAACATGCCTGGTAGCTGGAAAGACCAAGATCACTCTGGGCACCTGCAGTTTTTGCGTTGCTGATGTTGCCACGATCAAGGTAGGAGATGATATACAGAATCCAGACGAGCGGAAGAACCCATATATCGTACTAGGGCAATCAATACAAAGACAATGCATTCTCAACAATAATGGAAAATACTGACCTTTCGAACAATGCGGGCGCTCATGGCTCGCATATACTCCCTCTGTTCAAGAGCAAGAGTACCCCCTGCTTCGAGTTTATCCTCAGCCAAATTCTCCACATGGCTGGCAGAGGCCGGTTGAACTGGCTCCGTTTCTCCTGTTGCCATTAAGATACATATCAAAGGAAAATTGACTACTCCAATTTCCAGCGTTCACGACAAGAGCTTGTTGGCTTCGTGTATCTCAACTCGAGCTCAATTTCCCTTTATAAGTTTATAATCGTACTTGGACAGATTTACCCCGGATCCTTCCCCGCCGATCTAGATTTCCCAGACTTGGCATCGCACATCGAATAGGCTCATGACGCTGACATTAAACTTCAAAAGTTGTGGGGTTGAATCTGTGTCTATGGCTGGTTTAGCTCGGGCCGATGCGGATGGACGCGGGTTTCAGCGCCAGTTGCGCACCAGCCGTTTGTCTCGAGCCTGGTGGGCGATTCCCGAAGCCTCAACGCCTCATGAAGACTGACGCTTGAGCGTCCGGTTAGAATAGGCCTCTTTTCACATAGATAGAATGGAAGTTAAAACTGTAGAAGATATGTCTATCGGCCGAATTACTTGTCTGTGCGATAGGTGTATCTTGGACCCTGTGGCACATTGACACATATCTTGGCAATCCGACGGCACTTGGACATAGCTAGGCTTTGGCATTCCTGGAAGGTCGATGGCTTCTACAGTAGCTTTCGAATTCAGTTTGACCTCACACTCTTTGGACTTGACTCCCGGAAAATAAATCCTACATATGGCAGTTCTGATTGCTTTCTACAATAAATAGTTCACGTATCTTACAATACGACTTCACTAGCATGGGTAGTGTATTTTACACGAGATTAGCAGGGCATCACGGCAGCCCCTCTCTTTCGTAACCGTCAGGAACTTTCTAGCCATAAGGCTTGCGTCTTGCACCAGAAGCGAAGCTTATCTACAACAACCTTCATCGATCGATGGGTGGATCTGCCCTGGGCTCCATGCGCATCCCAATCTTGTTATCCGTTTTTGTGGGCAAATCTATGGCGTCTAGCTCGACACCTTTGCTCGGCTGGCAGTTAGACGGGAACAGTCGCTCAGCATGGGACATCCTGTGGACTTGTTTGTCAACAATTTTTGCCTGCACATGGACTCTGCTTCACATGGACGTTCCTCCCCGCAATATGTCCGTTGCGAGAAGTACAAGTATTAAATTACGTGTGTGGGTTCGAACTATCTTAGCCCCTGAGGTTACCTTTTTGCAAGCGACCGGTCAGCTCGCCGATGCGAAAAGGTTGCAGAAAGTGTGCAATAAGGCACAGAAAACACGAGACGCGGAATCATCAGAGCCAAAACTGTGGCTATCGCAACGGGCTAGGCCGCTTGAACAAGTCGAAAACTTCGATCACGTGGATCTACATCCAGTCCACACGGAATGGACGCTCCGTCAATGCTTCTGTGTCATCGCTGGCGGACTCGTGTTGCAGACGCAGGATCAATGGATCTACAAAATACAGCCCCGCGACATGAAACCTCTCATCCAGGCCGGTATGGTCCACTGTTCAGACTTTCGAGACCAGGATATCGAAGATCGAGCGAAAGCAGACTCGTTTGCAAAGTTCTTTACTGTCCTTCAAAGCACCTGGTTTTTATGCAACATCATCACGAGATGGGCCTATGATCTACCAGTATCCCCCATCGAAGTATCAACCGTGGCCTATGTGGCCTGTGCTATCTTAATATATGGGGTATGGTGGTATAAGCCCAAAGACATGGGCACGTCTATCGCAGTCCATCTACGATGTAACCGTGATGATATGCCAATACAGGTCCGCAATATGATAGAGAGGAATTCCACCGTGTGGGTTCATGTGCGAGCGCTCGTCAACGAGGATAACTGGGTGTCTGTCTTATGGAAGGTCTTTCGAACGCCTTTCATACACAGAGATATTGACCATCTCGAGACGATCGATGAGGCAGTCGGTAATGATCTTATCAGCACGCCATTTGAAATCTTTATCTTTGATGTGATATGCAGTCTCACTGCTCTTCTTTACTGTGGGATTCATGTGGCCGCGTAAGTCAGGACTTTTCCTTTTCTTTTGCCGCGACCGTCCCTATAAGCTAACGAGCTAACGGTACCTTTTTCCCTGATAGATGGGATTTTCCTTACCCAACTCGCGCCGAGCTGATATCTTGGCGTGTCTTTTGCCTCACATCTATTGTTATGGTTTTCGTCATATGCCTAGTGGGTGGTCTCGTAGACGCTGCGACGGTCCCTAACTCAAAGGAGCGGCTTCCTTCCTTCATGGTTGGCTTCGCTCGCCCAGCCGCTCTTAGGACCATGCTCGTCACTACTATTGTCAGCTTTAACTTCTACATTATTGCACGCTTGGGGATTATAGGCCTTGTCTTTTCGTCGTTGAGAGCTCTTCCAACTGGGTCCTACACTACTGTAGGATGGGTAACTAGCATACCACATTTCTGAAAAGGAACGCGTCAATTATGGTGATACATAAATCCTTGATCTAATGATATCCAAATCACAAGATTTTGCTTAAGCAGGGCACTGCAGTCACTTGACCGAGAGGACCTAAATATAATAAGCCATCCCTGGACATCAGCATGTCTTGTGTCCATCTTTGAGCTATGCAGCGCTTCTTGTAGACTAGGCTGGCACGTAATCCGAGTTGTGTTCCCACGTTTCATGTTTAATAGATTAAGATACATGATCGACGTGACATGGAGTCATTCTAAAAAGTAACCAAAATCCTTGGAAAGCCTCTTGTTAGCTTACGGGGTGAGCCAGATTAGATTGGATACTGGACACGAATGAGACCCGCCGCGGATGACGAAACCCATGGAGATAAAGTAACTATCGTTCCCTACCAGGATGCTCTATACTGTGTATGATAGTTCTGTATGATGACTAGCGGGCGTATAGAGATACACGAAGGCTGTGTTGCATATGGGAAGCCCGGAATGGCAATGTTGTACTGGCGGGAGGGCGGAAAGCGGGTGGACGATCTTTCCAGATCACCGAGATTAATCCTAGGAAATTCGATGTATCATTACATAGACTACCTCCCGAGCAAAGAAGTGTGGCTAGCCTTGCGGTGTAAACACAACAGACCAAGACCAGACAACCGGAAATCTCATAGCTCAATGGACCAGGGATATCCATGTTTTGAAGGGCTAAGGGGCTCACTTTTGTAGTTACACGCATCATCAAGAAAAAGGAGAGACAGAGACACGGGGAGATCGATGGAGAGAGAGAGAGAGAGAGAGAGAGAGAGAAATAAGATAGGAACGAGTGGAAAAACTTATCGCTGCTTCAGGGATATTAAAGATATATCGAACAACAAAACCAGTACACATCGTCGGACGGAGACCTAGGTTCCTCTATTTGCAAGAGAGTCCGATAGATGTAGGCAGGCTAGCAAAAACTGAGCTGTAAAAGGTCGGAGGTTTTGTCCCAAACAAACAGCAGAAACCAAACCCCATCCTCCGCAAACAATCACAGAGCATACCTAATCTAGTACTCGGGCTCCAGCTCCTCCTCCTCCAGCGAGTCGCTGGCAACCTCCTCGTAGTCGCGCTCCAGGGCAGCGAGATCCTCACGAGCCTCGGAGAATTCACCCTCCTCCATACCCTCACCAACGTACCAGTGGACGAAGGCACGCTTGGAATACATGAGGTCGAACTTGTGGTCGAGAGCGGACCAGGCCTCGGCGATGGCAGTGGTGTTGGACAGCATGCAGCTAGAGAGAGAGCATCGAGTTAGCAACTGTTTCACGAATACCAATATGGATATCTTCCTCGAATTAAGGTCGTCAAAACTTACACAGCGCGGCTGAGGTTGGCAAGGTCGCCGTTGGGGACCTGCTGGGGAGGCTGGTAGCAGATACCGAGCTTGAAGCCAGTAGGGCACCAGTCGACGAACTGGATGGTGCGCTTGGTCTTGAGGGTAGCCACGGCACTGTGGGCATCCTTGGGGACGACGTCACCACGGTAGAGCAGGCAGGTGGCCATGTACTTGCCGTTGCGGGGGTCACACTTGACCATCTGGTTGTTGGGCTCGAAGCAGTTGGAGGTGATCTCGGTGACCGAGTGAGCCTCGTGGGAGGCCTTGTCGGCAGAGATGACGGGCGAGTAGGCGACCAGAGGGAAGTGGATACGGGGATAGGGGACCAGGTTAGTCTGGAACTCGTTCAGGTCGACGTTCAGGGAGCCGTCGAAGCGGAGCGAGGCAGTGATGGACGAGACGACCTGAGCGATCAGGCGGTTCAGGTTCTCGTAGCTGGGGCGCTCAATGCCGAGGTTGCGACGGCAGATGTCGTAGATGGCCTCGTTGTCGACCATGAAGGAGCAGTCGGAGTGCTCCAGGGTAGTGTGAGTGGTGAGGATGGAGTTGTAGGGCTCCACAACGGAGGTAGCGTTCTGAGGAGCAGGGTAGACACAGAACTCCAGCTTGGACTTCTTGCCGTAGTCGACGGACAGACGCTCCATCAGGAGAGCACCGAAACCGGAACCGGTACCACCACCGAACGAGTGGAAGACCAGGAAGCCCTGGAGACCAGCGCAGGAGTCGGCCACACGGCGGACCTTGTCGAGGACCTGGTCAATCATCTCCTTGCCAACGGTGTAGTGGCCACGAGCGTAGTTGTTGGAAGCATCCTCCTTGCCGGTGATCATCTGCTCGGGGTGGAAGAGCGAGCGGTAGGTACCGGTGCGGACCTCATCGACGACATTGGGCTCGAGATCGCAGTAGATGGTGCGAGGAACGTAGCGGCCAGCACCTGTTTCAAGTGGAGACACCAAGAATGTTAGAAGAACCATGCCAGAAGCTTTTTCGAACAAATTTCCAAGGCGGGGGGAGGGAGGGGAAGGGGAATGAGGGGGGGGCTGTTTAATGGCTTGTGCCATCATACAACCAACCCCTCTGAACTGAAGGCCCCTAGAAAAATCGAAACCACGTTGGAGATTCACACGTACCAGTCTCCGAGAAGAAAGTGCTGAAGCCGTGGTCGGGGTCGGCCTTCTTGCGCTCATCGGTGAGGTGACCATCGGGCTATCAACAGCGTTAGTCGCGGGTACTCGCTTCCCGAGCAAGAAAAAGGGGGTCACGCTGCCCAAGTTGAGATTGGGCGCGCGACGACGAGATTAGAATCTCCCAACGTACCTGGATACCGTGCTCCAGACAGTACAGCTATAGGATTGACAAGTTAGTTTGTCCCGTAATCGATTCGTTGACACGATGGTGGATGATATTTTTGTTCCTTACCTCCCAGCAGGAGTTGGCAATCTGGCAACCGGCCTGGCCGACTGTAGTCACAACACACGTTAGCGCGTCGGAATTCCATCAAAAAAAGATTCGACTTCGATGAGGAGAAGGCCTCATCAAGACCACACGTACCGTTCAAGCTGATAATCTCTCTCATTGTGTTGGGTGGGTGATTTGGAAGGTGTGAAAATTAAGGAGGGGGTGAGGCAGGACCCAATAACAAACACGGGACCTGGGCACGATTCAGGGGGTTAGTTTTGCTTTGGCCTGGGGATCGACCAAGGTTGACACGCGAAGGGGGAGGGGTGTATTTTTTTGGGGAGAATAAAATTGACTGGCAAGGGGTGAGAATAGAAGGGGGGGGAGAGGAGATACACACCAAGAATGGGAGGAATGGGGAATCTCGAGGTCGAAGAAGAAGAGCAGAGAAATGTTGTGGAGGAGGGCGTCTGTGCTGCTTGCCGCAGGGCCAGGGCCAAAAGGGCCAAAGGGGGAGGGGGAGTTCGTTGTTGATCCGTTCGTTGGGTCGCGTCGGGCGCTCTGATTGGCTGCTGCGCGGGCGACTTGGCCGCGGGTCACCGCCTTTTGGCCTGCTGTTGGTCAGGTGACTGGGAACAACAACAACACACTCGAGGCCATGTGACTTGCCCGGGAAGAGGGATGATATATTACAATACTAGAATATAGCAGATAGCAGATAGCCTATAGAATAGATAACATAGTCAAGAACTGAAGCAAAAAACCATCTCGAATGTCCAATTCCACAATGGCATGACTACTCCAAAAACACACGCTATTCCAAGAGGTGTACATCCTCTCCCAATCCAGTAATCCGAATCCCTCACCGCCAAGTGGCTGCTGATAAAACACCCAATCCCAAGCTCGCAAATCCTCCCAGCCAAAATATATCTCCACCATCACACCGGAACCACCACTATAGACATGATACATCCACCAATGTCCAAGGTTACCAACATGACCCAATGACCCAAGAATAACAACCATCACCACTACATTGAACCCATGTCATCCCCAACGTAAATCTACCTATACTCCCTTCCAAACGGGCAGCAACCCCAAAAAAAGCAAAAGCAAGCATGCACCCTATCACCCTCAGCCTCCTGGGCATACTCCTCCTCCCCCTCCTCACAATCCCCGTCCACGCCAACGTGGAGAAAACCATCTTCCTGGGCCCACCAGCAACAACGATCCCCTCCGAAGCACCAGACCTCGACGACCTCGGTCTGGAACGACTCACGCCTCAGAATGGAGTCGTGCGCACCCAGGTGAACGCGTCGTTTCCCTCCGCCGAGGCCCCCGACGGCACAGAGTCCTGGTTCTTCCTGGAGAACCTCACGCCGGGACAACGATATGAAGTGCGGATATGCTGGTTAGCCACGGTAGGTACCTCCCTCTTTCTCCGGTAGATCACTCTACAACTACAATCAACGACCCCATCCCGCCCAGACCTATCAATATTCAATTCCACTTCCAATTCGATTCTAACCTGTTATATACTAGCAACCAACATCCTTCACCCTAACAACCCACCCCCTCCCAACAACCCTCGAAGACCAAACCTTCCTCACATCCCTAAGCAAATTCTCTGCTTCCCGCCTCTCATCCCCAGACACAAACTTCCAAACAAACGCCCTCAACCGCAACACCAACGCCGGCCCCTCCCCGGACCCCGCGCCAACCACCTCCTCAGTGCTCTTCCTCCGCGTCCGCGCCGCAGCAGACTACTTCTCAAAGGATGAGGCGTTGATGCGGGACGTCCCGCCCGTCGCGGTCGATGTGATTCTCGATCCGTTTCTGTGGAATGCTTTCCCGCGGTCGTTGGTGCCGACTGCGGCGTGGGTTGTTGTTGTTGCTGTTTTGGCGGGGGTGGTTGCGCGGTGGGTGGTTGGGGAGGTGGGGAGGGTTATTGAGGATGCGAGGGTGGAGAGGGAGAGAGAGATGGAGGGCGAGGGGAAGAAGGAGAAGTAGGCTAGGTAGGGTTGGATTTGTCAAGGGTTTTGTTTTTGTATGATTAGAGAACTCCGGCGTTGGTATATTTAGGGGTGTTTTCGGACTCAGGGATACAGTATGTATATTAGATGAGCGGTTCTTATGCTTCTTATGCTTCAAAGGGGAAATTTGATATCTGATTACCAGCCAATACCAGGGCATCGAGCGATTCCTATCCAGATATTGTTTCATGCACAATAGATCATGCCAGGTATACCAATTCAACAATGAGAAACATACACATTAAATAACACCAATTAAGCCAATGGGAGATACATGGTGGGCAGATACAGGAGGGGGAATATAATATGTCGAAGCAATGTGCAATGGATAAACCAACGAGTACGTGCACAAAACACAGCAAGAAACCACTCAACAAAAACGGGCAATGTCAACTCCAGCGCTGAAAAAGCCAGATCCAATCTTCTCTCCTCTTCCCGTCTTCCAATTCTGGCCCTCTTGTCAGCCACCCACTCGACTCTATCATGAGCATGTTCCCATATCCCAGTAGTAACAGCGTATTATCCACCCAAAATCCCACCGAGATAATACCAGTTCATAAATTGCCATGAGATCGTTAAAGATCGTTAACTTCTTCAGAAATGCGTCTGAACCATACCAACGAGATGGCGCGCCAGATTAATCTTCAAAGAAGTTCAGCACCGCACGGATACCCTTCGAGCCGAGACCGTGAGCTGGGTAGGAAATATAGAGCGGCTCCTCGGTAGCGCCCAGCTTGGCACGGAACTCGCTCTTCCGCACGAGATGGAACTGCTTGGCCAGAGCCTCGTAGGTGTGCTCCAGCATCTTGATCTTGGTGCCGTGCAGGTTGTGGCCGGGAATGAGCTTGCTGGTTGCACCGGCACCGAAGGTCAGACCACTGACACCGCCCTTGGAGGCGGTCTGGATAGCCTGTGTAACGATGTACTCGATGACACCGCTCGGCGAGTTGGGGAAGTCCAAGCTGTACTTGACCTGCATGCCGTGGGAGGGGGCGAGCATCGCCAGCGCGACAAAGGCACAGATGACGCCTTCCTTGTCAAGGGCGTAGAAGTACCAGCGGTGCTCAGAGTCGATCCACGGACGAATCTCGGACAGATGCACCTGAGTGCCCTTGCGGTTGGAGAGCCACTCGGCAATGCGTTCATCGATCTTCTTGCGGATATTCTCGGGAGGGAGTTCGCCCTGGCTGAACGAGACAACCTTGATGCCTTCGTTCTCGGCACGGCGCAGTTTGCGGGCAATCTCGCCGTCGGAGGCGGCCTGGTTGCGAGACGGCTCAACACGCTCTTCGGCAATGCAAGACAAGCTGCGCCATCCTAGGCGCTCACCAAGAATGGTCTCGACCTCGGGAGAGCAGAGAATCCAGACTGGCTTGTACTTGGTGTCCCGTCGCAGCCACTGCAGGAACTGTGTGATGGTACGCGCGTACTGAGATGGATCGCACGCAGGGTTACCGGGGATGATAACATAGTTGCTGCTGCTGGGCACGTAAGCCACGGCAGCACCGGTGGCCATATCACGCCAGATCTTGAATCGATCATCGAACCAGGAAGTGGATGTGGCATCTCCATAGTTGGCGACTAGCTTCTCCAGCGGCTGCAGCTCGCTGGCATCCGCAGCCACGCGAGACCGCTCCTGCCAAGGCGGCTCGATGGTAGAAGCCTCGGGGTGGCGAAGCTGCTGAACGGGTGGTTTGGCGGGCAGACTCTTGGGGTCACGGTGGAAGAGCGAGGTAAGGCGAATGTTGCCCACCTGAAGCAGGAGCATCAGGAGACGTTCGAGACCAACACCGGCACCTGCATGGGGTGGGGCACCCCAGCGGAACGCCTCGAGATACTCCTCCATATCCTCCGGGTTGATGCCCGACCTGCGCATGTTCTCCTCGAGCATGTGCGGCTCATGAATGCGCTGGCCACCAGACACAATCTCCTGGCCGCGGATGAACATGTCGAACGAGTTGGTAAATTTGTCATCGTCGGGATCCGGCATAGTATAGAAGGGACGGGCACCGCGGGGGAATTTGTCGAGGACGTAGTAATCAGTGCCATACTTCTCCTTGACCAATTGGCCCAGACGAATCTCATCACGAGTGGCCAAATCCTCATCCACTGGAAGAGGGTTGCCCTCCTCATCCCGCCAACCCGAGTCATTCAGCATTTGAATGCCATCGGTGAAGCGGATAATGGGTGTCTTCTCCAACCACACAACGTCCTCAGAGGGGAACTGGTGCTTAACCGTGTCAATCTCGCGGCGATACTTGCTATAGACGCCGCTCAAGATGTTCTTGATGGTAGCATCCAGGGTCTCGAGCATCTCATGATAGTGCTCCTCGATGGCCATTTCAATATCCAGACCCGTATACTCGGTCAAGTGACGATGGGTATTGGAGTTCTCGGCACGAAAGACGGCACCGATCTCATACACACGACCAAAGTCGGCGGCAATGGCCATCTGTTTGGCCAACTGGGGGGACTGGGCCAGGAAGGCAGGGCGACCAAAGTAATTGACCTGGAAGACACTGGCACCGGACTCGGTGGCTGCACCCTGCAGCTTGGGGGTGTGGATCTCGATGAATCCTCGTTCATCGAGGGCACTACGGAAGAGGTTGCAGGTTGCCGACTGCAACCGGAAGATGGATTGCGAGGTGGCCGTCCGAAGGTCCAGCAAGCGATTACTCAGGCGGGTGCGGTCGGGGATATGGCTGCGACGACCTTCAGCCTTGTCCTCCTCGTTGGTGCGGATTTCAGCCTCGTAGACACTGAATGGAATGGGCTCCTCGCGCTTGACCAGCAGATGCACGGAATCGATAGCCAGCTCGACGTCGTGGATGCTGCAGCCTAGAACGGGTACCTCGGGTTTCTGGACCCTGCCACGGACACGCAGGAAGGAGCCCACGCGGAGGTGCTCCACCCACGCGATCATGGCAATGGAGGTGGCGCCCTGGCGCTCATGCAAAACACCCTGGAAGGTGAACAGCTGCTGGCGGAACACGAGGAAGACCAGCTTCGCGCTCATGCGACGCACCACGTGCAGGCGTGCCGTGAAGTAAACCTCCTGCCCCTCCATAGCCGGGGTGATATCATCCAGCGGGGTCCGCGACTCGCGCGGGCGGCTCTGCGACTGCATGAGTGGCAATTCGCCGTAGCGGGTCTTCATCTCGGGGGTCTCGTCTGCAGCGGCCTTGGCGAGTTCTTCCTCCTTCCGTCGGTGGTCCGACTCGGAGAAGTGCTCTTCGCTGAGACGAGAGCGTTCATTGCGGCGCTGCTGGCGCACCAGGCGTTTTTGCTGATTCTTACTCAGGTTGCCCGTGGTCGATGAATCATCCGAGAAGTCCTCGGAGGAAGAAACATAGTCCTTCTCCCGGAAAAAGGTGCTTAGGATGCTGCGACGAGGGGATGCGGTGGCGGAAGGGGAGCCAAGAGAATCACGCGAGGTCGAGGCGCGCGGTTTGGAGGGGCCCAGAGAGAGCGAGCGAACGTGGGAGCCCGACGAGTCATCGTCATTGACATGGCCCCGAATGGCCTTGGAGAGGGCCCGTTTAATCGACATGGTGGGGCGATTGCCTCTATTCTTTTTTTTTTTTTTCTAAAGCATGAGACAAGGGTAGGTAAGAAAAAAGGGCTCAAGAAGAGGGGCAGAGTAGTGAAGATAAGAAAGTAAGCACAGACAGGGGAGGGGAGGAGGAGGAGGGACGGAGGGGGATTCAAGCTTGTTCAGGCGGGTTCGGAGCCTCGGGGGGGGTTCTGGACATGAACAGGCTTGAGGGCAGCTTGAATCGCGGATGGAGCCGAGCCAGTGTGGGGGGGAAGGGGAATGAGGAAGGCTGCACGCGGCGATCCTTTTGTTTTGCGTGTGCTGGAATGAAAGAGGGACTGACCGTTGGATAAGGACTCAGGTACTGGTGAGGGGAGGATATACAACCGGAAAAAAAAAAAGAAGAGTCAGGAAATAGACTGCTTCGGAGGGGGTCGGAGAGAGAGATAAACGAAGCTTTCCTCAGGCGGAGATGTTAAATAAACTACCGTACGGTCCCAGGGAGACTCTTCTTTTTTTCGGTCTCGGGCGGGTCCCCAAGAGTCGAGATATGACATCATGGCGGGCACCCCGATTTCCCGGATTCTTCATGGATTGCCTGGTCAAGAATTAATGTTGGATGGAGCATAATCAGAATGAAGGATTGATCCTTCAGATTCGGACTATTATTATGATGATGACTCCTGGTTTTTTCGGGCTGCACTCGTACCCTGTTTTTCGTGGGCGTACCAGAAGTAACAGGAACTAGTCCTCCTCGGCGTATGCTTCTGGATGCTTATGCGTCCACTCCTTCGGTACCCTAAGAAAGTATCTCCTCTCGACCCTCCGAGACTCGAGCCATGTGCCAATGACCGAGGCACACTTTCGCCAAGTTGGTTCACTTTCTCGGATCTAGTCGTATGCATCTCGTTTCTCACAGAACTCAGCAACAAGTACCCAGTCACCGATTATTTTCCACATTCCACCACTCACGAAGACTGGAGTTCCCGCTTCTCATCCGCAATGCCAGCCTTGCGGAGGGCCAGACTCTGGACTTGGCAGCGCTAACAGCCTGAGGTGTCCACTGGCCCCGATAAGCCGTTGATCATGACGCCTCGTTGGACTCTCCAAGCCTTCCTTCTTCGACTTGGACTCTCTCCCGTCACTCATTCTCCATTCGAGGGTCTGGGCGCTTGTTTAACTTCTGTTTTCCTCCCGTTTCGATTCCCCTCTCCTTCGTTGCCACTTCCCAAATCCCTCCTCTCTCCCCTTCCCCATCTCTCTCGCAATTGCTCGACCCTGGAAAACTTAAATCTCCTATTTGGCCGCCTCCCCGGCCTTTCTCGGATCGCCGACCATCCCGGATGGTCCACCGACTGACCGACTGACCGACCGACATCTTTCCTCATACAGAACCAGTCACCAGTCACCAGTGGACTCGCCATATCGCCCCCGATTGTCCAGTTGTCCCCAGCAAAAGATGGCCTCCTCACGCTGGTGGCTCTACGTGCAGGCCGTATTCTGGCGCTTCCTCATGCGCATCGGCATGTTCCTGCATACCCTCGCGCCGCCCTGTCCACCCCGACCGTTGTTCACTCGTACCGTGCAATCGGATTCCCACGGCCATTCCGTGGTGATCCATTTCTACTGTCCACCTGACTACTACCAGCAACGCCGCCGGGGTCACCGCTACCCGGTCGCCGTCAACTTCCACGGCGGCGGATTCACGCTCGGTTGCGCCACCGACGATGCCCGCTGGTCGGCTGCGGTCGTCGAACAGGTCGGCGCGGTCGTTGCCAGTGTGAGCTACCGGCGGGCACCGGAGCATCCCTTCCCTGCCGCAGTTGACGACGGCGTCGAGGCTCTGCTGTACCTGGCGACACATGCCGCAGATCTGGCCCTGGATGTGAGTCGCGTGGCACTGAGCGGGTTCTCGGCGGGCGGCAATCTGGCCATCACTGTCCCGTTGCGGTTGCGAGGCCGAATCTCGACAGAGGTCAAGGAGCACTTTGGCCGGGCGGACTCGACACAGCAGTTGGTCAATCAGACCAGCGACCTCAACATCGTGGCGGTGTTCTCTTGGTATCCCATTTTGGACTTTCTCGAGTCGCGCGATCATCGCCGGGCGATGAGTATCATGCCAGATAAGACATTACCCACGTTCTTTACCAGTCTCTTTGACGAGGCATATCTACCAGACTTGAATGACCGTTCTTCTGCCTTTGCATCGCCGGTGCGCGCCTCGGATCGCATTCTCTGCGAAGCTCTGCCGCACGATGTCTTCCTGTTCATTTGTGAGTGGGACATGCTCATGAAGGAAGGACAGACATTTGTGCGGCGTCTCGAAGGCCTAGGCAAGCGGGTACGAGCCATGATGATTGAAAAGGCCAAGCATGCTTGGGACAAGTCGGCCAATCCCTTCCGCGACCAGGGCAGCGTAGACATCTACTACCGCGATGCCTGCGCGGATATGAAGGCGATTTTTGATCGGTGATTCACTTGGTTTCTTGTTCTTTCTTCTTCGTTGTTTTATAGAAGCATGTTGGGATAGCACCGCGCGGAGTCACTCTGTTTCTTTTGGCGTTCGGTCCCTGGGCATTCACGGCGTTTTGTACACAGCACTTGCCCTTCATACCGTGTCTTTCTATAGCATTTATCATTCCCACCGCTTGACGTTGGAACCAACAACTCCTCATCCCACTTCAATTCTCTTCCTCCAACGCGGATCACATATCCATCCAACTCAGAACCCAGTCAACCCACAGCCCCAACTTATCAACCACTCCATAGATCCGGCACATCGTCAGACTACACAGGGAGGTATGTGCCCTACCGGCCTTAACCACCACCATTATTGGCTGGTCCCTCGACCCGACAATGACAAGCTCAGCAGCACTAGTCTACAGCAAGCAAACGCCCTGACCTCGGGATCGGCAGATCTGCATGTCACTCGCACCTCCAAGCCTGGGGTTATGCAAAGCGTTGTACGGAGATGTTCAAAATACCGTAGTACGAAGTATATTATTAGCTCTCAGTGGGCGGGGTGATGTCACAGGATATATTGAATTGTCAGTTCCTTGTTCCATTAAAGTCTACACGCAGTAGGCCCCCTACAGGGCTAGTGAGCCCCGGGGTCCAAGGGGAGGCTCCATCGTCGTCAATATTATTGACCTATGCAGATCTGGTTGCGCGGAACCACTACCACCTTGTTTCTGGAAGACCTCAGAGGCTCGTGCCCAGCACTCCGTTCTCCACCCCGCTCCACCTCACCCTCACCAAGCACTGGCCTTCATGCTAACAAACCTGCGTCCACCGCAATTTATCTTACCGTATTCCCTCCGATTTATGAGCCTCTCGCTCCATATCAAGGATCTAGTTGCCACCTAGCCCATTATGGAAGCCAAGGTCCCTCTATCCCATGACGACTAATACGGTCGGATGGATATGCGCCTTGCCTGTGGAGACAGCAGCTGCGAAACTGATGTTGGACGAAATTCACCCCCCCCCCCCCCCCCTCCTTACCCCGCTTGCCGATGGATCAAAATACCTATATTCTTGGAAGCATCGGAGAGCATAATATCGTTATTGCTAGTTTACCAAGTGGCTCATATGGCAATACATCAGCGACAACGGTCGGGATACAGTTACTGTCCAGTTTTCGTGCTGTCCGTATTGGGGTAATAGTCGGTATTGGCGGCAGAGTACCAAGCAGCAATGCAGACATTCGACTCGGGGATATCGTAGTAGGCCAGCCATCGGACACGTCTGGAGGAGTGATCCAGTACGATCTTGGAAGAGCTCTGAGCGGCGGCCAATTCAAGCGAACAGGGATACTCAATCGACCTCCGAAAGTCCTCTTAACCGCGCTCTCGACCTCCGAGCACATCAATTTCACGGAGGATAGTCGGGTCGTCGAATTCTTTTCTAACGCCCAAACCAAAATGGCGCCTCACGAGGCGAGATAGTTCGCGCGACCAATACAAGAGGATTGTTTATTCGAAGCAGAATATGATCATATCGCATCTAATACGTGTATAAATTGCGATCGATCTAAACTGTTTCCACGACCACCCCCACGAGACCACCAAGAACCAGTTATCCACTACGGACTTATCGGATCTGCAAATCAGGTTCTAAAGGATGGCCGGTGGCGAGATCTGCTAGCTCGAGACTTAGGAATACTGTGTGGAGATGGAAGCGGCAGGGATCATGAACGACTTTCCATGTCTGGTCATTCGCGGGATTTGTGACTACGCCGACTTACACAAGAACAAAGAATGGCAAGGATATGCGGCAGTCGTGGCGGCGGCCTATGCGAAGGAGCTTCTCTTGGTCGTTCCAGTGGATCAAGTTGAGAGTACTCCAGCCGCGCGAGGTATGCTAGCAAATTCTGGTGAGAGACTGGATCTCAATCTATAGTACTTCTTACCTATTTGGAGCCAATTGCTGAACGATCTTTACATATAGAGTTCGATCCTTCGATGTCCCCGAGAACTCTAGTTCAATACCGCAATCTATGCTAGTATCCGGTACCATTTCAACCATACAACCAAGTCATGCTCCGTCACGATCGCAAAGCGGTCTACCGCAAGATCGTCTCCCACTGCAACCACCGCAGGAAGCATCCTTCAGGCCATCCTTCAAACTGACCGTGCGTAGCCTTTTTTATGAGGTATACTCGGTGGCCTTTTCTCCCGTTAGGCAGCTGGTGGCGTCCAGCGACAATAAAGGCAATATCCGGCTCTGGAATACCGCTACAGGTGCGATCCAGCAGAAATTTACGCACCCTCAAGGAACGGACCCAGGTTCCCTTGACGTGCTGTGTGTGGCCTTCTCCCCCGATGGCCGGCTGCTGGCGTCCGCCTCTAATGATTCGCCTCCTCCTGGCAGGATGAAGCTTCACTGGAAGGTCTAGCACTTGAAAAAAGTCATGATCCAGGATTGCGGGATCAATGTGCGCTACGATCACCTGGGTCTCTAGGGTGGAACTCCGGTGCCTATGCTCCACGGTAATACTTTGCTGTGGAGTTCTGAACTCGGGCAGTATCGATTGAGATAGTGACTGAGCTTCAGTATTTAAGCATACTTCTTTCGGCGGCCGTGCGGGAAGAGGATATCGTTAAGCTTGATCCACATAAGTATGCATATTTGGTACGTCATCTGATAGGGAAGTTGGGGTGGCTGTGATTAAGACAGGGCTTAGGTAACGACAATTTCCGGCAGGCATATTCAGTGCTTCTGGTTTGTCATGGAAAGGGTTCCAGGGCTAGAACGAATCCAGGCGAAAACTTGTACTTGTCATCTTGAGGAAAATGGATGTTTGGTCTTGAGAATGGGTAATTCGGGGCACTCGTGTAACAGGGGACGGAGGCCAGGGATGGGGGAAGGGTAGGATTAGGTTGAAAATGGTGGGAGAGAATCAAGAGGAGTAAGACTTTGATCTGAATGTCAAGAGTAGGGGGGAAGAGTAGCGTTATATACATAGAGCTATGACTAGCGGAACTCGCGAATTCACCCGTAGCCAAGTTCCTCTAAGCTGAAGCTGATTCGACTTATCAAAGAGCATCGGTCGCAATTGCCTAGTGGCAACTATATAGGTTACTGGAAAGGCTCTGCGGCCATTAATTCATGACGAAGGTACTTCCGAATTGTTCATTGATCGCTATACGCCAAGAGAAACAGGGTCTGGAACAGGATCGTGTGACTCGCGTTATAATCCACTTCTGGTCCTATGATATTGAGAGAGGCAGGATTTGAAGCTGGGATTGAATAAGGTATTTTCGCTATTAGCTTGTTTAATAAGTCTATCGTTTCAGAAGAGCATTAATAGGGCGAGAAATTAAATCCTGCCTACTTACTAAGTAATCTTCCTAGTTCTTCTGCGGAGAAAACCCTATCTTATTTACCCTATTCCCTGATTAACTAATTCGATCCTTAACGATCTTATTAATATTACCTATCTAGGCTAGAGAATGCTTAACACTCTAAGATAACCTTAGATGTTCTTGATTTCTCTATATAATATTTACCTTATACCTTATGTTATAAATACTACCGTATTTACTATCTAAATTGAACAAGTTTGATATCTTTTTTATCTCAGGAAGAATTATAGACCATCTGAATCAACCTTCCACTGCTTGATTCTTCTGTCTGATCAGCCGATTGCGATCTATCTTGTTTCGTCTCTCTTCCATAATCGTGGCACTAAGATTAGTGCGCACGAACGATCTCTACCACGGTTTTATGCACCAGACGTAATTCCAACAAAGAGGAAGGCAGATTAGTAAGTAGCGAATTAGTAGAAGAAGATTGAATTAAATTAGTGGATAGGTTATACGATTCTAGTAGGGTAGTAGGTAGTTATATAGTCTAGTAGTAGTAGAAGATAGATGGGAAGAAGGAAGGATATATATAAATAAGAAAGGGAGGGTGGTTAGAATCGTAATTAAATAGCGTGACGGGCTTAGTAGAAATTAGGTAGAATCAGGCTAAATCAGGCCGAAATCAGGCACTATATAGTACGAGCAGATTTCCTATAAAGTGCGAATAGTGTTACCAATAATATCACTCTACTACCTTCTCGATTGCCTCTTTATATCCTGAAACAACTTATTTCCCAACACCCGACAGAAGATACCTCGTATCCCCTACCACTCCTTCAGGTAGACGCGGGGGTAGGCGTAATAGACGCAGCCTCAGGGCGGCAAGAACTAGAATCCTCCCACTGACATAACACAGACCCCCACAACCTCCACGGGCCCAGGTTAACCGATGACGCCTCGGCACTGTAATCCGACGGCCGGTCGAAGAAGATATCTCCGTTACCACTGCAGTCTGTTGAAAGGAAGACAGTGCATTTCTGAGTCCCGCAGTTCCATAAGTCCACTTGGATACTCGTTGCCTGGTCTGACAAGATATCGGTGCATTGCCCGTTCTGCCTATAATCTGCTAGCCAGATATAGTTGTGTGTACCGGTAGTATCGTCCCAGAGGTGGAGCCGGGCGAAGAGGTCTTCGCTCTCGGGTATACTGTGGTCCTGGGCTAGGGCGGTCGGGGTCAGGAGGGCGAGGAAGGTGGTTATTGTTAGGGTGATAAGCTTCATGGTTGGTTGGTGGTAGAGGCTAAGGGGGGTTAGTATTAGTAGATAAGGTAGATACTAGTAAGGAATTTATAGGGAATTAAGCTCACAATAAGAATATAGATATATAGTTCGTCTGTAAAGGGGATATTATCAAACACAGTGATGTTCTATTTCTTTAAGTCTTATATAAGTTTCCATACGGCCGTAGCTATATAAGATTCTATAATAATTACTATTCGCAAGATACTGCCAAGAGTGTAGGTCAGGGGTAGGCTAACCGTAAAAGGTATAGCGTTATGAGAGTCCTGTCTACGGAAGTCTATTTTAAAAGTTTTGCGTCGACCTACTATATGCGCTAGTAAAAAGCTTCGAGGAGACCGACGATGACGACAAATGCCTGCCATAGAGGTCGCGAGCTAGGGTAGTAAGAGGACGAGAGTGAGAGATTGCACCACTGTACCCGTGCAGAAAGACCTATTCTAGCTCAGGAAAGGATATAGTCTCAAAATGCCTCGGGTGTTTCTGATGTAAAAAAACGATATGCTAGATTGAACAGGTTCGAGATCTAGGTAATGATTCCCTAACGGCTATTACACACGATTATTTTGATTGATTGCAAACATTGACTCATCTTAGTATAGACTAACGCGTGTGGCAGCCTCTCTAGATCCGTTATCCTTCCACCCTATATATTTGTCAACTCACCTCGCGGTTAATTAGAAGATCAGTAGAATTGACACATTGTTGGGATCCGCTTTGCGAATAGCAGTCAGCAGCGTTAGCGGTAGCAGCCAAGAGGGTCGCGACTGGCAAAAGAACTCCGTAGAACTGCATTGCTCGTGATGGAAGAATGATTTTTAAATAAAAGTGCGAAGTGCGGATGCGTATTTTGTTCTGGATGGACTTGCTAGGCTGGAATTGAAGTAGCAAGTAGTGCATGTTATATAAATGTTTGGAGGTTTCCCCGATCTCCTTACGCGCGTAGTAGATCCAAACATAGGAGGTGTCGATCCCCCTGAACCCGCCCCAGTTTTCTATTAGCATTACGGAAGCCCTCCCCAGGCATAGCGACTAATTGTTCAAGTGGGCGGTCTCCAATGGCTGAATTAGGCCTTAGTGCGTTCCTTACGGAGTGCATAGCTGGCACGGAGAACAGGAGAACAGCGAAAGGAACGCGAAGGAGACCTGGAAGTAAGTAAATATCCACCACATGTCTACTAGATATGTTAAAGTCCCAAGCTGTGGGGTTATATCGGTCTCTGCATCCTGAAGGGCTGTGTTGACATAAGGTCCGGCTCTGGGTTGTCACCACAGGTGCTCTACAGCAGACACTTAAGGTCGATTATAAGTGATGGACGGGGCCTCCCCCTGGGTGAATTCGGTGGCCTTCTCTCCCGACGGTCGTCTGCTGGCGTGCGGCTCCGAGGGTAAGAAGGTCCAGCTCTGGGATGCCGCCACGGGTGCGTCGCAGCAGACTCTTAAGGCCCATTCAGGTAGCGTGAACTCGGTGGCCTTCTCTCGTGATGGCCGGCTGCTAGCATCCGGCTCCGATGACGGAACTATCCAGCTCTGGGATACCGCCACGGGCGCACTACAGCGGATTCTTAAGGTCGATTCTGGTGCAGTGAAGTCAGTAGCCTTCTCTCCTGACGGCCGACTTCTGGCGTCTGGTTCCATGTTTATCCGGCTCTGGGATGCCGGCACGGGTGAGCCACAGCGGACTCTCAAGGCCCATTCAGATTGCGTAAATTCGGTGGCCTTCTCTCCTGATGGCCGTCTGCTGGCGTCCGGCTCTCGTGATTACACTGTCCGGCTCTAGGATGCCTACACGGGCACGCTGCAGCAGACTCTCAAGGCCCATTCAAAAGATGTGTCGTCGGTAGCCTTTTCTCCCGATGGCCAACTGTTGGCGTCTTGCTCTCGTGATAAGACGGTCCAGCTCTGGGATACCCGACACGGATGAGCCACGGTTGGTATAAATTCAGAGTATGAGCTTTCAAATGAATAAATGAATGCGAATATATTATTATCACTGTTATGATGATGATGATGATGATGATCAGCCGGTGTCTGCTATCGGCCTCATTGTCTTTCTGTTCATATGAAATATGTAGGATCGAAGGAGTGTAGATTTTCATACCTGGTTGAGATCCTGTCTACCAGATCAACAGGTACACCGATGGTTTGCTGTCAGTTCCCTGAGAGTGCTAAGTGAAGAACGAGACGCCGAGGTTGATATGCAGTCGAGTCGACTAGAACGATACCATCGACACAGTAAATGCTATTTTTCAGGTCACTGTATATCAACAACGAGAAGTCAGTTTTACTTGATTTGTCGTAGGATGGTGTTTCTTGGCGTGAGAAATAGTATAACTTAACTGAAATGTAGATTATATGATTATTTACTTGCATTACCAAAAATACGCTCTGGTCGAGTGATACAGATATACAGTCAGCGTTCAAAAGTATTTGGAACACGCTACATGCCCCACTTATTTTTCTGCCGGTTAAACCACCAAGTTCATTCGATATTTCAATAACTAGTATACCATCTGTTGTATCTAATGACCTCCTCTCCATGATGAGGTATTGCTCTAGCTAGATTAACAAAATACCAATAATCTAAGCGAATTTACTAGATTCGACCGCTTGCGGGAGGACGCGTGTGACTAATTTAAGTAGACGGTGTAGAAAAGCGGTATGGGCCGGAAGTACTATGTACCAAATACATTTGAACGGCCACTGTATATATTATTTAGTTATCTTACGCCTAATTCTCTACTTAATACTAACCTTGCCTTGGTTACGCCTTTACCCTCTATCCCTAAGTCCCTTAAATAAGCTAGTGCTCTACGAAAGCAGGACTATCTCCTCTAGACTAAGATAGTAAATAATATTTTTGTTAGATAGTGGTTAGCGATAGACTATAGAAGCAAAATAAATCCGAATATCTTCGAGAGCTAGCACCAGTTAGAATGCTAGGATCACTTCTACTAGGTTGCTATGATTTTAGATAGGACTCCAAAGGTTATGTGCAAAAAAGTGCAACCGAATACTAGGCCATCCTACGGATAGCCGCCGTAGAACATCCACTATGAAGAACTTTTGATAGTGCCAAGACGAGGGGAAACAAGGCACGGGAGGAATACGAATGTAGCCGCACGTGGACGTCAACATTGCGTTTGCGTTTGCGTTTTGATTTTATCTACACTATATTTTGGACTTTTGAGATGGAGAGGTCGACTTCAGTCTGAGACGGGGTTGAATTTGGAACGTGCCTTGTAAATCTGGCCATACTCGGGTGGCTATGGCTATCTATGGCTTCGGGGATGACATCATGTGTGTGTAGACCTTGTTTTTACATCTGGTGTAATACACCCCACACTCACACATGTGTAGCAGTCCTTGCTGCAAAAAGTGGAATGAATATGAGCTTGACGAGGTTGTATTGTCTACCTAGTTATTGTATATAAAGTAGACTGTTTCGAGGTGCAGCCGGAAAACGCAAGGTAATATTGTTCCATGCGTGCAGGCGCAGATCCCACTATGATCAAACATCTGGGCCCACGGATTGATAATTTGGGAACTATGTACCAAAAAACTACCAGTTTTCTCTCGATGTAACCGACAGTATAACTAATAAATAGATGAAAGCGAATTAATAATAGCTAGACAGCTGAAGGCTCAGGATGTAAACAGGGATCCCATGTCGCGAACCATGACAAGCCTCACGACACTAGGAACAGTGATCACCAAATAAATACGAGATTCAACAACATCAAGTTGACCCCCAATTTAAAGCATGCCTAGTTTATTCTACCTATCAATCCGGAACATCTTCAATCTAAGATCAAAGTACGTACCTACTACCGACAATACTTCCCGCATTGTGGACACACTTACTCAGTGCCCGGTATAACTGCACCGTAATTCTTGCAGTTGACTATCGAGTCTGTCATAGCACGATATACACGCTGCACCCGTTAGCGACATCTCAGCAATATTTCGCGCAACTCACAGCCGAAAGCTCTGAAGTTCTGACAAAGTCTTCCAAGGTGCGCGCAACGAGCAGGGGAACACCGGGTGAATAAACACGGTCTACAGGTGGTTTTTATAATACCCCAAAAGACCAGTTTAAAGATTAGGCCAAACCCCCATCCTGGCTTCATGGGTAGCTTCATATAATATACCTGCTACTCAGCCACAAGCCTGCAACTACACTCAAGCAGTGGCCTTTAAACATAGACTGAAGCCCAACATCCTTGAGATCCAAGCCCAACGGGACGACACAACATCAGACTCGGAACCGATCGAGCATGCCCCTAACATATCTAACAGTCTAATAAGAAGCTTTCATGGTGATTGGGGAAGTGATGACAGGATATCTTAGAAACTGAGCTATAACACCATCGCCCCTGGCAATAGCACTGCTCTTATAGATCCGATTCAACTCAGAACGGAGTTATAGGCTAATAGCGAGTTAACACATGGCATTTTTATCACGAACAACAAGAACTTATAATGTACTTGGCCTTGATATCAGTATTGAAATCGCTATATCTGTTATCCTAGGGTACTGGCTATAGCCAATAGAGTTGATCAATATGGTTGCCAGAAAGTGCCATGCAGCAAGACCATTGTATGCCCATGTAAGCGTGTCTAGTGACGACACTGTACTGGTTGTAGACCAGATCCTAGCAAGGGATTTTGCCACTACAAGGTATTAATCAAGCATAATACTGCCGAATTTCGCTTGTTTCACCTCCCATCCCAGCAGTGGCCAGGACTATTCAGGTCAAGCCCACCATGGAGATCTTACTCTGTCCGAGATTCGGCTCTCTGCTACGCGAAGAAACCGCTTATGTGCGCGATGAATCCATAGAAAGGTGAATTCCCATTTTCTAGGCTAAAAAAGATCGTGTACTAACCAACAGTTAAGCAATAGGGGAAATGATGCTCCGATAAGATGCTATGCACGCTCAAAAGCACGATATCATATCATCAGGACATGGAAGAAAGAGCTGGTATCGAACTTTTGAAAACAGGGACATGTAGATGATGTCAAATCGAAATCAAACCCGGGGCGCCGCGCTGAAAAAAAAAAATGTATAGCAAATACATCAGGCCGTTTCAATTAGACCTTGATGAAGCAGACGGGAGAATATGAAACATGAAGCCGGAAGCGACTGCGCTACTCCTCGTCAGTAGCTGTGCCGTCTTCTTCATCGCCATCATCGTCAGCACCGCTATCCGAGTCTTCGTCCTGGTCAAGACCCGGAATGCCACGCCACTCAACGTAGTCACCCTCCAGCCAGCGACGGCTGCGCGGGAGCTGATACGGATCGAAGGGGAAGTATGCGTCGAGCTGATAGCCGAGGTGGTCACCAGCGCGGATCTCACGCTCCACCTGGACGAGTCCCGAGGAGGCGATGCTTCGGAAGGCACTGATACGGAGGCGCTTGTTCTTCTCGATGAGAGGATATACGTAGAGCAGTTGGAAGTGGTGTGCGATACGAGCAAACTCGTTGACGATGCCCGGAGAGCAAATCTTGAGCGGATTCAGACGCGAGTAGATCACTTTGCTCAGCGTATCCTTGACATTGGGCGGGAAGGCTATTTGGCTGGGCTCCAGCTCATCCACTTGCTGGGGGCTGTCACCCTCGATAGAAGCGGTCGTCAGATCGCGCCAGCGGAAACAAAAGATGTATAGCACGGCCTGAGCAGTGGCGTAGAACGAGCCGTACCGGCGGAGATCCGGGCCGCGGCAGGCAGCGTCATACTTGTCGTGCATTTCAACCAGCTGCGCGCTCATTTCGTTGAAAGTTTTAAGGACAAGACTGCTGGGGATATGGGCACCACGGGCGATGAAGCTGGCCAGGTATGCGGCTGCGGATTGGCGAATGATACCTGGCTGGACTTTGCCAAAGATCAGATCCGAGAAGCACGTTGTCATCTTGCTGAGGAGATCCGGGTGTAATTGAGAGAAGTGGAAAAGAAGGAACTGTGAGTGGCGGGACTTGTATGTTGGGAGGATGATGGTTTGGAAGTGGCTGATAATAAGGTCCAAGCTGTTTCGCTTGTCGGCGAGTGTGCCTGTTGTGAATGAAGAGTTGTAAAACTCGAAAAGAATATCAATCATGCCATCCACTTTGTGAATATTGTCCTTGATCTCGGCGACCCGTCGGTCCTCATCGGCTTCGTCTTCGGAAATAATGGAGGCGTCGTCATCGTCGTCGAGCTCTTCATCGGGTTCGGTGGAAACACCATGCAAGAGGTTCTCTCCGAGCTCATCCTCAAAGTCTTCCAAATCCACCTGGATTTGGACATCGATCTTGACCAACTTTTCGGTGATGAGGGCGAGGATATCAGATTGGAGCTCGGGAGCATAGTCGATAATCTGAATGAGGTTTCGGGTGTATGCGATGTAAGACTTGGCAGGGTCCGCTTCGTACGGGAAGGTGTGAGAAAGAACTGGAGACAGAGTTCCACTGCCAGCCGGGATCAAGCGAATGATATGACGCAAAGCCATGTGAACGCGCGCGTAGATTTTGGAGACCGGGACCACAGGGTATCCAGGTAGGCTACCAGTGCCGCGAGGGACACCAGCGAGCTTGCTAACAAGCATCTTGAAAATGACACCGAGATAGGTACCCTGAGCAGCGGCAAGGTTTCCAAGGAACCGGATGAAAAGTTTCACGTAGGCCTCATCCCGACCAAGCCACTCGCTCTCAAGGACAGCGTGGACAAGACTGCTGCAGCCGCGGTCTAGAGAGGCGATATGGGATAGAAGACCCAGCAGATGATTCTTCAATGAAGTGTGTGTTGGCAGGTCGTAGGAGTAGACGGTGTCGGCAGCCTTCTTCGGATCGGCAGTGAAGATCTCCTTAATCTGGTCATAGGCTTCGCTCTCCCCGGATGAAACATGACGATGGATCGCCCGACGGATTTCTTCCCGAACCATCGCCACGTTCATCCCACTTTGTGTGGCCAGATCATTTTGATTCCACGAATGCGTCTGGATGTTCTCGTTGAAGGTGACGCGGGCACGCTTCTTCGAGGGAGGGGCGTCTTCGAAGGTATCCGACACGGAGGAGACGGGGGAAAGACTGCGGTCGACATCCGCCATTTTGCGTTTCGTGCCGGCGGGCTTGGAGGTTTTGAGGATGGATACGGGAGACGAAGATGGTAGCATCTTTGATGGCTTCAAGGAGGGGGTGGCAGTAAGCGCCGGGGGTTGTGGGATAGTGGCGACGGAGACCATGGCCGACTGGTTGGAGGGAAGAGAAAATGTGTTGAATCAACTCTAGAGAGGTCACAGACGATGTGACATTTGTCGGTCTGTACCTCCGAAAGACCTCAGAGGGGTAGCTCAATGTGTTGACAGTGGTGGAGCTAGAAGGCAACCCAGCACACGACCTTCCGGATAGTCTGATTTGAAGACAGGGCTACAGATTGGAGGGACGAGACCGTAGGTATCTGTCTGCACCCATGGAAGGCATTCACTCGGTCAGGGAAAACGATGAATAGGATGCAGACAGCGGTGTGTCGAGGTCAACCAAGTAATCAAGATGAATGCTCGAGAGAAAAAATTTCCCTTGCGTACCTGTGGGGCTGCGGAGAACTCGTGACTGAGGGTGAGTGAGCGGTGAGACTTGCACTAACCCTTTTATGGTAATATTGAATTATGTCATCGTGTCCTCTTCGCGTTCTGCCGGATCTCCTCTTCTGTCGCGTTCTGCTGCCTGGGGCATGCCTGGAAGCTTAAGGATTGAAAATGGTTCTGTGGAGGATTACTTTTGAGCTGGACATGAAGCTGATAAAACTCTACTATACTCCAGACCATTCTCAAACAAAAGAGAAGATTCGAAATAACGCCATAGATAGGCGGAAGCCACTGATTCCAATCGATGGACAGATAGATAGAACGACCTGTAAAAACTGGTATGCAACAGTAATTGAATCTTCGCAAGGCTAACTGCATAAAGATGGTATAAAATGGATACTAGCTGAGTGGTTTTAGAAACCGTGGTAAACGGCGTCTGTTAGAGACCGCCCAGGTTTACTATGATACTGCCGAGCTACGAGTCGTTTTGAAGGTGGGACTGATACGAATTCTGGTGAGAAGTATGTAAACTCAACTTTTCGGCATACATTGACTGGCGCTGAGAATCGATGAATCGAAAAAGGATTCCGAGTGAAAATATCAATGATAATTCTAGCGTGCATAAGTGTCATACATGCTGATATAGAAGCCGCAAGAGTCGATCCAGGCAGATCATAACAATTTATAGATGGCATAAACACTCGAGGAGGGCCACCCGGTGTGAAACGGAGGAAAATCACATCGGTGGAAACCAAAATAAACCGAACACAGGAACTGCAGAGCTCCTCCCATGGTATAGTGCAAAGCAGGGGGAATAATCGGAGAGTCGTCAATGAAGGAATAAGAGTTAGTCGTGGCGGGGGTTGCGAGGGAAAATCCAGTTTTTTCACAAGATCCGCGCATAAGATGAAAGATAGTCGTCGTCAAGGAGATTACCCCGGATCAACCGGGCGGGGGTAATGCCCACCTCCAAAGAAGGTATACTCTAGGTGGGTGGAATTGAAATCGATGAGCTCATAGCCAGGGACCCATACTGATAGCACCCAGTCTATCGTCAAAGATGCTTCCATAGAGATCCTCGATCTCAGTGAGGTAATCGTCGACAGTGAATTTCTTCAATCCCTTGCGATGCAGAACCATTTCTTCTTCGTCCATCACGTGTGTCGCACCGAACTCCTCCGCCACCTCATTGACCTGCTCCAGCTCCTTGCTGAACGGATGTGTCTCAGGGGCAAACAGGTCCTGAGAGGCACGGATAGTGGGATTGCTCCGTGGAGCCGCCAATGGAGGTGGCGACATCCGGTGCTGGGAGCGCTTCCGGGCCAGCTCTTGATGCGATCGCTTGGTGTGCGACAGAGCACGCTGAGGGACCATCGGGGCATCGTTAGATGACGAGGAGGTCGTGGAGGAGCGGGGGTGGCTCGTCACCGTCGCAGACCGCTTGGGGAAGTACGAAGCAGCGTTCGCGTCGACAGGCGAAGAGTCGTGTGGCGACACATCGGGGGTGGTGATGGAGGACGAATAACTATGCGGAGAAACCGCATCGGAGTCATCCCGCGACCGCAATGATGAGGCGGAGGAGGAATTGGAGGAGTGGATGTCGGGAGCGTTGTAGGCGAGCATGTTGGTGGTTGATATTAACTGAACAGGACCCGAGATATTGCTCCGCTTTATGGAGCCCGAGTTAAATCGCACATGCCCTTCGCCGCGATATGGCATGGGCGCCGACACTTCCGGCCGCTTGTTGCGCTTGGTGAATGCGCGGGTAATGGTCGACATGATGGTTGAGGTAGGATGTTTTCGTCGTAGAACACGTACTCGAGGGTTTGCACGCCGGTTATTGGCGTTGTTTGTTGATTCTAGACGGAGTTCCGACGACTGTCTAGTTTATTTTTAGGGTTCAGAATTCCTATCGTCTCTTTGCGATCTAATCTGACGGTTTATCTCGCGTGGAGAGACGATCGCGGATGCGGAGACGGCGAGGAATGGAGATCACTGCCCGGAATGTCCGGTCTCAGATGAATCGTTTTTGGGTGGATTGTAATCGAACAATCGAGTTCACTGTGTCTGGCACAGATTCAAGAATGAATGTCGAGAGCTTCGCCAGTGATTTTTTGCGCAGCAAAATGGGACGAGGGAAACCAGGCGTCTTTGAGGGATGGCAGTCCAGGGCCAATAGGGAAGGAATGGGGGCGTACAACCAGGACGCACTCCGAGGGGGTATAAAGTCGAAAGACGAGGAAAAAAGGAGCCTAGGATCAGAGATGACTCTATCCAGGGGACTCTAGTCAAAGAGAAGAGAATTGAATTGGGGAAAGGAACGGTATGAAGGCCAAAAAATGAAGGACGTGTGGGAAGAGAGGAAGAGGAAGGGGGAGGAGGGAGATGAGTCGTGCCTTGGTCCCTTACGGGGGGAGGGCCCGTTCTGGGCTCTCGACCACACAACTGAACCGTGGAGAGGCGGCGCTTAACCTGCGAGGACACACTCCGGTGGGCCTCCGTTGCTTCGTCAGTCTCCACTCCGGTTTTCCCTCCGTCCAACTGCGATGCACGCCCCCTCGTCCGGAACGGCCAACGGAAAAAAAAAGTTCTCTGTCGCCCAAGGTTCGCTCCAGGGACTGTGAGGTCCTTCCAGTCAGAGAGGTTCGTTTCAGCGCCCAGGGCCCAAATGTTCTAGGTGTGGACCTATCGCCACAGTTCATCCAGAATTTTCTGGGCTCGACGCTTCGATTTCCAGCACCATATTTTAAGTCTACAGTATGCTCATATTTGCCATCGTCATAGCCAGCCTCCGACGACAGAGCCCGGGCCACGGTCATCCTGTCCGTGTCAAGGGCAGGGAAGGAGATATCCCGGGCGAGGCACAACGTTACCCTCCCTGGGTAATGGAGGACGGGATGATCCCCTTCCTCCGATCACACAGTCATACGCTCTGATACCCAAGGGAGAGAGGGACTCGACGTGTCCATGATGTACTTTGCTACAGGCCACTTCACGGTGCATCGCATATCCTGTCAGGAGGCAGGATCATCTGGTGAACAAAGACCATGCCCCACGTGAACTATGATCGAAACAAAGAAGCCCCAGCCGACAGACTGTGACCCCACTCTATTATTGCTGCTCTGCGATATTAGAATTTCAATGAAACAACCGGGCTTCGAGTACTCCGTGCTGCCCCCTCCCAAAATCCAGCACAGGAGAGCCCTTCACCAGGGCTACACCAACCCTGGCACGGAGCTCGTTTCACCACAAAATCACGCCTATCCTGTCCCTTGCGAAATGCAGTCTGTGCTCCGATCGACAGGGCCAGGGACGGCTGGCACGAGATTCTCTCACCAATCATCATCCCCGCCGACGTGGCCGATGCTTCCTGGTGCGACCGGCGCCTGGAGGCCTGCAGGGACACCTCCAGCTGATTTGCTGCGGGTCATCCACTGGCAACTTGGCTCGACTCGGTCGACCTGTCAGGCGTCGCTCGTGGGCTGGTTGTATCAGAGTGGGCCACGCTTCAATCTTAAAGAGGCGTGGGAGGGGCGGCCTCCACTGATAACACGAGGATGGGCTGCGAGTGGGGCGCCAGATCGAACACACTCCAGGTGGCATGGGAAGGGGAGTATGGAGTTGGGGATATCGTCATTGTCATTCTTCACTGTCTGCTCCTCTCAACACTGTCACCCTGCATGCTCCATGAGTGTACTGTATCAATCATGGGTTGCACAACTTGTGATCATCTTGGGTCTCTTGCCCCTGTATTCCCGAGAATGGGTTCATCACGTGATCGGTACAGTTTAAGCTAGTCCGTCACACATACAGTGGTGTTCCATAAGTTTGCAACACCCGAAAAAGTTCAACCCCATCTCATATCGGCTTAGTGTTGGCCAGACAGTGTACAGTGGCCCGCAAAAGTTTCCGGCCACCCCCGTTCACCGCCTGACCTACACCGCCTTCAGTAGAAATTACTAGCTATGATAAACACTAATGGAAAAGGTAGAATTCCTTTCTTTTACCTTTAATCCTCCCAGATGAAATGTACAATTAGAGATCAGCAATTATTTTGCCTCAAACTTAGGGATAATGTTGGAAATCTGGAATTGTTTATAGACGGCAGAATGTTATGTAAGTAAAGGGTTGTCGGAAACTTTTGCGGTGCCACTGTAAATTGCTAAGTACTCCATCGAATGGTAACGTAATTCCCGGCCGACCTGGCCACCCCAAAACACCATACTACAATGCGAATTTTCAAGTTATAGTATGTCAACAACGAGGACTTATTTTTGCGATATTTAGTACTCTATAATTTCTTACTATAAGGAATCATAGGGTAACTAAAGTATTTCAAAAATAATTATTTACTTCGAATACCAAAAATACGCTCTCATCAACCAACATAGATATATAGCTGTACCTTATTAAGCTCTCAAATATTTCTCAACCTAATAAAACTAGATACTATGATATACTAAGCACTAAGATATCTTGAAACTATATTCTTAGCCTTGGTGGTTGAATTATGAAGTTATAAAATATTCCATTATGTAGGTGTTTTGGGGTGCGAAGGACGGCCGGGAATTACGTTACCATCTGACTGACTTGTATATCAAAGACATCTGGTCTAGGACTTCCTGAAGACTGATTATCAGAAGTATATGCTAGGTCTAGTTTTTGACAGCTCTTCCGCTCTGGTGGCCGGTGTGCTCTCCACTGGTCTTACTGGTCCACTCTCATTTGATATGGCGAGGTTGGTATACTCCTGGCCCCCTCCAGTCGGCGACGCCACACCGTCGGAACCCCCGGTGGCTTGACCCCGCGAATATACAGGCGAGGAGATCATTCCCGGTGGGCGGAGATGGGTCTCATATGGGCTCCCCATGGAGACTTCCCCCCGTGGGGGCCAGCCATATGAAGTCGATGGCTCCCCAGCATTCATATCTACATCAGGGCCATGGATGCTACCGTGACTTGGATGATTTGGTGACTGTGGGATTGCAAACCCGCCATCCGAGGGTTCCATGCCAGTTGCATTTGGGCTTTGTTCAATGGTGAACTGGTGGGACATGCCTGCGAGCCAGCGCTCCATGTCTGGCCAACCCCGGAGTGGTAGTTGGTTCCATTCATCCATCCGTGCAGCTTTTTGTTTATGTACCGAGTCTGGATTTGTCGATGCTTGTACTGTAGTCGTTGGGCGCATCGCGCGTAGGGTGACCAGGGCGCTGTAGAGGGCGGCCTCGGTCTCGGACAGTCTTTGCTCGAGTTGGTTCAGGTATCCCAGAGGCAGACCCCTGCGTAGGTTAGTTGCCGTCTGTTCAGAGCATCTCGCAATGGCAATGAACATAAGTACCTTTTGCCACTTTCTGGATATATGCATTTTGAGGGCTCACTTGAGCACTGCGCGCAGTAAGGCCTGTCAAATATCCGAGTCAATTCACTTTCCATCCCATTTCCCACGATATATCCAAGTAGTTCATACAGTTTCCGATCACACTATACCGAAGGTCAGTGCTGCATCTCTACCATAGCAAAAGTAAACCAACCTTGCATTTCCGCTGTCTGCATGGCTCACAAGAAATCGAGCTCAAGTTCTCATTATCTGGAGTATACCACGTATCAACAGATCTATAAGTGATTGCGTTAAAGGTTAGCCCGTGGCTGGTTACCTGGCATGATGGCATCAGCTGTGCGAGGTCGCTTAGACCGCATGGCCCACCGATCGCGGAATCAAAGAGTAGGGGATTAAAAGAATAAATAAAGGTTGCTTTATGGTTATCACCAATTTGATACCACCCAGACTTTCCTCCGATCTTTGTCGATTCAAGAGGTGTGAGATGACCTGGGGATGTTGCCGGAGAAAGAAACCTCCGGAGAAAAGGTCACGTGTTGTCTGCTGACATACCGAGACGAACCTCCAGTTGGAATTTCCGGCTGGTTGCCGTGGCCAGCATCTGCTTGCTTGAGACGAGTATAATCGAGATGTGAAGTTTGCAAATCTGCTATGATCCAAAGAATCAAAGTTTTTTTTCATGGCAAGGTCCTAAGGATGTGATGATATACAGCCACCATGGCATCTCCATCCTCAGTCAGCACCCGTCTCGAGGAGAATGAGTCGGACTGGCAATATGGACCTCGCTCAGCCAAGCGACGCAGACGAGCTTCTACAGCGGGTGCCTCAAGACACTCACCTCGCGAAATTGGATTCATGAGGGAGCCTCAAAACGAAGGCTCCGCTAGTTTCCTCGGCAGCTCTAGCGGGATTCACTTCATTCGGCATGTCTATAACGCCTTTGCTCGCCGGTCAGCGGACCTGCAGCAGAACCGAACCCGCGATAAGAGCTCTGTCCCGGGTGAAGATGATCGGCTACGCCGAGATAGCCAGAGTACTCACGACGTTGACGCGTTTTGGCTGCGTGAAGAACTGAACTTTGCTCCAACCGCTGTGTTTAGCTTCGAGGACCTGGTGAACTGGACGCGTCGATATTTTGAAAATTGGCATCCATGTTTCCCTTGTCTTCATGCGCCGACCGTGTTGCAGGCCATGGAAAGCCTTGCCCGTCAGGGGCCCGAGTCTGTCAGCCACTTGGATATGATTATCATCCGTTCTCTCATCTCGATCTCCCTTGGAGATGCACGCCAAGCCAAAGGTCCCGCGTCAGAGAGAGAGCCAATTCCAGCGGGCCTCGTATTCCAAACAGTGCAGCATGTTATGCAAGAAATTCAAAGCCTACTTGCAGAGCCCACAACACTCCCGCTGCTCCAGGCAGCCTTCACGGCCCAATTGGCACTCACTTCGCTTCTGCGCCTGAATGCAGCCTCTCGGGTAGGAGGTGTAATCACGCGCACGGCGTTTCATTTAGGTCTGCATCGCTGTCCTGGCCGATTTTCTTGTTTCAGCAATGAGGAGATTGGCATCCGAAGGCGCCTATTCTGGTCCATCTATTCACTGGAGCGGTATCTCTCTCAAGCCCTGGGGATTCCTCTCGGTATCCGAGATGATGACATTGATGTGTGCTATCCAGACGCTGAAAGACATGTCACTCCAAACCCTTTACCACCCAGTGATCAGCGCCTGCGGCTGCTTTGCCACCTCGCCAAGTTTGCCAGGATACGGGGTCTGATACTGGAGCTTCGCAACAAATCTATTCTTCATAGCCATGCCGGTGCGCTGGAGGCCTCCCATGTCAATGGTGAACTGTCTCAGTGGTGGAACGAAGTCTACGACGATGTCAACCCAATCGAAGATTCTGCAGACGTTGAATCAGAAGCAAGCGCCACACTCACGCCGTATCATCGATTACTTCTGATGATTCTTAGGCACGAGGCAATCATTGCGATGAATCGACCACTGCTTGCTTCAGAGAAGCCCAATCCTGATTACAAACATGCGCTGCAAACTTGTATTGCTTCGTCTCGATCATTACTGGCTGCATTGAAGAGATACATGTCTTCTGAGTCCTATGTACCACTCACCTGGCCATCCTTCACTTGGACGACATGGATGGCTTGTCTCATCTTGATGTATGCATCATGGGAGGGCGAACTGCCCGTTGCCACGGCGTTGAAATACGCCAAAATGGCTGTCCATGTCTTGGAGAATCTTTCGTTGCGTGGTAGTAGCTGGCCAGAAACATGCATTGAGGCAATCAAAAGCATGGAATCAGCTCTGTCGACAAATATACCTGGCAGAAATGCACAAGAAATGCTTCCTGGGCCCTCAGGTTCAGAAGGAGGTACAAATATCAACCAGGTCTTGCAAGAGAAAACCACTCCAAGTGGGGGAAATGGCCTCTATAATCACAACATGAGGCCCGTTTCAAATCGAATAAACCCGACTTCAGTCCCGTATGACGGTCGTGGAGTCAGTGAATACAACGCCGCCTCATATTCGGGCGTATCACAAGAATCTGAGCTTCGTACGCCTGCCGTTCAAAGAGTTCAGTCTGGAGACCATTATGATTCTGCTATCTTATCCACGCCCAGGAATCCTGGAAGTGATGTCAACGACACTTTGAACGATGACCAGATCCTGAGTACTCAAAACTCGGCTGGGCTTATTTTTGGGAATTTGGTCAACAATACTACCCCCTTCTACCCCGGCATCGCAGGCCAGGACCCATTACCTTTCTCAGACCCGTCTTCACTTTTCATGAACGATCTATGGAGTGTGGCTGATGGCCCATGGATGATTCATGGGAACTTTTTGTAATATATCTCGATTTTGTACATTTCTCTTTTTGTGGCTTGTGGGGCTTCTAAAACTTATGATACAATCCGAATCTCACGATGAAACTTTTTCCATTCTCACAATGTTCCTCTCTCTGTCCAATATCACACTTAGTTGCCCCTTCTCCTCACAGCCCGCATGGGACCTGAAGAAGCCGTGCCGTAATTGGTCAAGATACAGCTCATATGCAGGCATATAGCCCTTCACAAATCTCACAACCTCATCATCGGTCATACCCTGACTCTTCACCTGCCAAAGTGCATGCTCTTGTTGAATACGCCACTCGTAAACATTCACCAAATCATCCGTGTCAAGATGAATCAAGTAGTCAGAGTGTTGGGGGCCCATGAACACCTCACTGTATCGTCGAAGGTTGTTATTCACATGCAACAAATCCTCGATCGTGTGGTCCCTCAAAGTCTGAATCGGATATTTCGTCGTCCGAGCTTGCGATGCTTCATTCCAGCGCTCTTTGATAACCTCGTCTGTCAATGGTTGGAAACCGACACACCACCCTTCGAAAACCACAACATCAACCTTTGTACCAACGGGAACACGTCGCCAAGACTCTTGCGGCGCTCTGCCCCCTTCTCCATTGAACTTGCTCTTATCAAAGGAGGGAATCAAAGTATCTCCAGAAGTATTCTTCAGACTCTCAAAGAAAGCGAGGGAAAGAGCAATATCATGTGTCCCAGGTTGTCCTCGCGCCTGAAGAAGTTGATTTGATGGGTTGCCCTTACGCACATTGAGAAGTTCGTCGTGGTCAAGATACAGATCGTCCAGAGAGAGATTGATAGTGTTATAGTTGAAATTTTGCTGAAGAGCTGTCACAAGCGCGTCTGTCCATGTAGACTTGCCGCTGCCTTGGAGGCCTGTTAGGCATAGGACGAACGGGCGTTTGGTTGATGTTGATGAATGCGCATCAAGGTGTTGGGCTACGAAGGGTTGAACATAGGACAAGACTCTTTCAATATCCACTTCAGGGATCTTCGAGGGGACCATTGCGATGATGCCAGGTAGTTTGAGATAGGGTGGAAGGCAGAATATGTAAGAAGATTAGATGATTGTGTCAATTAGGATCTTTCCGAAGCAACCCGATCTGAAGTCACATTTTAGATCGGTTCAAAAGGATTCAAAGAATACAGTGCAATGTTTTTCTTCCCTCGTCCATCCTGATCATACTGCAATGCCGTTGTGACCATCAATTGATCTTCAGTCGGACATGTCTTTCCCCGAGTGGGGGTCAACGGAGGTTGAAACCCCCGGTCGAATCACTAAGAAAACATTCGCAGCTTCGGTCATTGAAACCTCCGAGAAGCTGTTCGTTGAGGCCTATTGGTTGAAACATTTACGATGAGAGGGGTTTGACCTCAATGTCTCCATCCAGGAACCAAATCAAGTCTGATTCGGCGTGTTGGCGAAAGAAGTCTTAAAACCCTCCGCATATCTTAATCCTTACCCCCTCCTTCAATCCAACTTTATTACCTTCCTATCCAACATTCACAATGTCCCCTTCTGTTGTTTCTGGCGACAAGACGTATAGCATTGCTGCTATCCCCGCCGATGGAATTGGTCCAGAGGTTATCGAGGCCGGTATCACGGCTTTGAACGCCCTTACGGATACTCTCAAGACTTTCAAGCTCGAGTTCAAGAACTACGACTGGAGCTCCGAGACCTACAAGAAGACCGGCAAATACATCCCCGATGGCGGCCTCGACGAGTTGAAGAAGCACGACGCTATCTTCTTCGGCGCCGTCGGCGCTCCTGGTAAGTCTCCGGAGATCTTCAGATTGTTAAACTCCGCTCACAATACTAGATGTCCCCGATCACATTTCTCTCTGGGGCCTCCGTCTTGCAATCTGCCAGCCCTTCCAGCAGTACGCCAACGTGCGCCCTACTCGCGTATTCCGCGGCACCGAGTCACCTTTGCGCAAGTGCAAGAACGGCGACCTTGACTGGGTCATCATTCGCGAAAACAGTGAGGGCGAATACGCCGGTCAGGGTGGCCGATCTCACACTGGCAAGCCTTGGGAGGTCGCGACCGAAGTCTCCATCTTCTCCCGTCACGGAGTTGAGAGAATCATGCGGTTTGCCTTTGAGACTGCCCAGAAGCGTCCGCGCAAGCTTTTGACCGTGGTCACCAAGAGCAATGCCCAGCGCAACGGAATGGTTCTCTGGGATGAAGTTGCCAAGTCTGTTGCCGAGGATTTCCCCGATGTCACTGTTGACAAGATGTTGGTCGATGCTATGACCACTCGTATGGTTCTGAAGCCTGAGACTCTGGACACCATTGTGGCTACCAACCTGGTAAGGACCTCTACATCCTGTATGGTATACTTGGTTCAATACGCTAACTCCCACTAGCACGCCGACATTCTCTCCGATCTGGCCGCTGCCCTGGCTGGATCCATCGGTATTGCGCCCACTTCCAACCTCGACCCTACTCGCGAGTATCCCAGCATGTTCGAGCCTATCCACGGCTCGGCCTTTGACATCACCGGCATGGGTATCTCCAACCCTGTCGCTACTTTCTGGACGGCCGCTGAGATGCTCGCCTGGCTGGGTGAGGAAGAGGCCTCTAAGAAGTTGCTTGACTGTGTCGAGAATGTCTGCGAGCAGGGTGTTCTCACCCGTGATCTTGGTGGCCAGGCTACTACTAAGGAGGTCACCGATGCTGTTGTGGCTGAGATCAAGAAGCTTTCTTCTAAATAGAAAATATTGGTGGTTGGGACTTTTGAGTTATTTCGCAAATAGATTATGCATGTATAATGTGGAATGGTTATGAAGATTCAAGAAACAGCTTTTACCTCAAGTTTAGCAATATGTCTCTGTAAACTTTGTAATATGCGAAGTCAACTTAAGGATTACCCTAGACCATGTTTATTTAAAACTGCTTTGAGGCTAGTCCTTATTTTATGCTTTATTCTAACCACGTACATCATGCGAAGAATGAAATAGACATGCGTTCGCGAGAGTCAAACGTTCAGAGAGGCTATAGCAAAGAACTAATTTAAGTTTACACCCTCAAGCCATTCCTTGATTACGCTGTTATCGCCCCCTGCTGGATAGCAAAAGCCCCCAGACATTGCATTCTCCGACGGATGTGGACCACGGCTCCACGGGGCACATTTAGATAGCTCAACCGAATTCATCATCCACAATTCAATGGCAGAAATGGCAAAGAATGGAATCATCCTCCTCATCCACTCAGTATATCCTTATACATTGCGGGGATGAAAACATCCGCGTTCCCCAGTTTTATGGGGTCCCCAGGCCAACCCCAAGTGCCGACTGGAAGAAGCAAGCGATAATAAGGGAAATACATATATATTTTGACAGATTGAGATCGATTGGACTGGGTGGGAGGTGTCAACGCCACGTTAAGAGATGCCTCAAAGCGTCACTATTAGGAATAGCTAGAGGAGATCAGGGAACTAAAAAGCCGCAGGCATAAATTAAGTAGCTCTCAGAGATTCTTAACAGCTTTGAATGGCTATAGTACTAAATCGTTGAAAACCAATGTCGCACTCCAGAAACAGTGGTCTTCAAAGTTTATAGCCCACGATGATCTGAAACTGTCTCCGGTTAGTGTATTGACACGGCCATTTTGATGCCTGCCGCACCAAAAAGCAGTCGGTTTCCCCAAAGGTCGAGGAACGGGTCAACGATATCATAGTAACGCATCAAGCTGAGGCTAGTTATACTAGAATTTTGTTTTTGACAGCTAAGCGATGTGTAAACATTGGATGGATCGGTCAATCTGCATGTGTGGTTCGAGCAACGTTTTTTTATCACATTCAGGAGATAAAATTTAAGTACAATTGATTTATTTGCAATTCGAAAAAGTCAACAGGAAGAACAAGAACTTAAATCAAATGACCATTGATTGGTATGAAGCAATTAGAACTATGATTGACATCCCTAAGACTGATTTCTCTCTTGATGCTTCCTTTTTCCAATATAATACACGAGAGAACAAGTCTAACCAATAACCCCTTCCCTCCTCCGAGAAGAAGATTTAGTTTCTCCGTACGAAAAACTCCCCGAACTCGGTATTATTCTCAAGCCTTTCTAGTGTGCTATTATCATACTGCAGCCCGATCTCAAGACCTTTACCGTCGCCACGGCGGGGTGGCAGAATCACACAACGGCCATCAGGTTTCCTCTCAGTATCACCGACAGTGACTCGTAATGCCGCGGGAAAACCAAGCTCATTGCCGAAGTAGATGTCATTGTACGCATGACCCTGGATACAGACAAGAAGCATGTCTGGGCCAGGGTAGCGGTTGACGTTCCACGTTAATGTCGTGCTTTTGGGCATCTGATTAAGGAGACCGACAAGACGCCTGACTGCCTTATCATCCACCGCAACTATGGCTTTTCTGATGCAGCGCGCCGCCTCGGGGTAGATGGTGTTCGTGAGATGGTTCGATGTTGGTGACGATGCGCCTTCCTGAAGACGTGCAACGGGTAGCCTGGCCACTGCGTTTGGTTCCGCGAAGTTCCCCCAATAGTTGGATGGGACGTTGGGGGTTTTCGTCCGGCCCCTGACATCGATGGTGATAGAAAGCTTTGCCTCGGGATACGTCTGCGGATCGATATTTCTGGCCACGATTACGTGACGCCAGATAAAGGCACCCAATGTTTCGACTGTGCCGAGCTTGGTTTCGGGAACGTTGTTCGAGATGCGGCGTTTGAGCAAGGCGAGCTTTTCGGCTGAGATGAAGAACGTAGCATATTGGAATGTGGGAATCTCACTGGCTGTGTACGCCGTTGGATTGAGGAATTCGGCAGTGGCTTCCGCAAGCTTCCAGTGAGGGAATTCCTGGAGCTTTACACTCTTATCACCCTCAACGACACCACTTCTCTCTAGAAGATGGATTTGCGAGGTAGGTTTGCTGTCTAGCCCATCGATCACAGCGGAAAAGTGAGCGCCTATGGCAGAAAATAACATGAAGTTACATTGGCCATCACCAGCCACATGCTATCTCTTCGTTAGTATCGCTCTCAGCACAGAATTGAACGTGACAGGATAATGGAGGGATTACATGTAGGCAGCTTCCAAGTATCAGTCCTCCAGGGATGAAATTAAGTTGTATAACAAGGGCTGGAAGCCTCACGCCGTCCGCTAGCTTGGCGGACGTTCCGAAAACAATATGCCTTGGCATCTTGCTAAGAGGAAAGTGTTCCTGCTCAAGTTGGTCGAACGAGCCAAAGTTCCACAGATCACAATGCTCCGGTGAGGTATAATCTTTGTAATGGATTTCAACACCCTTGTTGGAGTCGAATATGAGCTCCACTTCTTCACGGGTGTTATGGGTGTGTTTCTGCACGCAGCATGCAAGCTCCGGTATGTCATTCACGATGTTTAAGAGGGCTTCCTGGAAGGCAAGGAAGATTTCTCTCTTATCCACATCTGGACCCAGTCGGAAAAATAGGCATATCGACATGTAGTCTCTAGGCGCAATCTGATCAATCGCGGAAAGCTTCACCACTTGTCCGTGGGTGTCTGGGTGTGGCTTGAGGACTGCGACAGAGCTGGCCGGCACACTGGCTTCGGTGGCGGTGTCAGACATCGTGGGTGAGTTCTGCACATATGACCTCCTATCTGTTCAAACTAGAGGAATAGATGAGCTAGTGAGTGAACAACTATATGTACAACGGCTTGGAGAAGATAAAAAGGCGACGAACATGAATTAGCTACCGGGAGGAGGCAAAGACTTGGACCTTTCAAAATTTCAGCAGCATTTCGTGAAGCATTCTACATGACGATCGTCGATAATGCGTCGATCATCGCTCTGTGGGATCTAGTCAGGGCGGCATGCCAGTTGAGGCTGAGGTACTAGTGGAGCTAAAAATGAAAGATCTGAGACCATCGATGTGTAGACGACGATCGTTTGTCCATTATTGAATGCTAGACGGCCAAGACATCCTAGCAGACGAAGGTGCAAAGGCACCACTTGATGATGAACCAACCCCCTAAGGGCGAATCATTGAACTGCCGTGATCGTCAAGAACATGCTACAATTGGATGTGAAGAAGGGAAAGGGGGGGAACTGAAAGGTACTACAATTGTAATCCACGTGTTCATAATAGTACCGCGACCTCGAAAACCAATGGGATTCTGTATCTTCTCTCTTCGCTGTGAACGGCGCTTGACTTTTCAATGGACCCCCAAACACTGCCTAGCTCATGGGTTGAGCCTGCGGCCCCTGTGCTTCCCTCTTTCATCAGATTATCTGCTCTGGATAATTTGACCGCGCCAGTCTATCCTTCACCGACAGAATTCTTTCCTTTAAAACCAGACACCGACCCCAGGCAGATCTACGAAGACTGCAAACGAGGCCTCGCCCGCTACATATACCAGCACCCACATCTTTGTGGTAGAATTATCAAGGATGAAACTGGACGCAACTCGATCGAGATTCGCCCAATTCCGCACGCCGGTGTCAAATTTGAGTTCCACGACCACCGAGATATGAAGGAAATGCCTTCATATGAGGAGTTCAGAAGATTTGGCTGGCCATTCGGTGACGGCGACCGAGATGGTCTAGGCAAACTGCGCCCAAAAGTCATACCGAGCGCCCAGACTGGCGACCCCATCCTGATGCCTCGATTCAATGTCATCAAAGGCGGAATAGTGTTAACCATTTCTATCGCACATGCTATGTGCGACCTCGTGCAGTGTATGGACGTGATGGGGTCTTGGGCACGTCACACGTGTGCTGTTGCCAATGCGCGGACAAAGAATCTGCCCGAGCCTCCGCTACCGCAACAAGTAGCAGCGAACTTGATGGACCGCTCGCCGCTGACGCCTAATGTGCAGACTGAGCATGATCTCGACAAGTTGGCAGCTCGCGCGGAAAATGTTCCCCATTGGACAATGCTCGACCCTCGCGATCCCCAAAAGATGGCCAAGACAATAGACGACCTCTTCACCAAGGCTCGTTTGACAGACAATGACCTGGCCAAATTTCCTGAAGAAAAGCTTCGTCAGTTGTCGACCTGTATATGGACTTTCCCTCAATCATCAATAAAAAGTCTGAAGCTCGTCGCCGAGAGAGGATCGCCGAAAGAAACCAAGTTGTCATCCATCGACTGTCTGACAGCTTTTACTTGGCAGCGTTTCTTCGCGGCCAAATGGGCCCCTGGTCTACCGGGCGCGGAGCCTATACCTAAAACGACGCGTATCGTTTACGCTGGGAGCGTGCGTCGCCGCCTGACACCGCCTTTGCCTTTCGACTACATGCCGGCTTGCGTGGACTTATTCCCAGTTGCTGCAAAGACTGGTGACTTCGTATCTCCAGCCCCGGAGGCCTTGGCCAAGGCAGCAGAGCTGATTCGCAGTAGTAACAACAACTGGAGTGAAGAGGTATTCCACGAAATGATCGAGATTGCGCAAATGCACCCTATAAACCCGGGTCTAGTACCAACAGGTCCGCTCGATGCCCTTGTCACAGATCACACACGTCTAGGTTCAGTCATACGTGAAGACTGGGGTCCTAGCCTCGGCCGGTGTGAGGCGTATCGTGAGCCATATTTTGGCCGGGTGCCTCCCTATGGCGAGTTAACTCTCCTGCCAAGTTGTAAGAATGGCGAAGTCGATGTTATGATTGCCGGCGAAGCTGTCGTCTTGGAACGGCTGAGAAATGACAAGGAACTGAATGCCATGGCTTCGTGTCAGTTCATCATGGACGACTTTGTCAAGAGAGCTGCAAAGAATCGGCGCTCTGCGAAATTATAGCCCTGGAAGAAAACACTCCTATTTCAATTCAATGTATATTATATTTGCACTAGGCGGGTCGAAGCTTATCCCAGCTTCCTATTGTTCTCTGCATTTGAGTTTGTATCGAATGCGAGCTGCCTAGTTTCAAACTGTGAGATCTCATCCCTCGTCAAGCATTGGCCCTGTGGGTGATAAAAAACTGCCTCTATTGATAGGAACGGCAATGGCCGTTTGTTTTGGCATTGCCAGAAGGCCCGACGTCGCGCGAGGTATTTATAGACAAAGGGCTTGTATGATCGTGGTACATAGTCTTTGATTGAGTTCCCAGGCTTAGGCGGGCGTTGATGGCAATGCTGATGGGCACGATCAAGCTTCCCAGCAGAAAAAAAGTTGATTGGATGATATTTTGGATCAAAAAATGATTTTGTTCACCATCAATCGAAACTTGTTGGAACACCCTCAGATTGAAGCAGCCGCATTGTATGCCTCATTTTCAATACACCTGCGTAAATGCCTCAAGGTTCTGTTCTCACGATAAGCTGATCTAAAAAGATACAAGAAAGTACAATCAAAACTGGCCGCTACCGAGCTGTCTAAAGCTTGAAAAAAATTTCCTGCACTCTGATCGACTGCTTTACGATTCGGAGAGCGCGCTGAGACACCAGTCGATCAGGATGGTCTTCATCAAGCGTTCTCTCTTGTACCGCGACCACATGTTCCAGTAGCTCCATAGCCTTCTTGATCTGCCCGTTGGATTGATATGCCCGTGCGAGTTCGTGCTGAGACGCCAATCGATCAGGATGTTCTTCATCATGGGTGGCTTCGACTCCATGCACACACGTCTCCCAAAATGTTGACAGCTTCTTTCGCTCGGCCATCGGCTAGGACGCATTTTCCGACAGTAAATATGGAGGCCTCAGTACATAGATCCAATAAAACAATGTGTCATCAATTGAGCTCAACCTAATGGATCACCTGTGTGATGGATTTTTTTCTTCCTGAAAATTATCGTTCATACCCCCTGAAAACCCGAACGCCTGTAGATAATTGGCTGTATCAATTATCGAAGACTAAGCCACAAGTGCTACTTCAAAGGTCTGGAGCCTCATAATTGGCATTTTTTGTGTGACTTGATCAAGTGGGACCATGCAAACTCTGCCGTTCTGGGTCTACTGATAGACAAACGGGGTACAAGAACGGCGCTGGACGCCAATCAGTTTGTGACAAGGAGAGTTATCGCACGCTGCAGTACCCAAGTCCCCTCTGGGCTGGAACTAAATGAATTATCGTGATTGAAAAGCTTGGGCTGTTTTGAGACCAAACTTCTTCACGATTGAAACGCCTACATCGAACCGCATACGACCACAGACAGTATCCTTGACAAACATACAAATATACTCCACTGCCCATCTTTAGAGCTGAGCGCATTCATATCTTCATTTCCAAGACAATCCCCAAAATATCTTGCAAATGCAAATTCTAGATCTAGCATTGCTTCATCTCACAAGGCACGATCGGCGGAAATCGGCACCTTGCCAGGGGGGCCGAAGCCACGTCGGCACGCCGATGCGGAGGAAGAGAAGGCCGGGAGTAGGTTTATTCCGCAAATCACAAAGCAGGTATAGGCCACTTACGCCGCGACTAAAATCCTGCCGTGAAAGCGAGCCGTGGACCCTAGCGCGATTGAGTAAGAGTTATCAAACCCCGGAGACTGGAGCCAATGAGCATACTCAGCGTCCGCCTGACGGATTCCTCCGTTTATCGGTACTTTTACCCCGGAGTGTAAGCCCAAACCCAGTTAACCAAAAAGCATAGCCGACTAAACACTGGCAGACACAGCTTCTGCGTCATGAACACTCGGCGGAGGTGGTCACCTCCGCTGGAATCGGGTCGTGGGCGCGGGACTTTCGGCGGGAAGAGCGGCTGTTATTGGTCGATGCGGGCCTTGGGTCTCCATGTATCCGACAAGTGTACCGCCGAGGGGGTAACTTCGGTTGATGCTATGGCTGGCAAGAGTGGATAGCTTCAGTGGAATTGCGTATATTATCGCTGGCGGCCTTGATGCAAGCCGATGTAAGATCCGTGGTGGACGCGGGAAGTCTCGGGTTACCTCGCTATCTATAATCCAAGTTGGAATCCGCGGCAATGGAGTAGGCAGTACGAGAAGTATACTTATAGATCCTGTTATCCCGCAGGGCTTATGGAGGTCTCTATTTAGATTTTAGTTGTATCAAGTGGAATAAAAACAATTGCTCTACACTCCAATTTCCCTTTCGATTCTCATTCCAGTTAGAACATAATCCTGTCATGGCTCCCTCTATCAACGACGTCCCCATCAGCCAGCCTGTCTCAGTCTCGGCCTGCCAAGTCGGCATCAATGGCTTCGGTCGTATTGGTCCGTGAACTGCATCACACTGCAAGGTCATTATTTGCATTCATACTCACGGAACTCACTTGCTTAGGCCGCAATGTCCTCCGTGCTGCACTAGTCCGCTCAGACATCCAAGTCGTTGCTATCAACCACACCTGCGTTACCGTCGAAGACCTCGTCTACCTCATTCGCTATGATTCCTCAATGGGCAATCTTGACGAGCGGACCGATATCCAGATCATCTCTAATAGCCTCATCACCGTTGATGGCCGAAGAATTGCACTCACCTCCGAGCGTGACCTGAAGAAGCTCAACTGGGCTGCCTTAGGTGTCGACTATGTCCTCGAATGCACCGGCAAATTCACCAAGCGTGACCTCGCGATGGATCATATCACTTATGGCTCAGCCAAGCGTGTCCTGATCTCTGCACCTAGCTCGGACTCGCCTACCTTTGTCTACGGTGTGAACTCGGACTTGTATACTTCTAGTGAGGAGTGTCGTGTTGTCTCCAATGCTAGCTGTACGACCAACTGCGTGACGCCTGTCTTGAAGGTCCTGCATGATACTTTCGGAATCTCACAAGGCTTCTTGACTACTATCCATGCTGCCACTCGCTCTCAGCAAGTGCTGGACGGATATAGCAAGAAGAACCGCCGTCTGGGTATGAATCACTTTGCAATACCCGGGGACATCCTCAAAAGCTAACAATAATACTCTACATCTAGGCCGCGGCGTCTTCAACAACATCATCCCCACTACCACCGGCGCTGCCAAGGCAGTTGCCGCCGTTCTCCCAGACTTGAAGGGCAAGGTGACTGGCGTTTCCATCCGTGTTCCAACGTAAGTATACACGCGTCAAAACTATACTATCACCTTAAGTATGGAAGACTAACTACATTCAGACCCAACGTCTCCATGATCGACCTCACCATCAGTACTGAAAAGCCCACCTCCCTCTCAGAAATCCTCTCCGCATTCCGCGTTGCCGCCAAGTCGGACATGGCCGGCGTCCTCCGCGTCACGGATGAAGAGCTTGTCAGCGCCGACTACAACGGCAGCCCCTATAGCGCGGTCATCGATGCTCCTGCGTGTGCAGAGCTGAACCCTCAGGTAGGCACAACTTCTCTACTTTCAATACCGATGGTGTACTAATTCAGTTTTCTATAGTTCTTCAAGATTATGGCTTGGTACGATAATGAATGGGGATACTCCAACCGCCTGCTTGATTTGACGACTTTGGTGCATGCCCAGGAGGCTTCATGATCTTTTATTTTTTGGGTTCTGGAGTTTTGGCATTTAGAGAGCATAGATTCGGTGTTTAATTCCGGTGTTTAATCTAGATTCAATTAGAATTTTGCTTGTCTTCGTTTGAAATGGCTAGACTTACGGTGTCATTGGCGTAGGGAAGAAAACACTCTTTCTTTCGACAGGAAGGGGACACATCATAAATATGAATATGTGGTAGAGGTAAAGGTAAATGACAAAAGAGATCTATTTTTTTCGTACATCAAGACATGACTCCAGGGGTATTTGGCATCCTTATCAGGATCATCTAATCCTCATCCATAGACTCCCAGCCATCGGGGGCATCAGCGGGAGCAGCATCACCACCTTCCTCAACGCCCTCATCATCCGACACCTCATCATCGGCACCGACACCAGTAATGCGCTCGGGCACATCACCAGCCAGATCAGGCATGCGCGAGACGAAAGTGCGGCGCACAGCTCCGTTGGTAGACGCATCCCAGATCTGCACGGTACCCTTGCTACCAGCAACAGCCAAGCGGAAGCTAACCTCGGCATCGGGAGCGAAGGCAGTCGAGAAGACCTTGCCAACGTCGAGCTTGCGGGAGACAACGAGACTGGGTTTGTCGTTCTCGATATTCCATAGCTTAACCTCCTTGTCCGTAGAACCGGTGACCAGGAAGCCGGGGATGGTGCGGTTGATATCGAAGGACGAGACGGAGGAATCGTGGGCCTGGAGCGACCAGACGGGCTTGGACTCGGCTGGGCTGGCGGGGACATTGCGGATATCGTAGCGGTAAACCATACCGCCGTCAGTGGTGACGTAGAAGTAGTTGGGGTCATGCGGATCCCAGCGCACATTCTCAACATCAGTGTCAACACCCCAGCGGGCTGTAGAGTCGGGGGCACGCATATCCGCGACCACCACGGTGCGGTCGTAAGAACCGCTGAGGAGGATGGTGGACTCTTTGGGGTGCCAGTCGAGCGAGCAGACCTTGTCGGTGTGGTGCGAGTAGGACTTGGCGCAGCTGGTGGTGGTCAGATCCCACAGCTTCACGGTCCGGTCTGCAGAAGCAGATGCGAGCAGGTTACGGTGCTGACGGTTGGCGGCCAGTGCCAGCACGGAGTCAATGTGGTACTCGTCGTTCGCCTTGGACTTCTTCTTCGACTTCTTCTTGGAAGGGGCAGCATTGCCCGCATCTTGGCCGCCCTGTCCCAAAATGGCATTGGGGTACATGCTGTCAACTACATCAAGATCCCAGATCTCAATGTCGGGCTCCATGGTACCGACGGCAACGAAGTTTCCAGTTTCCCGTGCCTCGCTACCCTTGCCAACGGGGATATCGAGCCACTCCAAGCAGAGAGGAATTCCAGGAAGCATGATATCGTGGTGAACATAGAGGTTGTCGGCACGATCCTCGTAGACATAGACCTCAAGATGGGCGACCTCGTCCTCGACCTTTCCAGCAAGAAGCAGGTTATCCGTAGGCAGAATTTGAAGTTCTTCGCGGTCCTCATCCTCCTCATCCTCGGGCATAACAATGTACGGGTCGGCCTCGTTGGGCTGGTGGTAGGCCAGCGACTGGACATTTCCGAATCTGGTGACCTTCTCGCCTTCCTCGTCGACATCATCGCTATCGTAGTGATCCATATCGAACTCCTTCAGGACATCGTCGTCACTACAGCCTGTTAGTCCAATGCTCGTATTCACTCCCATTGTCTATACACATACTCGGTAGACTTCATCTCATTCCCGTCCTTGGCAGTCTTCTTCTCACCCTCCTCCTCCATAGCATCGGCCTCCTTCGAGTCCTCATCCATGGCAGCATCCTCCTCACCATCATCCATCTTGCCCGCCTTGGCGGCACTCAGATCATCCTGAGCCTCCTCAAGCTGCATGCGGGCAAGCTTGGATATCCTGTTCATCTCCTCCTCGTCAATCTCATATTTAGTAGGGAACTGGGCGGCAACACCTCGCCGAACCCAGGCTGTAGTTGTGATCATCGAAGACATTGTGAATGACAATCACCAAAGCATCACCGTATCTATTTTTTATCGGAGATATTTTTTTTATCGGTGTGCTGGGAGGGGCGTTCCGCCCGGCAGAATTGAGAGATCGACTCACCGCCCGGGGATTTTGTGGTGGTCAGTCACTGTCGCTGGAGACTGCGTTCTCGAAGAATCGCCATTGCGAATTCCAGTACTCCATTCGTTACTACCAGTCATATACTTGACAAGCTGCCACAATGCATTCCCATCTTCATACCTCATACAACATCAGTATGCCAGTCCATCGATTCCAACCTTCACACCCGGCTCCGCAAGGTACCGGCCTCGTACGATCTGAGCTAATCAAAGAGCCCTATAGACTGCGAGGAGATCATGACAGCCCTCGACGAATGCCACGCCAGAGGCTTCATCTACAAAGCCCTTGGTAACTGCAACGATATCAAGCGCGAAGTCAACAAATGCCTCTCGGTGGAACGATACGACCGGGCAAAGAACAATCGCGACAACGCACGCGACAAGCGGCAGCGCATCGAGGAAATCTGGGCTAAAGAGCGGGCCTTGGATCAGCCTGCTCAGAGCCCTGCTGCAGAGACCTCGGGTGCTGCCAAGCAGTGATTTGCATCGTGGTGTGTGACGATTACCTTTGACCTTGGACTGGAGTTTTGGCGTGCTGCATTTCTTTTGGGCTATGATAATAGCCCTTTTTCATACTCCCTTCTCACTATTCATGCGCAATGCTGCGCAGAAGAGATTCTTGTACGATATGATATCTAGGGGGTTGAGTGTAAATATTGCGGGCTATGGAACCCGTCTCTCAAATGAAATTCCCAATTTAGGCAGGATGGATCACTTCTATATCAATTACCGAGTTGGTTTTGTGTCGATTCCAATAGTGTAGGAGGGCAGCTTAAACCGAGCTTGAGACTCCGTTTACTTACGACGCCTCAAATAAGACATAGATACAGAGGTTGATATTGAACTTTTAGATATAGATACCTGCCCAAACGCCATGCCGTGGATGATAGAAACAGTGCCAATACAACAACCAAAGAGAGAAAAGGATCATGCGTCAACCTCCATAGCCTCACCAGCCTCCGTCGATGGCGCACCAGCCTCATTCTCCTCGCGAGGACCACCCTTATGGTGCCGCCGTCTCCTCTTAGTCTTGGGGCCACCAGTCTCCTCACCATCCGGCTGATCACCTGCGTCATTCTCCTTCGAGGCTTCCCCACCATCACTCTTCTTAGGTGTCTTTGCAGCATTGTTTTCCGCCGGGCGCTTCTTCGATTTCTTCACGCTAAGTGGGTTCGGTCCCTTGGCCTTCTTCAATCCGGGTATCTTCTTCTTCGCTGCGCCTTCCGTGGCATCTGTACTCTTGGGCTCAGGCTCGGGCAGGCCCACACGGAACTTATCTCTTTCCACACCCTCACGGACATTCTCCGATGGCGTACTCATAGGCTCCAGGACCATGACGGAACGCTTGACGTAGATGATAGGAACACCGGGGATGGAGCGCGCACGAACGCGCAAGTTGCGGGCACGACGCAGAGCTTGTTCTTCTTCGCGCTCCTCGTCGCGCTTGCGCTTGCGCTGCTGGTTGTCATTATTGTTGCCTGACTTCTTCACGGCCGGGTCCGCGGTTGCCAGAATATAATGCTCCTTGTTCTTCTTGGCCTCCGCGTTCGGTGACAGCAACGAGAGAAGGCAGTCGATCTCATCGATAGGCTCTGACTCGGGGTTGTGTGAGCAGTGGCGGAGAGGGAGTACTGTCGGTGGGGGGAGGTGGTAGGGACGGAAGGGTTTGCCGGTCTTGGGATTGATAGGCTGAGCAGCGGTGATGGCAGCGAGAGAGCATTTGGTCAGAACTATAAAAGATTCGTTAGCTTAGCGTCCCGATACAAATTGAGCGTCAACAATATAGACGCAAGATCGAGTTTCCCCGGGGGCGGTGCTAACGTGGTTTGATCTTGCCCTGGACTGTCCTCTCCAGCGCAGGCAAAAGGTCCATCTTGAAATTGTGCACCTGCTGCAGGAAATTCGAGTCCACTGTTCATCTCCAAGTTAGCATACTGATTCCGCTAGCGGCGTTGGGAAAGATCTCGTACCAAGCACTTGGTATGGATCACGGAAGCCGAATGTGAGCTCATACTGGTGCATAAGCTTGCGATACTTCTTGGAACGTTTGGCCCTCATTTTGCAAGGTGGGGGTCAAGGAATTGAATGTTGAAGTCGATGGGGTGCGGAGACTGTTGCGCTGTAGTATCGACGAAACTTTTTTCATTTTGCCGGGCGGCGGTCGAGGCGGTGATGTGGTCTGTGCGGAGGACTATCAGAGGTTGAAGTATGCATACACCTGACCACACACCATCGCAACGGTGTTCAAGATTCTAATTCATTTTCGAGAGGACCATGAGTTTAATGAAGACTTTGATTACTTGTATCCGGGATTCTAAAACAAAGCTGAGATAAGAAACAAGCCCAAAAACCAAGGTACACCTTGTTCTATGCAAAACCACAAAAGCCTCTGGAATTCCACCAACACCGTTCATTCGAAAGATAGAAAGATAAAATGATTCGTAGAGTCGTAAGATCGAGGCAACAATCTCTTTTGTGTATGCCTCTTGGAAATATGTATGTCTTTTTGAAGACACTATGGGCGTGGTCGCTTTCATCCAATTCGGACGAGTCGAGATGCATCTCTGATGCCAGGCGTTGATGATCCAAGTATGACAGGCTTGGAGAGTGAATAAAACCTGTGTGATCCAGGGGATCTGAGACCTAATGATCTAGTCGTCCATCTCTTTGAGTCGTGTGACACTGAACCGCCAGGTAGGCCTCAGATGCCCCAGATCAAACATTCAGGTCTTTCTTTGCTCGTCAGTCATGTTCTGGCTTCACTGGTTGAAAGTAAGATTATGAGTTGTCTGCTGATAGATGAAACGATGCCGATCATCTGGCGCGTTTCTGACAAGATGCGACCACAACGGAGATATCGTCCATTTTGCCTGTGCATAATCAGTATACTACCCTCATGGAACATGGATCATCCAATATTCGACTCACCACCTTCAATGGCAATACCCTCATCCACCGCCTTCTCCATATATGGACTCTCCGCAAAAGGATCCCGGGCAATGTTCAAAGCTGCATTCAGCAGCTCCCTGGCTACATAGACCATGCGATCGTCAGACAACTCGGGAGAAGGGGCCTGATCTTTGGCCTGGACATGACCCGCGTCCCATTTCTTCAAGCTATCTTGTACGATCTTCTGCACCTCGTGTTCCCACAAGTTATCCATCACGCCGTCTGACAGCGCAAGCACAATGTCATTCTCCTGGAGAGCCACTTTGGACAGCACAGCGTCCTTGCGCGGGGTATCGACACTGTTTGTGCCTAGTTGCATAGGGCAATCAAACCAGTGCCATTGCTCTATCGTCCGGAAAAGGACCTTGTCTTCGCTCGGCCGGATCACGAGTATCTTGCAGTCGCCCAGGTTGGTCACGTAGAGGAGGGGTTTCTGAGTACCGTCGGTATCGCGCGTCCAGTGTAAGAGTGCAGTGGCTGACGTTGTCGTACCGAGCCACTGGGTTGGTGTGGTAGTCGCACGAATTGTCTCTTCGTACGCGGTCTGGAGATATTCGATGGGGTCGAGGGTGGTCGCATTCGCAGAGACTCGGCGCTCAATCTCGAGAGCCCAAAAGTGTAAGAGGAGACGGGACCAGAGTCTGAAGAAGAAGAAGCAAAAAAGCCTACATGTCAGTATATACAACGGTAGAGATAAGGCTTCTTCAAGGGGGATCAACTCACGCAGCATGGCCATGAGGCTTTGTCGCCCAGGCGCCTACCCCGTCGTCCACTCCCAGAAAGTTCTCCGCGACGATGATGGCATCGTCTCCATTGTTTAGACCGCGAACCAGTTCACCCCTCACGGATAATCTCTTATCCTGGCTGAGCGAGTGCGTCGTCAAGGGATCAGAAAAGGACGAAGACGGCGGCGACAAGAAAGGTGGAGGAAACGGGCGTGGGGGTCGTTTGGCGCAGAGCGCATAGCCTGTCTCGAAGCGAAAGGGAGATTGCGCAAGACCGAGAAGCTGGCGCTCGGGGACGGGCGTCGTGATGCCATATGAGGGCCACACTGCCGCGTGGAATCGCCGTGCCGTCGGGTGGTGGGCCAGACCCTGAACCGAATGAACCGGGGTGGTTAAAGTGCCTCTGCGACTTAAAAGTAAAGACGCTCCCACGCCAGCTCCGGCTGCTGCTGTTCCTGCGATCCACCGTCTAGTCGGCCATGGTAATGATGAGAGAAGTGAAGGTGGAACCCCTGCCGTGGTGACCATCCCTGACTGGGCGCCTCTCCGCGCACCAAAGGCCAGAGGGTTGAGGGTGGGTGGGTTCACTGGGGCCGTTAAGTCATGGCCTCCGCTGGGAAAGGGAGGATTGAAGGTTGAAAATCGATGATGGGGATGATCGATGACGGAAGATGAGAGAGATGACTGATGACTCCGAGGGGCAGAAAGCCAGAAAGAGAGAGAAAGAAAAAATTGCCAGGGCTGTTTGTTCACCGGGGCCGATCGAGGCATCGCGAAGTTTCACTGGCTTTCAGCGCCGACGCTCGTGCTCTGCTCTACACAGTACCGCGTGTCATATGAAGATGCGGCCACCTCCGCGCGATGACTCCTTCAGGGTCATTCCCAGATCTTCATGCAGATTCGGATGCCTCTGGAATGGTCTATTGCTCACTAGCGATTATCTTGGTTCATTTCTATTGCCAATATTACAACATCTTTGGAGCACCGAGAATGACCGAGGCTCACAAGCCGAATCTGGCAACTACTTCCTGGAACTATACAAAGTATACACCACTCAACCCACTGCCTGAAACTTAACAGCCACAGCAAAGGGTCCCGGAAGAGTCATCTAAATAATATCAACTTCCTCGCGCCGTTGAAAGATCTGCCGCGCGTTTTCCTGTGTGTGGTCAAAAGCTCGAAGGCCCGTCAGAGACTAGAGCTAGTTCATAGGCACCGCTAGAATCTATCATTGAACCGAGTCGTAGAATTGTAGAGAAAACAGAATGCTAGATGCTGGATTTGAAATAGGATGCTGGGGGTGATGAAAGCACATCGATCCCCATCCATGGCTCCATTTGCGAAATACTATTCATCATGTTTACTCGTGAACTGTGATGTTTGTCATGTCTCATCTCTTCATCTGTCGCAGATAACAGCATAAGAGTCACTCCCATCAAGCCTGCTTACCCCAGCGCTCCTTCTGAATCTCCAACTCAAAAACCGCAAACGCCTCGCTCCACTCGAGGAGGAAAGTCTCGTCTGAGACGTCCCGTCGAAGCATAGCAAACGACTCCCAGCACGCACGAGCAGCCGTGTTCGCACGAGTAGTAAAACCAAATCGGCCGGGCCCTTTGCTGAGACGAGCCGTCATGAGGCGTACGTATCGTTCAGAGCATGGACAAGCACTCTCCACATAAAGGGTGCACTCTTTAGCACACAGACAGCTCGACGTACAAATACATTTGTGACATTTGGCCGAGTTCAGCAGTCGGATCTTGGGATCGTCACGACGCTCCTCTCCAATCGCCCTGCCTTCCAATTTGCTCAAGCTGGCCAGTCGATAGTCAACAATGAGTTCTTTCTCCCATTGCGCCGGATTGACTCGTTTGAGGTCAATGAAAGGGAGTTCGGAAGAGGGGACATCGTCAGGAAGTGTAGCCTTGGGCATAACGGTGAACCATTTCTCGGACATGAGAATCAGGATCTCTCTGGGGATGGAAGGGAAAAAAGGGACCAGAAAGCGCCATTTGGTCACGTACGCAGAGCAGGGATCCCAGACAACATTTCGAGCGAACTGACGGTAGCCTAACAGGTCATCGGGATTGAGCCCATTCCCAGCTTCCTTTGTCGCAAAACAGCTAATAAAGGCATCCTGCCATCTATGCACGACTCCTTCCTGAAGCAACTCGCAGACATTGTAATTGTCAAGGTTGTCTTTGCAAGCGAGAAAGATTCGGTACATGTGGTTTGGATCGGGAAGGTGGTACTGTCGAGAGCCAGCCACGGGCCGCAATTCGACTTTGAAGAGAGCGCAGAGTTCGATGCCGGCCATTTCGATGATCATTCGGGAGTAGAGCGCATAGAAGAGGTTCTCCACAATCTCAATCAGAACGGCGAGCTCGCCAGTTCGGACGTCTCTCTCCGCGCGCTTGATCCAGTACAGCAGGCCCGTTTCAGTGTCATCAAGCTACGCAACGATAAGGATTGTTAGTAGATGGATCCACTCGTACATACCAGTTCTTGACAAACCTCAACACCGAAACTCAAGAAGATCACATGCATGACTTTGGCCATCGCATAGACCTTGACGAAGACCTTGAGAACGCCGTCGAATGAGTACGCTAGCTGTACCTCGTTCAGGTCGTCCAGCGACAGTACCCTCCCAACTGAACCCGGAGAAGAGTCGGACGTCGGTATCAGCACCCACTCACCACTGCTCACCGCATAGGGACGAGAGTGGCGGCGGTTTGGCGACATCTACTTCGTGTCAGTCAAACCTTGAAAGATCATTTTGAAACATCTCTTCAGCAAAGGAGAGGTAAGTGAGAGGAGTTGACAGGGTAAGCTCACGAGGTAATACTCGGCCAGGTCCTCCTTCTTATCATCGGACGGCGGCAGGACCGGGGAACGAACATCCTCCTCTTTCGAGTAGACCGAGGGCGAGTACTGAGAGAGCCGTTCAGTCTGCTCCTCGGTCAGGTCCTCCGCCGCGTGGGTCTGGGCTGTCTGGTCGGTGCGCATGGAGGAGTGCGCAGAGACGAACTCATCGAAGGTGCTGGTGGTCGACTGAGCGCTGTTGCCACGCTTCAGACGAGCTTTCCACGTCGAAGCACTCCAGAAGTGACTCTTACTCTGTGTACTCATGGTACACGCGCGGGGTGTGAACTTTGGGTGTTCTAGTTGTCGGGGTTTATCGCAACAGAGAGTGTAGTCAGATGACTGTCAGTGAGCGATACAGGTTGTTGTGATGAAAATGGAAAGTCGTGAAGAAGAAGGATACTCGAGAGGGAAAGAAGGGGAAAGAAAGAGAAGGTGCGTGTCTGGCTGGCTCTCGCAGAAGTGAGGCATCAGTAGTGACAGAAAAGGAAGGCAGTGGCATCTGCCAGCCTGCTCCTCTCAGAGTTGCCTACCGCCGATTCCTCACAAACAATTGAGATCTCATCTCCAATTCTCCAAGTAAGTGACCGATCAAATATACAATTCTGCTTGAGATACTACCGAAGGAAAAGCAAGGATGGGGTAATCAAAATGCTTTGTTGGTTCGTAAACGCTCGCCTCCGGGTAATATCAACATAAAGCCACAAGAAATCTAGCTCTGAACACGGAATGTCCGGCCACTTGCCGTCTTACGCTCGCGCTCTTCGTTCTCGGGTCTGGCACGGTTGAGAACTATAATGAATTAGCAACATGATAAAGTAGGCAATTGTAGTATTCATACCTTGGAGGAAGTCTGCCGTGCGCTTCCTCATTCGAGTGTGGATGTATGCCTGCATAAGGAGTCAGTCATTGAATCCCACAAAAGCTGCTTGGATCAGACAAGTTTGTCATACCTTAGAGGCCTTAATGTGGTAGTGGAAGTAGTCACGGAAGGTCTGGATGTGGGAGATGTTTTCGTAGCGCCGCTGGGGGGTCAAGTGTCGAGGGAATAGCACTACCAGGCAATGGTTAGTGACAACGTCCATTCAGCCTGTAGAATCGAAGAATATCTGGTCACTTACCAAATGTGACGTAGCTCATCTCACCCTCGCCCACTTTCTTGAGTCCAGGGACTCCCTCAAGCTCGAGAGGGGGATCACTGCGGAACAGCACCTGAGGCGCGTTCTGTAGGGTGACAACACGGCGGCGGGCGTCGACAAATTCCTACGAAATGTCAGCACCCAGTTCAAGTATGCAGTTTCTCCAATCGCATTTATCACACGAACCTGTAGAAAGACCTTGCCGAAGATCCGATCCGTCTCCTCCCGGAACACAGTGCTGAAGATCACTGTGACACGGTCATAGCTAGCCTTGATGTAGATCGCTTCCTCCTCGCGATAATGAATCGCCATGACCTCTCCACCTTCCTTCATACCCTGGGGCGCCGACTCGGAAGTGTACTGCGAAGCCTCCTCCGCAAGCTTCGCGAACTCATCAAAGGCCCGTTCGAACGGAGCTGCCATGGCGTTCCGCTTCAGCAGGGCGAGCTTCATAATCAGCTCATCCTTGGCTTCTTGCTCTGCGGGGAGGTTCTCGAGGTCGATCTGTACTGAGAAGTCGTAGCCCGGCTCCGGTGAGACGATGTAGGGCCCATACTCGCGCTCCAGCACCTCCTGGGCGCCGTACTGAACGAGCTCCTTGAAACACTTCACATTGATTGAGATAAGGATCTTGGTCTTGGATTCGGGGGTCGAAAGGTGGAAGGTCACGCCATCGAAGTCGGAGACCACTTGGTCAATCGAAACCGGGGCAGCACTGCGGGCAACCGTTAGCTTGGGGGCCTTGGGGGGGGTTGTTGTGTATACAATGAGGGGGTATGTGAGGAGGCGGGCAGTTAGGCAAGGGGATTGGTACCCAGAGAACCGCTCCGTGAGGAGCGATTGAATCAAAGCGTTCTGATAATCCAAGAGAAGCATGGTGGGCAGCACAATGGAGTGGAATCACGAGAGGTTGGTAGTTGGGGGAGGCACGTATGCGATCGTCATGGGCGGTGGGGGAACCGGACAGGTCGCTGTCGCCGCCCGTATTAATTTTTGTGCTATCGATAGCAGATCGGAGTCTCCAAAAATTTTCCCATCAACCCTGCGACGATGGTGAAATCGTACTTGTAAGTGTTACAAACTGGGATTGTGGTATCTTAAAGCTGACTTTATTTTCTCTTAGAAAATTCGAGCACTCCGAGACCTTCGGGCTCATCGCCTCGGCGTCGTCCAATGCGATCTGGGCGAAGGACGAGCAGACACCAGGTGCTGCTCGCCAGACGGGCGCCGGCCGGGCAATTGTGGGTGCAAGTGAAGAGGTCTTGTGCTGGGATGTCAAGAAGGGTGAATTGCTAGGCCGTTGGCGCGATTCTGTCTGCAGAGCGCAAGTGACGGTCGTCACGCAGAGTCAGACAGATGAAGATATCTTCGCCGTCGGGTAATAACCCTAGCGGAAACCCAACCCGATCAATTTACTGACTATATCTTGCTATAAATTAGTTATGAAGATGGCAGTATCCGTATCTGGGACTCAAGAACCAGCACAATCATCATTTCGTTCAACGGTCACAAATCTGCGGTCACCCAGCTGGCCTTCGACAATGCCGGTGTGCGCCTCGCCAGTGGCTCGAAAGATACCGATATCATTCTTTGGGACCTGATCGCCGAGGTCGGCATTTTCAGACTTCGCGGACATACCGACCAAATCACGTCTTTGAACTTCCTTTTCCCCTCGACAGAGCTCCTCAATGCCTCCGGGCTCAGCGAACACGCCGGGTTCCTATTGACTACCGGCAAGGACTCGTTGATTAAGGTGTGGGACCTGGCATCGCAACACTGTATTGAGACGCACGTGGCACAAACAAATGGCGAGTGCTGGAGTTTGGGTCTGTCGCCTGACCAAGGTGGTTGCATTACGGCCGGCAATGATGGCGAACTGAAGGTCTGGTCGATTAATGAGAGCGTCATGCTTGAGATCTCGAGGGAAAAGGTTGCAGCCGAAGGCCAACGGATTCTCACGGACCGAGGCACCTTTAACAGGAATGGCAAGGATCGCACGACTGGCATTCGATTCCATCCTCGTGCGGACTACGTGGGTTTCCATGGCTCGGAGCGGTCGGTTGAGGTTTGGCGGATTCGTTCCCAGACAGAAGTCCAGAAGGCCATGGCTCGCAAGCTGAAGAGGAGAAAGGAGAAGGAGGCTAAGCGTGAGGACAAGGAAGATGGCACAGTGGCCGAGAAGGAGAAAATCGAGGATCCTTCATCCGCCCCAGTCACTGAGGTGTTCATCCCCCATGTTATTGTGCGAACTGGCGGAAAGGTTCGCTCATTCGACTGGATGGCCACCAAGTCTAGTGGTGGTCTCAGCCTTCTTGCCGCGACGACAAACAACCAGCTGGAGTCCTACAGCGTGGTCACAGCGAACAAAAAGAACAAGGACGAGGAAGATTCTGACTACACCAAGAGTCTTGCCGTCGATATCCCCGGCCACCGAGCAGATATTCGGTCAATTGCACTGAGTTCCGAGGACCGGATGCTTGCTTCCGCATCAAATGGAAGTCTGAAGATTTGGAATGTTCGCACAGGCACTTGTCTGCGTACGCTCGAGTGCGGTTATGCCCTCTGCTCTGCCTTCCTTCCTGGCGACAAGATCGTGGTGGTAGGCAACAAGAACGGCGAGTTAGAGGTGTTCGACATTGCGTCTTCTACCTTACTCGACACAATCAAGGCCCACGATGGTCCTGTTTGGTCCCTTCATGTGCACCCTGATGGCAAGTCTATGGTCAGTGGAAGTGCGGACAAGACAGCCAAGTTCTGGGAATTCAAGGTTGTGCAGGAGGAGATTCCTGGTACCAAGCGCACGACACCACGCCTCAAGCTGGTTCACACAAGAATGCTCAAGGTCAACGACGACATCCTCAGTCTGCGTTTCTCTCCCGATGCACGCCTGTTGGCGGTGTCTTTGCTGGACAACACCGTCAAGGTCTTCTTCGTCGATTCATTGAAACTCTTCCTCAACCTCTACGGCCACAAGCTTCCTGTCCTAAGCATGGACATTTCTTACGACAGCAAAATGATTGTCACTTGCTCTGCTGACAAAACCGTTCGTCTCTGGGGTCTGGACTTTGGTGACTGTCACAAAGCCTTGTTGGCCCACGAAGACAGTGTCATGGCAGTTGCGTTCGTTCCCACCAACAGAGAACAGAATGGTCACAACTTCTTCAGTGCTAGCAAGGATCGGGTGATTAAGTACTGGGATGGAGACAAGTTCGAGCAGATCCAGAAACTCTCCGGCCATCACGGAGAGATCTGGGCGCTGGCCATTAGCCACGATGGCGAGTTCATCGTCAGTGCGAGTCACGACAAGAGTATCCGCGTCTGGAAGCAGACCGATGAGGAGTTGTTCCTTGAGGAAGAGCGTGAGAAGGAAATGGAAGAGGCATACGACAGCACTCTCACTGCCTCTCTTGAGCGAGATGAAGATGATGAGGACGGCGAGAAGGCAGAGGCCGTCGATGCTGGCAAGCAGACTACCGCTACCCTTATGGCGGGTGAGAAGATCATGGAAGCACTAGATCTCGGCATGGAGGATTTGGAAGTCATGCGTGAATGGCGCAAAGTCCAGGCCAGGAACCCCAAAGCAGGTGCTGCACCTCCCGATCGCAACCCGACATATATCGCACTGGGCAACATCTCTGCAGAGCGACACGTTCTGAACACCGTGCAAAGGATCCCTGCCGCGGCCCTGCAAGATGCCCTCCTGGTTCTGCCATTCTCCAAGCTTCCCTCGCTCTTCACCTTCCTAAACATCTGGGCCGAGCGCGAGTGGAACGTGCCTCTCACCTGTCGCGTGCTGTTCTTCATGCTGAAGACGCACCACCGCCAGATTGTGACCAGCAAAATGATGCGCCCGATGCTTGATAGCATCCGCGTCACGCTGCGCCGGGTCCTCGCCCGCCAAAAGGACGAGATGGGTTTCAACCTGTCCGCGCTGCAGATCATTGGCAATCAGATTCGCGAGCACAGCACCAAGGATTACATCGACGAGGAGGCTTTCGCATCAGCACAGGCGAGCAAGGGAACTGGCAAGAAGCGTCAATTCAGGAACATCGCTTAGTGGAAGCGAGAAATGTTCTGAGCATTGTCAATGGGCGTTGTGGGTCATTTGTTGACCTTGTTTTTTTTACTGGAAGTTCTTGCATGTTTGGTTTTTCTACAAAAAGTTCTATATCCTTGGGAGTTTAGAGAAAGATCAAGGGATGTATTATACTAAAATAGTTTCTGAACATAGCTTCATTCCTATGGGAATTCTATTTCGCGTGGGCAACTCAATCAATGAAATTGCCAACGTATATCCTAAAAAAGAGTCTACCCTGCTCAACTCCCCGAATCTATCCATTAATAAGTGTACTGCAACCTCCTAACAACGGTCAAAATTCCTATAAGAGCGAGATGGCATTAGCAACGTATCTCACAATATTTCTTCCCCTCCTCAAGACAGCGAGGAGACAAAAGAACAGCAAGCCTCAAAACTCCTTCAGCAGAACCATTATAAGCATCGACGACAAACGGAATCCTCTTTGGGCCCTATTTGTCATACCTCTTCCGGCTCTTCCTAAAAATTCGGTTCATTGAAAAGGTCTCATCATTTAGAGCTTTTCGGCTTGCATTGTTCTTTTCGTCCCTCACATCTTCCGAAGAACACGAATTGTAGGTGGACGTACCGATCAGTGTAAGCATCCAGCATGGAAGGAGCGTCTAGGACATAACTAGACTCTTTCCATGCTGGGAAATTCGCGTCTAGAAATCGCAAACATCGTGTGTGTACGGAGAGAAGAAAGGAAGGAGGAAAACGAATGTCCGCAAAAATAATCAGGTGGGTGGAGCTCATGCTTAGTCATGTTGGTGCTGTCTGTCACGTGATATTTACACCGAAGCTAGGTATTTGATGTACAAAGGGAATATTGCACGAGATAGAGTAGGGATATTCGCGTATTTTCAGATCATGAACTTCGTGATTCTCGTTATATGCTCCTCCGGGCATAGACAGGTAGTCCAAACATTGCTGGTGTCAAGATGATGGCTTCATTTTTCCACAGCAGGAACAAGTCCACCACTGGCTCTCCATGAAACTCCCACATTGATCGCATAGCCAACCTAGTGGTCTTTTATTAGTGTCGCGGTGGAGTGAGGCAAGCGTATCCAGAGCCCGGCTACGATTTCTGAATGCAAAATTGTTCCTTGGAGTAGCTTCATCCTTCTCTTCTTCTCCGTCGACTTGCAAGATTCGTTTCTTCGCTTTCTGAGGCTCTGGGTTGGAACGGACAACAGGGGCTTGCTGCCGTGGCGTAGCGGTGGGCTTTGTATCGGAAGGGACCGGCCTTTCTGCAGAGCACACATCGCAGCAGAGGAAATTGGGTGGGTTTTCGAGGGTACAAGTCGCGCAAGTCCACGGCGAGTCATACGATCTGTTGTCTGCGGCGGAACTTGACGTTGCAGAATTCTGCTCTGAATATGGGCCTGATTGCGATTTTGCCACCGTCCCGGGAGATTCAGACAGGTCTATTAGTTCACCCGTTCTGGGGCCGGCAGGATTCTCTTGACTCGGAAGAATGTACGAATCTCCGTATTTTTCTCTTTCCTCCTCTTGGATCAGTTCGATAAAGGCTTGCAGAATAGCCTGTTCATTAGCATCGTCCTCTTCAGCCTTTGTCCTGAACCCATTTCTAGAAGCCTCCTCAGCGAGCTCGTCGCTACGGTCGGTTCCCGAGGCACATCCATTAGTGACTTCGATACGGCGTTGGGCAGCATCTGCGCGAAGTTTGCGTATGTCTGTACCCCGAAGAACGGGGGCGCCGCCGAGTCTTTTGCCAGAATTCTTGGCCAAGGTCTTTCGCTGCTCAGCAGCTGCGCGCCCCCTGCGGCGTGCCTCATCAAGCGGGATTCTGCTCCCGCCTAGGCGTTTGCCTTGAGATAAAAAGCCTTCGCCTGTGTACCCCTTCATGACAAGCTCTTCATGCTCATCTCGAAGTTGATTCCATAGTGCGTGAAACTGGCGGTCGTGTGGTCCATGCACAATATGACATAGTCTGGTATTCATTGTCAGAAAGAGTCATGAGATCGTATCTATCGGGGTGACTTACTCGTGTAGCATCGTATCCACCACTTGTTCGATGGGCAGGAATTGCCGTTGATCAGAAGCATATCGTAATCTCAAGCATATTTTTTGCCCATAGTTTACATTCAACCCCAAGAGATTTTTCTGCGACGGGTAAAACTCGCATAACGCACCGACCCTCCATGCGCGTTGACGCATGATAGGTTTGACCAACGATGCGACTTTGCGTAGGATGAACAGTGCCTCCGATTCGCGTGGACGTTTCTTCTCATGGCGATATTCGGAGATAAGTGCGTCTAGCTCTCGCATTTTGAAAGCGAATCAAAGAAGTTTCGTTGTGAAGATGAACGACAGGCTTGCGCTAGGTCAAGGGACACTGAGGCTGAGGCCTCCCAGAGGGTATCATTCTCGGACAGTTGAAAGGGTGAAAATCAACGAATACACATTTAGAATACGGAGGACCAACAGAGAACCAGGGAGAAAGGGGTTGTAAGCTGAACTCAAACAAGATGCCACGAACCAGGCAGTGGCACCTGCAATTGATAATCAACCCTGTTGATGGCCTTACTGTGGCCTTGAGTCTCAGGCCATTGGGGTCACGTGAAGTATGAAGAAACACTCTCTTGATTCATTTCACAAATATTTCTAGTCCTGGCGGCAGTATATGAGACAAAAATAACACTTTCAGCGCTTTGAAGCAATAAGCTAGGTCTCAGTATCTACCTAATACTGTTGTGCTTCCAAGTAGCCTCCTTCTTGGAGTAGGTGCATATTCAAGTGAATCTGTTAGGGACACCCGCTCGAGAATATACCTTTTGATGCCTTGCGTGGACTGGCATATCAAAGCATTCTAAAGTTATTTCATTGACATGAGGACTCAATATATAAACAGTTAGGAGTAAGAAGTTCTAATTGTCTAGTAATCTTCTACATTTGCAACCGCTATCCTACAATCTGTATCTTTAACCACCTGACATCGTCTACAACAGCAGTGTCTACTTAATCATGTGACCTTTAGAGAAAGTGGAGATGTCCTCAACTTATCGGCCGCTCTGGGCTTATCGTCCGCCTTTTTCGCTCTCCAAGATTTACCAAACGCCAACATGACGAGCGACGATCAGTTCTTCTTTGACTACGTGGGTGATATCGATATCGGCACATTTCAGAATCCCCCTTTGTGCTGACAGGTTGCATCTTTACAGCTCGCGTCCATACCGCATGACGTAAGGCGATACTCTCTGCAAGTCGCCGACTCAATCGACCGTCAAGTCGACTGGGCAGCGGCCACCATCCGAGAAACCCTTGCACAACAAACGTGGCTGCCATCATCTGTTCGACCGACGTTGCGCATGCGGGATATGCGCTCCCCGCCTCGTGGTTTGACTGATCGGGCGCAGGACTGGATGGCTCGGCATCGTGCTCTGACTGCGGCTATCGTTGCTTTCGTTGGCACTGGATGTGTCTTGCTGTATGGGAACAAAAAGCTGAACAGCAAGCGGAGGAAGGCTAGGAAGGCTGGTAATGGGTCGCGAAAGGAGATTGTTGGTACGTTGGGGGGCACTTTACAGCCGGCTACATCTGTACCAGAGGTTGATTTGCTAATGCTCGATATCAGTGGTTGCCGGATCGCCGCATGAACCGATGACACGAGCTATTGCTGCCGATTTGGAGCGCCGGGGATACATCGTTTATGTGACGGTATCGTCTGCTGATGAGGAACACATCGTACAGTCCGAGCACAGGGCAGACATCAAAGCCTTGTGGCTGGACTTGACAACGGTTTGTCTCAACTGAAAGCATATACACTAGGATATTGGTTCTAACATTAGTCCAGACCTCGTCGAACCAGTCCGAACTCCACCCCTCACTCCATGAGCTTCGCGCCCTGATCACCCAGCCTCAATATCCTCTCCCAGGGATGGCCCCGCATAACTGCCAGCTAAGCGGTGTCATCATTGTACCCTCACCAAACTACGCTGCCGGACCGGTTGCGACCATCCCAGCATCATCATGGGCCGACACCGTCAACACCCGCCTCCTCTCTCCCATTCTCACCGCGCAGGTTTTCCTGCCCCTCTTGACTCTCCGCAGCAACAGCAGCTCTCTCATCTTCGTCTACCCATCCATCTCATCATCCCTTTCCGCACCCTTCGCCGGGCCGGAAGTCACAACGACGCGGGCGATTTCAGGCTTCGCGACCTCCCTCCGCCAGGAACTCCGTCTCCTCGAGAACGGAAACGTTGATGTTGTCGAGCTCCGGCTCGGAAATATCGATCTGGGCCCGTCTTACCGAAACGCGCAAAATCATATCGCTGGGACGGAAGTGTTGGCGTGGAGCGCGCAACAGCGGGCGTTGTACGGCCCTCAATATCTAAACAGCGTTGAGCAGCGACCGGTTGCGTCGGTGGGACCTGCTGCGATTCGCGGCTCTCCAGCACGGGTCCTTCACCACGCCGTGCTGGATGCCTTGGAGCCGGCGTCTCGGAACATCTTAGGACGTCGCGCGCATAAGAAAGCAGTTCTGTACGTAGGCCGCGGTGCGCGGTCGTACAGCTTGATTGGTGATTGGATGCCCAGCGGGTTGGTAGGCTTGATGATGGGCTATCGCAGTGGACAGGTCGTGGGAGTCGGCAGCCCTAGCAGCGGCAGTGAGCACAGCTGGGAGCGAGTTTAAGTAACTCGGCTTCTCTGGTTCACTCCTCGAGCTGACTATTTCTTCGCCTGTCCTGTCGGACGGAAAAAAAGGGATACACTCTTTACTCTAATATCTGGAAACTATGACTGAGCTACGCTACTCTGTACGCACTATCAACAAATACTCTTCGCTCTTGAATGGAACCAATTGAATTGGTTCTTCTGATTAACATTACTCCAGGTAGAAATTAGAACATCAACGATCTAGTCTTGTTAATGGTAAACTAGGGTATGTAAGTTTGCAGCAATTTGGTCTCAATTCATCCTCCAACATCACCTACTACACCTTCACCTCCATCGACGAGTCGCGCAGAACTCCCGAGCCCGCATGTCCATCCCGACCATACAACGGATCCCGTGCGGCACGCTTAATCCTCCCACCGGTCAAGTAGACACGCAGACGGATCAGCGACCAAGAAATCAAAAAGATGACCACTGAAGCAGCGAGAATTCCGAAGCAGTATCCCGCGACGGTACCGCTCTTTTCCCCATGGGCGCCGGGGTCGAGGAAGGAATAAGTGTAGAAGCCCTCCGTGTGGAAGGTGATGTACGCGACACACAGGTAAAGCGCCAGCAGCAGGATGAGCACCGGAATAGCCATCCAGGGGTGGGGAGCCGTGGCGGGGAGGATAATTTCCAGCAGGGCGTACAGGGAGTTGAGGCCGTGTTGGGAGATCTAGATTGTGCATTGTGCTATAAGCTTCCGACATGATCTTTTCTCGGGTGCCAAACGAGGTTCGAGGAATGCAGGGGGATCGCGGGGAAGGTGAAACATGCAGCCAACCCTCGCACGAGGTAGGTACTGGAAAAGTTGGAACGCAGGTTCCTCGCGATAGGGCTGAAAAGACACAAAACAGACATACATTGGACCAACCGGGAAAAATCTCCTTATAGAACGGCGGCTTAAACAGAATCGCCCAAAAGACGATCGTCACCAGAAACGGAAAGGTAGTGATCGTCGTATACAACAAGCCATGGAGCACGCGAAAAGCACGGGGCCAACGATCGAGCAGTACTGAGCGGCCCGTCCGCGCATAACAAGCTGTATGAATTGCCGCGAAAAGCTGGTAAAAGCCCAGTCCCCAGTATGTCAACCAGGTGAAGTAGCTGAAGGACTGGCCAATTGCGACGCGGTCGCCGTGGGTGCCGTCCCAGGCCCAGATCACGATGATGGTGGTGAAGATGTACAATGCGATCAGGCCGCGCAGACCAGCGAGGACGGCCGGGGGGAGGAGCCAGGAGGTTTCGAAGCGATGGAGGGAATCGAGGCTGGGGTCTGCTCCGAAGAGCGTTGCGCAGGGGACGCGGCGCATGGTTTTGGTGAAAATTTGTGTGCGCTTGCTCGGTGGTAGGGGGGGGGGTTTCGCTGCTTTTGGACGGAGTGTAGTGGAGGAGGAGTCTGGGGAGGAGTTGGGATGAGGGGAGCGCGTTGGTTATACGGAGATTGATTCCACCAAGGCAGTGAGGCCCCCCTCTAGATAGACTACAGGTGGAGGCGCAAGTTCCAGAGTACGAAGTGGAAAAAAGTAAAAAAAAAAAAGGCTTGTGCTGGCAACTATAACCGCCATGTGAAGAATACAGTAAGCGGTGGTTGCTTTGGGGGAAGCTCCATTCAGTTGACCCGCAAGCAGGTCGGGTCGAGGAGCTCGCCCACCACCAAAGCCTATTTAACAACAAAGTTGATTCACCAGTCCAATTACTCAAGGACTACTTAAGCGACGGCGTATTTGCTGTTAGTTCAACTACTAGATACTGGAAAGAGCTAGTATTGCCCACTAAAGCCCCAGGCCCCCCACAGATGCGAAATCCATTAAGCATCGGATTGGCCTCGAGGCCCGGCTGGGACCTCCTTAAGTGGGAACAGTCTCCGACTGATGGGGGCCGAGTTTGAGAGCAGAATATTGTTCATGAGAGAGAGCAGAGAGAGAGGAATAATAATAGTTGGAATGATCGAGGCTCGGAGGGGTTGAAACGACGAGTCGATCTGTACGAAACACAAAGTTTGGAGAAGAGAACCGTCTGCCCTATAGCCGGAACTAAGTTTCACCAAATTTAGTTCACAATAGGCGTCATAAGAAGGCTACAGTAGGAACAGCGTGGATAGATTATTGGATTGTACTCGATATGTCTCGAATATCGGAACGCCTATCACCAGTTCGATCCCTAATTCAGATTCAGACAAAGCGACGAACTACTGGCTTGGAGGAGAAATCAAGTCACATATAGTCTCATCCATTTCTCCAGCGTGGACCCGTCGAAAGGTCGAAACTCCTTCGGAACTGCAGAACGCGAGCCAAATTAAGAAACGGGCCCCACAAAAACCCGCCCGATTGGCGTAGGCTGCCATGCCGTGGGCCCGAAGGTTTGTGGCGACTGGATATGCTCGGCTTGAGGAGACCGTCATGAAACCGTGTGGGGGAGCCACGAAGTCCTTTGGAGACTCCATCAGAAAGTCAATAGGAGACGGGACGAAAGGTTTCTAGAAGGCTAGCTGATGATGGAGGTCATGGACGCCCTTTTAGGCTCTGTCATATTAAATCGCATCGTCGAGAGTTGTCACCGGCATTAGATCTATGAGAGGCATCATCTTCTCCATGAGCCTAGAAGGTGTTAGACCTCTGCGTAACTGTAAGACACATAACGTACTGGAGTATCGACCGTGGTGGACGGCGTCAATAGCAGCGAGGATGCTGACTGCGGGATTCTTGGCGACCCCCTGAGCCACTTCAATGCAGCCCAGTCACGGGTTTGATTGGCCCCCCCCCTCAACTTCCAAACTGACCAGACAACTACAGTACTCTGGTCGAACATACAGACACCTTTTCTTTCCTCCCTCTCTCTCTCTCTCTTCCACCTCCCTCTGCTCTTTAGCCATGGCTTCTTGGCTTTGAGTATTCTGATTTGACTGACACTGAGAGAAAGCAGTGGAGCCCCCAACTGTCCACTTCGTCCACTTCGTCGTCTCGTGCACGGCCCTTGACCACGACTGCCCTCTTCCAGTTGCATTGTGATCGTCAGGGCCTCGCCCGTTTTTCGCTCTCCTTTCTCCTGTGACGCACCTCCCGCCCATTGTTATTCCCTCTTCCATGTCTCATCCCGACTCTTGACCTTTCTCTTCCCTTTCTCTTTCCCCCCCCCCCATCCGTCCAGGGCTGTCATTCCTTTGGCCTCGTCGCCTCCCCGCCCAAAGAATTCCGCAAAGCCCCTCCTCCTTTCCTCCGACCGAGACGACGACGGCAAGTGTCAGCTTATTTGATTCGTTGGGTGCACTTTTTTTCCCGTCTCCAATGCGTTATGTGCATGGATTGAATAACGACCCAGAGTCTGGATGATTTGACCGCTTGGAAACCTGACAACCTCAACCGCCGCCCCCTACGGACTGCCGACTCATTGCGAACTAAAAGACTGGACGACCAACCGACAATTAGATCCGATCGGAGTTCATACGAAAGTTTTTGAATCGCCCTCCCCCTCTTCCCACCATGGCGTCGCGCGGGAACTTGAGCGACTGTCGCTCAACTTCTCACGACACCCTGCGAAGCGGCATTCCATCACCGCGCATCGCACACTACGATGGCGAAGTCCCTCCGGCACTGTCGCCCCTGGATGCATTCGCTGCTCAGGGCCGTTTCCTCGCCAAACAACTGGATGAATCCCGGCGACGAGACCGGCGCATGAGCCGACTGCCCCCTTCCAGCGTCGCCCGATCGTTGTCCACCCCCGCCCCGGCTATTTCCGCTCTCCGTCGAGCGAGTCCCAGGTCGATAACCTCACGCGAAAGCCCACGTTGAGAGCACACCCGGATGTAGAAGAGCCCAAGTACCGACCCGTCTCGGAGCACCCCCGCTTCAGCTCTGTCTCGCATGCCAGCAGCAATGCCGACTCGTACGACGACGATTCTACACCGCGGACGACGATGGTGCGCGCCACCTCGAGTATCTACGATTTACCCCGTGCGGAGTCACCTGAAGATGACCCATCGCTAGCCAGCGGCGCGGCAGGCGGTTCAGTGGGAACGGTGATGGACGACCCCTCGCGCGAGTCGTCGACCGACTCTGTATCGCGACTGCATATCCCACGCACCCTTGCGCCACCAGTGTCCCCGCATTCCCGCCCATCAAGTAGCGCCAGAGCGGAGCGGGAGAGCTCTGATGACGACTATAGCAGCTCGAATGCCGGATCCACGTTTTCCAAACCACGCAAATTGTCCTCGGGCAGTGCGGTATCCATACCATACTCGCCCATGTCCACCTATCCTGCCCGGATGCATCCCCGTTCACCATCGCTGAGTTCTGAAACTTCGGCCACTGGCCATCTGCCCCGACCCTCGTTCAACTTCTCTCGGCCTTTGAGTCGATCTAGCACCAGCCTGTCCGCTCCCGGCCCGTTTGCCACTTCGGAGCTGACCCAAACACCACCAGCGGCTGCTGTTCCTCACTCACAGCAGCATCGGTGGGACCGTCAGTCAGCTCATATGCATCGGCCGAGCAAGCCGTCACCAATTCTGGTGCCATTGGCGACCGAGGAAGCGGCTGCCACTCAAGCAGAGGAAGGGGAACCTTCTTCTGCCGTATCATCGTATGTATATGCCAAATATTCACTGCCGCGTGGCCGCATGGTCTCACGAGACTCGGTCGTTTTCGCTGGCCTACAAACACCCCATTTCGAATGGCAAGAACCGTTGTTTGAGAATTCTCCGCCCGGGCATTCAGAGGAGCCACCGCGCTCCGCAAGGACGCCGCCCCCTCACACCCCCGTATGGAGAATTCACCCAAACCTCATTCTATGTACGAGGTTTCCGCTCCGACCCCGGCGCCAGTCAATGAGACTAAGCTGGCACCACCGGCGCCTGTTTCACCACCCAGAGCTGCTCCAGCTCTTCCGGTGGTCACACCTCCCCGACCATCCACCGAGTCTGCTCGACTACCCCGGCCGTCGACGGAGTCTACTCGACCAAGGACCAGTGACAGAGACGAGACCGTCTCATCTGCGGACTCGGCCAGTACGCTTCGCCCGCAGACAGCCACAACGCAGGCCACCCAGACTCCCGCAACGGCCCTCACAGCTGACGATCATGTCACCAAGGGTATTGAGCTGCACGAGGCCGGCTCGCTGAACGAGTCGACCTACCACCTGCGCATTGCCGCTAAGCAGAATAATCCCACCGGTATGCTGCTTTATGCGCTTGCCTGCCGCCATGGATGGGGCATACGGCCGAACCAGCAAGAAGGAGTACGGTGGTTACGCAAGGCAGTGGATTCCGTTGGCTTGGAAATGCTCGAGAACCCCGACGCCCCAGGTGCCTCCAAGGCCAAGGAGTTGCAAAAGGCGTATCGGGCCCAGTTTGCACTGAGCATCTACGAGCTGGGTGTCAGCCACCTGAACGGCTGGGGTATCGAGCAGGATAAATCCTTGGCTTTGCGCTGCTTTGAGATTGCCGGTCAATGGGGTGATGTGGATGCCATGGCAGAAGCAGGTTTCTGCTACGCCGAGGGCGTGGGCTGTAAGAAGGATATGAAGAAGGCTGCTCGTTTCTATCGTGAGGCTGAGTCCAAGGGTATGAACATGGTTGGAAACAGCTGGTACGTTTAAAGAAGCAGCCCCGCTTGATTCTGTAAGCTTTCTAACGCATCTATAGGATCTACAAGGACAAATACATGGCTGACGATGAACGTCGTGGTGGTCGCGCGCGCGGACGGACTGTCAGCAGCGACAAGAAGCCGCGCAGCAAATCTCGCACCCGCAGTCTCTTCCAGCGCAAGAAGTCTGTTCCCGAGGCATAGACTGTCTTTGATGCATAGAGCCCCAATCTGATCAAACCCCTGCTTTTTGACATGTGCAGCGTGCATCTCGTCCCGTTCCTTGGGGACCTGTTCCTGCGTTCATTTTGCATTTTGAGCAATGCGTTTGTGGAGCGTTCTGAGCTGAAACACTTGGTTTGCTTCCAAATCTTTTCTGCGATGCCGCGTCGAGTCATTTCATTTTATCATTTCCACTCCTTCATATCTATTTTTTCTTTCCCTTTCTTTTCCTTTCTTCATTTCTTGCCAATGACCTTTTTTCACTTATTCGTTTCTGTCATACCCTCACCTTTTTTACCTGAGCCGCCTGGGCAGCATTTATCGAGCATGGTGGACGGATCATCGGTTCCTTCTCCCTGCCTCGCGGGCATAATATTTCAATTCTCCGTGGATACCCTTCTTCGATTTGTCCTTCTTACCACTTCTTTCATCACTCAACTCCACATAGCCGACTCATTTTCATTTTTCTGACCTTCCCCGCTATTCTCACCATATTCCTTTGTTGGCCATATCTTCTCGCGGGGCTGATCCCTGTTTTTCTTCTTTTGTGGACATTCTTTCTCCTTCTCATCCTTACTTTTTTTTTCCATTTTGAACTTCAGTTTCGGCAGACGCTTACCTGGTGCATCGCGCGAGAAATCGCGATCCCTCTCATGACTCAATCGAGGTCGTGGTTTTTTTTTTTTGCGTGGACATTCATGTTGATCAGTGTCATTATCTACTTGTGTACCTGAAGAGGTGTCGACCATCGACCTCTTAGGGGATCCGGTTAGACCCGGTTGGACAGGTGTTTAGATTGGTTTCCTTATGTAGCCATCTATGAAGGTGTGATGATTCTATCTAATCGAGAAATTGATCGGATCGGCTGGTTTCAAGTTGCGCGTACTGTGTGGAACATGATAATTTCTCCCATAACACCTGTACGGTAAACCTGGCAATGTCTGCAACAAGCACCTCATAATCTGCTGAGGGTTCCTCATAATCTTCTTTCTGTCTTGGCTTCTGACTGTTTTATATTCCGGCCCCAATCTTCCCCACCTGGGGAATTACCCCGTGACTCCAGTCTCCCGTCCCCGGACCTTTGGCCCAACTCACTCTAGAGCCACGACGGTCCAAGACATTTTCAGCACCACCCCCTCGCCTACTGGACTACTGACGACCAGAGACGCCACTAGGACCCTACAATTACACTACCACAGGGCAGTACACGACACTAGTCCCCCCATGAAAATCCGGGCATCCATGGATCCGGAGGCTAACATGACACCGCCCACTCTTCCCCAGCCGACTCGTCGCTCACAGCGCCTTGGCGAGCGCCCCCACTGCAGCTAGCCTCTCGGACAGCCAATGGCCACCGATTTTCTACGATGACCCCGGATGGTCGGTGCAACGGTAGAAGGGGGGAGTGCCCCACCACCCCAAGTCAGGGTCATTGTTGCACAACGCGGCATCCTGTCGAGTTGACTCGTTGGAGGCGCGGAATACATCCAGGATGAGCAACTGGAGCTGGAGGGATAACGGCGGTGCCCGGTCCTGTGGCGCTCTTGTCATTGCATTTGCACATGCTTCTGCAGCTGATCCATCCATCTCTTAGCCACGACGCCCCGAGGCAAAAGCAAAAGGGAAGCTGCGTTATCAGTTCGTTGCCACGGGAGGCAAACCAGAACCAGCCTCTTGTGCGTTGCTCGTATCGTGTAAATGCGCTTTGCTTGCCAGGACTCAGTATGGCTCACAAACTCAATCTGAAACGCTCTAGTCCATCATACTTGATGAGTGAAGATCAAACGATCAACCGATCGACACTGCACATCAATCAGCATCAGCAAGTAAAAAAAGAAACTTACTACTGAACCGATGGACTCGGCGAGCCCGCCATCATCACGACCAGCACCTTGGAAGAGACGCAAAGTCAATCCAGGAACGCGCCTCCCGCAAACACCAGCCTCCGAACTTTTCCCCAGGAAAACAAGTCCACCAGCCTATCGCCAGCGAGACTGACAGACTAACAGACTTTGCCCACATGCAAGGGCCATTCAAGGGCCAGACCAAGAGACACGCTAACCCAACAGCGGAAACGAACAAGACCAAAAAGGAATCCAGTCCTAAAACATAGATAATAAATTGAAAAAAGAACCGTCTCTGTGTCCAACCTGGTCCTACCTCCGCCCAATACCCCCCACCCGCGGCATATACTATACTGCATCCTGCCTGGTTCATTTTGGATTTCCATACCCCTTTGGAAAGACCTGCATTGGCATTTTGATCTTGCATGACATGTGATGCTCGCCGAGGACCCTAATTTCGTCCATAGAAAATCATTTAGCAATCTGCCTCTACTGTAGTAGTATGCTGGACCGTCCGCGCTGGCCCTTAGCGACCGAGCCAAGCCCATCAAGACCCCCCCGAACCTGAATTCCTATAAAGTAAAAATACTACCCTCGCTGGGCTCGGGTGCACCGGCTGCTGTACTGAGGGCCGTGGCAGATTCTATTCTTATTACCTGGGTGACTTCCTTCAATTCTTGCCTTTCTTTTTTTTTCCCTTTCCTCTTTTTCTCGTCGCTCGTTTTCAACCCCGCTCCTTGTTACGTTTGAGGCTTTCGGGAGTCCAGTGCCGTGGTCTTGTCTTTTGATATCGACTATACGTGACTGGTCCTGGATTGAATTTTGGTATGTCGAGGTAGACTGATTTGAAAGAGAAAGTGGCTTGAGGTTAAACGGGGTTGTTTATTGGGTGGAGCTTGATTCATGCTGACGACTGATGATTATCTTGTATGATCTAGACTCGGATAACCAGTACAAGATGTCGAAACCAGGAGTCACCGAGATGGAGTCCACCACCGTCTCGTCGCCGGCCAAGCGCAGCTTCGGTGCTCGCCTGGGTGCGCATTTCAAGAAGTGGTGGTGGTTGCACTTGATCATCTTCATTGCGGTCCTGCTCATCATCTTGTTGCCGGTGTAAGTTCTATACAATCCCGACATACGTTACTGCAGCACCGCATATATACACCATTTCTATATCACCCGCATCCCACACATCAAGCGATTCCCTATCTAACCATCATCGCAGAATCTACGTGGGTTATCCCCACATCGCCCAGAGCCAAGTCAACGACTCCACCCTCAACGTCACCAGCATGACCATCGCCGACCCAACCCCAGACTCCTTCCACCTCCTCCAAACCCAAGTCATCGGCTCGCACAGCTCCTATCACCCCAAGATCTACTCTTTCCTGGCCTCAGTGTCTCTTCTCGGCTCCGCGCAGGCATTCACCTCCGTGCAGGTGCCGGAAGTTCAGTCCAAGGATGGCGCACAGGTTAATGTCGATCAGATTGTTGATCTGAGCAATGCTGGTGCTTTTGGCGACTTTGCGCAGGCTGTTATGTTGAATGAGGAGATTGAGATGAATATTTATGGTAGGCCCGGGTTGAGGGAGGGTTCGTTGCCTAAGACTACGGTTACGTATAACAAGACTATTACTATGAAGGGTAAGCTTTTCTGACTTCGTGCTTTTACTTTGACTGAGGGCACGGTCGATACTGATGGGAATACAGGCTTGAACAAGCTCAAGGGCTTCGATGTCACAGAGTTCCACATCATGCTCGAGGCCCAGAACGGCCGTAACATGAACGGCACCGTGTACATCCCCAATCCCTCCGTGATGACCATCACCATGGTACGATCCACCCCAACCAAATCCCGTTCTCAATAGCATTTTATCTAACCATTCAACAGGGCAACGTAACCCTGGACCTCTCCGTCGCCGGACAACCAATGGGCTACTCCTACCTGGACAACCTCGTCCTCAAACCAGGCAACAACACCATCCCCATGACCTCCAACGTCAACCAAAGCGCCATCATCAGCCTAGTCACGTCCAGCAGTAACCCGTACAAGGACGGCATGGTCCCGTTCTCTATCACGGGTAACTCGAGCGTGTACAATGGCAAGCAGTTGCCTTATTTCACGCAGGCGTTGGCGTCGAATAACCTCACCGTGAATCTGAATGTGACCAAGGCGTTGGCGGAGATTGGGATTCATCTTTGAGGGATGGAGATAAGGTCTTTAAGATGGGTATATGGAATGAGAGCCGGAGGAACGGAAGGGTGATAGCTGGTCGTTGGTAGTCGGTTGATGATTGCTTTTGCGGATTGTTGTATACCATTTGTGTTTTTAGCAGTAACATAGTTATTGTACTATCTAATGCTTCCATGCTCAAGCCCATACCCGTTCTTTTCGACTCCTGATTTTCCTGACGTACCTCTATCTGGCTATCTCACGAACATGTGCCTCCCTAGCCAGAAACACGAGCTTCTTGATAAAGGCGTGGGTCAGGTAGAATGGCGGGAAACAATTTCTCTCGGGATCGTCTGATTGCGTGAACTCCACAAAGAGGTTAGCCGCGTCTTCTAGTATTTTGAGATCGCGGGCGAAGTTTGGTGCATTGGGAGATGTGATGAGGAAGCGGAAGAGTGTGAGGACAGCCGTGAGCACGAATTGGGCGTGGATCCTGTGATTTTCACGTAAGTGGTAAGTTGGCGTGGTAATACTTTTGAATGACTCTGCTCAGCTTACCAAAAAGTATGATAGTTGATATAATGTTGGACTCGACCGATGTATATCAAAGTCGAGCGTGCCGCTTCATAACAAATCTCCGCACTAGAAGGCAGAGGCGACCAAGACTTCTGGGCGGGGATATTGTAAGAGTTATTCGCTCCATGAATCTTCCCCAGACAATAATAATACTCCAAATGAATACTGACACCTCGGATACTCAGGTCATGAAACAAGTAATCCGGAGCATTTTCAGTCGCGAAGAGATCCGGGCGACAATCCACGGGAAACTCAGACCTCAAGGTACTCAGGTCATGATCTAATTCGCGGATGAGTTGGATCCGTCGGGCTTCAGAGTGAGACGCATTTTTCTCCGAATAAAGAAGTCTGTAGATCTTGGTTTTGATCAAGTTCAGCCGGAGGTCGGATGGGTAGAGGAGTTCTTTTGAGGAGAGTGGTTTCCAGTAGAAGTGGTGTTCTGATGATTTCAATGCGTAGTTGACTGGTAGGTCTAGATCGCAGTGTATCTCGCTGAGCATTGGGGGCTGGCCCTTTCGAATGGAGAATTCGCTGTCGATACCGTAGCAGATCCAAAAGAGTGCGCGAAGGTGCTGGCTCTGCTGGGATCGGCCGGGGATTTCGGGAGATGGTCGTATTTTGTGACCTCCAAGGTTATATAGGACTTGTATTCCAATGCCTAGCAGCATTTCTGCGGATACGGGCTGGCCGAGGGGAGCAATGTAAACGACCTGCATGTATTCAGAATTGCTATTCCCCGGTGACGATGGGCTCTGATTGCCGAGTCAAAAGCTTACCAACATCATGATGGCTTCGAGGGTTCTCAAGTCCGGAGCTTCCATGAGGATCTGTGGAACGAGTGAGAGTGCTGCTTGAGCATAAGCGTCGGGGTCAGCCTTGGAAAAGGCAGGGTCATGACGGTGCATCTGCGTGATATTGGCTGTAAATGCAGCCAAGCAGGCACGATTAGCAGCCCGAGTCGTGTCCGGGTGATTAAAGACGTTGGCGTTAACAAGCATTTGCAGCGCCTCGGCATCCGCGAAAGGGAACATAGAGTATAGTCCACTCTGTGCATAATGTTTCACACATTGCTGGACTAGAGATGACGAAGGCCATTTCGTGGACGTTGTCTTCTTTTTGGATGTGAGACCCTGTTCCTCAAACGATGCAGCGGCTTGAATCAGGAATTCGTCCAAGTCGAACGCATGACCACTTTGCTGGTAGATAGTCGCGCAAAAGTTTGCTCGAGCCGTTGAGAGACGACTTCCAAGCCCGCAATAGGCGAGGTGGGATTGAAAGGCTGCGAGAGCGGCATCTAAGCAGCGTGTGTCGGGGATGTAGTTCGTTTCTAATTGAGCCGTGGTCGTTGACTGACTCTGAGGCGACGCGGATGAAATGCTCTGAAGTCCAGGAGTAGTTGATTTTGACTGGTCATCCGCGTGCCCAAGATGTGTAGGGGTTAAGCCTGTATCTAACGCTCCTTCCAATTGCTGAATACGCGCTTGGGCTTCAACAAGTTCTCTATTTACCAATAAGCAAATCTCAAAAACATATTGAAAATGACGCTGTTCTTACTGGCGAAGGCTTTTCCGCTGTTGGGGTGCTTGTTGGGTGAAAGTACAGGGAAGTCCCGCAAGGTGACAGTTCTCACAGGCGGGCTGGGCTCTATCGCAACGGACCTGTACGGCCAGAGACGCAAGGCACCAAGATTAGCATCCGTCTGGAGTCAATTGATCGGAAAGCGCGTAGTCCGTTGCAATCATTACCTTTCGAAGACGACAAAGATCGCAGGCACTCCTTCCTTTCAAAGCACGTGTGGCAGCAGGGGCGGAATCCATGAAGGAACCTTCAACGATCGAGAATATCGAATAGCTCGAGCGAGACGGTAAGAGGCGCGCCTTGAAAGCTCACTGGACGGCTAGAAGGAATGTCGTGCATCCTGATTCTAACCTGGTCAATGGCGAGCGTCAGTCTCCACCCGCGGGCCGCGTATGCGACGGAAATCATAGATCAAATGCCAAGACAAGCGCCAAGATATTCCTACCCAGTCAGTGGACACTGGACGAAGAGTTTTGTCTCTCTATCTGATTACATATCCTTTGCTCAATCCTTTGCCCTAATTCCTGGTATCTTGTAAATCGGCCAACCAAGGAGAAAAAATTGGTGGGGTAAGTTGTGTGCTCAAGTAGACCCCAAATATATTTCAAATTCAACAATGAAAGCTTGCACTCGACGATTTCAACTCCAAGGACGATCTGTAAGTTTGTATTGAGTGCTTGAAGTCAGTGTTTGAAGTCCCAAATCTAGTGTACAGTCCTGGCCGAGCTCTATTTCCAGCAACCAATTGTGTGGATAGCCGTATGCGTATTCGTATACTCGTATCAAGGTAGGGCACTCCATGTTGTCTCCACCAAGTGGCTAGGGATTTCTATTTCGATAGTTGTATGTATACCTCCATACTTGACTACTAATTGGTATTTATCCGCCAAGGCGTGACGAAGTACCGGCATGAAGAAAATGAATAAAGTCGACTCAAAGGATATCATAGATACAATGCCCCGCAGGAGGGAACAGAAAATTGAAAACGGTGAGATTAGATTAGACAGACTTCACCACAGAGAGAAGTATTGAAGGAGGCGTTGACTGGCAATTCAAAAGCTAATCACGATAAAGACTGCTATACGCGTATCCCAGTCCAGATTAGTCTTTCGCTGGTCTTAGGCTGATGGAGTCTTGCACCTTCGTCAATCGTGCTAAGCCGTTAAATTGTGGGTCTCTAAATCCACTTATCAAATTGACTTTTAATTCCCTTCTTTGATTGGCCTTGAGGTGAATTCAAACTTTCTGTATCCGAATGCGCTTTTACTATCGGCGCTGTAGACCGATTGAACCCAACGAAATCCAGATCCTCAGTACATACGACCATAGCAAGGCTAATTTTGTTAGCGCCATTCCGAGGCTCGGTATTATATTGATATAATTACAGCACGACTGGAAACTTCCTTTCATTCCGCCCAAGTATTCCAGTGGTGAAATTTGTACTGGAATTCATGGAAGATCAACCTCCAAGATACTCCATACTGGAGGCAGCCGGCTGGCCTGATGATTGTTGGTCTCAGGATGGAGCGAACGGAGACGGTACCAGCGAGGCCAATCTCTGTCGTCACACGAGTTACTGCTAACAAGTAACAGGAGATGGTCGCATCGAGGTCGACCTTGACTCCAAGGTCTGCAGAACTGTCGCAAAGTTGATTCCCTTCCCGCACGACGAGAAGCAACCCCCATCAGTCCCAGATTATATACAGCCTGCAATCTGTGACGTTCAATTGAATATCGTTATTCAGGTAGTCGGTAGTCGGGGTGATGTACAGCCCTTCATTGCATTGGGGAATGAGCTTCAATTACATGGACATCGTGTAAGACTCGCGACCCATGATGTATTCGAGTCGTTCGTTCTTGAATCAGGTCTGGAATTCTATGCTATTGGAGGTGATCCCACAGACCTTATGGCTTATATGGTCAAAAACCCGGGATTAATACCTCAGATGAAAAGTCTGCGAAATGGTGACATTCAACGCAAGCGGTCTATGGTGGCCGAGATGCTACGGGGTTGTTGGAACTCTTGCATCGGCCACGATCCGGTGAGCAAAGTACCATTCGTGGCAGACGCAATAATCGCCAACCCTCCAAGCTTTGCTCACATTCACTGTGCGCAAGCATTGTCCATTCCCTTGCATCTCATGTTTACTATGCCATGGAGCAGCACGCGAGCCTTCCCACACCCGTTGGCAAATCTCAAATACTCAACGACCGAGCCAAAGATTGCAAACTACATATCTTACGGAGTCGTTGAATGGCTGACATGGCAGGGGTAATTTCATTCCCTTGATTCCGAATATGCTGATTTAGAAATAAGTTAACTGGGATCAGTCTTGGTGATGTGATCAATGAGTGGAGGGCATCATCGCTGGATTTGGAGCCCGTACCAGCCACAGAAGGGTTGTGTTTAGCTGAGACTCTCAAAATTCCTGTCACATACTGTTGGTCTCCAAGCCTCATGCCAAAGCCATCAGACTGGCCGTCTAGTATAGATGTCTGTGGCTTTTTCTTCCGCTCCCTTCCGGACTACACCCCGCCCCCGAACTTGATTCGTTTCTTCGAAGCGGCAGCTCTCCGGTCTACATTGGATTTGGCAGCATTGTGATCGAAGATGCAGTTGGTATGACGAATATAATTCTGCAGGCCGTCAAGTCACTCAGGATTCGCGCGATCATATCTCGTGGCTGGAGTAATATCGGAGAGGTCTCATCTGATGACAAAATCTTCTATATTGGAGACTGCCCGCATGAATGGTTGTTTCAACATGTCGCCGCTGTTGTCCACCACGGAGGTGCTGGCACCACCGCATGTGGTCTACGTTTTGGGCGACCCACGGCTATCATTCCATTCTTTGGAGAGTATGATTTCTCCCTGACCTGTTATCGAGATTTTTATTATCTAATGCTAACCACGTTCAGTCAACTTTTCTGGGGCAATATGGTTGCATCCTGTGGGCTGGGACCGAGGCCAATCCCGTATCGGTCTTTGACTTCAACAAAGTTGGCGGAAGCCATCCACTTCTGTCTCCAGACGGAAGCAAAGTCTGCAGCTCAACATGTCGCAAGTCGAATGGGCCATGAAAATGGTGTGGCCGCTGCTGTTGCCTCTTTCCACCGTAATTTACCAGTGAACGACATGCGATGTCATGTTTTTCCTTCAGAACCTGCCGTTTGGCAATTCAAAAAATCATCAAAACCTCGAATGCGTTTGTCAAAGCTCGCAGCGGAGGTTCTGGTTGGTCACAGTCGTTTACATCTAGGTGATCTCCAAACGTGAGCAAGCTTGAAATCTACCCCTGTCAATCCATACGCTAATATACGCTAACAAATGACAGTTATTACGCCCAGCCGATTCATATTGAGAATCGGCGATGGGACCCAGTTACAGGCACCGCTTCTTCATTGATAGGGACCAGCACTGATATACTGAAAGCAACTGGCGATATTTTTTACCGGCCATATCAGGAATTGAGTCGTGTTCCCAGGAGTTCATCGGAATCCGACCTGAACAAGTCATCTGCCGTCCAATCCCGTAGAATTAATTTCATAGCAGAAGCAACATCCCTGCCTGACTCATCTGCAAAGCCAACTTCAAAACTGAAAGCTACAGGGGCAGCGATGGGAGGCTCGGCCAAAAGTGTGGGGAAGGTTGTCGGTTACGGGTATAAAGGCATGCTTGTAGACATGCCTTTAGCGGTTAGCGAAGGCCTTAGAGCTGTACCTCGGCTATATGGTGATGAGGTCAAAGATCACGGAAAGATTCAAGATTGGAAATCTGGAGCAACCTTTGCTGGGAAGAACTTTGTTCATGGCATGGCAGACGGTCTCAGCGACATATTTACTCAGCCATACAAAGGGGCCCAGGAAGAGGGAGCAAAGGGTGTGTTCAAGGGAATCGCAAAGGGAACTCTCGGCATGACTAGCAAGGTCTCCTCAGGTAAGTGAACTGCAGCTTTGAATGTCAAAAATGGAGTACGTACTGAACGCGATCGCAGCCGCATTGGGATTGGTCGCTTATCCTGCTCACGGGATGATGAAGAGCTTGTACACTGCAACGCACTCAAAGAGGAGCAAGCTTATTGCTCAGGCGAGAATTGAGGAGGGAAAGTATCTATCAGAACACTCACACAAGGGCCTCGGAAAGAATCGCCAGACAATCCTTCGCAACTTTGAGGCTGCCTGTCGCAGGACAGCTGACTCTGGCAGCTCATAATGAGGCTGACCGGTTTTTCCTTGAGACAAATCTGTTTTTGTATGTTAGAATATGGCTTTTAAAGTCTGGAAATAGAGGGCTGAACATCAGTTCTTGACTCTTCGTGATTTTCGGGTTACTCTTAGAATGACAAAGTTGTTATACTCTCCGAGAAATTAACACAGTATGGACCTAGCGATGAAAATTAAGTGGAGGAACTTTCTATCTCAGATTTTATTTTCCTTAATTTCTCCATTATCTTCTCTTCATTGTATATTGCGGTGCGTGTTGGAGTCATCTCGTTCTAGTGAATCACATTCATAACCCAACTAACCCAACGGGTGTACATACTTTGCTCTCCCACAATTGGAATTTTAAGGGGAACTATCTGCACTCTTCAAAAACTTCAATTAATTTAATGAGAAATTCATCATGTGAATTACAACCTCCTCCCTCGATATTGTCCTGCATGAAGTTCTTCATGTAGTGAGTGGCTTTATACTCCGCATTAAAAATCCGGTTGGGAAATACTTAAATCCGAGTTTCTGACCCGCTTTCGCGTTTTGTCTTGCCCCCAACCTGAGAGGCCATTTTTTTTTCCACGTTCAGAGTTCAAAGCAGACGTGCAGCGCGCTTCTGCTCTTGACTGAGACCTAGACCTGTAAACTTCCAGGACTAGACATGGTCGTTATCACTCGGGAGACGGACAGACCGCACCCCGGCCCGGATGTGGCACCTCCTGCTCGGGCAGAATCGGCGGACGAGCTTGGCGATGCCAGGGCTATTATAGACGAGACAACGGCTCTTCTTGGTCAATCCAAAGTTACTTGTGGAAATGAATCCATATCGGAAACACAGAATGGTGCATCAGAAACCTATGGCAACGATGATGAAAAGCCACTTCCCAAGACCCAGGTTCTGCTACTCTGCTATGCTCGGATGATAGAGCCTCTGGCCTTCTTTTCAATCTTCCCCTATGTGAGCCAGATGGTTCAAGAAAATGGAGATGTACTCGACACGGATGTGGGCTTCTACAGCGGTCTGATCGAATCGTTGTTTTCTCTTACGCAGGCTATCGTCATGATATTCTGGGGCCGCGCAGCCGATCGATTTGGGCGCAAGCCAGTCTTGGTCTATTCATTATTTGGCGTGACACTGGCTACGGGGCTTTTTGGATTCGCAAAGACGATACCCCAGATGATCCTGTTTAGATGCCTTGCTGGCATTTTCGCTGGAACTATCGTCACCATCCGTACCATGGTGGCGGAACACAGCACGCCGAAGACTCAGGCGCGGGCATTCAGTTGGTTCGCTTTCAGCGGAAATTTGGGCATTTTCCTTGGACCTTTGATGGGAGGTGCCCTTGCCGACCCTGCAACCCAGTACCCGGGTCTCTTTGGCGGCGTGAGGTTCTTCGAGGACCACCCTTATGCACTATCAAGCCTAGTGGTGGCACTAGTAGGAGCCACGGCTGCTATAACTAGCGCCTGTTTTATTAAGGAGACATTGAAGAAAGAGCCAGATTCAGCCGAATACGATGGTGAAGAGGTGGCCTCTCACACGCCGGGTCGGCGCGACACCCTTTCGACAAGGCAGCTGTTGAAAGCGCCGGGAGTGGGTGTGGTTTTGTACGTATACGGTCATATCATGACACTCGCGTTTGCTTATACAGCCATCATTCCCGTCTTCTGGTTTACCCCTGTACCCCTTGGTGGTTGGGGCTTCACACCCTTGCAAATTTCGCTGATGATGGGATTGAACGGCGCGGCCCAAGCTGCCTGGCTGCTCTTGGTCTTCCCTCCATTGCAGCATAGGATTGGGACAAAAGGTGTGATCCGAGTGTGCGCTCTTGCCTATCCGTTCTTCTTCTTAGGCTGCCCTATTGGCAATGTGCTGCTCCGATCGGGAACCGAAGCATCTGTCAATGCTTTCTGGGTCTTCGCTCCGATCATGCTAACCATTGGTTGTGGGGTCAGCATGTCTTTCACGGCGATTCAGCTTTCCCTGAATGATATCTCACCCTCACCGAGAGTCCTGGGAACTTTGAACGCGTTAGCATTGACCAGTATCAGTGCCCTGAGAGCTTTCTGCCCAGCCCTCTTCAACAGTCTCTTCGCGCTGGGAGCGAGAACACAGTTGGTGGGAGGATATGCTATCTGGATACTCCTATTTGTACTTGCTTCTGGTCTATCTGTTGCGGCGAGATACCTACCGGAACCCCAGGAAAACCAGAAATCCCGGAACGGGAATGGGCAAGCGAGATGACGCTGGCCGAATGTGCGGACCTCGTACCATGATCAAACTAGAGATTTCTGGTCTCTACAACGCATTCAATCAGTGACATAAAAGTTTGAGCCAAATACTCTGTCGATAGGAACGAGCCTCTGCAATCTTGAAATTTTCATTCACTTCTTACTAGCTATATCTGTCCTCCACAGCCAGCTGACGACAACCCGGAGTCTACAATTTGTAAAATGCTCGAGGAATGTTATCGTAGTAGGGTACCACCACCAAATTTGGGTTATCAGTGAGCCCGACCATGGCGGTTGTAATGGGATGAACCGGTTTTCGATCCACGATAAGATTGATGCAGCTTGGACCTGGCTGTGCCTGGAATCTGGCGACTGTATTCCGAATTTCTGCAATGCGAGAGACTCGAGTAGCAGTATTCTGCAAGCCCTTTGCGACGACATCATATTCGGTTGCAGAGCTCAGGGCACTGATAGGTCGAGCGGGATGATCAGTTCCATAAACGAGATCCTGCCCATTCGAACTCATGCCCCAGCTCGAGTTGTTCACCACGACCGTCACGATATTCAGATTGAATCGCTTGTACGTATCTAGCTCCATCAGGTGAAAGCCAGCAGAGCCATCACCCTGAATATTGACAACTTTTCGATCGGGCACAGCAACGGCACAACCCAGAGAATATCCGAAGCCATTTCCCAGGAATCCTAAATAGCCTGTTGCAGTCATGACTGTATGCGGTTGACAGCGTGATGCAAGATCACCGACCCAAGCAGAGGCTTCACCACCATCTAAAATGACGATGCTTCCGGGTTCGATTCCGGACACGAGACTTTTCACAGCATGGTATGGATGAAGACGTCCGGAGCTTGTCACCTCTGGTTCCTTTTCGTACGGTGACTCCATAGCAGCCAGTCCTAGCACAGATTGTACCCAGGACTTATCGATGTTTTTAATGTGTCTCGAATTAAGTCTCTCATTGACTGCTGAAAGGAAAGCTTCAACATCCGACACAATCCCAAGATCTATAGGAAGAGAGCGACCTATTTCACTTCCGTCACAGTCGACTTGAATGAGTTTGCAATCTTGACCTGGGATGATTGCGCCAGAGCGGCCACCCAGAAACATTCCCGTTCGCGCACCCAAGAGAACAACAAGATCTGGACGTGGTAGTTTCACCAATGAGAGTATTGCTAGCATCCCTGCAGTTCTTGTGGAGAGCATGGGTGATGATGGGCTGAAGGACGTATATTTGGATGTATTGAAAACGGGGATACCGCAACCTTCGGCTAGCTTGAAGAGTTGTTGCCGTGCCTAAATATTATCAGTATGTTATATACCTCTAAGTGTGTTTCATGGAGATCTTACCTGTGGGCTTCTTGCTCCAGTTCCTGTTATTATAACTGGTCTTTTGGCAGCACCGAGCAATCGAGCCGCCGCGTCGATTGCCGCAACGTGAGGACCTGGAGGAAATGAAGGAGGTGAAGTAACTGAGCCCCAAGCAATGAGCTTGGGTTGAATAGGGGAGAATAGGACGTCAATTGGAAAGTCAAGAAGCACGGGTCCTAAAGATATATGAGCAGAAAGTACGCGATATATAACACGAAACTCACGAAGACTCACCAGGAGGCCCGGCTTGAGCAACTCGAAGTGCATGGGATACTATTCTTGGACATTCCTCGGGCGACACAACTCTATGAGCAAACTTTGTGATGGGCCGAGCCGCTACCACCTGATCGATGGAACCCTGAAGCGAGTTGTTCTCTGTGTCCCGGATTGGTGGCGAGGAGGTTATACAAAGGATCGGGCTACGGTCACCGTAGGCAGTAGCCAAGCCAGGGAGTCCGTTCGAGAACCTTCATGAATTGGAATCAGCCCGTTAGATATAACAGGACCGAGTCAGCTCACCCACTATTTGCCGTAACAAAGCATACTCCGGGTTTTGTACTGATCCGGCAATAACCCTCAGCCGCTTGAACCGCGACAGTTTCATGTCGAGTGTCCACCAAGCGAATCCCAATATCTTCGCATCCCATCAAGAAAGCATCCAAGTGACCTCCATGAAGTCCAAAAGCAACCTCAACACCAAGGTGTTTCAAAGATTGGGCCAAAAGGTCACCGCCTGTCAATTCGCGGCCCTTTGGATGATGAAGGGGAAAGCCTGCCATAATGATTTCAGTGACGATTTTAGCAAATGTCACAAAATTCAATGATCAAACAGAGTAATTATATGAAGAAATTTATTCATAGGAAAGTCGAGGTCTATTTACGATGATATTAGCCTCACGCGAGTCATGTAGCACGAGTCATTCCGCATCAAAAATGTGGAGAATGAGGGGAAGCCGCAGAAGCCGAGATACTTATGCACAATGACCAAACAGCATAGCCGACGCCGAGACGAGGTCCTCATAGGCCTTGGCAGTTTAGAAAACCCAGTTGACATGTTTACTATGAGGTAAGCCATCAAGAGCTATCACTGATAGTAAAATGTCCGTATAAATGCTGATGAAGCACAATGCCAGAGATTCCGAATACGACATTAGCCTACGGAATCACTTTTAATGGCCGTGGGTCTCGCTTTCATACTCAGGCATAACCTGGGCAATAGGGCTCACTGATAACAACATTGGAACATATTCCAGAAAACCACCCACTATATTCAGTTGCAGTATGCTATTTGGCAAACACGAGAACCAAAATGAACAATTCGCAAAGCTCAAAACAAAACCCAAGAGTATCCCTCCCCCTTTGACACAGTTACGATTTACCCACCTGTTCATTAATTCTTGGACGTACCAATCCGTCCAAACTATCCTTATTAAAGAGTAACCCCTCCGTCATAGCCAACAGCCCACCTTCACTTTTATTGACTTCCTTGAATTTTCCCTGCGCGCTGTAGATGACTTCTCCATGTCGATTCTCATCAGCAAACAGCAGCACCACACTTCGTGCAACATCCTCAGGTAACTGTACGGGAACACCCATAGCCTGAAGAGATTCAAGAGGAACCATTGCAGTCTTTGTCCACGAGGGCGCGACAGCATTCAACCGGATTTTACCTTCAGTCTCCAGCTTGTACACCAGGCCACGGACCATACCCAGAACGCCGTGCTTGGTGACTGTATAGTCGACGGCACTGAAACTCTGGAAGGAAGAAGCAGAGGCTGTGAGGACAATGCTACCGGTTTCCTTTGCAGGACGGCGGCCTGCGAGTTGTTTCATGTAGGCCTGTGCTAGGTTGATGGTGTACAGTGGACCGAGGAGATTGACATTGATTGTTCTGAGATTAGGAGGCTCGAGTTGTCCGGCTTCGTTAAGTTTGATATCCAGGAAGTCCGTGGTCGGACCGACGCCAGCATTGGCGAAGACGTGGTCGATGCCACCGAATAACTTGTCAGCTTGATCGAACAGGTTTCGAAGGCTTTCCCATGAGGTCACGTTTGACTCCACGTAATGGACTGCATCGGTATCTTTGAATTCAGGATTAGGAGGGGTCAGATCTCCAATGACGACTTTGGCGCCCAGATCTAAGCATAGTTGTGCGGTCGCTCTTCCGATTCCAGCGGATCCGCCTGAGATTGTGAGTATGCATTAGAAAGCATTAGGATGGGAGTGCTTACCAGTAATCAACACAACCTGGTCTTTAATACCAGCCAAAATATCGTCTGAGACGGTGATTTCTGCCATTTCAATATACTTGTTTTCAGACAAGTAGTGATGCACGGTATGAGTTGATCAATCTAAGATCTGGGAGAGAAATCACCGTCTTGATATTGAGCCGGCAATGCCCAGAGGGAGCCGAGGCATTCTCTGACTGGACTCTGCCTTACTCCTCTTTTGGCTTCAAAGAGGTGGCCTTGCTCCGCACATGGCCAGAGTGGGGCTTGCGTGTCGAGACTCGAGAGGGGTTGCTGACGCTGTCTTGCAAGCTGCTTGCGAGCTGAAAGTGTAGTTGACGAATTAAGAATCGGGGTTTGAAAGACTTGACAGGGGTTATGTTAGGCACCATGCCATTTTAGCGTTATTCGGCTTTGTATTGTTCCATTCTGCGCGGTATGATGAACATCGAGGCCAATTGCGGCCACTGACCAGAAATCCTTTATTGCTTATCTATTCGACCACTCTATTGACACTGTGTCTTACTTGCTCATATATAATGTAATTAGGCCACGGCTGCTGCCATTCAGGCTGGTTTCTTGCAAATGACTTAACACTCCGTGAATCTCATCCCTAACCCTCTCTTGCTACTGGTTATCTTCTCAGTCATCTCCTCAGTCCTCTTTCTAGTTTATCTTTTTAGCTATCTTTTTTTACCATTAAGCTCCTCTCGTCTGTCATTTCTCGTACGTGACTTTTAGGTGTGATCATCGCTCGTGTGTGTGCTATTAAGCAGAGCAGTCTCATATAGTATAGATTTCAGTTAAGAAATATCTAATTTCTTCCATAATTTACCTTCTTAGTTTCGAGCGGTACATTACTCTCATAAGAGTAATATCACAATTCGGGATGTAAGATAGGTTTGTATAGGCAAAAGTAGATATCCTAGTATCAGACTTTCGCCAAAATGAGGTCACTCGAGATTCTGACAGAATAGTCAGACTTGATCAAATTCAGGATTCTGCCAGATATTTTGCCTTGAAAAAATGGGTTTCTGGTCGGTGGAACAATCGGCCGCCGTAGTATGAGTGATGCTAGACTTTATTGAATCAGAAATGCTTGCACTACCCACTGGCCAACCGCAGTGATTGTGATTCTATTCAGGTATTTACGGTCCGTCTCTTCTAAGCTCCAAGTGCTTAAGCATACTCTGCTTCGCCCGCTCAGCCTGTTCCTCAATATCCAAATCCCAAAGCCAGCGCAGTCGAGACTGAAAGGTCTCCTTAAGCTTTGTTTCATCGTCCCCAACTCCGTCCAAACAGAGACAGAGAAGATAGGCATTCTCCTTGCTACTCGTGACAACCCTCTGACTTCGAGGGCGCCGGATCTCATCATATGCCTTGAAAGCAGCAACAACATCATGGGCTGTATTCACTCTGGAATCACCAAGTAGCTCTGCCAGAACGTGTGCATCTTCTATCGCTTGTCCTGCGCCTGCGCCTTGGTGAGGAGTTGAAGCATGGGCAGCGTCTCCCAGGATGGCGACTCGAGAGCGACAGAATGTGGAGATTGGGGGATGCTCGAAGATAGCCCATTGAGACGGATCGGGCATATGCTGGAAACCGTGGTTAGCCATAATCGCCAAGTCAAAGCCCATAAAAGCAAAGTCATACCTCAATGAGAGACTGCACATATCGGCCCATATTGCTCGCATCACGCTCCATATCCTCCCTCTTCGCAGGCCTCACCCAAGTATCACAATCCCACTTCTCGCTGAGAATATAAAATCCCACATTCACCTTCTGAGCCCGCATGATGGGGTATGATATCCCATAAGCACCATCCCCAATATACATCGTAGACACCCTTGCGCGCTGTTCCCCAACCGCCTTAATCATATCCTCCATATCCAACACAGCCCGATATCCATACATACCGCTATACCTTGGCTGGGTCACCTTAGATTCCTCCGGTAGCATCGACTCCTTCACCTTCGACTTGATCCCATCACAACCCACAACAACATCCGCCATCACAGCCGACCCATCATCAAACACCAACTCCACCCCCTCCCCACTCTCAGTCAATCTCTCCAACCGCTTCCCAAAATGCACAATCTCCGGCGGAACCAATCCAACCAGCGCATCCAGAAAATTCGCCCGTCGCAGCGTCGTCTGCCCGGACGGCAACGCCTTCAAATCCATCAACAACTCGCCCTCTTTCTCCCCGCTCGCCCAGAGAATCTCAAACCAGGTTTGCCGGTACTTCTCGTACCCGGGGCTATCCGCGTGCGTGGTCACCAGCGAGTCGTAGATTTCGCGAATCTGCGGGTCAATGAGGGGCATGGCGCGGTGGGCGGCTGGGCCGATGGAGAGGCCGAGGCCTATTTCTGCGAATGCAGGCGCGGCTTCGTAGATTTGCACGCGGACGTTGCGGCGTAGAAGGCCTGCGGCCAGGGTGAGACCGCCGATTCCGCCGCCGACTATTGTGACGGTGAAGTCTTTGGGGGTGGTGGTTGTGCTCCCCATGGTGGTGGTACTTTGATTGAGAGGGGGCTGAAGGGAATTGCAGGAGCAGTTGTTCAGGAGTAGCAGTTGCTGGGAAAGGGTTCAATTGCGGGGTTCATTGCTTATCACTGGCGCGTGGGGAATTACGACGGTGAGAGGTGAAGAAGGTAAAGAGTGGGGAGGGCTAGTCGATCTCCGCTCTATTAAGTGTTGGGGCCAGAAAGAATGCTCCTGTTAGATGTAGGCGACAGCTGCATATTGCCCGAACGAGATGGCCTCGTTTACTGTATTGCAATCTTAAATGACGGTCCATCAACAGCTCAGGATGAATCAAAGCAAAATCTTACAGGACTAGTTCGCCGATGTTGCGAACAATCCGGGCCTATCAAAGCTACCATCTCAGCTTCTGTGAAAACATTACTCAAGAGAGATAAGAAAGGCTCGTTCAATTCGATAAACTAAGGCCCTCAGGCCAGGTATCACAACATGAAGATAATCAACAGAAAAGAGAACACATATTCGCACAAAAGTCTAGTGTCTAACGCACTAGACATTGGATATTCAGGTCCAGATAAGAAACAAAACCCGCGAACCCGTCGCGAAAGCCGATCAGAGACTCAAGTGCAAGCTGTTGGACGTGGCGTCTTGGTCATTGCTCGTGGTTGGACTTCAGTCAGATATCGATGGAGCGACATGAGCCGAATAAAGGATGGCCAGCCATAAGGTATCAGAAGTGTCGTGTTGTCTGTCAGAATCACGTGGAGGCAACTTTGGTCCTTCGACTGGGTGACTGGTAGTTCGAAGCGTGTGACTCGGCCGGGGGGATAATCGTGTATTACATGCATACTGCATGCAGGAGTGCATGAGTGCATCAGCGCATAAAAGGGTCCCGAGTGCGAAAACCGAGTGCAAGATATCATTACCAGTCAAGCATATCTCAAATCATCGGAGCAGTAACAACCCTCCTCCCACCATGCCCGAGCTCCATCTCCCTCTCCTTCTCTCTATCCCTCCCCCTCTCCCTCTCCCACTTCGGCGGCCCAAACGGATCATAGTCAGACTCACTCTCAAAAGCCCCATTCCCCTTCTCATTCGGCCCCCGCACCGGTGACCCAGAGTCCGATCCATCCAACGCACGCCGAAACCGCAGGAACTCCTGCGAATCAACACTGTGAATCGGATACATAGTTCCACCGGCTTCCATTGAATGTAGCGCCGCTCGCTGGATATGCCGGATATCATCCTTCAAGCTGGAGACTTGGCTCTCCAGGTTCCGGCGGGCGGTTTGCTCGCGGCGGAGGAGGGTGACTAGGGCGCTGTATTGCTCGATGGAGATGCTGTTGAAATCGGAGAGAGAGGGATGCGGATGGTGCGGGGCGAAGGGTACGGGCGTTCATTGTATCGGCACGGATGGTGCTGGTACTTGTTGGGCGGGTTGTGAGGAAGGTTGATAGCGAGGGTGGGGTCTCGTCGTGGTCGAGGGAGGAGCTCAGGTATGATGGTTTGCTGCGGATTTGGGGGAAGGGTTCTTCTTTTCGGCGGGATGAAGATGGTTCTCGGTCTTGGGGGCTCTCGGTGACGGAGTTGGATTGCATTCGGGCGATTGCGAATTCGAGATCGATCATTTTGACTTCGATTGTGTTGAGGCGTTGCTCGATGGTGAGACTGTCGTCTTGTTGCATCGTGCGCACTAGATTGCTCACGTTGGGTGGGAGACTGATTTGGTCTGCGTGCGGGTCTGATTCCGGGATGGAGGGAGCTACAGAGGCTCTTGTCACGCTTGTGACTGTAGTGACAGTCGATGGCCTGCGGGATTGCTCGCTGGCAGAACTTCCTCCTCCCAGAGGGGGTGATTTTGAGTCTGCAGCTGAATTGGGAACCGAGGCCGTGCGTGTGGGCTGCTCCTGCGGAGACATTGGCCGCTCGTCGGCCAAGTCCTGCAATGCGCTGAAACTCCTCGATCTGCGGCGAGCCTGAAGCATACCTCGCCGGTGCTCTTGGTCCGGGATAGACGGTCGATCCTCCTGGGGATCAGAGAATGCCGAGGCCACTGCATGCCGTGATTCATCGTCAGAGAAGATCACACTGGGCAAGGTCGCACGTCGTCGGCGCGGGGGCATCCCCGGCGAGGGTAAAGAGCCACCAGTGGGACTAGTCGGAGACAAGTGAGTCTCTGCTAGTTGCAAGTTTTCCTCCGACAAGGGACTACTTCGTTTGGACTCTGAAGGAGTGGGCACCGACAAGAATGACTTGCCCACGATAGGTCCCGATGAGCTTGCTGCCAATGAATAGTAATTCTCGTTTGGACTTTCCTCCACTCCATCGGTCTGGCTTTGTCTCTTCCGGTTGAAGATCCTACGCATCACCGTTTTCAATGTACTCCCTGTCCGACGATGTGCGATGACAGAAGGCTGGTGAAAGTGCATCGGGGGTAGAGCCGTGTCATAGTGGTTCGTATCCAAAGAGAAAGACGCTGGGGTTGAAGCTAAGTGCTCTCCGCGTGCCGAAGCTGAGCGCGCTCTTGAGCTTAGCGCCGACTCACTGCCCGCGCTGGAAATGGACCGTGTAGTTGGTCGCGACATGCTGGTTGAAAAAGAAAATCAAGTTTGAAGATCAAATGGCGTACGAAGGGTGAACGCTGGTGGGGATTGTGTGTAAATTCTCGATGCTCATTACAAACAGATATGTCGTCGCGGCACGTTGGGGGGTATATGTTGTCGCAAACGTGACCAAACAGAAGGATTGGAAAGAAGATGGAAAACCACAGGTAGATGACTGAGTGAATGTCGAGAATGGCAGAATCGAGCCGAGACGAAGGAATAGTGAGGGGGTATATGGAAGGGTATAATAGTCAGGGCCGCGCAGCGGGAGGGTTCGAATTGAGGCCAGGAGAAGCCGACGTTTAGTCGAGTCGCGGGTCTAATGAACAGGGCTATCAAACGGGATTAGTTTGGGATATGGTCGTACAAACGAGTATGAAATGACTGACCGAGGAGAACGTGATCAGGATCATCATAGTTGTCGATAAAACTCTCGTCGTCACGGAAGGGCGTTTGCCAGGTCTCGGTAGGGAACGGTGATAGTTGAATGGAAAATATACGACAATATTCAAAGAGTGCAAAAGAACGAGTGAATAGAACGAGTGTCGGGAAGGTAACAGAACTGCACACGGATGAAGAGGCAGAGAAGAGGGGGAACAGAATGAAAGTTGAAGGTTGGGGGGAGAAAGACACAAAAGGGAGGGGAGCTCGTGCAGCTCTCGTGGCGGAGATTTAGGAGGTCGACCAGGCTCAAATCCGTGCAGACTCCCACTAAGCCCAGCTCAGAAAATCCCCAGCTAAAGCAAAGCTAACCCAATCCAAGCTAAACTGTACCGGGAACTATGAAATCTGGAATTTCCAACATCCCCACACGGGTCTACGGTCGGGATCTTTCTTTGCACGCCACAGCCGAGCGATGAACTGGGAATGGAAAACACGAAGATGTATACAGTAGCAGTAGCAGCATGAGTAGATCTGATGGTAAAGGATCACACCCAGTACTGACTTGTATACTGTTGATCAACGATCACTGCTTCAGACTCGACGCGATCCTGTTTCTGGAGAGTCCGCCCGAGCGCAACAGGAAAGCGGGACAGCAGACTAACTAAATACATGGTTAGCTAGTATTTGGTCCAGGATTATGCACGATAACGATGGATCCTTCGTAGAACATTGCGCTTTGATAACCCGCCATTCGGCCTGAATTGGGCATAGGAAGACCTCGAGAGATGCGTATGGCATCGATCGTCCACACCCTAAACTTCCTCTTGGGCCTGAGAAAAAAAAAACACGAACCCAATCAAGCCCAACCAGCGAACCGTCCACGGACGATCAGAGGGGTCAACCGCCAGGGGTCAAGCCGAATCAGATGGGCGACCGACCAGTGGCCCTCAATCTCATCATCTCATTTCCAATGACTGCCGTGCTGGATCCACGAGCCGAGACCAAGTGGATCCCCCAAGATGAACGGCCGTTTTGAACGGCTTCCAGCTCCATCCAGAACAAGGCCCCTCAACCCCTCAACCCTTCAAACCACCCCCTGACGACCCCGCTTCCTATGAACGGAGAAAAAAAAAACAACGGCCGTGGAGACAGAACGGCTAGATCTGGACTCTGGATCTTGCGAGGATGGCCCTGTCATCGAACATCCTTTTCGGCTCTCCGGGTGAGATGTAACAGTCCAGCGCAGCAGTGAGTTGTGCTTCATCCCTGGTCTGAAACACCACATGGCACCAACAGGATGATGCACCTTGCACAGCAAGTGGTTTCCCAAAACCGCCGCACAGACCCGTGTCAGTCAAGAGGCACCCATACCAAAAACCCTAATCGGCTAAAACAGCGTGGCACAAGAGGGAAAATCAGGGCTAATGTCAGGCGGGCTCAAGAATTGGGTTTAGCTGTGGCTTTGGGCGTTGAAAGTATTGATTCTAGGCTGGTCGGGCTGTGATGTTATGTCTTCTGGAATAGTAATCCTGGGTTGGTGACCACCAGTATAGCCGTTGGCCATTAGGACGGACTATGCTGGCTCGGTAGATGACAAATGAATCAATTGACCATCAGAGCTAACGAGCGGACGGGCTAGTCACTGAGTTGGACGCTCCGGCATGGCCAATTCCAGTAAGGAACCCCCGACCCGTGCGATCGTCCGCATGAAACAAGAAGTTCCTCGAAGAGGCGTTGGCCCTCTGCATAGTTTGACGGTCACCGCCTGCAGGCCTCGCTTCGACACGGCGCACTGCCGCCGAGTCCCGGGACTCAATTGCCTTTGGTGCTGGAGGTCACAACATACTAGCCTCCTCTTCCGGTCCTTCTGGGTACTACTGCAGACTATGGGACGGGGGTTTGAAAAAGGCGGGAGACGGGACGGACAAGGCTTAGCCTGATGTACCTCTTGTACCAGGCCAGACTCGGGACTGACTCGTTACCGTGCAATTCGTGAAGATCTCGAGATCGACATGATGGCCTTATCGGCTGAAAGATTCTCATATAATGCCTATCTGTACCCTAGCCTACCACTCTTAATATACAATGACACGATGGGCATTTTCTCATAGAAGGTCACCCGCGTCAGGGTACCGCAAGTCGGCATTCTCCTCCAAGTAACCCATCCAGTGTTGAAGAAATTCACTCCCCCTGTCACACACCACAATGCATCCTGATTAACCTCAAGCTTTCGTTGCAGGACGCACAGACAAAAGTTTACTTACCGACTGATAGTCTCCGAGTCCCCGCAGATGCAAAGATGCCGTCTGGGGCGTGTCATGGCCACTAGCGAGTACAGTACAGTAGTTAGCATCCCAAAATAGCCACCGTTAACCGAGCTCATCTATCTGCTACACAAGGGGAAGAAACCAAAAAGGTCCTCCGATCCAAGACATAACCAAGGGAATAAAAACAAGCCGATTACATGAGACAAGCAAAGACGTACCGTTCAATCGTCGTTTCTCACCGAGAAAACCCACTTCGTGCTCCGCATTGCTTCGGACTAGACTCACCACCACGGCCTCTTTCTCGCGACCCTGGAAGCCGTCCACGCTCCCGAGCTCCAGACCAGGGTACTTTTCGCGGAGCATCTGAGACAGGAGAGCTAGCTGGCCATTGTAAGGCGTGATAACCGCGATGCTCTCGGGACGCACCCCAGCCGCGATCAAATTTTCGACGTGCCGAGCGACCACCAGGGCCTCCATTTCGTTGCTTTTGCTCTCCCTCAGGAGAGCCTCCTTCTTGCCGATGTCATCATCTTCGGTCTTTTCGGGGAAGTCGCCGCCTTGGGTGTCCCAGAAGACGAGAGGTTCCTGGGTATCGTCCGTGCCCTCGACTTCGTAGGGTAGATCGGCTAGCAGTCGATCTTTGACTGAATCAGCGGCGATCAATTTGGATTCGTAGAGCTCGTCAGACGGGAATCGCATGATCTTCTCGTGCATCCGGTACTGGGTCGTCAACATCCGTTTGATCCCTGGCCCGTGCAGCGCCAATAGGCGATCGAAGAGGGTCCGCTCCAGTGAAACACCCTTGAGGATCTCCTCCTTGGCGGTGTCATTCTCATCCTTCTCCGTGTCTCTGCCGTTCTTATCCCTGGTTTTGAGGTTCGCTGATTTGACAGTCGGTGGTAATTGCAAATGATCACCAGCCAGCACCACCTTCTCAGCAGATAAAAGTGAAATCCAGCACTGTGCCTCGAGCGCTTGACTCGCTTCGTCGATGATCACAACGTCGAATTTTTGATTCTTCAACTGGTGGCCCCCAGCACCGTGAAGAGTCGCCAGGACCACACTGCTCTCGCGAACCAGATTATCAACACACTTGGACTCACGCTCCCGAAACTCCTTTCGCAGTAGTTTGAGATCATCATAGATAGCCCGTCTTTCACGACCAGTCCTCGTTTTTCGAATACTGGCTTGCTTCTCATCCATCTCTCTGCGTACATCCTTCACTATGCTTGCTGCATCGGAAGTCTGCGTGAGGACTTCGAGCGAATGCTCCATGACCGAGGGGAGTAGTCGGGCTGGATGTCCGATGCGCACCACGGGCACTTTATTCGGAGCAAGACGCTCGACGATGTTATCCACGGAGATATTTGATGGACCACAGACGAGAACGCGCTTCTTTCGCTGGATCATCTGCATGATCAATTCAATTAGGGTATGGGTCTTGCCTGTCCCGGGAGGGCCGTGTATGAGAGCGATATCCTTGGCGGCCAAGGCAAATCGAATGGCATCCTTTTGCGAGTCGTTCAATGTTGGATCAATGAACTGTACATCCCCGGTTCCTTCGTAGTCTGGTTGTAAGGGGGTGGTATGGCCAAAAGCAACCCGCATGAAATGCGAATGATCTCCTTCCGTCATTTTGGAAATCTTCTCCATCGTCTGCCTCATTCTGGGAGAGTTAGCTTGCGATTCTCAAACTTGGCGGCACTCAAACCCTTACCGTCTATATGTAACATCATTTGCAAGCTTAATCCTGCAATTTTCGTTAGCATCGTAGATCTCATATTAACACCCCCTTTCTCTTACTTACGCCCAAAGCTTCTTCCCCCACAATTCCTCAATGGCCTCATCATCCTCTTTCGAACGACCACCACCCCCTCTCTGCCCAAAAGCAATCCAAATAGCCTTATCGCTAACCCTCGTAACAACACCCTCAGGACCTCCCTTAGCACCTTCTTTACCGTCCTTTCCCTTATCTTTATCCTTCCCCGCTTTCTTCGCCGACCCCGCAGAGACATCATTAACACGAACCACATCGCCAACCCGCATACCATGAGAGCCTAATCGAGGTTGTCCGTCCGATGCTCTCGAGTCCCCTCCACCCTGTGACTTGGACCCTGTAGATGCGATAGCCGGATCGGGTGTGAATTCGCCCACGACGCGGCCTCCCAGCCCGGTGCGGCATTGTGATAGAACTAGTCCGGTTAATGCGTAGCCGGTAGCTTGAAGAGTTCGTCTTGTGGACGGCGATACCGATGCTGCGGTGGATGCGAGTGAAGAGGAGGCGACTTCGGCTTCGTGCTCGTGGAGGAGGAGCTGGAGCTGTGTCTCGGCGAAGGCGGGGATGGATATGGGGGTTGGAGGGGCCATGGTGGCCAGGAGAGGGGGAGGAAGGTGCTGTTTAGATGTGAGGACCTGCAAGTAGAATGTGTACACCTAGTTCCAGGTTAATTCTTGTATTGGGATTCTTCTTGGGGTGTGTAAGTGTCTTGCGACGCTCTCGGGGATAAAAGTCGGAAGCTGGAGCTCTGTCTGCCCCACGCGGAGATTGATAGCTGCCCGCATTTAATCATTTTCATCAGGCATCCGGCCCATGGAACTGCAAATTGATGGAAAAACCCGGGCTCGTGGATAGAGAAAGCATCTTGAGCAGTACATTCAATGTTTCCTCTACTCGCTCGAAGAGCCTGCTGACATGAACCTTGTGGTCGAGGTTAATACCGGCTGGAAAGAATACTTCGTATGTATAGACATCGGGCATGCAAAGTAATGGTAAACAGACGACAAACAAACACCCATGGCACAAACCAACAACCTACTATACAGAAAGAGTCAGGCTCCAACAACTCGACCCTTAGACAATAAGTGTGCCCTTTACAACGACCCAATCTTAATCTTCGGCTCATCAAGCCCAGGACTCCCCTTCACCAATGCCTCCCTCTTGACAGGACTCAACCCCTTAATCTCACTTTTACAAAGCTTCGTCCCAGCCAAATAACACTCTCCACACCTCCTCTTCACCGGCTGACAAGCCGTCTGCCCCAACCCAACCAACAATTTATTAATCTCATGCCACTTATCCCTCGGCAGCCACGACTGCAGTGCCAATCTGGTTTCCTCTGGCGTCTTGGTCTTATGCCACCCCCATAAATTGGTGATGCGATGGACGTGCACGTCGACACCGATACCCTCGTGTTTGCCCCATGCTGCGCTCATGCAGAGATAGGCCATTTTGGGACCGACGCCGGGGAGTTTCATGAGGCCTTCGGGTGTGGAGGGGATGTCGCCGGCGTACTCGTCGCGGAGGATAAGGGCGGCGGCTTTGATGTATTTTGTCTTGTTGTTATGGAAGCCGACTTTCTCGATGAGGGAGTTGAGGTGGGTTGGGGAAACGGCGAGGATGTTTTCCAGGTTGAGGGTGCTGTCTTGCAATGGGAGGGAGAGAGAGGTTGAGGGATCGTCGGGATCGGGCTTGATCTTGATCTCGTCGGTGTGTTCTGGGTCTTCTTTCTTGACGGTGTTCACGCGGTCTGGTTGTTCGTCGCGGAGCTCGGTGTGTAGTCGTTGCATTGCGACGGCTGTCACGGTGTCCTTGGTTTGGGACGACAGCATTAATGCTATGAGTGTCTGGAAGCGACGGTCCCGGGGAGAAGATTGGCGCCAGTATAATTCCGAACAGCCCATCGTATCCACCGGTGCCGTTGGATTGTCCTGACGCATCTTCTTCACAATATTATACATAGTTTCCCAGTTGGACGGCGGTTCGACGACAATTGCTCCATCGGCATCGCGAGTCTTGCGAGCAGGCATGCGTCGGGCTTTGGATGGTGGAGTTGTTTTCTCATTGACATCTTCCTTTTTCACGAGAGGCTTGCGAGGAGTGCGATTGGAGGCTGACAGGACCTTGGGGCTGGTGTTGCGTTTCCGACGCTTGGAAGGAGGTTCGAAGTCATCGACGAGATCTTCAATGTCAGCAGTATTGGCAGACGAAAGAGAGGACTCGTCATCGCTTCTTGTAGCAGGGATTGTAGCAATGGTCGGGATCAACTCGCTCTTCACAGCTGAATCGCCATTGTAGGCGAAACTCCTGAGCGCGCCAGTGCTGAGAGCTGCACTGCGAGTCTGGCGTCGCGCAGGGGGCGACAACGTCTGGAGAACTTTTGCAGTCTCCTTGGAAGCCCGAGACGTCCGCATCACGAGTGAATAAATTCAAGAATGGCCGGGTGTTATTGTAGATAAGGAGGTGATGGAGCCAGGAAATTTCACATGTGGATTCGGACCCGTGGATGCGGTCTGGGGCAGAAGTGCCGATGCCCCGATTCCCCAGCCTCGGTGACGATCCCAGCGCTGCCCTTCTCCAACCTTCCTGGCCCGCCGAGGGGGAGTCCTGCTTTCGCATTCTACACCACCACAGTCCCTCTGCTTGACCACGCTCATACCTCCGCAGTTTTCACTGCCTGACCTTATTGACCAGCACATTCCTCACCCCTCCACCTGCAAGGTGCCTCCTACACATTCCTCGGAAAAAAATGGCCGGACCATCAACCAACACCGCGCAACGATTGCTGCGCGAGTTGAAAGACTACGCCAAATCGCCCAATGAGGCACTGCTACACCTCGGGCCAGTCGATGACGAAGACCTCCTCCGGTGGGAAGCCGTCCTGAAGGGCGTAAACGGCACTCCGTACGAAGGTATGCGCCTCAGCGGAATCCACAGCAATGATGGGACTCACAACTGACATTGAACGAATCTCATCAGGTGGTCTTTGGCATCTTCGAATCGCAATCCCACCAAACTATCCCCTCGCACCGCCGACAATCCATTTTACGACCCGGATATCCCACCCGAACATCTCCTTCGCGACCGGCGAGATCTGTCTAACCCTTCTCACAACCGAGCACTGGAGTCCCGTCTACACGCTTTCGTCCACGCTCACCGCCATCCACCAGCTCCTAACGGATCCGCAACCAGACTCACCGCTGAACGTGGACGTCGCGGCGCTCCTTCGAGACGGTGATTTGCCGGCGTGGGAGAGTGTGGTGCGGTATTACACGGGTGAGGAGCGGTGGCAGGGTGGTGCGCCTCAAGGACGGTGAACCCCGGACACGCATGAATAACGACAGATATAGTCGCAAATTGATGGGCCCGGTGAGGAATTGAGGGTGTATTGGATCCAGGGATCGATTGGATTTCCGAAGGAAGATATTCGAGGTGATTGGTTCTTTTGGTGGACAGTAATTTCAGCCGCGCTTGGTGGCGCATACATACCCCACTACACATTCTGATGTTCTCTATATATTGCGATTACTATATACGATGATTGTTCTACTCTTTTGGACAGAATTGACAGAAGGATAAAGCTTCTTTCTTCGACCACCGAGGCCAGAAAGATCGATGTATTTTGTCTTTCTTGGATAAACACCCTCTAACTAGATCACAAAGTGATAGTGCACGCTAAATGCTGCCCATGGAAACAATGGAGCCAGAAACAATAAAAAGCAGATTAGCATCCCAAATCCAGATGTAAAAAACGCCGAAGAGACAATGTTTGAGAAAGGAGAGACATGAGTGTGAAGCTCGTAAGGATCGTGAGATGATGACTGTACGCCATCGAAAACGCTGAAATGGATGGATGCAAGATGCGAGTTCATGCTGATCATGCGAAACAAAACCAAGTACGATAAATGAAACAAGAGGCCATGAAGTCTGACCGAAGCAGGAGTATGGGCGAGGTTCGACAAAGGGTTCGACTCCATCACAGCGCCATAGCAACAATGACAGCACCGCCGACCATGGCCACGACTTCCCGGGTGAGACCGGCGGTAGTCAAAGCCGCTGCGCCAGTCTGCAAGCCTGGGGCCGAGCCCTTGGTAGTTGAGCTATCAGACGAGCCGGTTGGGTGAACGTGCACGATAGTAGTCGAAGTGATGGTACTGAGACTACCATCAGGTAAGGTCGTAGTGCTCTTGTAGGTGGAAGTAAAAGAGCTGTCGGTGGTAGTCGGGGCTGAAGTAGTCGATGAGGAAGAAGAGGAGCTCGTCGTGGTGGTGAGGGTAGACTGCACCGAGCTAGACGAGGTGGTGCTGGGGACAGTCGAGGAGGACGAGCTCGAGCTTGTCGTGGTAGTAGTCGAAGGAACAGTGGTAGTCGACGAGCTCGAAGTCGTGCTAGTAGTTGACGTCGTAGATGGCACCGTAGTCGACTGGGAAGTCGTGGTTTGCACCGATGTAGTAGAAGTCTCACTGCTGGAGCTGCTGGTGGTCACAGGCACTGAAGAAGTGGTAGACTCCGTTGTAGCGGTCGTGGAATTGCTGTCCCGCTTGGCGAGTCTCACAAGGTTGGCGATAGTCTCGTCATCACCTTGCAGGGCCTCGGCGGCACTCATGTCAGTCGGGAAAATGCCGTCCTGGAACTTGCGAGAGAGGGCATGCAGGGCCTCGTGAATGGAGTTCACGTTGATGCCGGCCAGGACGTCCTGGAGAGACTGGGACTCACGGTGCACGGCATGGGTGATCACTGGCTGCTCCGCCGCCAAGACAAGAGACAGGAGCATGAGTGATACGAACACAGCCTGGAGGAAATTGATGCGCAGCATGGTGGGCGCCGACTAGTTGAATTGAGGGTTTTGTTGGAGGGAGGGAACCCGATTTGCTGTTCAAGCCGGATGCGGCTATTGAGTTGAAGAATTGGTGGGGGGAGAGGAAAGAGGAGGGTGTGAAAGAGGAAGGGGAGGAGAGAATAAGAGAAGACAGGAATATGCAGGAGCAAAGGTCCAAGATAAGAGAATTATCCAGAAGGTAAAAAAGGGAAAAAAAAGAAAAGAAGGAAAAACTTTTATGGTATGGAGACGAACGATGAGGCAACGCAATTGAGCTTGGACAGCTTCCCGGTTTTAGGCCAACTACGCCCAGTTGGACGAGACACTAGTGGACGCGATCCCTAAAACTAAATAGTCTGGGAGCTTGGATCAACGGCGACAGAACTAGTATCCATGGGCATGATGGATCCATTGCATGATTCTGGAATAGCTTGAGGGATTGCTAGCCGAAGGATGGAGCTTGATACTTTCGAGGCTGAATGGTTTTAGCTACCGTAGGAGGACTGTAATATAATTAGCGACCGTACGGGTCTGGCTTACGACGTCTAAACGAATTAAAAACTACTTTCGTATTATAGATCGACGGGCGATCGGATCGACCAAAAGTGAAAGCTTTGTCTATAGTTAGCAAGGAAGGCTGTTGGTAAAATGATCCTTGACACATTCCGATCGAAAATAAATCAGCCCCCTTTTTAGATAGCCCCGACTTGGCACATTAATATGATATCTACCTCTTCTCTAATTCCACACCCACAGCCATCATCTTCACGGTACACATTATCGACCGACACGAGTACCCGGCGATTCCGTGAGGCTAGCCTCTACCGGAACCACCCAATCAGCGTCTCCATGATCACTATCCATTCAAATGTACGGAGTACGCTGTACGCCAGTTACAGTGCCTCCACGCAGGCAGTGCTACCCCACTCTCCATTGGTTCGGTCTCAAGCCCTCAGGGCTGAAAATAGGCAGGCCCACTCCGAGTCGGCGTCGCGTTCGGCTAGTCGGAGTAGTCATGTTGTCATACGTTTTGTTTCCGCTGGGTGGTAGGACTAGCAGCAGAAGCGGGTTCCTAGATGATCCATGGATGACCATAGATGCCCCTCACAACACCATCAATATAATGGCAAGGTCGCTCTTGGGTGTTTATTTATTTACTATGGCTGCAATCCTGGTTTTAACTGTCGTAGCATGGTTTCTCAATACGCTTTGACATCGTCTTCTTACATCATCGTCTTCGTCATGCAGTCTTTCGTATTTGCCAGACAACGCACCAGGCCTCCAACAATTCCAACAAACCCAATGGAAGTGACACCAAACCCCTCGTGTCTCATGAAACCCCACAGGCGCTTGTTACCGAACCCAGTTCGCCAATAACGACAGTCAATGGAGAGCAATGGGAAACACAATGGCATACCATACCCAATAATTCCTTAGTTACTGAATTGTCCATGGTAAAGCAACAATCAATCCACTGGAGAAAGTACCCAAAGTCGTATTGACAACTCCTCCTAATTACTATTACTCTCGGCCGCATATAAACTCTATCTAATAGACCCTGTCCAACCACAACAAACTAAATAACCTTGCCCTGGTCATCATCAAGTGTAGGCGTAACACAATCCACCCTCCAATGGACTCATGACCTCACGAACAAGCCGATTCCCATCCAAAATCCCAAACTCCATCTCCATATCCAAAGTAACGAGCTCCGCAGTCGGTGGATTCAGTATCTGATTCGTACCATTAACCGCATACCGCCGATTCAATTCATCGGCCGCTTGCCAGATCGCCCACAATCGATCAATCATAGCATGATGCAACATAAACGCCGGATCCTGTGGTGAAGAGAAAAGATCCTGCATGGTAGATCCGATACTAAAATGCCCGCCACCATGAAGACCTAGGACTCCGCCAGGCGTAGCAGGCCAGTGATCCATTACCATCTGGAAATCAGCTATATTCGCCGCAGCCAAAAGGCGGGTAACCTGGGTCTGACTGGTAAAACGTATAGAAACAAAATTATTTAGGCTTCGATTGAGACACCGTGGATTATAGTCGAATCCAGGCGCAGGAATCTCAGTCGTCGAGAGGAGACTGCGCGGAAAAGGCCCGAGGTGAATGGTTATGTCCTTGAATGGTCCGCATCGGACACAGCCTCCGCCCGAACCACGAGGTATTGTCACGTCGCCACTTGATAGACTTTGCTCATTGGTGTTGTATTCGCCATCCCCGGAGAGGGATGTCTCACTGCCGTCGAAGAGGGGGCTTTCGTGGAGGCTGTTTGCCCATAGTGGCCAATTCCAGTAGCTGGCTAGATCAATACAAGATCTTCATTATGGTCGGTAGAGATAATACAGATAGAAACTCACGGAAGAAATCCTTTATACCCACATTCATCTCGCAGAGCTGTCTCGAATAACCAGAGGAAATGCCGGTGCCACGGTAGAAACAACCCACTGTAATGACTGTTGAGGGTGTAATTGATATGGGTGCTACCTGGATCATCATTATGAACTCAAATTGAATACCAAATTCAATAATTGGTACGATCTTACGCGACAAAATCATCAAACCTGCTCCGGACGCCTGGAAATGCCATAGTTGAAAGCCTCGGTGGTGTGCTCATTAGACATATGACGGCTTTGATGTAGCTCTTCCGTTCTGCTGGCAGTATCTCGCCCCTTCAGGTTGATCAATAGTGAGACATAGTACGAGACAAAAGGCAAGAGAGGAGTATTAGTCATAAGACAACTCACCACTCCTTTCGAATACCGATATTGTGGAGCCCACATGGCTGTTGTTTCGGGTCTAGTGGGACTGAGAGTACAATGCTTGAGAGACATAGGATTTGTACGGCAAACTGGATGAGAAACATGATATTATGAACATACCATCAATCAGAACAGGACCTTGACTATACTCTTGCTATTCTTAGATACGATAGATATCACACAGGACTTTTGAGGTATAAGGGATATATAACTGTCGAGACTCCTTATCAACATGCTAGCCCTTCTTCAATAATGCTACATCACTACTGTAGAATACATCATAGAGACTGCCTGTCAAATCGCCTATAATAGGGTAGGTTTTGCACATACTGCTGAGTATTAAGGCCCAATTGAAAATTCAGGCTGGCCGAGTTCAACAGCCCCGACGATGTAAGAGCATCTTTCAGCTCTGTGTAGCTCAGAGATTCGATGATCATGATTATCCATAGAGATTCTCAAACTCCAAGAGATCCAAACGTGAGATGCTGAACTTGAAAAATCAAGGCAACCCATGTATTGGATCTGACCCGGAAGTCTTGCTATTTCGCACGGGAGAGCAAGATTGGTCCCGTTAAATAAGATGTATGTAAATAACAGCATCAGAATATGAAATGTATACAAAATCAAAGCCGCCGGTTCACTATCATCTCTAGTCGATAGTCATGTTCCAAGTGGATATAGAGGTCAATTAGGTCAATTAGCTCTCAATCCGGTTAAGCCACATTTGGATTTTTAGTCACGCTGAAATTCCCCACCACACCCCACGTTCATCCTCCATCAACATCCTGATCATCCACAGAGGAAGCATCAGGGGGTCTTTTCTCCTATTGATTTCGTTTGTAACGCGATGTACAAACTCACTGCCGATGATCTCGATGACTCGTGTGACGACAACACTCCCATCATTCGCGCAGCAGCCAAGTCCAACCCCGCAGTATTGGAAGCCCTTCTTGCCCATCACGCAACGGCCAGCGCAGAAGAAAACCTCACCAAGAGAGAACGCTTCCGCCTCGAGCGCCTGGGGCCGAGTGCTACTGTGGGAGGAACAGCATGCAATCAGTTTCTGTCGCCTATCAAATCGGCAATCCGTGCCCACCTGCCACACAACCTTCGTCTCCTTTTGGCTGCAGGGGCAAACCCAGATGGCATAGATCGGGTATGTATGTCAGACTATTCTGTGCGATGGATTCGTGGCCGTCATTTTCGCGACGATGTAACGAGCTTCGGTTGCTGTAAGCCCCGTGCTATTGTTCTCGCAAATGCGCAGTGCAAGGGTATCAGTCACCAGCTATGCCCCTTGACCCCTGGGGAACTCGATGAACGATGTCATGGGTTCCCCCGATTCTGGACGGAACCGAATGTACCAGGTCAAAGACTGAGGATGGAGAAGGCATTCACAGCGCTGGAAGTCGCTGCCCAGGTAGGTGATGTGGAATGCCTGGATATCCTTCGTGCAGCTGGGGCGGATGAGTCTGCATGGGTGCAGGAAGTGTCCTTGGACGAAAAGCAGATTCAAATGGATGATGCAGAGTGGTCGATTTCCTTTCTATCGACATCTTCGCCTGTCCACGAAGCTATTACAGCTGGTCAGCAGTCTATGCTTCGCCACCTCTTGTCCACCTGTGGATACTCGCCTAACTACCGCTCCTACGCTGCTCCGACTGTTGCCCTTCCGCCACTTTCTTACGCCATCGCTCGTTGCGATTTGAATGACCCTGGCGTACAGAGATGTTTAGTAGATCTTCTGTCTCACCCTCGGCTAGACGCAAATCTACGCACGCCCATTTTCAACATCCACCCCCTTCACTTTGCAACTGCGCACCACGACCCGCAACTCCTTATATGGTTAGCCAATCTGATTCCGGGTGGGTACGAAGCTGCAGGGACCACAGCCTTAGGACATACACTACTTCATATAGCTTGCCTACCTCTCACAGCCACTCAAATCGTGGCTCGCAATCCGGAAGTTGCAAAGAGCATACACTGTGCTCGCACCTTGGATTCTCAGTGGAAACCCCATCGTCTACCGAGTCCACTTCACATGGAATTCTCTACGGCAGAATCAATAGGTTTGGGATATAAGATAACTCCGATGACGGCGGCTGAACAGGTAGCACAACAGGATACAATCCAAGTTCTATTGGAATGGAGCGGTGTAGACCTTAGGGCGAAGGATCTAGAAGGAAATACCGCCCTACACTATTTGGCTGGGACTTTGAACATGAGTGAGGATACAATTGAGATGATTCGCCAGATGGAAGGGGGTGAAGAAGTCTGGCTAGAGTCAGAGAACTGCTATGGAGTCACTCCGAAGGAGATGTGGGGAGAGTAATTAGGTTGAGGCGAGGTGAGTACGTAAATTTGATATACTTTCCCTATGCTCCATCAAGGTGAGATTTTGGCGCACTAGGTAGTCCATGAAAAAAAATAATTGTTCCTTGGCTTTTGGTGGAACTACATGTGAAGTTGGGCATCAGCTACCAAATCGAGTTAAGCGCAGACATATACAGATAGATTCAGGCAATACAGCAAAGTAGCACCATACATCTTCGACCAGGCAATCGCAGCACCCACAGTACATCCCGACGAGGCTCTACCTATTCTGGGTGACACGACAAACATAAGAACCGTTTCGCGGACCCAAACAAATATCAGAGAGTTTGTGACAAACTTTGCGTCATTTTTCTACGAAGCTAGGGTATAATTGTAGAAACAACGCCCAAATGGAACGGTTCTGAAAAGACAATATCCTTGTTGGGTCCCTCCCCCTGGACTGAATACCCGATGAGACAAGCATTAACAGTGCCGCAACTTCACTCCCACTTCCGCTCATACGAGCCAACCCATTCACCCCAGCCCAGTACCTTTCCCTCGATCTCCTTGGCCATCTCCTCGGCGGTCGGGAGGGGACTCAAATTCGCCGCGTCGACAGGCTGACTGAGTGCAATCAGTGTAAAGAAGTACCGATGCGGACCATGACCCAACAATGGACGTGGTGGAATGTACACAGTGCCCCGTCGATTCTTGCCATACTGGAAACCACCCTTGAGCATGTATTCGCCCTCAGCGGCCTCAAAGTCCACGTTGCTCACACCCGTCGCAGTTGCAGGGATACCGTAGTAGATGCCGTGAATAATTGGCGAGGGCAAAGGCGCATCCGGGTCCTCACTGATGAGCAGGTACTCTTTGATATCGGAGGTTGCCGCAGGCCAGCTCAGAGTGGGGAAACGACCGGCACCTTCGGCGGATAGATCGTCGTGCATCTTTGATCCGGACGGACCAACTTCGATGCAGTCAAGTGTGAGAGTAGGATTGGGGACCTGGGCGAAGGCAGGTCCCTTGGTGAAGAGGCGCGCATCGCGGCCCTTGGCGCTCGCGAAGATACGGCTGATGCCGTATTCGATGTAGTTCATCTAGGCGTCGTCAGTGAGGCTGTAGAATGGATGGGTCAAGTTGTACAAGGGCAGTTGGCGGGGTACCTTGAGTTGTATTCAATTTTGATGAATGTATTTCAAGTTAACGAGAACTTGCTCGGCGAAAAATTGCTCAGGGAAGTTCGTCTGGTGAGGTTGTCGTGGTTTTGTGATTGTCCACTGATCGGGCCGCGCTCGGGCCGGTTTTATGCCGTTAACGGCAGCTCCTGCCTCTTCTCTGTCTATCGTCAGGCGTCCATCTCTTTTCCTTTCTCAGGATCGCATGAAAGTTGTCAGATGAGATGACTGACACATGGTGTCAGCTTCAAAGTTGTTGAGCTACGTGCACCAGATGGATCAAGACGCCAGGGAAGTAAATATATCTTGTTGGTGACAGTTTGCTGCCCAGATGATTGGACAGCGACAACCATGATCTGTATATGCCTACAGAACTCACCCGGAAGGATCAATTCCAAGCCTGGAATATATACACCTCAAGTGTTGTTAACAATTCTCAAACCTCGATGACTGTCACATGGCAGACCCTAGCCGTGCATCGACTGATCCTTGGAAATGGCTAGCGACGGTCGATCGGTTGCGGGGGCGCGTGAAAGAACCTTTTGCGGGGAACCGACCGAGGTTTCACGCCAGACCCTGCAGACGTCAAGGCCCTGAAGAAGGCTTCCTCGTCCACTTTTGCGTGTCGACAGCTGCAAATCGGATATTATATTGGCTCGCAGTGTGAGAACCACTCCTCTGCCCGCAACCATGGAAGTCTTCAGTGACTATGCCAGCCCAGTGCTCGCACAAGCCTCGGCCTTGTGGACTGACATTGTGGACACCTACTCCGCGCAACGAATCGAGTTCGTGGGGACATTGATGGTTCAAGTCTTGACCTTCTGGCTGCCCTCGATTGTCTATCTACTGCTTGACGTGATTGCGCCCAGCTTCAGCCAACGGCACAAGATCCAGCCGGCGCCAAAGCAGCCCACCCGCAGCGACATCGTGCGCTGTTTCATCGTGGTCACACAGAATCAGATCCTCTCTTCCGCGCTGCACCTGGGCCTCATCTACATCAGCGGCAAAGCCGGATCAGGGTCATCCTACCGCGTCACAGCAAGCTTCCCCTCAGTCACTGAATTCATACGCGATTTCGCGATTAGTCTGCTCCTCCGGGAAGCAATGTTCTACTACAGCCACCGACTTCTTCATATTCCCTTTTTCTACCGCCGGATTCACAAGAAGCACCACAAATTCACGGCTCCCATCGCACTAGCGGCTCAATTTGCCCACCCGATCGAGCAGATCTTTGCAAATGCGCTGCCAATCTCGCTCCCCCCGCAGCTGCTGCATAGCCATGTCCTGACGTTTTGGGCATACCTTGCCTGGGAATTGTTCAACACGGCGACCGTGCATAGCGGATACGACTTCTTCCGGAATAAAGCAAAGATGCACGATCTGCACCATGAGAAGTTTAATCTTAATTATGGGTCAATTGGATTCCTCGATTGGGTGCATGGAACAGACAATTTGGGGAAGCGACACTCCGAGTAGACTGCTTTGTGATCAAGTCTTACCGAGTGGAAAACCTGAAGCCAAGTCAATAGATCACTGCAAACTGATATTTCTCATCTGTGGTCAAATTCCACTTCGGAAACCCCCGTTTGGCCAGCGATGGAGTGTTCCGTCATGCATTCTTTGATGTTTCCCTGTCGGTGTTTGGGGCGAGCGCCATATAAATAGCCTGTTTCTTGTCAATCATTTCTTCCTCCGTCAGATACCAATTAACAAGCTTCTCCATTATTTTCATTTCCTTATTGTACACTTGGCTACATATATCTGGCACCTCACTATGCAATATCACAAGGATATATACGGCCAGGTCTCAGTCTCGCGTGATACACAGGGGGCCTGTCCCACTTTCTGAGCCTCCTATATTTATATCTCTGGTCCAGCGACTTGTCTCAAAGAACAAGACTGTGGAGGGGGTGAGTTCTTAGGACCTGTGTTCACTGTGTGGAAATTTCCATAAATCTTGCTCGCATTTCCTCTCGCCTTTCAGGCTCCTCCTCATTCATTAAACCCCTTCTTCGTCTCTCCATGATGCCTCTATTTGGAACAATTTGCTGTGTAATGGAGAGGAAGCGTATGACCTCCATCTCGCAGCTATCATTGACGCAACGATCTATCGGTGGGCAGTTGATAATGCGGCACCCATTTGCTCAACTTTGCGCAGATTCTCACGATGTATTTCGATGACATCCTTCCTTACAATGTCTCACGCGAATCCGAGGAGTACGTACATCATGAGTTCCTTCGAAGCTTTATCCACCGCTAGCACCACATTTGACCAGCCTTGGAGTGTTGAGAAGTGGAGATGCTGGGATATATGTGGGTATTCACATGTCCTTTAGGCGCCTGGGGCAAGCCGTTCGCTCTGTTCGATAACCACTGGTCTCGAGTATTGTTAACCGACTTTCGGCATCGACAACAATTTGACCTTTTAAATGTGTACAAGGGCTACACGGCTGAACAGGCCTGAACCTATAGACATACCATTTTCCCGATCGTATACCGGCGTCCCACCACTCAGAAAGCATATCCCGAGCGTTTGCCTGAGTGAGAGCAATTTCAACTCGAGAATGGAAGTCAGATACAGCTGCTTGAAGCATATCTGGCGACAAGATTGCAAAGATTTGGAGTGGCTGCGGATGATTTAGGAGTATGCTGGATATCAGGGCAAGAAGAGTCTGGCAACCAGCGACACACGATTAGTTGACCAGAGAGTCAACTGCAAGTATCGACATATCTGATGATCCAAAGATAGAAGAACCTCCTCCCCCATGAATCGAACTCCAGACCTCCTTTTCCCTATGTACTTCATGACGATGCTCCGTCTCTATCCCACGATGCCAAAGTACATCAACAAGAGTCAACCATGACACCACACCCGATACATAGCACTATTCTACAGCCTCACAATACCATTAAAAATACCCTTTCAGAATTAAAATTAATTAGAGTATACTAGAGTAATACTACATTTATAAATAAAATAAAATAAAAAATAAAAATAGATCTTTATCCGCGAGGAGGTGCTGCCACCACCTCGCATGCCCACCCGCCCACCCTCCCCGCCTAGGGATGTGCCCGGCCATCGTGGTGTCGTGCTCAACACTGGAGGCCTGTACCTTTCCCATCACATGTTTGCCCTTTTCAGGGCACACCCAAAGGTCAGTAGACCACTAGGCCATATGAGGGGGGAGAGTGACTGGAATACCAATAGTGGGATTATATCACCTCCTCACGTATCGGTTACCCAAAATGATTTCCACTCATCACAGGTTCAGCGTCATGTTTGTGGGAAATATCGGCTTGGAAAAGGTAACAAGGACCCAGACTACAGTGTTATGAGTAGCGAATATTTTTTAAGACCAGCTTGATACTAATAAAAATAAACCTGGGTTGTTTTCCAAGGAGTATGATCCTACTGTGGAAGTTAAGAATTATGCGGTCCTGGAATACGGTAAGCCCCATACACGCGACTGACAACGACTCTACCCAACTGATCAGTGCTCAAATAGACTGCTGGTTATTTGGAGGTAACTGTGTGGGAGATCCCCGGTAGTACCGAGCTGTCCACAGCAAACACAGATATTCTGAAACAGGCCGACGCGGTCTTCATTTTGTTTGACGCGTGCAACAAGTCGATTTAGCCCATCTTCCGTCGTGAGACCATATGTGCCCCTGATACCCGTGGCAATACTCTTGACTGACAGTTCGCCTTTGTAGGGAAACTACGTGATACCGCCCAAAGATCTATGCCCACCGTGGCGTGCGGCAACAAGACCGACAAGATTGGAGGAGGACGCTACAGCAAGACAGACACAATCAAGCACCATTACTGCGATATATCAGCCGTGGGCCAAATTGAATTTTAACGAGCCATGGTTCTCGTTATTCTGACAACTGTTAGATGTAGACCACTTGTTATGACTCCCGCCACTTTGGCAATGTGTTCTTCCGTGCTAACTGATAATGACACCAGTATGACACCGATCAGTGATTATTAGAAGTTGAACGTTGGGCTTCCGCGGTGCAGACACGAGAGGCGAATGCGTCGACGGTCAAGCGAGGCTGCTCAATGCCAGAATTTGATAAGGGGCGTTGATTTTGATGTATGGAGGCAGCCTGCATTGTGGAGACTGACCCCATATTCTCTCAAAGCCGGCACTCTCCACGATCGAAACGGCATTGCCTCCCCCAAAGCACTGTTATGGTTCCAGATTGAACTAAGCTCAAATGGCTGAAACAGTGAGAACTATAAAATGTACCCTCACCCAGCTTGGGAAACCCCCGTCACAGTAAGAGATACTGTATCAAACGTGAAGCCAGTGTTCCCCCAGCGTAATCGAAACCATACGCCCACAACTCTCGCACATATGTCCAATCATGCATGTCTCCGTGGCCAGCACTCAAAATTGATTTCCTGATATCGCTCGTTGGGGTAATACAAACAGCTCCAAACCTGGGGTCTGTCTGGCTTGTCTATCTACATTGGAAAAAGCATTCTTGTACAGTCCGATATGGGCGGTGAATTTGTATCGGGTGCAACCTTTTGAAGTAGAGTTCAACCTTGGGGTAACTGAGGTGTCTCTTATCATCATCGGAGATTATCTGAGCAAGCTGATTAGTCTGTTAACCCCAGGAAACTTGCTGGATTCGCCTTATCGACAATACCCCAACTTTTCAGTTGGGGTAGCCATAATAACTGTTCCAGGACGAGTTAGCCCATCTTCACCATTGCTTATCTGCGCAATGATCATCAAGATAAGATACAAATGGAGGCTAGGTACGGGAAGTTCTCCGGGTATATAAGAGTCATGTAAGTCCATTGAGTACTGGATAACCCCGCAGGAGAAGCACTCAGGCGGTGCCAACTTTTTCCACGCTATACAGAGTAGATCGGCCATGGGCAATGAGCTACGAGTCCTCCCTGCCGGCGCCGGCTATGGCATCGTCATCGGCATCGGCGGCATCTTTGCCCTCTTCATGCTCAGCCTAACTTGGCTTCAAAACCGATACACCCGCTTCTCAACGCACCAAGCCGAAGAATTCAACACCGCCTCCCGCTCCGTCAAACCAGGTCTCATCAGTGCCGGCATTGTCTCGTCCTGGACATGGTCAGCAACGCTGTTGACAAGCTCAACCTTCGCATACGAATATGGCGTCTGTGGACCGATGTGGTACGGAGCAATGGGTACCCTCCAAATTCTTCTCTTCGGATTAATCGCTATCAAAATAAAAACGAATGCCCCCGGTGCCCATACGATGCCCGAGATCGTGCTCGCGCGTCACGGAAAGATCGCCCACTTGACGTACCTGTACTACGGTCTAGCGACCAACATGCTCGTCGGCGCATGCTTAGTCCTTGGCGGTGCACAGGTTGTCGAGGCGTTGACGGGGATGAACGTCTACGCGGCGACGTTCCTTATTCCCGCTGTTGTGGCGGCTTATGTGATTGCGGGTGGACTGCGGTCGACCTTTATCGCGGATTATACGCACACGGTGATTCTTTTCATTGCGATTTTGGTCTTTGGCTTCTTGATCATTGCTACGAGTGACTTGGTTGGTAGTCCTAGCAAACTGTATGACCTCCTGCAAGAGGCTTCGCAGAAGATGCCGATTGACAGAAATACGGATGGCTCGTATTTGGCCTTTCGCTCTGTGGGAGGGTTGATCTTTGCGTTTGATCTGTTCGTGGCTGGGTTTACGACTGTTTGGTTGGACCAGGCGTATTGGCAGCGGGCGATTGCTTCAAAGCCAGAGACCTCGGTGAAGGCGTATCTCCTTGGTGGAGTTGCGTGGTATGGTGAGTACACATGCATGTCCCCGGAATTGACAGAGGTCTTGTTAATGAACGGCACAATAGGCATTCCGTTTGGATTCGCGACGGTCATGGGCCTGGGATGCGTGGCTCTCACGGGAAACCCGAGATTCCCAACATATCCCAATCCACTTTCCACCGAGCAGGTTGGCGCAGGACTATCCGCACCAGCGACGGCCATTGCACTCCTTGGTAAAGGTGGCGCAGTGTTGATATTGATCCTGTTGTTCATGGCCGTGACAAGCTCTACCTCTGCGGAGCTGATTGCAGTCTCGTCGCTGTTGACGTTTGATGTGTATAAAACATACTATCGTCCAAAGACTACCTCGACCGAGCTGGTCCGAGTAAGCCACTGGGCGATCGTAGTATACGCGCTGGTTCTCGCCGCTTTCTGCTGTGTTCTCAATGCCGTCGGCATAAGTCTGACCTGGGTGTTGACCGTGCTGGGTGTCATTGTTGGCGGCGCCGCTCTGCCCGTCGGGATGATTCTATTGTGGAAGCCCATGTCGACTGTTGCAGCCATTGGCGCTCCCTGGATTGGCTTCCTCTGCGGTGTGATCGTCTGGTTTATCACGGCGTGGAAGCGTAACGGCGTAATTAGTGTTGCCAGTACTGGAGACACGACCAATGCTCTGGCTGGGAACATTGCCTCGTTCGGGGTCGGATTCATCATGGCTGCGGTGTTGAGCTATGCATTCCCCAAGAAGCGACCATCTCCCGAGGTGAATGCAATCACGGGTATAGAATCGAGCATTGAGTCTTCCACACTAACCCAAGATCAGACATCGCCGACCGTGGAAAAGGAGAAAACGACTCCGGATCCAGTCTCGGACGAAGTAGTGAGATCGCAGCCTTTGCCTGCATCGCGAAACGAGTTGGTCGAATACCTCGAATCCAACACCATCGAGCCCATGGATCCCGAGCTCGCACGCAAAGGCACGCGTATTGCCACTATCGCCAACGTGATCTTCTTCTTTGGAGCAGTCATCCTGGTACCCTTCACGCTCTTCGGCACCAGCTACGTCTACAGCAAGCCCTTCTTCACGGGCTGGGTGGTGGTCTCGTTTATCTGGATCTGGACGAGCGTGATAATTTGCGTCGTCTATCCTGTGGTAAGTGTGGCACTCTCTGACTCTGTCCCAGCCTCAGAGCATGTCAATCGTCAATCACACGCTAACTTCCATTCCAGGTGGAAAGTATGGGGGCATTGCGGAGCATTGTGGGTGGTCTGTGGGGCGATGTGAAGGCTGTGCTAGGCCGTCGCCGAAAGGAGGCGGCCGTGATTCACGACGCGGCATGAAGAAGTTTCCTCGGTCGGGATTATTATTGTGCAGTGGTCGGTATTCTGGGCTCCTTTTTGAGACACGATGCGCTATCTATGGCTTGTAAATTGTATTAATTTAGCTGGGTTATATGATTGAGTCGAACAGTCTCTGTTGCGACCGTGTCTATTTAGACGCGTTGACAACCCTGCTTGTGCTGGGTCTTCCAGCGTTAAAGTGCTGCCTGCAGTAAGAATGCCGCGACCAGTGACCAATTAACTTTCCTCTGAAATAGCGGAAAGCGGACCAGTAGGCGAATGAAATGGGTGGACGCATTCCACAAGGAAAGGGGGGGTGTAGAGACCAATCTTCTCGAGTTCAGTCAAATACAAGTATCATATTTTTGGTCTATTTATACAGTGAAGACGGCATTGAGGTGAGACTGTCGTATGGGTGGGTGGTGGAGCAGGGGTTATGGATGCATCGAGAACCAGGTTGACACACGCGCCCGCAGGTCCAATGGGTGTTGAAGCGATGGACGGGGAAGTGGGATTGGACGGGTGTGACCACAGATAGATGAAGAGCTGAGTACCGAGCCTTGGACATTGTGTACCAGTTGTGGCTAAATAAAGATGCAGTGGAAAGCCTATGATACAGATTCATAAGGTGTATAGTCAGTGCAGTGTTTACGTAGCCTCGAAACCATAATATTTACTTTCAGGGTGTTGGCGCGAGTCGTCCGTCCTAGGCATGACAATATTGTCGCGAAATTTGGTGAGACGATCAGCTCCACTGCCGAGAGAAGAGTGCGTCATCGCCAAGTTGAGAATAAGGGATCATGATATTTCCTTATCCGATCAATCTACATACAGTATGACTTTTTAGGAACGATTGACTGCAGCAACTAGTCGATGGAAGGAGTTTACATGAGTACCCTATCCTGTTCTTGTGCACTGTAGTTTTCGATGTCTAGTGTGCAACTCAATAGCAAAGACTCGAGGGCAGGCTTCAGGGGCCCACAGCCGTTTCAAGTCAGATCCGTGGATATGATGTACACCGTGCGGAGATCCCAAACGAATAGTCGAGAAGTATAATAATAATAGGAAGGTTGATGACCATGTGAGTGGCACAATCACAAGCCGCCAATTTGTGCCCAGAAAGCATAAAGCAGAAAGTTTGGGACATACTGTAGAAGGGCTATAAATACTAGAAACATTGGAAACATTGACCCAGAGGTTCGAATGGCCAAGGGCCTTGGAAGTATTGGCAGGTCTTGCAAAAAGACAATGTGGATTAGCTTTTGTATTAGCCAATGCTTTGGATTCAGGATCAACCCATCAGCAGCCAACCCACTCGAGGGCTCCACCGGGCGTCGTGGTCCCAGCCAGATCATAATAATATCGAAGGCCCAGTGAAAGCCATCTGGCGTCAAGTACGGAGTCGAGTCAAGGGCTTGGAGCAAAGACCCCCTTGCCGCGGGAACACACGCAGAGACAGCAACATCCAGGAGGATCGGCCATTCGGAGCAAAAGGCTCATCAGCACCTCATTGTGGTACAAGTCCTGGCCATCTGTAGTGCCAATCATCGTCATGCATTCAATACACCCGCTGGGCCCTGGTCCATCCTTACCGCTCTGAAAGAAGTCTCCACCCAACGCCACCAGCCGATCAGGGCCTGTGGAGAAGGTCTTCAGGGTAGGGATTTGCCAGGGATTGATGTTCAGGGATTCAGGGATTCAGGGACTTGACCTGCCGATATTTGTGGCGGTTGTGGATTGTGTGTGGTGTGGACTGTACCTGGAGTATAAGCCCAGGGACTCCCCCCCCTTCTTTCTATCCCTACGTTCCTCAAACCAGCCTTCCTCACACTCGTTCTTTCTCTTTTTTGACACCATTCGCTTTCAATCTTTTTTCTTGTCCCTCATTTAGACACTCGTTGACAACGTTGGCCACAATTACCATCATCTTCTCTTCTCCTAACTCATTAAGCCGATAAACCCTCCGGTTTCTACCTTTGCGACCTCCATTACCATTATCTTCTCTTCATCTAACTCATTAAGCCAATAAACCCCCCGGTTTCTACTCTTGCGACCTCCATTCACGACCATCATCATGAAGGCGACTATCGCTTCTCTGGCAGCTGCCTTTACACTAGGAGCTCAGTCCGTTATGGCTGCTCCCTCGTCTACTACGACTGCGGCTAAGCGTGCCACCAGCGGCGGCGTCACTCCCATCACCGTCAAGGGCAATGCCTTCTTCCAGGGCGACAACCGTTTCTATATCCGTGGTGTCGACTACCAGCCCGGTGGCTCCTCCAAGTTGAGCGACCCCATTGGCAATGCCGAGACTTGTAAGCGTGATGTCCAGAAGTTCAAGGACCTTGGCCTCAACACTATCCGTGTCTACTCCGTGGACAACTCCGCCGACCACGATGAGTGCATGAGCGCCCTGGCCGACGCTGGCATCTACCTGGTGCTCGACGTGAACACTCCCAAGTACTCCCTCAACCGGGCCGATCCTGGTCCCTCGTACAACGATGTCTATCTCCAGTACATCTTCGCGACCGTCGACAAGTTCGCCCGCTACGACAACACTCTGGCTTTCTTCTCCGGAAACGAGGTTATTAACGATGGCCCGTCTTCCAAGGCTGCCCCTTACGTCAAGGCCGTCACTCGTGATATTCGCTCCTATCTGAGCGAGCAGAAGCTTCGCAAGGTTCCCGTTGGTTACTCCGCCGCTGACATTGACACCAACCGCTTGGAGCTCGCCGAGTACATGAATTGTGGTACCGATGATGAGCGATCCGACTTCTTTGCCTTTAACGACTACTCCTGGTGTGATCCTTCCTCTTTCACTCAATCTGGCTGGGACCAGAAGGTGAAGAATTTCACTGGTTACGGTCTTCCCCTCTTCCTCTCCGAGTATGGTTGCAACACCAACACCCGGAAGTTCGAAGAAGTCAGCGCTCTGTACAGCACCAAGATGACTGGAGTCTACTCAGGAGGCCTTGTATATGAGTACAGCGAGGAAGGCAGCAATTACGGCCTTGTTCAGATCAATGGAAACGATGTTAGCACCTTGAAGGACTACGATGCCCTGAAGGCGGCCTTTGAAAAGACCTCCAACCCGGAGGGCGATGGTAACTACAACAAGACCGGCGGTTCCAACCCTTGCCCGGCCAAGAGTGCTCCCAATTGGGATGTCGATGCTACTGACTCTCTGCCTGCCATCCCCGTCCCCGCTGAGAAGTACCTGAAGAATGGTGCTGGCAAGGGTGTTGGTTTCAGCGGCAAGGGTTCCCAGAACGCTGGCACTCAGTCCACCTCGACTGCCTCTCCCGGCTCCGGCTCTGGCTCCAGCAGCTCTTCCTCTAGCTCTTCGAGTGCTACTTCCCATGGTGCTGCCGCTGGTCTTGTTAAGCCCTTCACTATCAGCTTCGCTCCCGTTGCCATCAGCCTGGCAACCATCGTGTCCTCGCTGTTCGGTGCCACCCTGATTCTCCTGTAAACTCTTTGATGGGTTCTTTCATTACACAATATTTCTTATCCATTATTCTTACATACCACGTCGGATTTGTTCTTTCCCGGTGTGGCTGTTTTGTATGCGAGGGTCTTTTGCTTTTGGACTTTTAGCTGGACGCTAGCCGGCCAATGGTCTTTTTGATCTGGGATATCCAGTCGAGTGGCTTCAGTGTGTACAGTAGGCCATAATTCATGCTCTTAACTTCAGTCAGACCGCCTCATGTAATACGATTCGTTCAAGAAATTGGTTATCTTCTGTATATTCAGTTCCGTGCTGCATGTAGTCCGTTCTAGCACCACTAAACCAGCCACGCCACAATAGAGTCTGGTAGCAACAACCCTCTTTACAACGAATTCCTCGGTTTAAGAACCAAACTCTCTTGTCGAAATAAGAAATCCAATATAAATAACGAAGATTCTGGAAATAACGAATTCGTCGAGATTTTGCGTCGAATTTGGAGTCTTAATTTCCTTCCTTGCTGTGCGCGACGTAGATAGACGTCTTCAGGTTAAGATGCCCGATGTTTTTTTTTTTTTGTGCATCGATATTACTATATGACAGGTGCAATTTTTGACGAAGACGACTGATTACCGAACAGGTCTACCTTCTACCGATTGATTGATTTCTTGATTGATTGCGATTCCAAAGAGGCTTGCTCCCCGTCGCATGGATTATCGGCATTAGAAGATCTAACGCGGAAGATTCGATACAGAACATAACTATGCTGTAGTCTATCTCTAAACAAAGAAAGATAGTAGAAAGAATATACTAGGTACTATTCGATTATACGGCTGTAGCAAAGTTACTACGATTAATCTTCAACGGGAGAGGTATTTGAAGGTGTTGAAGGTGGTGAAAGAGGTGTTGAAAGACCTGTTAGTAGATTAGTAATAATTTACTTAAGATACTGGTATTTAAGAAGCATCTGAAAAATTAGCAGGCTAATTGTATAAATAGTATGAAATGGATAATTGAATGCTTAGATTTCTAACCAAGTTGCGGTTTAGGAGCTCAAAGTGGACAGAAATAGTGGAAAAGGGCTTCTGACCACGCTCAACGTCACTGCGACCGTTGGATTGCAACCTACATTCAAATATAGGTATAGAGGGCGTACCTTTCCAAGATTTGGAATACCTGGGTTAACGAATTAAACCCCCTTGAAATGGAAACTTCGTTATAACCAGGTTTTGCTGTACCAATTTCTCAAAGACATTGTCTATCTACAACTTCGCCTTGCCCTCTGCCTGTCCGAGTACAAATGCATCCCAATCCATCTTCCTCCCCGCCTGAAACTCTCTCAACCCAACCGCGCCCTCGGCATCCGGCCTCATCATCTCATCAAACACACCCTTGATCCCTTCAACCTGCTCCTCCCTTCCCCCATGCATCCACGCCAATCTAACCAACTCCTTCGACATCCTGGATCCCCCGGGTGAACACGCTTTCAACCTTATCAACAACCCATCCAGCAATCCGACCAACTCATCCCCATCCTTCGCAACACCACTAACCAATCCCCTAGCCAACAACTCCTCCGCACCAACAGCCCTCGCAGATAACATCGCTTCCCTCGAAAACGCCACCCCCAACTCCCGCACAACATACTTCGAAATCGTCGCCGGCGCAAGACCCAATTTCACCTCGCTAAGTGTACACGCTGCCCCGGCAGCGCAAAGCCGCATATCACACGCAAACGCCAGTCCCACGCCCCCGCCAAATGCGGGCCCATTCATCACTGCAATAGTAACCTTGGGCGAGGTATCAAGTACCTCGAAGAGGGAAGTGAGTCGGGCAAATTGTGCGTCAGATGCAGAGCCGCCTTGTGCGACTGGGGAAGTATCCCGTCCCAGGTCCATGCCTGTGCAGAAGAAGCGGCCTGTGGCGGTGATGATGATGCGGCTGGTGAAGGGATCGGAGTTTGCGGATTGAATTGTCGATGTTAGGGTTGTTAGCATGGATGATGTGAGGGCGTTGCCGTTTTTGGGGCGGTTGAGGGTTATTTTGAGGTTTGTGGCATTGCGGTGGATTTGGAGGCCTTCGGGTGAGGAGACGAGGGTCCATTTTAGGGGTGTTGGATGTTTGGAGTTGGAATTGGTAGTCGATTTGGCGTTGGTATTGGTCTGCGTCTGCGACCGTGTTTTGATGGACAGGGCTTTACCGGCTCGACTTGAATTGGACTGGGAAAGCTGTCGTGATATCCACTCCCCTGTCTCGACTAACTTGGCCAGATCCACGCCCGTGCTGATACCTGCGTTGTGGAACATGTATACCAGATCTTCGGAGGCGACGTTGCCCTTTGCACCGGGAGCAAAGGGACACCCGCCAAGTCCGCCGACACTGCTGTCGAATACCCGCATCCCGCAGGTATATGCCTCCCAGACATTGGCCACGGCTTGGCCATATGTATCGTGGAAGTGACCGGCCAGCTTGTCGATGGGGACCCCGTGACTCGTTAAGTATTGGATCAGAGTGTGCACGTTTGACGGCGATCCTACGCCTAGTGTATCACCGAGACTGACTTCATAGCAGCCTGCAGCTAGGAGGGATGTCACGCAGCGCAAGACTGCGGCTTCGGGGGTTGGACCATCGAAGGGATCTCGAAAGATGCACGATACATATCTGGATCGGTCAGAATGGATATTGTAGTGAGAAAGGTCTGATTCGATCATTCTCCGGTGCTATAGCTCACCCTCTCACAGCAACACCAGCCTTTCTCGCCAACCCGGCGACTTCCCCAGCCCTCGCAATCCCTTGCTCAACGGAGCAATTGATATTGGCTTTACTAAACCCCTCAGTCGCACTGATGAAAACAGCAACTTCCTTCACTCCATGGTTCACTGCAATCTCCAAACCCTTGACATTCGGCACGAGGACTGGAAATCGCAAACCCGCCTGGTCCGGCTGGAAAAGAGCCTTCACAGACGAATGCCCAAGAACCTCACGACAATCCGCGAGTTGCGGAATTGCACGCGGCGATACGACAGAGGTAAGTTCAATTGTGCGTAGTCCTGCATCACGCAGTCGTCGAATAAGTTCCAATTTCGTTTGTGTGGGGACCTTTTCGCGGATGTTCTGCAGGCCATCGCGAGGTCCAACTTCCACGATTCGGACTTGGGGGGTTTGAATCGTCATAGTATTAATGATGCCGAAGCTAGATTAAAGCCTTGCGTTGTTGCAGTAGAGGGAAAATATGCATTGGCGTCATGATAACTGACCGAGTCTTCACAGGTTAGCTCATTTTACTAGCTTGTTCTAAGCCGCGGCATCTACTTCGGTTGACCCGGATGTAACCCCGGACCGAAGCCCCCACCTATTTTAGCCGCTCCACTCCGGAGAGCGGACCGATGCTTAGTTTGGTGGTTAGCGTGGAAAACTTACTGCTAGGTTTCGGCAGTTGAATCGACCATTTTGGCCCCCAAGGGGAGAAATTCGAGCATACAGAGCAGGGGGCTCAATCGATGAACATCGTACACTCCAGTCGCCACGCTCTTCCAGTCGCAACTCAATCGTCGCGGGGAATAGAGGAAAGGATAGCTTATGTGAATAGCGGAAATAAAATCCATTGAAGAAATCTATAGCCTGGCCTTGACTTTACTCTGTCCAACCACCCTATTTCCAATATCCCGAAGGATATGCTTCTGATGCTTTCCGCTACCCGTCTTAGGGAAATCCATCCCAATCCCAGCATCGCCAATCCAAAAAATATACTGTGGCGTCTTGTGACGGCCCATCTGTTGTCCAACCCATTGCTTGACCTCCGCCTCGGAGATTCTTGAAGACCCCTCGACTCCCTTGAGGAAGCATCCCACGACTTCACCATATCTCTCGTCCTTGATGCCAACAACGCTGGCCTCGCTAATAGCAGGGTGCATCATGACGCGTTCTTCGATTTCTCTTGGGAAGATGTTCTCTCCTCCTGTCAAATCCTTGTCAGAGCCTCCAACCTAATCACAAGTAGAAAGAAGAAAACATACCTCGAATAATCATATCCTTAATCCGCCCCGTAATCTGTGCATACCCATCCTTATCCAACAACGCCTCATCTCCCGTATGCATCCACAACAGCCCATCCTCATCCCTCCTCATAACCTCCTTCGTCTTCTCCTTGTTCCCAAAATACCCCTTCTGCAAAGCAAACCCACTCGTACAAAGCTCCCCCCTCTCCCCTCGCCGCAAAATCTTACCATCCTTGCCAATGACCTTCGCCGCCGTATGCGGCACAACCCGCCCAACAGTCGTAGTCCCCTTCTCATCCGAGTCGCTTAACGCAGTGATGAATGTCACGGGACTCGTTTCAGTCATTCCATACGCAATAAGCATCTTTTCCACGCCCATCGTGGCGCGCAATTCGTTCATGAGGCCCTGTGAGACGGCAGATCCGGAGGCTAGACCGGTGCGGAGTCGGCGAGGCCGCTGGCCTGTTTTCGCCATGACCTCTAGTTCGGAGACGTACATTGTTGGGACACCGAGGAGGACTGTGGCGTCTTCATCGACTATGGCGTTCACGACGCGTTGTACGTCGAAGAAGTCGGATGGGAAGACAATGGAGCTGCCGTGGGTGAATGAGGCGAGGAAGCCGAGGACTAGGCCGAAGCAGTGGAAGAGAGGGGGCGGGCAGCATATCACATCCTCGGGTGTGAGTGCCATAGCGTCGCCAACGAAGCGAGCGTCATTGAGTAGGTTGCTAGAATATGTTAGATTGGATTTGCTTGTTAAGAAAAGCAACTGACTGACTTGTGTGTCAACATGGCTGCCTTGGGAGAACCGGTGGTACCTGGAGAGAAAATTAGCCTGGTGATATTGATAGATTCATCAAGGACAGGGCATGATACCAGAAGTGAATTGAAGATTCAGCACATCTTCAGGAGTAACGGCATCCTCTGCCCTCTTGAGGACACGATCATTCATAAACACGGAATGCCCATTGGACGTGAAAGTACTATACGACTGTATTTCAACGCCACCGAGCTCGTGGCCGCAATTCCCAAGGCAAACTACTCGCCGTAGCTCCGGTAAAACAGAGTTCTGAGCAGTATTCCCTCGCAAAGCTTTGATATGGCCGGATAAGTCCCGGTTGCCAATAGAAGAGGCGATAAAGACAAGCTTGCACGCTTCAACACTATCAGAGAATGTAGCGGACCATTGGACATTTCGTGACTTACCACTTCTTCCTGTTGCATTCTGCAGCTCACCGGGTGTATATGTATTATTCAATACAACAACGGGACATCCAATTCGAGCACCGCCAAGAAACACCTCGATGTATTGGTAACAATTACCGGCCATGATTCCAACACAGTCTCCATGCCGAAGACCCATTTCGAGCATGGCCTTGGCAAGCACCTTGCTGCGATCGGCTAATTGGCCGTAAGACAGCCGGACTGATTGCCATGGAAAGACGACACATGGTCGTCCGCCGAATAAAGTGGCTTGCTCGTCGATAAAGCTGCCCAATGTTTTTGACCATAAGGCGGGCTCTTTGGAGCCGTGGACAATGGCAAGATTCGGGTCCATGATGGAGTTGAATGCAAACGATCAACTTATTTCCGGGGAAGTATGTATCGGAAGTGATTAAAATGGCTTGTGTGTTTTCATTTGCCACGAGATAAAATATTTATCTGGTCTCCTCTAGATTCCATACTGTGGGGGCGGAGACCGACTGGGGCAGGATAACCCGTCCGATAGACCTTCCGGGCCTTCGGACCGGTCATGCCTTACCCACTCAGAGTTCACCCGTCCATAACTTAGTCAACCTGGACCTTTTTAGTAAGTAATTCTGAATTACGCGCCATTGTGGAAGTGAACTTGTCTTGAGCAATATTTTCCATCCTGCCTATCATGGCTACTGAATCCTCCTATCCAACGCTGAGCGCTAAGCTCGATCTTCGGGGTGAACAGTTCCGAGCTAACAAAGAAAGCTGGCTACCCGTGTTGGAGAAGTTTGAAGAAGCCTTGAAGCAGGTTTCTGCGGAAGGAAATGATGTTTCTTTGCGGAGACATCAAACTCGGGGCCAGTTGTTGCGTACGTTTACACTAGGTGGCAAGAAGAGGTTCAAGAACCTAACATTATGAACAGCCAGGGATCGTGTTGCATTAATTCTGGATCAAGATTCGCCTTTCCTCGAACTGGGCGCATTTGCTGGATTTAGAAACGAGGATTCGACGCCTTGTGCAAATTTGATTTCTGGAATTGGAAATGTTTGGTTCGTTCGATTGAAATGCTCTGAGAAATTTCAATTCTGACTATCTAAAGTGGACGACCCTGTTTGCTCATGTCGCATATTCCGACACAAAGTGGTGGTGCATGGAATGAAATGACCGGTATAATGATTCACGTCCATTGACAAGTTCAGAGGGATTCTAACTGTTTGTCAGTTCTGAAAGTAAACCGAATGATGGAAATTGCGTTCGAAAATGACCTTCCCTTGATCTCGCTAGTCCAATCGGTAAGAGACATATAGCCTCGCATTTAACTCTGGTAAATTTAACTTATATTTCCTACAGGCCGGTGTGTTTTTACCTCAACAGTTCCGCGTCTTCCACAAGGGAGGGCAGCTGTTCCACGATCTTGCGGTGCGAACACAACACGGCAAGCCTTCCTGTGCGATCGTATTCGGATCATCAACAGCGGGAGGAGCCTATCACCCAGCCCTCTCTGACTACACTATTTTCGTTGAGAATCAAGCACAGGCATTTCTAGGTGGTCCACCATTGGTCAAAATGGCCACAGGGGAGGTTATTGAAGCAGAGGAGCTGGGAGGAGCGAAAGTCCACGGTGTGACAACTGGCCTTGCAGACCAGATTGCAACTGATGAGTATGGGAAAAAAAAAAAAAACACGCCCCCGTGGTTTATTTTAACTGACAAATAACTAGATTTGATGCTATTCAAAAGGCCAGAGAATGGGTTGCTTCGCTACAGATGCGAACTACTCCGAGACTAGAGATGATTGAGCCCGTTTCACCCCGATATCCGATTGAAGACCTATTATCACTCGTGAACCCCGATATTCGTAAACCATTTGATATGAATGAGGTTCTACTACGTCTCGTGGACGACTCTCGACTCTCCATCTTCAAACCGAAATATGGTCCCAATATTATTACTGCATGGGCCCATATCATGGGTAAGCAAAGATGTACATACTTTACTTCGAATTTCCGAGCTGATGTTAGCGACAATAGGATTCCCCGTCGGCATCGTTGCAAATCAAATCTCGGTGATCAACCCCAATGAAGCCGGAAAGGCTGCCCAGTTTATTCGAATGTGCAATCAGCAGTAAGTCGGATCTCGCAGTCTACAGCATCACAATATTGACCTTTTTACCAGGAACACTCCTATCGTCTTCCTACACAACGTGACCGGCTTCATGGTCGGCGCCAAAGCCGAACATGCAGGTATTATCAAGGCCGGTGCCCAACTAGTTTCCGCCGTGAGCTGCTCCACTGTCCCTCACATCTCCATCATTCTCGGTGCATCATACGGTGCCGGTAACTACGCCATGTGCGGCAGGTCCTACAAGCCCCGTTTCCTGTTTACCTGGCCGACCGGTCGATGCAGTGTAATGGGGCCTGAGCAACTATCTGGCGTGATGGAGAGGGTGCAGATAGCCAGTGCCAAGTCCAAGGGTCAGACTCTATCTCCAGAAAAGTTGGAGAAGCAGGTCAATGGATTTAGGGATCGGGTGGAGCGGGATGCTGAATGCTATTCTACTAGCTCTATGCTGATCGATGATGGGATTATTGACCCGCGGGACACTCGGGACGTGCTAGCAATGTGCCTCGAGACGGTTACTTTGCAGGGTGTAAAGGGGACGGAGTCGCATAATTTGCTTGCGAGAATCTGATATAGCTCGTGTACCATTTCGTTACCTTTCTTTTCCAAAATTAATTGAAATCTAAATTGGATCAAAATCGCATGAAATTTTGTATGTCTACATGAACTGTATTCTTCCTATCGATAATATTGAAAACACAACTTTTAGTTATTGGCTGTATAATGACTACTCGCCCTCGATCGTTGTACCGCAACTTCCCCGGAATAGGTCGATAGTCTCTCCATGTAGAGCCTCGGCTTTAGCTATTGCGTGGCGGCCTTGTGCTCGCGGACCGGTCTGCCCCACAAGTCCCTGGTACGGAGGCCGGACCGAAGGAATGAAGAAGGTTACCTGGGGCAAGTGGAGCACACTGCGGGAAAGGAAATTGATATCTACTATGAGAGGCATTCACATTCCATGAATTCTCGTCAGTGGTGTCAACATCTCTATCTCGCTAGCAAGGAGCGTGATTCTCTCTGCCAAGATGCCTGGAATTACGAGCGCCCCGAAGCGGAGCGCGAATGGGAGTACTAGCTCGCCATTTCGCAAACCATTATTTGTTGCTGAACCTCCATTGGGCGAGGATGGCCGACCCATCATTCAGAAGGTTCTCATCGCCAACCGCGGCGAGATCGCCTGTCGCATTATTCAGACTTGTCGGAAGTTGAACATTTTGTCGGTTGCAGTCTACGTTGACGAGTACGTGCAGACTCCCTCGAAGATTTTATCAAGTGACTGGTGAAAGTTGACAAGAACAGGGACTCATCCTCACGGCATGTTCGCGACGCCGACGAAGCTATCAATATCGGCAGCATTGACCGAAGCGACCGGAACCCATTTCTCAACATTGAACTCCTCCTTCGAACGGCCGTTACTGTTGGCGCAAATGCCATCCATCCAGGATATGGGTATCTCAGTGAGAATGCGGATTTTGCCAACAGTGTGCGCGAGGCTGGACTCATTTTCATCGGGCCAAGCGCGAGCGCTATGTCTACCCTGGGCGATAAACGATCATCCAAAGCATATCTGGGGGAACACGCACCAGATGTTCCCTTGATTCCCGGCTTTTCCGGATCGAGCCAAGACGCCGAAGCATTGAAGCAAGTCGCAGAAGAGATTGGGTTCCCGGTCATGCTGAAGGCCTCCGCTGGAGGTGGAGGCAAAGGCATGCGTATTGTGCGGGAGTCCAGCCAGCTCAAGGACGAACTTGAACGTGCACAGTCAGAAGCACAGCGTTCATTCGGCTCAAGCGACTGTATACTGGAAAAATACATTGAAAGCAGCAAACATGTGGAAATTCAGATTCTTGGTGATTCGCATGGTGAAGTGGTTTCATTCTTCGATCGGGACTGTTCCGTACAAAGACGTCATCAGAAGGTGATTGAAGAAACGCCTTGTCCATTCCTGACAGACGAGACACGCCAGAAAATGAGCGCGACCGCCGTCCGCATTGCAAAGCTCATTGGATATGAGAATGCCGGTACCGTCGAATTTGTTGTCGATGTCAAGACTGGCCACTTCTACTTTCTCGAAGTCAATGCGCGACTGCAAGTCGAGCATCCCATCACAGAAGAAGTGACTGGGGTGGATCTTGTAGCTTTGCAGCTTTTCGTCGCAGCAGGTGGACGGCTTCAAAGCTTGCCTGCTATCCAAAAAGTGACCCAAGTTGGGCACGCAATTGAGTGTCGCTTGTGTGCCGAGGACCCTGAGAAGAACTTCTTCCCTGAGCATGGCAAAGTTCATTTGTGGCTCCCGGGAACTGGAGACCTGGGCCCTGGTCGAGATGTTCGCTACGAGACTGCTATTGAATCTGGCTCGTCGGTTTCCATTTATTTCGATTCCATGATCGCTAAAATTGTCGTATGGGCACCTTCACGGGCTCTGGCTGTTGAAAAAATGGCCAAAGTCCTGGCCCACACAGCCTGTGTCGGTGTCAAAACAAATCAGCTTTTCATGCAGGCTTGTCTATTAAATAAGGCTTTTCGCGACCCTGCATATACTACGTCGTTCATTCCAACCCACCTTGATGAGCTTCTTCGGTCACCTTGGAGTCTAAACATCCCCGAGGCGGAGAAAGTCCTCTCAGTCATTCCCAGCGTGATTGCTCGGAAATTGCCTGACTACATCCCATCCACTTCACATCGCAAGCCTTTCAGCAATGTCCGCAAGCAATTCCGCAACCAAAGATATGATCCTGTCAACATCCACTGTGATATTGTGACAAAGAACGGATGGCCCCGAGTCGCATCCAGCAAGGAGGACACTCCATCAAAGCTCATGTGTGTTTGGAAGGCACAGAACACTCACCTATCCTCGGCAAGCGAGGAAGCATACTTGTTCCCTGTACCAGATGCAACCGACAGCCAAGAGACAGCCAAATCGGCAGCGATGAAAGTTTCTGCACAGTACAACAGTATCAGCCAAGCCCTGAGGACCGGAGAGTTTTTATCTACCCCTCATATGGTGAAGATTGAGACGTGGCGCCCTGCCGAGGGCAATGCCGCATTGACTGAATCGTGGCTCACATCCACAATGGAGATCTCAATAGACGGATCGAAGGTCCTTGCACATGTCGCATTACCTTCGGTGCAGCCTTACGCCCTAGCCGGTCAAACAGATCGCAGCCAGAGGGTCTTCTGTCATCTGCCCGCACTGGGAACTCATGTTGAGTTCAAGCGTGATACATTGTTGTCCTTCGCCGAGAGTACTCGAGCAGTGGTTAAGGAGAAGGATGGTCCTGAACAGAAGACGGTCACTGCACCGATGCCTTGTAAGGTGCTTTCCGTTCTGAAGAAGAATGGCGATGAGGTCAAATCTGGAGAGACGGTTATGGTTATTGAGAGCATGAAGATGGAGGTTAGTCTTGCTGTGGCAGCATCAGGCAAATTCGAATCAGAATGGAAGACGGGAGATGCTGTAGAAGAGGGGAGAGTTCTATGTTCAGTTGTTTGATTATACATAGCCTCAAATACATTGTATCTGCATATAGAAATCATCGTCGCCCAGAAAGATGGATAATAAAAGCCACTAAATTGACATTTTACCATGAAGCGAAGTAACTGAAATAGAAAAGACAAGTGAAAAAGTCGAGAAAATTGTCATACCAGATTTCCGCTATTGTGGCATGCTTGAGTAAATTCGCTAACCTTCCGTGAGAGTGGTGCACTAAATTTGTATCATATCTAACTGGACTGAGATCTGTACCAACCCCGATGTGATTGAAAAGAACAATTTATATCGCACTTTGAGCTATTTAACACATGTAGGAATGTCCTTCATAAATCTAAAGCTTACTCTGTAGCTTCTTCATCACCTTGGTTTCCTGGTTGACCGCCAGCTCGGATAAAATCTCTTCACTCCCACCACCTACTACCATAACCCTCACATCACGGCTAATTTGCTCGATCCTTGCGCCGCGTCCATTCTTCGAGTATCCAAGTCCACCCATAACTTGCTGCGCCTCTCGGTTCACCTTCTCTAGAGTCTGGCCCGCGAGTACCTTCAGATTTGCGAACAGACCCCCCATTCCAGCGTCAGCGCCATTCCGCTTTGCCTCCTCGGAAATATAGACAAGCTGCTCCATCCAAGCATAAGTGGAATCCAGACTACGAGCCATGGCGCTGAATTTTGATCTGACGACTTGGTTCTCGATGAGCTTCTTGCCGAAGGTTTCACGAGAGATGGCGTGCTTGTAGGAATCTTCAGCACAGACTCGGGCCATACGGAGGGATGTACAGGCTAGCCATAGACGCTCGTGGTTGAAGTCTGGGATTCGATTAGTACGTTTGAATTGACCAGTGATCCAAGTATTGAGACGCACTATTCATGATAACGGGGAATCCCTTGTTCTCGACGCCGAGTAAGTTGGCCACGGGAACCTTGACTTGGTCAAATTCAATATAAGTCGAACCTAATTCACAATATCAGTATGCAAAGTCATAGGAGCAGGATCACAATAACTTCAACCTACCACTGGCATGAACGCCCGAATTCTCAATCTTCCTGCACGTCACACCGGGAGCCTTCATGGGAATGATCAAGGCTGAGATACCCTGTGTACCTTCCCCGCCGGTCCGCACGGCTGCTGTGCAATAATCTGCAAATATGCCATTGGTGATCCACTTTTTAGCACCATTGACAATATACACATTGCCCTTTCTCTCAGCGGTTGTGGTAATGCCAGCAACATCGGATCCAGCTGTAGGGTTGAGGAAACTGATTAGCACTCGCAGGCCAATGTTTGATTGAATATTCAGAAGCGTCTTACCATCTGGTTCTGTCACTCCCAAGCAAAATCTGACCTTTCCGCTCAACATATCAGGCAAGAATCGCTGCTTCTGCTCTGCGTTGCCGAAGTTGATAACGGGTGGTCCTCCAATCGAGTTTCCGCACCCAAGCGCCCAGATAATTCCCAAATATCCACAGCGAGCCAGCTCGTCAATGACAACGAGATCATGGAATCCGTCCCACTCTCGGGGGTTGACGTCGCCTGGGAGCCGCTGATCATTGAGGTAATCCGCTGCTAGGGGGAAGGACGCGACAGCTGTATAGCCCAGTTCTGCATGGCGCCTTTGAACCTGATCAACGAATTGATAAGTTAATATTTCCGGCCATTCACGAGGTACTCGAATTGGTGCTCACCTCTGGCGGTACAAATCCCTGTTTCTCCCATTCTTCGCAGAACGGCGCGATGTGAGTGTCAACATACTCGCGAACCTCCTTTTGGAGCTGACGATGTGACTCGTTGTAGTATGGGCTGTAGTAGCGATTAAGCCAAAGAGGGTCGGCAAAAGGGACCGTCGAGACAGAGGAAGCCATGGTTGGAAGAATGACTGTAGGGACGGCCAACGCGAGTACGATGGAATCACAATAATCCTGATCAGGATAATAGCCCTATTTTAGTGTGAAGGGCTGCGGGCTGTTGAGACTTGCAAATATATTTCACGTGCCAATAATTTCATCTCACAGGCTTTGCTTCCTCGTCCCCACTAAACACTAGGACCGGCTTGCGCTAACTATGGCCGGTCCGAACTAGACATGAATGCACGCCGAGGCGGTTCGGACCGTCAGGACCGATAAATTACCCCCGCTGATTGGCTTAAGCGTCCTTCAGTAGACCCACTTTCCAGATGCGAGAATTGAACAGTCAGAGCGTGAGTCGGAATACAAGTTTTCGCTGGGAGATGGCCGACTAGATGGCTATGCATACCTACCTATGACAAGGAGGAATATGTCATACTGAGCTTCTTAGTTTGTTGAAGTTGTACGACAAAATTCCCAGAAGTACTACCCCTACAAATGTCTATCGTGGATGCTAACCGAAGAATATATTTGCTTGTCAAAACTTAAGGTTGCAATTTGTACTTCTAAGGGCGTTGGCTTCGCGTCTACTTCCCGCTAGAGGGACCTTTTCGTGACAGTCTCCGATAAGAATGTCGCCTATGGAGCGAGAACAGTATCAACATTAGAGTTTCGGTCCTGGTCCTATTTGTCAATAACAAAGCGACCGACAGAGACGAACGAACGAAAAGACCAACCTTTCTTTCAACATCATCATCAGGCCTTGGACCATGAATCCCTTGACTATCTGCGGGATGAGGCCTTTGTATAGTCGGTGAATCCCCTCGTTCTTCATTATGTAGAGTAGGACTTCGGTAAATCCCCGGAAAGGCACGCCATTGCGCTGCGGTGGGGGTTTGGATTGCAACATAGCCTTGGCCACGATGAGAGGATGCGTGGCGATGGTCGCTAGAACCTTTGAAAGGGCACCGAGTACTAAACCCCAGTCAAAATTGTTAGCGTTGGCAGCATTTTCGCAGGAGGGGATGGAACACGAACAGAAAGCATCTACAGATCCAAGTTGCTTCTTCAACCCAACAAGTCCGCCTCTCAGCCACTGGTAAACCCCGTAAGTGATCATTGGATTGATCACAAGTATCAGATTGACCTTGAAACCTCGCCATAAACCGCTCCATCCATCCTCGCTCTGAACTATTTCCATCATAGTCTCCCACATGGACTGTTTGCAGTCTTCTGCCTTGCAAGTTTGTTGTCTCGTAGCAATCACCGCGATGGGAGTGGTACACAATTGAGCCAAAGCCCCACCAGCGGCCCCAAGACCAAATTCCTTGACAATGCTATTGAAGTCTTCGATACCATAGTATTGAAGACCTTGTTGATACGCAGATCGCGCCGCGGCAGACCAGTAGAAGTATGCAAAGTTCATGGATGCCGTGCCAGCAATGGAGCTCTCAAGTCCAGTATATAAGCCAGAGATGCCATCTTGCCGCAATATTTTTTGAATTGCATCGACTGCACCGGTATACTGCCCGTCTTGCATCTTCCTTCGATCGGCTTTGTTGTCCCCATCTTTCTTACCGCCGTTGTTGCGCTCCTGCTGTTGAACTTGGACCTGCAACCGCGTCTTGACTCTGCAATAACAGTCAGCTTGCTTTGTTATTGAAATAGCCAATTTCGTTCCCTGCATGTCACTTACATATCCAGCGGGTATACAAGGACATTCGCAAGAATAGCCGCAGTTGTTCCGGACACCACACCCTTCCAGGGTGACAATTGATTCTTCTTGACCATGATACCAAATCTAATACTGTACAAAAAGGGTGTACATTAGTTGCAGATCCAAAATAGACAACAGTCATGGTATATTAAAGTCTCTCTCATTCGGGTACGCGGATAAAAGAAGCAACGGACCGAGCGGACCGAATGCCAAACCGAGGGACTGAAAACTTGCCTGAGAATCCACCTAGACAATATTATTGGTCCCTGGACTACAATTCAAGAGATATTCAACATCATTCAATCGCATATTCGGTGTTAGCCCACTGAAGATATCCGTGCTTGTTCCGTCAAAACGTGGACTTTCTCCACCAAGGGCCTCAGTCCCAAGTGCCCATTGATTCGGAGATGGGAGATTTGAAAAGCCAGTCTTGGAAATGAGCGGCTTCTTATGCGGATCCGCGCCTAGAATGGCGTAGTCGATCATTGACCAGCACACTTCCTCACAGGATGGATCAAGATCTTCTGTCAGAGACCTTGGATCCAGCAGACTGGCGAAGCCATGAGAAATAGTATGAAACTCCCGCAGGCGAATTGCCTGGAAGTCATGAAATATTAGTACCAAGGTATGGCGGTCAATCGATGGACTTACCATGTTCGATGCGTGGACCCAAAGCTTTGCCAATCTCTCTAGGGACTGGACGCTCTCGTTGAAGTAATGCATAATATCCGACTGGCGACGCGCCGTACTCTGATGTTCGAGATGCGATGCGAGCGAGTGGATCCCCCCAGCCACAGCAATACAGTACGCATAGAATGAAGACTCTATCCGACACCCACTCTCCGTGGCATCCCGGATAAGGTCCATCAACTGCTTCGCATGCTCACAGCCAGCCTGTAGGGCCCGAACGGAGAAACTTGCCGGGGCCTTTGAGCCGAATGGCTTGAGACGGAGGCGCATCAGGAAAGGGTGATTCAATAGGCAATGGCAGAGATGGTATAAAGTGTGCGCGAAGATAAGGTGTCCAATCTGTTGTCGATCGAGATGACTTTGCTGAACAATATCGGAAACCTTTTGAGTGCTCAGCTTGGAATAGGACTCGAGCAGCAATAAAGATGAGTTTATGCCAGCAAACTCCGATTTCGTATCCCAGGGTGGGATTTCGTCAGCCTTCCCATTTTGTTGATGAACATATCTTGTGCAGCGCCCGAATATGGACGCCATCAGAATGACCAAGCCGAACCCGCTAGGATTATCAATGAGTTTAGTGTTCCAGTTGAGGAGTTGATCAAGAGTGTTGGTCTTTTTCCATTCCCCTCTGTTGAAAGTTTCCTCGTCACAAGGAAGCTGCACATTGCAGTCTTGATCCAGTATAACAAGTGGTCTAGATTTACCACACGAGATCAACTTGTCAATCAAATAGGCGGACCAGAATGCCCGCCGTCGTTCTTCTTGTTCAGGGTATGGCAGCCATGCCTCAGGCTCTGTCATCAGATGGAGATCTTGGGAGATGCGGGCTGCAAGACCGATCTTCAGCCACCCTGAGCTAACACGACCAGCTAGATTGAGAGATACTTGATCAGTGGCTGTTCCTGCCACACTCTATACCAATCTATAACGGAAAGGATAATCTTACCGGTGTAGTCCACAACGGCCAGCAAGTTTACCGTCTGCACGACATGTACATTCAAACTGTCCTCTACAGTGAGATGGTCCGCTAGTACCGACAGCCAAGACTCCCTCGCGTATTTCTCGGACGCCTCTCGCGTCTTTCCTGCGTAGTATTCATGGACAGAAAATCTGACGGCAGAAGATAGGACAGCTAAGACCAGACAGCGGGGCAGAGCATTTGATTCGAGTTTAGACAAGAAGGAGATCGGTTGAAAGTATGAATATGGCTGGTTGTGGACATGCTCGAAATATGTGTCGATAACCGATCTTAATACGGGAGCAGGAGGGAATATTCTAGTCAAATAGAGTCGTCAGAGTTGGTAAAGTCAGAGAACATGAAAGACCTCGAGAGCATGACGTACGAATTGTCGATGGGAGAGTTTCGCATTGCCGGGAATGGCTGTGAGGCGGTCGCATCGAGAAGTGGTGAGCTGGGTTCCTCACCAAAGGAGAAATTAGAAACATCATTATTGGATCTCCAAAATGTCAGTGGTTTCCTGAGGCGAAAACGGATGTTGTCTGATGGTTGCTCACTCATTCCGATTGCCTTGCCCACTGAGTTCAGCAAGACGCGATTCAATAGTACTTATGCGTTGTAGAAGCTCGACCTGGAACTCATGAGTTAATTTCTTGATCACGTATGGCTGTTCTCGTTCAACTGACATTATTGAGATTGTTAGCCAAGCTGGACAGAGGAGCAGGCCGGACCCCATCGCTCACGGTCGCAGAATATGGCTCATAGACGCAGGCAAGGCGGTTGCGGCGACAGTGAAAGCAAATAGGACGCTCTCCTGTGCATTTAGTCTTTTTGCGTCTGTGATAATTTGTTAGAGAATGCTTGGTCAACATTCGCGGTCGCGGGGGGAGTCAAATCCCATCTAAGACGCACCTGCAATTAGCACATGCCTGTCGTATACGCCTGATACCACCCCCGTGCAAAGAGTCTATGCTCATGTCCATGACGGAACAAACCCCCTCACTTCCAATTCAGGGAGCATGGACACAGGACGAAGGGTGCCAGCAAATTCCGCTGTGGAGCGCAGTGTTGACTGGGGAAGGTCTGAGTTGCGGGGGAACTTGGAAGAAGAGAGGACTCCCGAGGAAGCTTCTTCCGGGGTCGGCGGGGTGGCATTTTCCCCGGACCCCCCGTGATATCCACGGGAATTAAGACAGACCGAATTTCGCATACCATAGTGTAAGTTCTGACTTTGGTCAAATGCTAAATTCAATGCGTGTGGCAACTAGCCAAGTTCGACTTTTACCCTGACTTATAAACTCGCTGCAAGGATGCTCGTAAGGCCCAACATATTCCGCCCCGAGACCATTCACCCAACCCTGAATGGCCCAATGCTTGCGCCCGCTGGCAGGTATATGGCGGTTCCTTGTCCAGGATTAGCCTAGTTCCATACTGATAGCTTGTTATCGGCATTTTGCAAAGAATAGAACGTGCAATGCGGGGCCCAAGGACATGGTGGTTTCGGTCTCCTTTTATTATCCTAAACGGGTAATTTTGATGTCGCCTCCTGAAACCCCCTCCGGTCCGCCTCAATCATAGAGTTCCTAATGGTTCTCCCATTCAAGCGAACAAAAGAAAAAGGCTCCAGTCTCTCATTTATAGCCATTTGGGGTATTTTTTGGAAAATCCACCCTTATCACGCCCCCAGTTCTAGCAGTCGGTCGCTATTGGATAGCTGTATGTGTATCATTGAATAATGGAACTATGTTGAGTTGGGAAGGGAATAACAAATGATAAAGCTGGAGCATAAGTTTGATCTCATATAAAAGGCCAATTCTCGCTTTTGAGGCTATTTCCTTTCTAGGCTCATTTCACACTTCCTTCGAAAGGCTCTTTACCCCAAGTTATTCAAGATGACCTCTCGAGATGGGTTTCAGTGGACGCCAGAAGACGGACTTAAACAGGGAGTTCCATCCATCGGCGTCATATCACCCCCTACAAATGTCGCTTCTGCATCCCAGCCATGGGATGTGATTGTCATCGGAGGAGGGTACTCTGGATTGACAGCAACTCGCGATTTATGTGTCGCCGGTACGAAATGTTCTACATTGGTCTCTAAAATTATGGTTGCTGATTGAGTACAGGACTTCGAGTGCTACTAGTAGAAGCACGCGACCGTATCGGTGGACGATCATGGTCCTCCAACATTGGAAACTATCCCTTTGAGATGGGTGGTACATGGGTTCATTGGGGACAGCCACATGTGTGGCGAGAGATATCCAGATACAACATGCGATCCGAGATGGAACCATCCTTTGATTTCTCTCGAGGGGTCAATCATTTCCAACTGCGTACCAACGATGGGACGAGTATTATGAGCCATGAAGACGAGGTAAGTAGACTGGTATTGTGTATGGTAAATTTCCAGAAATACTGACTATGAGAACAGGATACGCTGCTGGCAACTGCCCTGCATAAATTTGTGGATGTTGATGGGAGCTTGGGTCGCAAGGTCATTCCATTTGCTCACGACGCCTTCCATGTCCCCGAAGCACGCCAGTATGACAGCATGTCTGCGAAGGATCGTTTGGATGCTATCGCGTTATCCCTTACACCAAACGAGCGTGCTGCACTCGAGAGCTTCGTGCTTCTTTGTAGCTGTGGCACCTTGGAGACTACTAGCTTCTTTGAGTTTCTTCACTGGTGGGCATTGTGCGGCTATACCTACCAAGGATGCATGGATTCTCTGATTTCATACAAGTTCAAGGGAGGCCAATCTTCATTTGCAATCAGATTCTTCTCTGAAGCAAAACAATCAGGCAGACTTTCGTACGTCTTCAACAGCCCAGTCAGGTCAATCACCGACGAAGGTGGCAAAGTCACCCTGACGACTCGGGATGGCCGCCAATACATAGGCGCTCGTCTTGTATCTACCATTCCCTTGAACGTTCTGAACTCCATCTCCTTCACTCCACCTCTGGACCCACAGCGCATGGCTGCTGCAAACAAGGGACATGTTAACCAATGTGTGAAGGTGCATGCTGAAATTTCCAACAAGGATATGCGCTCATGGACAGGAATCTCGTATCCCTTCAACAAGCTCACATATGCGATCGGTGATGGAACTACCCCAGCTGGAAATACCCACATAGTCTGCTTTGGTGGATTCCATAACCACATGCACCCCGAAGAGGACGTTCAAGAGACCAAGAAGGCCGTTGAAAACATGGCACCCGGAAACATGGATATCAAGCGACTAGTGAGTTCCTTCAATCTGCACATGAGAAGCCAAACTGACAATTTTCTAGGTCTTCCATAACTGGAGTAAGGACGAATTCGCAAAGGGTGCTTGGTTCTTCTCTCCCCCTGGGCTGCTATCAACCTCACTGGATGCACTACGTAGACGCCATGGAAACATTGTCTTTGCCAACTCAGACTGGGCTGCGGGTTGGCGTAGCTTTATTGACGGGGCCATTGAAGAGGGCACGCGTGCAGCCATGACGGTGAAGGAGGAGCTACAACCTAGCCCTGCTCCTCGACTTCGATTGTAGATTTAGATTGAGACAGCGTACAACCTCGGCTTATGAGTTTCAAAGAAATGTCAAAACTGTAATCGAGTGTACAATAGGAAGGAATTTGGTAAATTCATGATAAGGTTTCTACAGCGGAAATAACGTTGGTATCAGCCAAAGAGCTCATGGAAATTTCCACGCCTCCTTCGGTCCGTCGTAGTCCTGCTTATCGTTTACGTCAATTTTCGCCATCAGCAATTTGACTTCAGAGCAGGAGAAGGGAGGAGCCGAAAAAATAAAGGTAGGATAATTGGTAATTATTGGGTCCTTGTCGGGTCATTGATCCAGAGTTTAACTGGAAATCCGGGGATCTGTTATCTTTGCGGACCGTTGCCACTGGGAGGATGGGATTATTGGTTTCCAGCCCCTTCTCTCTCTACTTGCCTTTTTCGGTAATTTTATTTTACCTTCCCCGCACAACACTTCTTATCACTGTAATGCCAACTCTGTCGAGTTATATTCCTTTGAAGCTAATCCAAAAGCCAGTTGGAGATTAGGCAATATTTGTATACTTAAAGCCCCTGGAGGGCACTGGTTTTGAGGGTTGTAATTATCTTCATCCTCCAAATACTCAAAGTTCTCTTTGAAAAGGTCCACCATGGAGTCAAATGAAATAAAGGAGAAACAAGGTATGTGGTACCCCAAGACATACTACATCTTACGTGCTCACGGACTGTACTAGCATCCCTCGATGTAGAGCAGCGTACGTCCTTCCCCTTATGATCCCTATGTTCTTTGAAATAATAGTCGAAGCCAACCCGTCCACTATAAGATGCTTACAATTATTTAGAGTCTGTTCAGAATGAAGGCTTCATTGGGCAGATCCAGCTCAAGGGTCTAAGTTTCCAAGTCGAGGGGGGACGGCAAATGACAAAATTGCAGACCATCTCTGCCAGCTGGGTTATCTGTGATAGCTGGGCTGGCGTGGCTGGAACCATTGCTCTCGCCATCTCTCAGGGAGGCCCTACGACTCTGGTATATGGACCCATTTTGATGTTCTTTCTTGTCGGTGCTTGTGCTCTTACGCTGGCTGAGCTCGCAAGCGTGTATCCTACAGCCGGTGGGCAGTATCATTGGACCTCAATTCTGGCCCCTAGGAGTATCAACAGATCCTTGGTATGTACATCCTTTGCACTCTTTGACTTGCCCTATTCTTACCAGATGGTTCCTAGAGCTACTGTTGCGGCATGACAAATGTATTTTCTTGGATTGCCATCTGCACAGGAATCGCTATCATTCCCGCACAGCTGATTGTGGGAATCGCCTTGTTCTATAATCCAGACTACACACCCAAGCCATGGCACTATTTCCTCATCTATCAGGCCATCAACGGCTGTGTCCTCCTTTACAACATTACATTGTTGAAGCGATCACTCTGGATTCATGACTTGTCTTGTGAGTACTTCGATGCAGCCTGGCAATCTGCGGATTTCTAACGTCCAAGTCACAGTCTTCGTGACAATTGCCACATTCTTTATTATCACCATCACCTGTGTCGCCCGCTCGTCTTCCAACTATCAGTCTTCGAGTAGTGTCTGGGCGACCTTCATCAATGACAGTGGCTGGAGCTCAGGTGGCATCGCTTTCCTCACTGGTTTGGTCACGCCAAATTATATGTACGCCGGTATCGATGGAGCCCTGCACTTGGCCGAAGAGTGCGTTAACGCGAGCACTGTTGTACCTCGGGCTCTTATGAGCACTCTGATCATTGGATTCGTCACGTCTTTCTTTTTCGTCATTGCCATGCTTTACTGTACCAGTGATTTAGCTACGATCGCTACCTCGAATACCGGGTATGATATCCTTCCACACGGCTCCCTCACTGATATCGGAAGGTTGCTGACAATTTTGCAGAGTGCCGATCTACGAGATGTGGTACGAAGCTACTAGGTCTCAAACAGCCGCCACAGTATTCGTAGTTCTGCTCTGCTGTGCGGCAGTCTTCGCCTTGATCGGTGCCCAGCAAACTGCCTCTCGCCTCACATGGTCGCTAGCTCGAGACCGCGCCATCCTCGGGAGCCACTGGTTGAGTGAAATACACCCCATGCTCGAAGTTCCCGTGTGGAGTTTGATGTTCAACTTTGTCGTGATGTTCATTATTGGCTGCATTTATCTGGGCTCTTCCTCTGCATTCAATGCATTCATCGGCAGCGGACTGGTGTTGCAGCATATCTCATACGCATTTCCAGCTGCACTATTAATGTACCGAAGGAGATCCGAAGAGTGGCTTCCTGCATCTCGATCATTTCGATTGCCGAGTTTCTTTGGCTGGACAGTCAATGCCATCACCATTGGATTTGCGTTGCTGGTTATGATATTCTACGATTTCCCAGCCGTGCTGCCAGTGACTGGAAGTAACATGAGTGAGTACTAAACGGAGAAGCATCTATAGCACTACTCCAAGCTAATCTGGTGTTTTTATAGATTATACCTCGGCAGTACTCGGAGTGATGGCGATATTTGGTGGGTTGAACTGGGTGATTTATGCAAGACGGAGATATTCTGGTCCACGTCTGGGCCAGTCTCACGGAGGAGAATGATTAAAAGAGTAATTTTAATTTAGGAGAAAGATCATGCTTGAATAATGACCGTGTTTTAATTTTCTATACAATATGAAATGGGTAATCAATGAAATACCGTATCGCCGTTGCACTGGCAATCTTTTTGACGAGGTATTTTTATTGATAACGGTATTTTGCCTTTAGCCACCATTTCCCAGAATGCGGGATTCATCCAGGCCTACTACAAGGACACCCCAAATTACTAATTCGACACCACACGCCGCATAATTAGTTTTGCGTCGTAATTGTATTGCTATCATCTAAACTCACCTACCCCCTTTCACAATTGCAAAATTTCTACTACTACATAGCCCTCTCCTAGTATACTGCTTATTGGCTATACGGGCATATTCGCTCAGGTTAAATCTGCTTGCTCTGTTTCTTCGAGGTAGTGGGTTGGTAGCGAAATGCCTCACAATCAACTACCAAATCAACGGAATGATCTCCAGTTCCTGTGCACGGCACATTGATGAAAATGAGTCAAATTTAGGGTTTTATAAGAATGGAAATCTTCGTTTCATAAACGTGGGTTTTGCATTAGACTGGAAAGGAAAAAGAAAGGAGCTTAGGCTTTAGAAGAAATTGACATAATAAGCCTTACAGGTCCTGGTCAAGTTGCTCCTTAAGATCCGCAACTATCTCCAAGAGAGCATCCATCTCCTCCTCGAGTTCCGCGTTATTCCGCTTCACAGCAATAAGCTGCGCCTTGGCACGGTTGAGCTGCGCCTTGGTGGCCGCAAGCTCCTCCAAGGCCGCCACCTTGGATGCCAAGGGGTTGCCATCCCCCCCCCCCACGGCCAGTGCTGCCCGCATCCCCTCTAGCTCATCTTTAGCGTTCATGAGCTCCCCTTCGAGGGCAGTGTTCCTGCATCTGAGATTCGCAGGGCAGTCTGGATAATTGGGTTCTCCATGGTCCATACAAGGTCAATACGAGACAACGAGGATACTTGAGGCCTTACACTTACGGTGGTCGAAATTATGGCAGGCAGAACAGGAACCCCTGAGGGTGAAACTGACGCCGCAGTTAGGGCGCTCGTGCGCCTAGAGTTATATGACAAGTCAGTATTCATCTCATCGAAGTAGCTGTCATATTGAACTCACAGGATGGGAAAATCCATGATGTCTGTTTTCTTGAGGTTTGAGCGTGCGCGAGTGGGACGATGGCGACGACGCGAAGTTGGCAGAGGAAAGCAGATGGCTAATGGCTGCTGGAGTTTTATAGTCCTCGGAAGCAAACAGTCCAGGAAATCCACCGAGTGGGCCAGGATCACTAGTCTAGCCAATAAAAACACGAGATCGTAGCACGGTGGAGCCTTGATCACAGTTATGGCCAATGGGGGTGCGGAATCAGCTCGCCTGTGGACACCAGGATCGAGCCAATCATGTGAGTTGAATCCGTATCCTGGGAATAGCTTCAGGTCCCACCGGTAGCTATTTAATCCTGCTTCCACTTCCTGCCCACTACTTTCTCTCCTCCTCTCCCCCGTACCCGTTCGAGGTCTTCAATTTTTCTCCTCAATCCTCTGTCTTTGCTTCAAGAACGACTTTCGAAAACCCTCGATTTCCAATCCTCTTACGCGGCTCGCCATGTCAGGCCGTGGCTCCAACTTCCGTTGGATTGAAGAGGAACCGGACCCGGCCTACCCCCCCAATCGCCCCAGCTCGTACGAGGGCCATTGTTATGAATGTAACAGAACTGGCCATCGTGAGTACATTGGGCCTTCCTTCTTATTTTTCTGCTAACAAACTGTGTAGTTTCTGGTCATCCCGCTTGCTGGGTGGCGAAGCTTCGTCATTCGTTGATCAACCACTACGAGGCAAAGATTGCCGCGCTGGAGGCCCGCCTCAGCGAAGCTGAGAACTCTCGTTTGATCACCATCAACGTGAGTTATCTACTGCTGATTCTTGGTGTTTTATATACTGAAGTTGCAAGCTCATAGCTGAACGGTGCAAAGACCACCCTCGAAATCGGAAGCCCCCCTTCCGTTATTGCTCGCTCGTAATACGAGCCTTGTCGTGCCTGGGCAGCGCCCCATCCCTAATGGACTTGCCCTTTGCCACCACGGCCACTGAGCGCCAGGCTCCTGGCCCTCCTCCTGCGTCCCGAATCTAGTCTCTGCCTCCGCCGGCCATGTACCTGCCGGTTCCCCTGTTACAAGAAAGGCGTGATCTTCGGATGGTAGATAAGCTGGATTAGACGCAGTGATAGCGAAATGGAGTTTTGTGATTTTATTATTCTTCCAAGAGCCGTACATTCTATTCCCTCGTGCTTTCGTCCTTTATATGCCTGTTTGTGCGTAGTCCCATGGCGGCCGATTGTGACCAGCAACTGAATGTACATTGTCTAAAGCAAAGGGCCTGACAGAGTGAGCAAGATTGACCAAGTCCAATTTCTGTATCATTATATCATGTTGTTGCATGATTCCTGGGTCTTCAGCAGCTTCTTCAGCGGCTTCTTCAACAGGTCTATCAACAGGTCTTGATACTGTATTCACCGAGGATTACACAATGGGGGAATGGATATGTATTAGCAAGTTGAGTGGTATCTTGGGTGCTCAAATAAGAAGCAAAGACGGAAGGATGGCTCGTGAGTAGAAGGGACTAAAGGGCAAGCATATGACTTCCCAGTGACTCCGTTGTCAATTCTTTGCGAGCTCGTGAACCGTGCCCCAAGAAGCCCTGCGACTGTTCAGCTGAAACTCCACCCCCAGTATCACCTAGTGTTGTCACGGAGTATCGATATTGGTGGCCGCTGCAGTAGGGGCTGTGGTGTTGGCTGCACTCGCTTCGATTTTGGTCAGTCTCGGCGTGTTCTCGCGGTTAGCACGGTAGTCCCAAGATGTGTAGCAGGCGCAACGCTTGTGGAAACTGTAGTAGTAAGGAGGATTATTCTCGCTATTTTTCGTGTTAGCATTAGCCCAGGTCGCTGAGTTGATACCTGTTCTGACAGTAGTAGTGGAGTCAAGATGGCGTTCCGAGGCGACGGCGAAGTCAGTAGATGTGCTGGCGAGAACAGGGTGCGGGTTCGAGGGCTAGTGGGCCAGGAACTAAGCTTCTGATTAGCTCTGATGACTGCGAGGAGCTCGGAGAGACAGGTGGCCGAAATATTAGCGTCCCCCGTTACCTCAAGGGCTTCGATAAGGTGAATTCGCCGCGCTTTAAGGAAATCCTGGGTTGTGCATTCGTCGTATACGGTGTCGATCCGATACGAGTACTTTGCGAAGCCGGTGTGGGACGTCGTGGCGACGAAAGACTTCTTGAGGTTCTGATCCGTGATATGGACAGTGTCCGCCTTGTTGATCTAGGATTTGACCCTGGTATCAATCGTGGCGTTGATGAGCAGCATAAGAATGCACGACTTTTGGCGTTGACGTCGAATCGAAAGAGTGCCTTGTCGATATGGGTAAACTCCAGCACAAGAAATATCTCGACATGTGGACCAGCCGAGATAATCAAATTCCAGCATTGTGATGCCGAGAGAGGAGCGGTCGGTTCTTCCAAGAGGTCTCATGGAATTCGGGAGAAGGTTACACTTGCGCGGTGTGTCACCGAAAGGGCTCGAGCAATCGACAAAGGCACGACAAGCAGAGGAACAGTTGAAACTCGACAGAAAGAATGGTGTCAGGTAATACTTGTGGCAATGTGGACGGCGCTGGGACAAGAACGCGGTATTCTATACAATGGCGGTCACCGTATTGGCTCGGCCCGGTCCCAAGCGCGGCGCCCGATAAGACCCCGCTCGTGACAATCAGGACCATCATCCACCAACTTGCCCACCAACACCTGCACAAGAGCAGAATAGCGCACAACAGCTCTTAAACGGGGAGAGGCAACGAGAGTCTTGGTTCGCTGTCCATGTCAACTCCTCCTGGCAAAAGAAAGGGTGAGTTGCGTCGATTCTCGAGTCGAGCTCGCACAGCCAGTCCTAACTAACGTCCTCCTTGCTGATCAGGTTGTTTCCAATGTTCTAAACGTCGAATCGTCTGCGATAACACCGAGCCTGCTTGTATCAAGTGCCAGAAGAAAGGAATCGAGTGTTCAGGTTCAGGGCGGATTCGGTTCTCCAATGGAGTCGCGCAAAGAGGAAAGCTGAAGGGCTGCTCCATTCCGGTGGCCGATGTCTCGCCCGAATCTGCATTCGAGACGCAAAGACAAGCCGCAGCTGCAGCTGCAGCTCCCCGCACTATCAGATGGAAAGCCGACCAATCAAGGGATGCTCGGCGCAAGAGCGTGAAGAGACGCGAAAATATAGGTGAAAGAGGGGTGGCGACACGTGCCACTGAGTACAACAATGATGCCCCAACCCAAGAGGGGACTTCTAGCCCCTCCGCGGTCGAGGGAAACCAGGTCATACTTGCCTGCCCTAGGGACCAACTGGCCGATACCCGGGAGCATACCCAGCTCATCATCAACGAGGCAGATCCGATCGATGAGGCTGTCGAGGAGGTCGTAGCCATTGAACGGGCCGTGGACCTAGCCATAGCTCCTGTTTCAAATTCTCCTGGCCCCATCCACCCTTGGATTGCGCCTCTCTCTCCACAAGCTCGCATGCTCATGTCACACTGTAAGTTTTATTCTACTCCGTCCCATCTGAGGACGTTTGTTAATATCCGTCAGTCGCCGATCAGGTTGCTCCAGTCATGGTCGTGTTGGACAATGTCTCCAATGGGTACCGCGATGTCTTCTTACCCCTTGCCTGCGAGGATGAACTATTACGGACCGCTATTGGAGTTGTTGCAAGTCAACATTTGGCTTTGTACAATCCGAGCTTCCAGAGTGCGGCGGACGAGGGCCGCGCGGTCATCATTTCCCGGCTCCGTCGAGACTCATTAGAAGCCTCACCCGACCGGGTATTCAACCTATCCACGTGGGCTACGTTGATCGTCCTGCTTGTCGGAGAGACTATCACAGGAAGCTCGGAATATAGCCACCTGCTACAAACACTGATGTGTCTAATCCAAAATGTCGGACAGATAGCTCCATCTGCAGCACGCGACTTCCTTACCCAACAAAGCCATATGTGAGTTCACACGATTATGAACGCTATTTCTCGGCCTTTCTCACCTTCGTACTCCAGGTTTGAATTCTTGGGCCAGCCCCTGCTAGGAGAGGCTCATGGCGTTCAGGCTCTGCGCTTGCCGCTGGATCACTATTTGGACTGGACATATTATGACCTTCCATCAGATTCTGAATACCACAATCTCCTCCATTTATCCAGGATGGCTTTTATTAAAGCTTCACAAATTTACCTTGGGCGAGTGACTTCGACTCGAGATCAGTGGGATCTACTGGAAGAGTTGAAACAGCTCGTTTCTCAAATTGACCCCGATCAAATGGGATCCCACGCTCTGGTATGGGTGTGCTTCATTGCCTCGGCCGATAGCCGTGATCCAGAACATCGCCGGTTCTTTGTCGATCGGATGAACCGGGTCTTTAAAAAGACTAAATTCCACAACATCTCTGCCGGAATGCAGTGTCTGCCAGCAATCTGGTCGCAACAAGATTCGGGTCGATGGACTCAAAATATTTCCAAGCTAGCTCCCACTTTGATCATGTGAATATCTTAATTGAAAGACTGAAACTCCCTTATCTGTGATCTAAAGGGTAGATGGGGCAGGCCCGAGTATGGTAAAAAGGGAAGACTATATGCAGATGGGCGGCCAAAAGGAGAATGGCCCACATGAAAAGGAGCCTTAGGCAGAAAAAGCTCCTGGTATGACGTTTACGATCCACGAGCAATACTGATGAACAAATCATAAACACGATATCCGGTCGGCCACTCCAAGTAGTATTGGTATTCGTTATCATTCTCATCAAGGCAACTTCAACAGCCTTTGTTAGCCGTGCCAATCGGAGTGCATAGCTTATCAAGTACCGAGACCTGCTTCCGATGGTCCGGAATAGCATCTGGTGAACTTTATTTCGGCCCCCGCATTTCACCGACACCGACTGTCGGGACCCTGGGGACCCCGGGATTTTACACCTTCAAACTTGGATCATCACACCAAACACAATGGCGTCAGAGGTTTTATCCTCGTCGCTAAGATCGGAGCAAGAAACAACTTCGCTACCAGCGAGGTATCAATGCCCTGTCTGCTTGAAACGCTACAAGCGTCGTGAACATCTATTCCGACACACCAGCTCACATACGTCAGAGCGCCCATACCGTTGCGACTCGTGTGATGGTTCATTCCAGCGCGCAGATGTTCTGAAACGGCACCTTCGAACATGTGATGGTGGCAGCTCAAGGTCGGGCGGTCGTCGACGCGCTTGCGATCGGTGTGTCCGCCAGAAAAAGGCGTGTAGTGCCCATCAGCCATGTCAGAACTGCTCAAGAAAGGGCGTTGCGTGTTTCTATCCAACTGCCCCGGAGCCAGACGACAGGCTTAGTCAAGCTGTTTCTCGCAGTAGCGATGGCTCTATTGGGGATTCTGTGCAACAGAACGGAGCTTCCTCTTTGTTGACGGACCCAACGATCCAGTCAGATTCAGCGATCCAGTTACCCTGGGCACAACAGAGCAGCGGAGCTTTTGCGACGAGCCCACTGGATAATCTTTTGAGTCGGTCATTCCTTGAGTCTGCTAGTCCAACATGGCAAGATTATCTTCTTTTGGCCTCCGAAAGTCACGTTCTCCGAGATAATCCTCTCTTAGATATAGGCAGAAGTCAGTCCCTCCGGTTTCTTGACCGCTTTACCAGCAACACCGGTCTGGTTCTGAGTTTTGACTGTGGTACTCAAGAGCAACGGGAGAGCGTTGCCTCGCAATTAGAGGTGGAGAGCCGTCAAGAAATCGGACAACCGTATGCGTCAAACTCTACAGCGCTAGGCTTACAGGCAGTTGCGGATTCACCTCCACTGCTGGACAACCTAAGCGATGCGAGTACCATTGACTGCATCCCTATTAACTGGCTTTGCGACCCACTTTCCTTAAAGACACACGAAATTCTTCTGCTTATTGAAGAGGTTGTCACTATCAAACCCAGAAACAGCTCAGTCACTTTGGACTGGTCATCGGCCCTCAAAAATGCGTGTCTGCAATTCTTTTCACCAGCGAACTTGCGACGATTCCTTGGATTCTACTGGGCGATTTGGCACCCGAATGTCAATTTCATCCATCGACCCAGTTTTGACCCTATATCAGCAAAGCCTGCCCTTGTAGCTGCGATGGCCACTATTGGTATGGGAACCCCCTTCTTGTGAACTTGATTGTCAAAAGTTGAACCAGATATAGGTGCCTGTGTTTCACCCGAAATGCCAGATAATGAGGATGCTCGGACTTGGTTCAATTGCGTGGAAGAGATAGTCTTTATAGACGATGACTTTAACAGTAACGCGATCTACTCTACTTCAAACAACATGTCAATCCATCGACGAAAGATTCAAGTTCTACAGGCTGCATATATTGTTTGTCTTTATCAGAATTGGGAAGGCACGGACTCGAGCAAGAGTCGAATTCGCCGAAACAGGTTTGCGACATTGGTATCTGTAAGTCTTCGACTATCGTACGGTGTTAGAATTGTGCCACTCACCACTTGATAGACCGCACGAGACATTGGAATCACAACAGCAACGCATTTAAACTATGCTGAAATGGGTCGTCATGACTTCGAGTGGAAGGAATACGCAACTCGTGAAGAACTCATTAGGTAAGACACTGATTCAATGGACTAGGTTCTCTCAAACTGACCTAAGTAGAATGTTTACATGGATCTTTCTTTTCGATACTGCGTTTGTCATTTTCAATAATCTTCCGCCTCGCATGGTCATCAAGGAAATGAAGATGCACCTTGCAACACCTGAGAGCTGCTTCCAAGCACTGACTGCCGATGACTGCTATCGGGAAATCCAAACACATCTCCCCAGTGGAAATGCTTATTGGAGTCTCTCCTTCCGTGGTGCATTTGAAGCACTTGCAAAGGACACATTTTCACCAAGTATGCGCCAGATAATCGCCGCATCAGGGCCCTTGAATCTCTTCGCGCTTACATCCGGTATGTCACTTCATCAGGAACAGAAATCGACCGATTTAATATGTACTGGCGCTAATCATTCTGTAGCAATTCATTCCCAGATCTTCCAGTACCGCAGCTCAGTCAGCAGCTCCCAAAACCTAACCCCAATACGCAACACTCTCCAGAACTGGTGCGACTCTTGGCAGCTCTTCGCATCGACATCATCAACCGGTACGCCTCCTCATGTCACTATCGACGATACAAATATTTCGCCGCAAAATATGTGGAAAAGAATTGGGTTTTGTCGGTACTGCCCTGAGTTCTGGCTCTTAGGAAGCTTGATGACGGAGCGTCTGGCGTTATTAGGAGACATACAACTGGGGAATGATCTTGCCCCTGATGAGGATGGTGCATTTGATCCAATTCTGAACCAGTATGATCAGACAAGTATGCAACAGGTCAACAACCTGATTTTTGGGTTTCAAACATTTCAGTTGTGATTCAGTGCAACAAATAAGCAACTCAACAATTGTCCCACGATGTTGGCACGTGTAATGATGTTCTTAATCATGTTTCAACTTTCTTTTGAAGTATTATGTTGAAGCGAAAACTCAAAGACAACTCTAACAGCTCAGGGTGATTTGATACTTAAGTCAAATCAATAAAACTCCTCAAGGTCTCTCCAGGCCAACTCTAGGCCAGCTCGAGGCATATTGATCACTATCCGTAACTAGCTCACTCTTCCCCTATTCGGGGAGCTCTTCTCAAATGTCGTTTAACTGTCGTTCATCCCCACGGATTTTTAGTACGGAAGCCTTCATCGGTACCGGAAATCTCCATTGCCGCCAGTGAGTTTACTACTCGATGATCGATTCTCTAATAGGAGAATAGCTGCTTGTGTCTGCAGGACGACCGCAGATTTTCATGGTCCGGTTCTGAACCCCACAGATCCGCGGGCACCCACCTCCACATCCGTCTCCCACACTAGCTCCGACAAAAAATAGCTTGAACACATGCAGAAAACCATATTGGAATGGCCGATCGTAACTCACTCAAGTTTGTTTGATGGCTTGCTATAAATCACTGCTGTTGCCCACATCGACCATGTGAAGCCACGCTTCCTCTAGCGACAATTGAAATATATTTCTGAGTTGGGCGTCTTGCTGAATTTCGCTTCTAGTAGGTGGCAAATCAGGAACAGTTCACCATGCTAGCCATCACATCAATCCTCGGAGCAGCTCTTGCCGTCGTTATTATAACACGGATTCTTTCGATTGGTCGTCGGCCTAAGAACTATCCTCCAGGGCCTCCTACCCTTCCCATCTTAGGGAACATCCATCAAGTGAGCTGACAATGTTACAAAACTTGATTTAGCTTCTTAAGATGCTAACACCAACTTCCTAGATGCCTTCAAAGGACGTCCACCTACAGTTTGAAAAATGGGCTCGTGAATATGGACCTATCTACAGTCTCATGCTTGGTACAAAATGTCTTATCGTGCTCTCAAGTGACGAGGCTGTGAAAGAGCTATTGGACAAAAGAAGCAACATCTACTCCCACAGACAGGAGATGTACATTGGTCAGGCTCTGTGTAGTGGAGACCTCAGATTGTTGATGATGGTACGTCTACATGACGCTCCCTAAACAGACCACTCTCTAATTATGATCATCAACAGGGCTATGGGCCGATATGGCGTTCCGTACGTGTTGTCTTTCTATGTCTTCACAGTCGGATGTAACTAACAGATTCAAAGTTCCGCAAGATGGTACACACCCTGCTCAACGTAACGACTTCAAAGAAATACGTTACTTATCAGATGCTGGAAAACCGCCAAATGCTCTACGAGTTCCTGACACAGCCACAAGACTTTCTCAAGCATATTCGTCGCTATTCCAATGCACTTACCACGACCATGGTGTTTGGATGGAGAACACCGACTTACGAGGATGAGAAGATGATGCAACTCTTCGACGGCTTCTCTGAATTTGCCACCATCAACCAAACAGGCGCGGCTGCTCTCATCGACTTCTTCCCCTTGTTGCGCCAATTGCCCGACTTCCTTCTGCCGACCCGGAAGAAGGCCAAAGAGCTTCACAAGCATGAGAAAGCTCTGTATCGAGGCCACTGGCTCAAGGCAAAGAAACAAACCGAGGAGAACACCATTAATCCCTGTTTCTGTGCAGGAATGTACGAAGCACAGAAGCGAGATGGATTTAGCGATGACCAGGCGGCCTATATCTCCGGAACACTTCTAGAGGCGGGCTCTGATACAACCTCGAGCACACTTTATGCGTTCATGCAAGCTATGCTGCTATTCCCCGATGTCCAGCGGAAAGCACAGGCCGAGATCGACCGAGTCATCGGGCCAAACCGTCTCCCTGTCATGGAAGACTTGGCCGATTTGCAGTACATCCGCAGCTGCATGAAAGAGTCTCTTCGATGGATGCCAACTACCATTCTGGGCGCTGTTCCACATGCTGTGACACAAGACGATGAATACAAGGGCTATTTCATCCCTAAGGGTGCAGGTGTTATGAACAACGTGTGGAGCATCCACATGGACCCGAAGCGACACCCAAACCCACGCGTCTTCAACCCCGACCGATATGAAAATGACCGTCAGAGCCTAGGAGATGCAGCAGCTAATCCTGATCCATCCAAGAGAGACACATTTACCTTTGGAGCCGGACGTCGTATCTGCCCTGGCATTCACGTCGCAGAGCGAAGCTTGTTTCTTGGCATGTCACGAATTTTGTGGGCATTCAGCGTCGAGCCTGCGCTGGATGAAAAGGGTAACCCAATTATCCCTGACCCCGACCGGTTGACACAAGGGTTTGTCTGTATGCCCGAGGAATTTCCTGCTCGCATCACTCCGAGATCTCAAGAGCATGCGGATATGGTGAAGCGAGAGTGGAAGGAGGCGCAAGAGACCTCTCTTGATCCCAACACGAAGCAATGGATAAACACACCTGTGAATGCGCCGAATTTGTAGATATTTTTAGCTAGTCGAAGCGTTCGCCGGTGCTAAATTAACAATACAATGTGTGATGTGGATCAAATTCAATTCTGTCAAAATTGACATTGTTCTCTTTGCTCTTGTATGCATATCGATACTTGATGATTTAGTTACTGCACCAACAGGGCGAAAGATCAATGGAGCTGTAGAGGCTATCCTCATTGGGGGCCAACCCATGTCCCGTATCATTAAATAGTGCTTCTTCAAGAAACATGGTTTAAGGATGAGTGACAGATACAAGATGTAATTCAAGTCAGTATCTGCTCACAATGGAAATACAGGCTTGAAAAGTAGACATTCAAACTATTTACAGGATGGGCCCCTTATCTCTGAAACGCCTCTAAAGAAAAAAATGCCAAATGAAATGACTGGCCTGATGCTACCCACTAATGAAGCCTCTCGCTCTCAATCGGTTCCTCTGCTCTGAAGTCCATATACTTGGGCTCATGCTGACTATCCAGCTCCGCAGCTCCAGAGCCTGTCGCGCTTAACTCGGCTGGAGGTTGCGACGGGCGATATAGTTCAGTGTAATCTCCTTCAGTAAATAGAGAAGCTTTCATTTGTTTCATTTGGGAGAGCTTTCGACGTTCCCACAATGCCCACGCGAGTGAAAGAAGCGCAATCACACCAAGCGGAACCCCAACCCCAACACCAATAGCGACGTCTCGACTTGGCGAGGAAGATCTGCTCGAGGTCGATAAAGTCAAATTATCACAGGTAGTTGAATTATCAATCGAAACGGTGTATGTGACGTTGGACAGATATGCTACGCCTGGTAAAACGGTTCCCTCTGCGATTGTAAATGGGTCTCCGTAGCGACATGTTGTCTTGCCGTTGCTTAATTCCACTTTTCCACAACAGTATTGAGTTTTCACGTCGTTCCAAGTGACTGGAAAGATTGGGACGCCGCCCTCACGGAAAGCATCACCTGAGAAAGGAATATGTTAGATCTCATAGCTGAAATGATGGGATTTCGAGTCATCGGGCTGGTACATACGGCATGGCGCATAACATGATGGGCTCCAGTTTGGGTCATTGCATGAACCACGGCCAAGGCCGAGTCCCATATCTCCCTGCATAAGACACATTCCATTGCTTAGGCAGACTGATGTGCTATCGCAACAATTGACCACATTATCGCCGCTTTTGCATGGGACATGGTTGGAAGCAATGTCTCCGCTCAGAAAGTAGCATGTCCCGTTGGTGCTCGCGGCTGCACAACAGAGTGGCACGAGACCTAACACAAGTATGATCCGCAGAATGCGAAACATCTCGATTGATCAAATGTGGATTCAAATTTTGGATATTGCACTAGGTCGTCAAGAATTGCCAGGGCAGCTTCATCAGTCAATGGCACCGACAGGCGACCACTTCACACGAGGAATTGAGGATGGTGAAAAACGAAAAGAAATAGTCGACGCGGAGAACGGCAGTTGGGAAGGCTGTTCATAGCCTCAGGCTATTTTGGCCCCTGCTAAACAAGGACCCCAGCGCCATGACGTTGGGGCTCAGTATTGTACCTGATTCGTTGTGACGATTTTCAGAACTTGAAGTGCCTCTTGATTGGATGTGATAGACACTTTAGTGACCAATTAAGGATCTTCGAATGGGACGGCGTTGGGTCCTAAAGATTGTTGGTGGGGGCCGGCTTTGCGAAGGAATAGGGGCGCATAACTTTGACATCACTTTGCTGGCACCATCAATAGTTGGTGGTTAAGGGGACTTCATGTTCGCAAAACCGATCCATTATCTCGTATTCATGGTGACAACACGCGATTGAAGCGGCATCCAAGGATCTTTGGCCAGATTTTGAGACGCTGCTCGGATGAGTGGTCGCTGACGATCTGTGAAGGCCTGAGCGTTTTGAGGCTATGTGCTTAAGCGACAGCTTGATCCACGTTGCATGTTGACATGCTGGCAATCTGGCAGTGGCGGCAGGAAAAGGCGCCTCAGATTTATGCTTATGTCGGCTTCTCTGCGGGCGCGAGATATTGAAGATGGGAAATCTCGATACCGTTACGGAAGACAACCCTGTCCCGGCGGTCAGCCACAGACAGGGCGCGGGAATATTGGCAGCCATAGGTCCATCTGGGAAGTCGCACTCGGTGGTAAGGTCTGGGATGTTGCGCAATATATCTTGGCGAACAAGAACGAACCTGTGCTCAGGAGGATCATCACGATGCCGGCCTGGCCTTTCGCCAGACTCGCGACTATAAATTCGACCATGTGCGCTGCCTTGCTGCTCATCTTGCTGGAACCAAGATTGATGCTGAAAATGAAGGCCAGATAACATGATATCCTTCAATCACAATCGTTTTACATTGACTATAACGATCTGATCCATCTGGCATTCACGTTGGCACGTCCAGCTTTGCTCTGATAGCCGATAGGGAAGATTCCGGGATCAGGCTCATGTCATTTTGGCATTATCGCATAGCCTTCGCAGAGGTTTGGAGAAGTCTTCTGGATGCTAGACTATAGGATGGATGGTATTTGGATTTGCGAGAGAAAGCCAAAGGGAGCAGCATCACGTTGACTTTTGCACACTGTCACGGTTTCATCGCTGTTGGGCCATGGTTTCGCGAAAAGTCTTCGAACAGGAGAAGTGACGGGAGAAAAATAGATGGAGGAGAATAACCATTCTCGGGGGGCTTTGAGACTACCCCATCTACCCCATTGACCTACCCAGGTACAGTCCTATGACCATCACAGCAAGACTGGCACGGCTGGCAGTTTGCTCCTTCCTTTTTCCTCCCCTCACCACACCCAAATTATTCTCAACTTGGTTCGTGTCATTTGGTAAGTGGAGTGAGCTGGCACAACGACTTAGTTGTTATGTTTTGGTGCCGATGAAGTACGGTGAGAAGAAAGATCTTTCGAACAATTGGAAATGAAAAATGCCTCAGGTATACAAAATGGCGCATATTGGAGCCGTGTGGGGATCCACCCAATTTACAGATTGGCAGGTCGACTGGTACACAATTGGCGATTTCCAGCGCATTTTGACCGGTATGATGGAGCTTAATATTCCTTAATCTTGCCTCGAAATTTGTCTTACCTTTTGTTTTTTTTTTTTAATTCCTACTCAAAACTCATGTTTCTAGGAAGCTGGTGTTCCTGGTCTATAAAGAATGTCGTGGAAAGTTTACCGAGTAGATTTAGGACACAAAATTGCGTCGCATATGCAAAATGACAGACTCGAGGTAAAACCTTAGTCTGTGAAACACGAAGACGATCCCCGAATTGAAATCTTGAGGCTACTGCGCCTGTCACAAAAATTCCGCATGGTACAGATCAGTGCGACGCCACTTAAGCGAAGCTACGGCACAGCCACCTCCATTTGCATTTAGCCCGATATGGCTCACCAGCGCTGATGCGGGAAAAAACATGGTGATGGTATTGAACTCGTCATTGTGTGATATCATACATCGATACTTACGCTTGGCTTCTTTAATCATTTAATCAGTCCCATCTTGGTCGAACGGCCATGTCGCTGGCTGGCTGGGGTACTACTGTAGTGTATAGCAGGCGTTTCAACGACGACTAGCAAACACCAACTCTTCCTAGAGCAAGAGAGTGTAGATAGATGCTAGGTACAGTAGAGAGGTACTAATTGAGGTAGAGACCAGGACCACAGTTCCAAGTCCCGCCACGGTACAACGAACTAACGAACTGAGCCTTCCCGAACCGCTGCACGGAATATGTATGAGGCATTATCTGTAGCTAAGATCTAGCACCGATCTGGCAGCCCGGGGGAGTAAGCACCATCCAACCGTGGCCTATTGACTAGTAATAATAATAAGCATCACCCTATCATTATTGGGTAACCCTGCGTCAGGATATCTCCAGGGAGGGGAATTCCCGGTCGTTTCAATTTCCGCGCTGGTCGTGACCAAACTGCGTTGTCGGCGTGGGAACATCTGAACTCATGGTACAGTCTCCCAGGCAGCCGAGGTGTAAGACAAAAAATCCCTCACGCGGTTGCACCCAGCGCGGATAAGACTAAGCAAATCAAGACAAAATTGGTCCCCTGAAATCAAGAAAAAATCTTGTCCAGAGTAGTGTACAATACTCGACAGCATAGTGTAGCTAGCTCTGTACCAACACCCTACTATAGGTCATAGTTCTAACGGCCACGAGCTACCTGCTCTGTGCTCGGCTGGGATCCACGTCCCATGCAATCGGCAGAGTGAAAAAAGTACCGCAGTGGTAAGCCACCGAAAAATATGTCTGGTCCAAGCTCCCATGGTGAACGTCCACCAAAACAGTACTTGAACCGTACGGAACCTCCGAATGCATGAGCCAGTTCCACTTCAAGTCGATCCTGTGGCTGTGGGATCGAATCATATCAAATTGAGCCGTTATGGATTTTCTCCTGGACATACAGGAACCACTTGGCGCTAGGTCCGCCAGCTAGAGAGACTTGACAAAGTACATACAGTACATCCTCCACGTACTTAGTCTGGTTGTGTATGTCATAGCTCCCACTCGCAGACAAAACAGCCCCTCCCAATCCTACCTTTTCCCCTCCCCCAAAAAAACATAATCAAAGGGAAGGGGAAAAAAGAATTAACGGGAAACGGAAATCCGATAATCAGAATTCAGAAAAATATGGCGGGCCTACCCGATCAATTGACACGGTCAAAAGTATAAAGGCTCATGGGGCCCTACCTCGCTATGCTTGCTTCTTTTCATCTTATCGAGGGATGCTCATCGACGGTCAGAAGTGGGCTTGCGAAGCTTGCATTCGAGGTCACCGAGTGACTAGTTGCAAACATCATGGTAGGTTTGAATTTTCTCGTCTCTATACAATGAATTTCACCCATACTTTATACCTCGCGTGCCTCCTACACAGCCACCACCCCACCACTAACTAGCACAAGGCGTATCAAAATCACAAAACCCGCCTAACTAATCACAAACTTCCTAGATCGACCGTTGATCCGCATCAAGCGCAAGGGCCGCCCCTTCGCAACCTGCTTAATTTGCAACGCCACGCCCTGTGAAGCCCCAACGGAACACGCGCGACTCAAGCGCGAAGCGGAGCTCAAATCTCCATCATCAAAAGTAACGCAACTACACTAAAAGAAAAGCCAGCCGTTTCCACCACCGGAAGGCAGATCTTCGACAACCCGAAGAAGAGATCCAGACGGCATGGTGCTGATGTTCCTTCTTGGTTCTTAGAAAGCAACCCATGCCAGACTATACCCGCGCCACCACGGCTCAAGCGGCTTCCTCCCCATCGCGCCTCGACCCTCGGGCAGTAGCAGTAGTGCTAAAGATACGTCCGGCGCTTCCTCGTCGGCGCGTGCCTCGCGCTCCGGGTCGACCTCTGCGGCTTCCGTGTCGTCGTCCCAGACCCCCGTTCGCGGTTCGCATTCCTCCTCGCGCCGCACCAAGGTCCGTGGCAGTGTGGGTGAGTGGTCGGGTTCGGAAGGTTCAGGAATGAGTCCTGCGGCCCTACATCTTCGTCGATGGCAGGGCTTTCCGTCTCGGCCGGACCTAGTCGTGTTGGATCGAGCCAGAGTCTTTCGCGCTCGGGGCCCGACACCCTGAGACCAGACCCGGCATTGTGTGAAGATATGTTTGACCCGATGTATTCCCTCGCTCCGGCGTCTTCGTCCGTGTCCGCGGCTGGTCTGGTACAGAATGTGCCAATGATCAGCCCGTTGGACGGTGCCAATCCCTTTGACTTCCCGCTGGATCCAGCGCTGACACTGGATGACGGAGCCTTGGAATATCTGGATGATATGGATTTCACTGAGGGGTTGACAGATGAGGTATTCCATGTGGAGGATTGGTCAAGGTATATGTGGTCGCCAGAGACTGGATTCGAGCAATTAAACACGGGCTATCCTACCGCGTCTCAATAAGAATGGCTGTCCTGCTGATGTGGCAGTCCAGGTTATGACTGATGATTATGATTGGGATCTTTTGAGCGGGCGATAACCAAATTGCGAGAATTCTTTGGGCATGGAAATGTTGGCCGGTGAGCGTGAGATGTATACGCATGTGTTGCTGGTTAGGTGGTATGTCAGAATGAGCATAGCAAGCACAAACTTGGCTGTATATGCTACCCGCGAGTGTCAGTCATATAGCATTTCAACTGGCATCAAATTTGGAATCAAATACTGATTGAATTCCGCTCAAGACATAACAATCAAACCGTATGTCCGTAAATATGCATTGCAAACCACTAACACCTCTCAACCGCTTCTTGCTGATGCAAATCACGCTGGAGGGCCGCAAAAACGCCATGAAGGAGACAAAAAAAAGAAAGAGAAAATGCCAGCATGATTGGCAACCACCAGGAAGTCCCCGTTCACTGTGCTGCGTCGAAGTAAATCTATATACAAACCACAGAATCTGGTCTACACCTCCTGGATGTAGTTTGCAGGGACGCTCTTGGTAACGCCACCTTTTTCCACGTCGGCCCACCCATCACCGCTATCACGAGTCACCAGAACAAACCGATCACCCTCCGACATCGACCACTCCACATCACTGCGCGCCTCATAGTCGTACAAGGCTTCAACATATTGCAGTTTCTTGGCGCCACGGCGGGGCGCCACTGCCGGGCCCACGCGCTTGGGCGCCGCGCTACCTGCTAGTGAGGCCGAGGAGTTCGAGTAAATAGAACCCGGCCGGTCGGTCAAGCCGGGGCTTGCCGATGGCACAGGCGACGGCGTTGGCGCGGCTTCGACGTATGAGGATGGAACAAGACCCTCTTGCGAGCCCACGCGGACACGCATCCAGCCAGATCCGTCTGCGACAAAGTTAGCAAAGTTGTGCGCACAGTAGGGACGACCGACTACACTTACCATCGGGCTCAACAATGGCAACATCATCCCCTTCCTGAACTGTCACATCATCGGCTCCAGTCGCTTGGAATGCGTACATCATCTTGCCCCGCGGGCCTTGAGATCTCGAACCCAACGTGGACTCGGTGACAGGCGGGGGGCTCATGTATACAGTTGGAGGTGGAGCCAACACCCTGTGTCGTTTGGCGGCAGCAGGATTAGTGGTAGCCACGGGGGACGGTGCAGCATCGGCGGGGCTTTCGGGAGTAGCTTGGGTCGTAACGTTGGTGACTGAGACGGAGCGTGCAGTGCTGGCAGCGTATCCCGAGCTGAGTGAGTTCATGGTGTTTTGGCGAGTGAGAGATGGCGCGGCGCTTGATGCTGTAGCTGAATCACCATCAGCAGCAGGCATGGCCCCAGCTTGCTCCTGTCGCTGAACCTTGAGCTTCTTCCTGTCTTCCTTTGACTGCTCACCAGGACACTGCGCTGGTACCTTCATCTGACACTTGCTGTGGCAGGTATAGCCACAGTCCCGACAATCGAAGCCCTTGGCAGAAAGACCCCAGATTCGTTCACCGCAGAGATCACAGTTGGTGGGGATCTTGAAGGTTTGCGATCGGAAGTTGTGGTTTTGGGCTCCTTGAGACAAGTCTCCGGCGACGGATATGATAGTAGATGTTTCCACTTCCGCAGTCACCCACTTACGTTCCACCTCATGCAGAGCTTCCTGTAGATAGAAAATGCCTCGCACGACCTCAACCTCACTGCGCTTGTCCTTGCCTTGCTGAATGTTCTCGCGTGTCTTTTTGCCGTTCTCTACCTCTCGTCTCTTCTTATCCGCCTCTACCCGCAACTCGCGTACCTGGGCCTTACTCTTTCCAAGAACATTACGCAAGAAGACCTTGGCTGCTTCATCTGTAATGATGGATGCGTCGTCATGCCACACCGGACTGGGCTCAAAGCCCATGTTTGCAGGCTCCTGCGTTTGAGTGACGTTATGCTGGAGGAACATCATAGAGTCAAGGCGAGGATCATTGCGAGGGATCTCGCCCAGAAGGTTGGTGGAATGATTGAGGCAGCTTGTTAAGGAAGACTTTTCGAGTTGCGCAGCAAGGGACCACAATTCATTGAGTCTTTTAACCTTTGTCTGGTTGAGGTCTTGCAATCCCTGTTGAAGAGGTTAGAACGGTTTGAATCTCCAAAAAGACTAAGGTAATGTGAATCGGACTTACATCCAAGACCTCGGGGACATATTCATGGAAGAATTTCTCCTTCAGCTTATTCGTGACGTTAATGCTAATAAGATAGAGGTTCTGCGCGAGCGGTTAGTACTGGAAAAGTCAATCTTAATCGACAGAAAAATCATACCTTGTAGTTGTTCATCTCCAGAATTTGTTGTTGATACGCTGACTGAGCCTTGGCTTTGCCATGGTCGAATGACGATTCTGTTTTCTTGCGCCGAGATTCAACCTCCTGACAAGCGCCGTCATATTTACCCTTGGCCTTCTTCAACTCGCCATAGGACGCATCGCGCTCTTTCTCCAACTTGGTGTGATAGTCAGCATGGGACTTGCGAATCTCCTCGAATTGAGCAGCGGCATGTTTCAGTGGTTCCGCCACATGTCCGATCAACTCCGTCGCAAATTTGTCTCGCTCGGCAGCATGGGATTCGACGGCGTTCAATTGAGTTGTCCACGTCGTCAATGAAGCACTTTCGAGGGATCCGGGGGTCAAGCTGGGAGTATCGCCGACACTCAAAGAGCTGATTTTCTTGGATTTGCGATCCTGGTACTTCTTGCAGAGTGCCGTCAGTTTCGCCGCATACTCCTTTTCGATGGCGCTCCGCTCGCGATAAAATTGCTGGATCTCGTCTAGCCACGATATGCCGTTCGATACCTGTGCGATATGAACGCATTAGCTCCGATCTCGGGCACGAGGTGTGATGGCGCTCCCTTTGCGGGGAAGGAAGCGGATGCGGGCAACGTACCCAAGCGTTGACAGGTTTGAAGTTATCCTATTCTCAGATACTAGGTCAGTCGAGAGATCATTTTGCCGAGAGCCTGGATTAGACTTACCTTTAACTCTGCTCCAAACTGGGGAGCAATGTCAGCTGCCGCCATGGCTGTTGTGAGGTCGCAATCAGATCACGCATGAGCTGGTGATGGGAGTCTCGAACGCTAAGGAGGAATTGTCGCCTTGGATTAGTAACCTGAGTCGAGCAGGCCACTTAGTTTGAAAAGGCGAAGGCGAAAGAGGTCGCGCGACTCGTTGACTAAGAAGTCAATTGGGACAGAAGGACGATGATCGCAACGGCCAAGTTGGGGGAGAAGGCGGGGGAGCATCACTGGTGCCTGTGACAGTACCTTACGTCCACGTTGCGTTGCGGTACGGCGGACTATAGAGGCAACTGGGCCAAAGTCCTCGACCTAATGACGGTAGTCAGCTATCTTTTGACTGGCAGAATTTTAGCACTATGGCCTGCATATGCTTATGTAGCATGCGAGCTTCATTACTATCGTACTTGAAATAGCAAAACTATTCAGCTAGTAGTCAAAGTAACCCGCCAGCGGCAATTCGTGGATAACCTTCGGAGAAGGCAGATACCGTACTGTTTCCGCCTTTCCCAAACAGGCCTAGTGCAGTATCTGCCTCATCCGCCAGCGTCATTTCTGCTGTTTTTGCGGCCGCTACTCTCCAGTGCATTATCAGTCTTCTCCTCACAGGCTTCTCCTTCTGGTGACCGTGTGCTCGACTGCTGCCTCTCACCTCGAGTTGCAACTTTCTCTTCCTACCTCCTCTCTCTTCTTTTAAATCCTCTTGCCCATCCTCGACACTCAATCGCGTCCTCTTCTCGTCAACTACCCCGCGACACCCCTCCAGCTTTCCTTCCTCCTCTTTCCAAGACCACCTCTTCAACTTGTCGACGATCTCTTCCTCAACCTCACAAAATGTCGACTGAGAACAACGAGGCCGGCGGCTCTTTGGCCGACCGCATCACCAAACCCGATGAGGCCTCACAGCCTGCCCCCACCACCGGTACGAGCTCAAATCCTCAGTTGCTGCGAGCCCTCCTCCCTTTCCCGGACAATCATTGCTCAAGGCCGTGTGTCAACAAGGGTCTTTCTGCGAATCACGCAGTACTCCACCGTATGGAACGCGGAAGATGGCCTACGTGACTGTTTGGAGAACCTTCGATTCGATGCGGCGAACCCTCTGTGGACTTCGACTTGGACTATACACTAATTCTTGATATTTTGTCGCAACACAGAGACACCAACAAAGCCAAGTGAAGACGGTGCTGGAACTACATTCCAGGGACCGGACCTCCAGGAGCCTGAGTACCAAGTCGAGGTCAAGCTCAGTGACCTGCAGGCGGACCCGAACAACCCCCTGTTTTCCGTCAAGAGCTTCGAAGATCTTGGACTGTCAGTGATTTCCTCAACCCAAATATGGATTTACATCTAACAATATGTTCGATACACAGTGACCCCCGTATCCTCAAGGGTCTCTCGGCCATGAACTTCCTCAAACCCTCCAAAGTGCAAGAGCGCGCACTCCCTCTGTTGATGAACAACCCCCCGAAGAACCTCGTTGGACAGTCCCAGTCCGGAACTGGCAAGACTGCTGCCTTCGTACTCAATGTCCTGAGCCGTGTCGACCTTTCCACAGAAGAGATGCGTGGCACTCCTCAGGCCTTGATCCTGGCCCCTACCCGTGAGCTTGCCCGTCAGATTGTTGGCGTCATTCACGACATGGGCCAATTCCTTGATGGCCTCAGCATTGGAACTGCGGTTCCTACTGATGCTTCCGCTCGCCCCACTCGGATGACCGCCTCTGTTGTGGTTGGAACTCCTGGTACTGTTCAAGAGATGATCAGGAGACGCGTCCTCAATCCCACCGGCCTAAAGGTGCTGGTCTTGGATGAAGCCGACAACATGCTTGACCAGCAGGGTCTTGGGGATCAGTGCATCCGTGTCAAGGCAATGCTCCCTCGCACCATCCAAGTCGTGCTGTTCTCTGCCACCTTCCCGTCCCACGTCCACCGCTATGCTGCCAAGTTTGCCCCTGCTGCGAACGAGATCACCCTTCATCACGAGGAATTGACCGTCGAGGGTATCAAGCAGCTCTACATGGATTGCAGCAGCGATGAGGAGAAATACACCAACCTGGTTCAGCTCTATGGCTTGCTGACTGTTGGCTCGTCCATCATTTTCGTCAGGGTTTGTAGTCTGCATCTCGATTATTGGTCTTGTACGTTTGCTAACATCATGCCCACTAGACTCGTGCCTCTGCCGTGGAGATTGAAAAGCGTATGACCGCCGAGGGCCACACTGTTGCTTCCCTCACCGGTGGTATCGAGGGCTCTCAGCGTGATGCCGTCATTGATGCCTTCCGCAGTGGTGAGGCCAAGGTGCTCATCACGACTAACGTTCTCGCTCGTGGAATCGACGTGTCCACCGTATCCCTCGTTATCAACTACGACATCCCCGAGGTTTCCGGCCCCGGTGGTGCTAATCGCAAACGCGAGCCCGACTACCAGACCTACCTTCACCGTATCGGTCGTACGGGTCGATTCGGCCGCATCGGTGTTGCTATCTCCTTTGTCTCTAACAGGGAAGAGTGGGATATGCTTCGCCAAATCCAGCAACATTTCACTTGCCAGATTGAGCGCATTGATACCAGCGACTGGGATGAGGTTGAGCGGATTATCAAGAAGACCATCAAGAATTCTCGTGCCCAGGCCCAGTTTGCCAAACCCCAGTGAGATGTGATCAAGAATTTGGAGGGATGCCACCTGCATACTCCCGATGATCTAGCTATGGACGGCGCTCATGCCCCCTGACGTGTTGTCTGGCTTACGATCATAGACGAAACAATTACGAATACTGTTATTGCCCCCCTATTTTATGCTGATGATCCGGGGTTTTGATGGAGCAGAGATAAAGATACCAAATAATGAGTTCAGTTTTCAATCACCAAGCTTTCTTGTGTATCATGCGCGACCACATACTGCCCATAGTGGTCTCCTGAACACAAGCTTTTACAAGCTTTTTTGACGCTGTCGCGCTTGACGTATATAGCTGAGAGTCGACAGTGAGACCTTCCATCACAAGTTTACCGGGCGTGATCAATGGTCGTTTATTCGAAGCTACGTTAATGGTGGAAAGATTATTTTAGTGAACAAGCGAGGGAAAAGGCGGGGATCAGATGGTGCAAATGCCTAAAAAGAAGCACTGGAGGGTGTCTACAGTTCAAAGTTGAAAAGCCTCAATCCTTCTCGGCAAATGTACTCCAATGAATCACCCCACGCCAAAGCTTGAAAAAGTATGTGATTCATTCTTGCCTATCACATCACTTAACCGAGACTCTTCAAACTATAAAGGCGCCATAATTCACCGAAGCATGCTGGGTTAGACAAGTACTACTCCGTACTGGTAGAAGTCTAGATCCCATCTATGATCGCCAACTGAGTAAATGCAAGACCAGTCGCCACGGTCTGACATGACTGAGAAAGGGGTCTTGCCAGATGGCCCACGCGAATAACCCCAGGGTTTTAAAAGCTAACACTAAAACCCCCCAGATGAGCCAGACTAGCGGCCCTTTGGCTTGGCCAGTTCGTATTCACCCGCGCTTAGGCCGAGAGCAACTGGGCCACCAAGTGACCAAGGTCAAAAATACGAGGATCCTAACGAAAAGTGGATAGCGTCTAAATGAAATATCCCAATCAGATCTGTTATATTCATTAAAGTGACCTATTTGCAGACCCTGAGCTCTCAGACCTAATTTCATGGTCCCCATTGTGCCCTACTTTTCTGCCCCTGGGCAGTCTGGGCAGGCTTGGATTCTCGTATCATGGACCTTAATCGGGCAAGGCCTAACCAGAGGGCTTTAAACGATGAGCTTTAACTATGACGGGATTGCACCCTCCCAGCAAGGTTTTGCTCGCCTCTCGTCTTTCTGGGCTTTTTCTCTCTTTGATATACGAAGACAGCACCCCTCCCTCGTTCCACAGTGGACCAGACGAGGATGAGGCTATTCTCAACGACAGAGACTGCCCTACTAGCCTCGCTCCTATTCGCGAGGTCCAATGCTTCCCCATGGATTGGAACAAGATACGTTGAGATCGTCGAGAACACCGTCATCGACGGGTTTACCGCTTCATATCTCACAGAGAAACCCGTCGTCGAGACCTCCGTCATCGCCGTCAACCCAACAGTCACCAACCCCTCGGTAATCAGCACCTTCACAACAATCGAGGACTTGAGTTCCGATGTGACAGCCATCAACCTCGTCGTCGCGCCGACGGCCGGTGTCGCAATCACCAGCAACACCTTTTACGAATACTACGTCAATGTTGTCTATACAGCGCCGGCATCATGCTCATACACAACGAGCGCAACGCTCACGACAGCTATCCCGATTTTCATGCCTTACTACGCGGAACAATTGATTCAACCTACTGCTATTGTCACCAGCACGGAGACATATGAGTACATCACCAATCAGATCACCTGGACGCAGGCAATGCTCAATCCTAGCGACATCCCGAGCAGCGTCCTCGCTTCCGCTAGTTCAGAGTACAAGCCGTCGCGGTTCACATCTTGCGTGCACAACTACAACAGCGGCAGTTCTTCCGGCAGTGGCTCTTCCAGCGGTAGCAGCGGCAGTAGTGGCAGTAGCGGGAATTATGCTGGCTGCGACGAATTCACCTGGTACATCGGTGGTTCAGCCTTCTCAGGTGGCTATTGCTGCTCCGACGGCTGCTTTTATACCTGGGGTATCTCGCCCGCCGGACTAGCCCTCGCCATATTCTTCTCTTGGTTCGGCTTCTTCCTCATCCTGGGCCTAGTCGAAAGTTGGTTTATGTTCCGACGGGCGATGCTCGGCCAGAAAGTTCGACGCGGAATGCCGCGCGCCTTCGCGTTCCTGTGCCCAATCTTGTCTTGCTTCCTCCTTCTCACGGTGAAGCGGTACGACGCCAAGACGCCGGATCAGCAAGCTTGGCTTGCGGGACGATGGAAGTCTATGTCTGGAGGTGCAAAGGTGGGCCTGTGGTTGAAGAAATTCTTCAGTCGTCGCGATCCTGCTGCCGAGGCCTTGGGCTTCACGGGGCCAGTGCCTCCTCCCCAGCCTCAGTATCCCCAGGGTCCGTATTATCCTCCTACGGGCTCTCCTCCTCCAGGTGGCCCCGGTATGCCGCCCATGGCTGCCTATCCTCCACCTGAGCAGGGTTACCCGCCTCGTCAAGAATATTCTCCTCCACCAGTGCCTGTCGTACCTCAAACAGATCGGGCGACGGAGCTTAGTGCCGAGTCTCATCCTAAGACGGTTTCTGTCAATGAGGTCGAGAGAAGTCATGAATTGCAATGAGTGGTTTGGATTTGATTGTTGCATGTGATCCGCGAATTTTGTGGGTTGTGCTTTCGATGACGGTTTTCGAGCGACACTCGTGTTCATGACTTTTCGTATTATTCCATTGAGCATTATGACTGCTAGTTCCTTAATACACGGGTGTTCCATGAGGTTGGAATCCCATCAGAAACTTTCCAATTATTTGATCAGTATCTAGTTGAACTGTAACTCAAGGGATGATGTCCGAGGCATCAAAAATATATTTGAACCCACTTCCAAATGAAAACAATTTGAGCAAGTCTGGCCCATGGATCCAGACTTTTGAACTGCCACTGCAAATATACATGAGAGAACCCGACAGCTTTCAAAATAACCATTGGTTAAAGGCAACCCCAAAGTCCATGGTATTGAACAGGTCCAGGCCGTCCACGGGGATCATCTGCTCAAAGTCAAAGAGTAATGCATCACTTCTGTCGGCATCCACGACGGTATCTTGAGGCTCAAGAACTTCGTCAATGATTTGGGAAAACACTTGGCTTGCTCTTTGGAACAGTGCGTAGTTTGAGTTGTCCGGTCGCACGATGGTCTCGAGGTGGGATATGAAGACGCTCAAGTTACGAAGCAAGGCTGACCGCGAGCCTTCATAGAGGAAGGGCTCACCAGTCCGCTTTTGGTGTTGGAGGGCTTTTATCAAAAGGCTGGCGCTTGGAAAGCCGTAGAGAAGAATCTTAATTTCGAGCCAAACCATTAATTACGTTCAGGCAAGAAGTTGTGAGGAAAAAGGGGGGAAAGCTCACCGTCCAGGTAAAGTCAGGTCGAATGTCGACCATTTGCTCTCTCTGCGCTCCAATGGTCAGAACAGAGGATAATATCTCTGCACTTACGGACAGCAAGGCAGGGCTTCCTCGTGGATTCTTCTTTCCAGCTAGTAGCCTCTGAATGAGGAAATCGTTGTAAAGATATGCTAGATAAGAAACAATGAGAAGCAGACACACTGCCGTTGGATATTTGTTTCCCCAGCAATGTGGCGTGTACCGCAGATGTGCAGGCAGGGACTCCCATGCCAAATGACAGCGGTGGGATATGTCGCTAGACGGCGTTAGTCTGTATTCCCTACCGAATGATGGAAATACTCACTTCAGCAGATTCGCCGTTTGTGGCATGACTTTTTGTAATGAGACCTCGAGTATCTCGTCACGGAACATACTAATAATGAACCGCACTCTCATCCATGAAGAACGTTGAAACACGCCATGAACGTTCCAATTGTTAGCATCAAGGTCGGTTGGAGAAAATTGAAGATTTGTATCTTCGGGTGCAAGTGCATCATCGCTGATATCGAGAGGCATCCGGCAATCAGAATAACGCAAAGGTATCCTGGGGGGCCGTCCAAGAAACGTGGCGATGCTTTTATCAAGTTGATATGCCGCTGCAAATTGCCTACGTCGCGCTTCGAAAAGGAACTCTGGAAGTTGGTCGGTTTTCGCGTCACGATGAAGCCCTAGTGCGAAGATATCCGTTGATAGGTCGCCCAGTCGGCTCCAACAATGAGGGCCTAATAGTTTAGTGATGGAGTCCGTCGGTATTCAAGAAAAGATATACTCACTTGAGTCCCCGTTGATCAAGTCGGAAAGCAAAAGGTTCTCATGCACAAGCCAAATCGTTAGATCATTCAGTGGCGTAAGAATCTTGGAAATGTACAAGGCAGCATCACTAGCCGCCAGCATCTTTCGCGCATATTGGATAGGCGATGACTGGCTATCGAATTTATCACGAGACAACCCCAGATACCGTGCCCTACCAGCTAGAGAACAGATGACTCCGATCATTTCCAAGCGGATGGCTCGGCCCGTGAAGAGTTGATGAAAGTTCTTCCCAGCCATGGTTGAAGGGACCTCAAATATCTCGGCTGTATTTTGGATGATGCGAACGGTTATCGATGAAGTCAAGTCCTCGATGTTTCTCATGCGGACACATTCTTCACACATTGTCTTGAAAGGACCGATGCTGTTCAAAATAAACGGTGCAGGGATCGCGGCACTCTGACTCAGGTCATAGTACTCACGCAGCAGCGACTCGATTGCCGAGAAATCCCCCAGGGTCAAAAGAATCTCTGAGATCTTTTGGACCCAATATGGCGGCAGGACGCGCTGAGTACCCTCGACAACATCAAAGCCCTGGCCAGCAGATACAAGATCCACATCGTCGGTCAGAGGAGACACAAAGCTTGTGGGACCAAAGTATCCCGCCAACAGCGGTTTCGACCTTGATGTTTGGTCTGGCGACGATGTATGGTCCTTGGATGTCGAGGGTATGTTTGCATTAAAGGACGTTTCTCCGGAAGGAGAATTTCTAATGCTAGTCATGGCTGGATATTAGTCTCACAGACGTACATGGTAATCGAGGCTGTTCAATGCAATCATCGGAGTTGCCCGACGGCATTTACACCAATCCAAATTACATTGACGTAGAGACGTACCTGCTTAGGGCCGCACGGTCAAATGGGACCCCTTCTGCCAGCGGGAAAATCTGTCTCGCTCTTGTTCGTGTCAGGGGAGCCGGGTGGTAGAAACAGCGCGCCGAGATACCACGTTCCTTGCACCGACTACATGTAGGCAAGGCATGGTCGCAGCGAACCTTGTCGCGTCGGCAGGGCTCGCACGACGCCGGCTTGCCGTTGCGACGGCGCGCACTACTGGTAGCGGAATCAGCATCGAGCCATTCCATATTTTCTGCCGATAGGAGACGAACCTCATCGATGTGGGAAATTATGGCTTCCTGGGTTTCTCGTACCCTTCACATCACAGAATCCAGCTCACGATAGTCCTCGCAAGGCGAAATCCTGGTACCAGCAAGGTGATTCCTGTTCGGCGTTCACCACTCCGGCAAGTCTGGCGGAACGCCGAGAACTCCGATGACAAGCGGGGTGTGGGTGTGTGGGTCGATCATCTCGGGCGGCCCATAGCAGCCGAGAGATTGTATAGCGGTGGGACTGGGGCAACAATCAGGCCCATTGTCTGTTTCGCCTACATCAAACAGGTAGCCTCCGTCGTCATCGATACCCCTCTTTTCAATAGATAAATGCAGGGAGATTGCAGCGTGCAGATAACAACAAAGACCAAAAGGTGACCGCCGCTTTGCACCGGAGGAGATAAGCTGATAACGTGCGGGGGAAGTCACATGGCCGGCCCCCCTGCAGAGCTACCCTTTCAACTTCCTCCCAGCTCTCTGAGGCCCAACAAAGTCTCCTTTTCTATTTTCCTCCAGAATGCTCGAGAGTGAATCCATTGCCAAAATGCCGGAACCAACCCCGCCATCCCCTACGTCGCCCAAGTCGCATTACAGCAAGCATATCATCGTAAGATTACCTTCCAGGCTTCTGGTGGCAGTATGGGAAGCTGACTGGCAATAGTTGACGACATACCCAGGTCAGAGTGGGATTGACCCAGTGCCTCTCGAATGGGGTGCTGCAGATGCCAAATCTCGTGGGCCAGTGGTGGTATCTCGCAGTGGTAACCTCGTCAAGCGCCGCAATGCAATCGGAGCTCATGGTGGAAGCTACAGCATCTACAACGCGTTGGCCATTGCCGCGGGAGACTTAGATGCAAACTTCCGACCGGATCTGCGCAACAGTCAGCCGACCTTTGACTTCCCCTGGCAAAAGGCCTGGGCAGACAAGACCAAGATCGTGTCAATGGACCCGTACGGTCATGATATTGTCAACCAGTATAAGGAGGAGCTGGAGGCGGGCTGGGATATTCGGCCCACAATGGCAATTACGCGAGCTAACATGAAGCTGGCGGAGATTGCGGATTCTGTGCGAGATGGGCAGCTTGAGGTAGACGGCTCTATTGTCGTCGACTCATCTGGCGAGGTGCGAGTGACAAAGGTCGCAGTCGAACCGGTGTGGTATTTACCTGGTGTGGCTGATCGGTTTGGCGTTGACGAAGGGACTCTTCGTCGCACCTTGTTCGAGCACACAGGTGGCAGCTATCCAGAATTGATTACCCGACCTGACTTGAAGGTGTTCCTTCCGCCGATTGGCGGTCTCACCGTTTATATTTTCGGACCGCCAGAGCGAGTTGCCGATGAGAATGTCAAGCTGGCTCTTCGCATCCACGATGAGTGTAACGGTAGCGATGTGTTCCAGTCTGATATTTGCACATGTCGACCATACCTGGCCTTTGGTATCCGTGAAGCAATCTGCGAGGCACAGAATGGTGGAAGTGGCGTGGTCATCTATTTCCGTAAGGAAGGTCGTGCTCTTGGTGAGGTGATCAAATATCTCGTTTACAACGCTCGGAAACGAGGTGGGGATACCGCCGATAAGTACTTCACGAGAACGGAGAACATTGCCGGAGTGCGCGATGTATGCCGAATAAATTTTACTCTCCCCCTTCTCCAGATTCTTGTGCTAACGAGTTGTCCTTTAGATGCGATTCCAAGCCCTGATGCCAGATATTCTACATTGGCTTGGTGTCAAGAAGATCGACCGCATGCTGTCCATGTCTAACATGAAACATGATGCCATTGTGGACTCTGGGATCAAGATCCTCGAGCGTATTCCCATTCCTGATGATATGATCCCCAGTGACTCTCGAGTCGAAATTGACGCCAAGATTAATGCTGGATACTTCACCACGGGCAAACAGATTTCCATGGATGAACTGGCCGAAGTTCGTGGCCGTGGTTGGGAGAAATGGGAGGATATTGAGGTATGTGGAACCCTTGGATGACTTTCGTGCTGTTTACTCTGTCAGCTGACACATACTGCAGCACTAAGTAATGTCGACTTTTCTCTACAAATTGGAGTTGCGACGTAGAATTCATGGTATTTACCTATCGCCCGCATGACAGCTTCTCTCGACACGGGTGGGTTGCTGTTTAGTGTTATTAAGTGGACTAGTAGCTGTGCATTGATCGCTTTTAGGAAATCAGATCTATTTTTCTTTTCTCTTTATATCTTCACACCTTTCGAATATCCTGGTCAGGTATCTCAATTCTAGCGAGTCAGGCATCTGTCAATATCTTCCACGTTTAGTTGCCTTTGCAATCCTTGGGGGCAGTGGGATTTCCTCATCGCTGGCTTGAAAGTTGGTTCTGTAGGCTGCACCTCTGGTCTTACCACTATCTTCCAAAAGACTGGCTCAAAGGTTATGGAGTTTTCACTGCCAGGAAGCTGCCTGAAGCAATGGAAATAGGACGAACCTCAGCGCTCCCCGAACCGCATCGACAGTGTATGCGGTAGCAATGAACTCAGCACCAGCGATTGGGATCCATAATACCCTGGACCGACTCAAGCCACGCACACCGTACGAGGGGGCCTGTGACGGGGGTCAAGGAGACGGTGAAGGGGCCGATGGCTGCGGTGGCCGTGATCGAGAATGCAATGTAATGAATGCAGGGTGGTGATCGGATTCTATCTCAAGTTTCAGACTCGGCACGACGACAGAATACAATCCATGGATCAGGCTATAGCATTATGTAGTTCCAAGAGGATATCCCTGGTCGAACGCAGACCGGCTGGGGCCCTTGGGGAGCTGCAACCCCAATGACGCAGCATTGTTCAAGGTCCGTTTGCAAGTGAGGGGCTTTTGGAGTCAAGTATCCGCCGACACCGGATTTTCGATCCACAAAACTGTCTAGCGAATGTCGGGAGCATTGGATTGGAGGGTCTCGCCGTTCCTTCAGGTTTTGGGCCTACCAGCGCAGAGAGGGTGGGACTGGCACGATCAGATAAGATCAGAACGCGACAACTACAGATTTTTTTGGTCTTTGTGTGGCGCCCCAGTGGAGTGCCATGGACTCCCTTCTGCTGATCGGTGAGGAATTTTCAAGTAAAATTTTCAATTTCGTTCATAGTCTTTTTGATTGAATAATGAAAGATGGGAATTCCATGTTAACTACCTGTGGACAAAGCCTCTCTCGAAGGCGATCCTCAGGCGACGATGGAAATCATGGAAATCACATGAGAAAAGCTGAGTCAGCAGGGGATAATGGAGGACAAAGGGCCAATAGTACGGGAGTGTAAATTACCGTCATATAACCAAAGATAACACGACCATCGCGTTGAATTTGTTCCTATGCTCAGCCACATTACCATTACCGTACGCGTTCTCCGACCGGCCGGCCAGCCGGAACTGCGGCGAGCCGCGATCATACGACGACTCAAAATGCCGAGTGGTCGAACTTGGCTGGTGGCTGCCAGCATCATTTCGCGTTTCTCGTTGACTCAACAACGAACGAGATACTAGCGACCACTTCTATACTTCGTGACTTTGTATCTTTACTGATTTCGCGTGGTGCGAATCGCCTGGTCCACAACACCGTCACCACTGGGACATGATCGCCCTTACAGGGGAGGACCAATTGATTTGAAAATCCACCCTCCCTCCCCCCGTTACAAGGGCCCGCCTAGGCTACGACTGAATTGGGTGGGTATCTTTTGACTAAGAGCCTACCTGTCGTTCCAAATGGCCTTGCCCTGAACTTGGACTTTGACACTTCCCTCTCTTCGAGTTTTTTGCGTCTCAACACGCCACTACACAACTTTATCGTCCCAACCCCATTGACGTCGCTTTCCTATCAGTCTCGTGAGTGTTTCGAGATCGTGGCACGTTAGCTAGTGTGTTATCAGCCAGCTGCCTGGTCCAACTATCAAAAAGAACCTGGACAGCTGGGGATCATCAGTCCCCTGCAGATTCATGTTCAGGGCCAGATACTAACATACGGTCTAGTTTTGACGACCTCAGCTAGTAAACATCGCCGTTCAATTTGAACTAGCATCCACGTTGGCCAAGGACCTTCACCGTGGATGTTCAGACACTGCGTCTGCTTCAGGCATGGACAATGATTTTCAACTCTTCTCTCCCCGCCGCCACTCGGGTGGGGATGAAACTCATTCACAGTCAGAGAATCCCACCCAAGACTGGACCCAATGGATGCGATGGGACGAGCCCATGTTCACCGACGGCGACCTGAAGCAGATGGACCGAGGATTGGATCTCCCCTTTGTTTCCCCACAGACCACGTCCAGCTCTCCAAGTCAGATTCAATCGACGGACTTTTCTCCAAATCTCCCACTCGGCCTTATGGAGATACCATCCGGTCATCACAATAGGTCAAATCATAACAGCAACACCAACGGCCCACATTCCTCGACCACCCCGGGCCATCAGCAATTAGGCCTAGCATCTCCCATCTCCAGTATCGGCACAAGCCGAAAGCGAAAGACCGGCAGTGATGACGACGCCACCACTGTTACTGGTCCTGTACAGTCCGGCAAAAAGATGCCCGCAAAGAAGCGGGCTCACAACGTCATTGAGAAACGGTATCGTGCCAACCTCAACGAGAAAATCGCAGAGTTACGTGATAGTGTGCCCAGCCTTCGAGCAGCAAGAAATGCCAACGGCGACTCCAATGAGGATGATGAAGATGCCGACGGTGCCACTCCTGCAAACAAACTGAACAAAGCTTCCATTCTCTCCAAAGCAACCGAGTACATCAAACACCTTGAAATCCGGAACAAACGCCTGGAGGATGAGAATACAGCTCTAAAGAACCGGCTCCGCCAGGTGGATAAGGCAGCCGATCAGGCGGTTACTTCAAGTGCGTCTGTATCTTCCCCGAGCAACTATACAGCTTCCAGCGATCCCGGTACCTCGCCTAGTGTGTTCTCAAACCCGGAAGAGATCAATGAACCCTCCCCAGCTTCAACAACACCACCAGAAGGCATGATAAAGGTCCCCGATGCCTTTAGGCGCATGCGAGAGGAGGGTGCAAAGAGTGGAGGAATTTTCTCCCAGTCATATATACAGTCTACACCCCGAGCTTCCGATTATGGTCGCGAGGAGGGTTCACGCCGACGGTCGAAGATGCCTAACAAGTACATGCTGGGTGCACTGGCTGGTCTTATGGTTCTGGAGGGCTTCGGGTCAGACAAGTCCGAGACCGAGCAGAAGGGACTCCTTGCAGTCCCTCTTAATCTGCTCAATCGCCTACGGATGTCCAATATTCCGTACCTTGAGTATTATATGAGGAGTTTCTGGTCTTCTTGGCACACGCGAGCTATCTTCCATGTTCTTCTCCTTGCTACTCTGGTAGTCGGAAGTGCTTTTATTGTGTTCGTTTATTTGTTCAACGCCCAGCCTATTACCCATCGCACACATGGAAAGGCCGTTGCCGAGGGCAAAAATGCACCGTCCTCATCAAGCGACTTCCGCCGTCAGGCCTGGCTTACAAGCATGCAACGGGTTGGAGTTCCGCGTCACAGATTCTTCCGTGAGTGGTATGTGGTAACATCGAGATGCTTCGAGTACGTCCTGCGATGCATTATGGGGTGGAAACTTTACTCGTGGGCGACGGGTATCACAGAGGAAGATGAGAAAGGCCGTGTTAAAACTTGGGACATTGCCATCGATGCCCAGCTTACGGGTGGCGACATTGAAATCAGCAAGAGTCGTCTTGTGCTTACAATTTTCGCTGCCGGTACCCTTCCTCGAAGCCCCATGAGGATGATGCTCAAGGCTTTGCACGTTCGCATTCTTTTATGGCGTGTTGGCGAGCCCGGGTCATGGACCTTCCACGTCTCTAACGACATTGCCCGCGCTCTAGCTAAATATCAGTGGGCGGTTGCCAGGGACATCAACGATGCTTTACCCGAGGGCCACCCTGATCAACTTCCCAATCACCTGGCTTCCCTCATCAAGCTTGATTGCGAAGATGTGATGATCGACAGTATTATCCAGCGTGCAGTCAATCTCACCTGGAACAGACCAACACAAGAAGGCACTTCTGACGACGAAGTGCTGCTCGATGTTGTGGAAGAAGACCCTGCCATTCAGTGCTCCGTCGATGCTCTCGCTGCCTGGTGGTCCAGTCACCTCCTTCAGAATGCGCTCCTAAAATACCTGGAGGCTAGCGAAGGTGTCCCAGCCTCCAAAGTGAGCCGTGACTGCTTCAAGGAGAAGATTCGTATGGCCCTCGATGTGGCTCCTCGACTCTCCGCGGCTTATACTCGTGCGCTTGTCATGAAGGCAGTCTTTTTTGAGCAAGATCGAGTACAGAATGTCAATGCTGTTCTTGCTGCTCTACCAAAGGACAAATGCAAAGACGACGAGAACCACGCCGCCAACTTCCTTGATTCGTCACTGCCCGTTTCTGTTCGCGATGAAATTTCTGTTGCCGTACGCTGTGCAATGATTGCGACGATCGTCACCTCTCGTTCTGCGGGCGAGACATGTCTTCCTCCGTCATTCACAAACCATAAGGCGATCAACTGGTTCAATCAGCTTCCGATCGACCCAGTCGAGCTGAGCCTGCTCGGATTCTCCGCCGTCTATCACCTTCTGCATCTGTTGGCCTCTGATGTCGACTACATCGCCTCGTCCGACTCCTCCGCCCCATCTTCACCGGTCTCCGAGGCTGGTTCCTCTGCAGGTGACGAGGCGGAGGAAAAACCTCGTCCCGCGGGGCGCAAGATTGCCATCTGTCCTCGCGACATCCCAAACCTGGGTCGTGTGGCAGCGGAGCTCATCTACTGGGCCCGTAATGCCTACAATCCAGCCTTCTATGGTTTCTCATCCAGTCTTGTCGATGTGATTGTCAAGTCCTGCACAACACTCTGCTCCGAAGCTGGCATCAACGTGGATGATTACCTAGAACTCGCACCCGAGCCTCTCCCATCCCGGAGACGGCGCCACCGGCGTCGCCGCGGAGGGTCCGATCAGTCTCTTAAGAGCGACGCAGACCATGAAGCGACCGATCCACGTATAGGGAAGCCCCTTCAGCGCGAACGGTCCGCGAGCAATGACACTGGATACGGCAGCCTCAGTCTGGAGGAGAACCAGTTTGCTGCCAAGGTACCTGAAAAGGTGCTAGAATGTCCGAATTAGCCCCCCTCCTTTTCTTTCTCTTCAAGGAGGCATTTATTAATAGCAACGGCGTTTACGGCTTTGTCAAGTTACGGGTTTATGGCTTCATCACAGCAGGAAATCAGAGTGGAAAGGAGACATGTGAAGGCGCGTTGAGGCGTTTGTCCACCTGTAGATTATTCTGTCCTTACGTCTATATCTCACCCTGAACTTCTCTCGTTCGTCAAAGTTCTCGTTTGTCGAAAGACTTATTGTTAGCCAACATAAAGACGAATAAATACGTCATTCGGATTCACTTTGCCAACTTATTGTCACATAGATCAGATGATAATGTTGATGTCTAACACCACGTCCTCGCAGGTCCCTGCTTAATTCTAATTATCAGCATCGTGAGTCGTTTCCACGGCTTTTTTAGGTGAAATCTCGTGATTGTTGGCAAGCTATCTTCCGACACGGATAGTCTTTCACGATTTCTGTCGACTTGAGTCGTCTCTGATATATTCTCCGGTTACGCCACTGCCGTGAATACCAGCAGTGGGTTACAGCTCGCCCCTGAGCCAAAAGTCAATATTCTTCCCCTTGTGTTTCTATTGATATTACCCTCTGCTTTATTGGTAGCTGTGGTAGCTTCAGTCCTCTGCTCTTGGCATATTCCAAATTGACAAGCAATTGGCTATCTTAGCGTGAGGTCCGTCACAAATCACACTGATGCCGGGTGGCTGGGGTACTTGGTTAGGCCTTAACTTCCAATGACTATTCAGCGAGCTAGGCCTGACCCCCAGATGTATCGCTACTAACGTCCACTAAAGCTCTTAGCAGCTACACACCCTGGCCTCTGGATATGTCCACGGTGGCAATTAGCCTAGGCGCCGATGCTGCGCTTCCAGTCACTGATGAAAAAAGAAAATCCACAACATTACTTCAAGTTGGTCTCTTAATCCCAAAAGTCGTTCATTGACCAAAGAGGACGGTGAGATGGGAGTCTCGCAAGCAGTTGATCGACGTTTCTGCGCTTCCCCCGGTTACCTCAAGCCACATCCAAGCCACTTGCAAGGTATAGTTTCATCAAGGCATTCTAGATCTATATACTCTGCGATGCGATGCGATAGTCGTATTCCGAGACAGAGACGGTCGAGTTTAGCTCCTCGATATGGAGACATTACTGCTGGTGGTCTTTACTATTGAGGGGTATCTTGAATTGTGGACGGATCTGTCAATGTGCACGTTTGGAGTCAACGCATTGAGACACCATTGTGTTCTAGCCCTTGCCTAGGGCTACTAGAGGGACCCGCCGAGCATAAGTATGGCCGAGGAGAAGAGTTGCCGGAGATCTCTGATCTACCCCGAGCTATTGCCAGCCGATCGGCCGTAAAGATCCACGAGATTGATTTGGTACGAGTCGGCAATGAACTTCGGCCTCAATACTAGGGGTTTGGAGAAGGGGATCCAGTTCTTTTTTCTCATATGAGCCTGCAGCGCCGCGCGCATACCCCGACGTTGCAGAGGCGACCTCTCGCCAAACCTTGACTAGACGGGTTCACTCTCTGACGTGGACTGGGAGCTCTGGCGTCATGCGCTACTACCTTGTCTCCACATGATCGAACTTGACTATTGTTTAGTCAACGTTGCAGTTGCGTCCCAGACCATTGGGATTGGGCGATGCACTTAGCTCCCCGGGAGTCCGTACTCAAGGGCATGGGCAACTGGAGAGAATGACGACGAGACGTCTTCACATATGCATCTTCGCCAATTTTCATGTTTGGCGTCAATTGGAGAGAATTAGAGCCCCAACTAACAACTTTATTCCCCTTGGACTTTCTTCTTGGTTTCCCAGCGGGTAGAAAAGAAGGGGGTGAAGATCATCCCTTGGGAGAGTTGCCGAAGACGGGAGCGCGCCAGGGAGGAATAAGGAGGGCCATTCCCCAATGGAACCAACACAACTCCGTTTTCGGGCTGCCGACAACAACGCCAATTCGGCCAAATGAGTCGAAAAAGGCGTCGATCAGTTCTAGGCCAGCGCCTCATTCCTCATTCTGAATCCCGCAAATGTCACGATCGGGAGCTACAAGTGAACATGGGATTCCGCAAGCCCTGCATCAATCCCGATCGTGCTAGTTAGAGATCAGGCTTGCGGGCGCTAAGATCTAGATTCGTAGATTCTTAGCGCTCGAGCCACTTACCGTTCCCATACAAGCGCATAAGATTAAGGGCTAACGGGCTTAAGGTTAAGGCGCCGCGATCCGAGTCTGACATGGCCATGGCCCAATTCGGCTGGTTACACTCGGTGCTTTTTCCCCTCTCCCAAGACACGCTTCCGAGTAGATACATCCCCGCCATTCGAAGAATGACGATGTTTTCATTCAATCTCGTTGCACACACGCTTGTGCCCCAGGGCCAGGGGTCCATGACGGCATCCATGTGTGGGACATGGTATGTGGAATCGAATACAACGCCATGATGTGGATATGGATAGTCTAGCCTTTCTTTCCACACTGATGTAATATTGTATTTATCTATCTTCTGGATTGAAGAAAAACCCGCATTTGCCCCCGTCTCCCGATCCTCCTCTTCCTCCCTGGTCCGAGAGTCTCCGAGAGTCTCCGAAGGAGTCGTCGCTAGACATCCACGCTGTTGGCGCGACTTGACGATCCAAATCTCGGCCAGCAATTCACCGATAAATACATTTACGCATGGAAAAATGGGTGTCGAGCTCCACGGAAACGGCCCTGGGGAGCCGCCCATGAATCCCGCACTGGCTGTTCCTCTCTTCGCCGTCGGAGGATTCGTCGCAGTCCTGTTTCTTTGGAGAACGGTCGTTCGAATACGACATCGTCGTCGGTCAAAATTGGCACAAAAATCAGACGATCAGGCTCAGCTGTCACGGACGAGTAGTATAATCGCAAGCTTGAAGAAGCATGTGTTCTACGCTCCCGCTTGTGGCGCCCGCCACAGCCGAGAGTTCAGACTGTTCAGGCTCCACATGGGAACTGTCCCCTTGAGGCTAGAGGCGATCCTGCTGGTGATCTACCTCGTTCTGAACTTCACATTTGTTGTGGTCATGGTGGATTGGTGGAGAGGCTTTTCTGATAAGATGTTCCAACTCAAATATGCTGCTGGCCATCTCGCCGTGATGAACACGCCCGGGTTGGTTTTGAGCGCAGGGCGGAACAATCCACTGGTACAGATGCTCGGACTTCCCTTCGACACCTTCAATTTTATGCATCGTTGGGTCGGTCGCGTGATTGCGGCAAATGCCGTGGTACATATGAGCGCTGTGTTGGCAAACCAGGCTTACATGCGTACGTATGATCTGATGCGACTGTCATTCTCGCTCCTAACATTATTGACGCAGATGGAATCGACTACATTCTTTATACTCTTTGGCAGATGCCCTTCTATATTTACGGCCTCGTGGCGCTTCTTGGCTTCATTTTCATTGTTTTGCAATCATTGTCGCCGGTTCGACATGCATTTTATGAACTTTTCCTTCATCTTCACATTGCAATGGCCGTGATGTCTTTCGTGGCGTTGTGGTATCATCTCAAGAACTTGTTGCAACAACGAGTCTTGTTAGGCACTTTGATTCTTTGGGGTCTTGACGTACGTTCACTTATCTTGAACACTTTTGATGGCTGAAAAATTGCTAACTTGACACAGCGCATGTGCCGACTTGGAATTCTTATTTGGCGCAACAGTGGAAAGCGACGGACCACTGCAACCGTGGAAGCCCTCCCAGGGTCTGTCGCCCGGGTTGATGTGGAAGTCTCTCGGGCCTGGAAGTTCCGTCCAGGTCAATATATGTACCTGTACCTCCCCTGCCTCGGGCTCTGGACCTCCCATCCCTTCACAGTCGCATGGTCTTCTACGGGGTCCAATTCCTTGGACTTCACCGAAAAGCGAAGCTCGAGTGATTCATTTGCTTCCCTTATCGGGGGATCTGAGAAGACTACCATGTCCGTCTTGATCAAGGGTCAGGATGGATTCACGAAAAAGCTTCTACGAAAGGTCGAAAACTCACATGATGGAAGAATCAAGGCCACGGCTTTGGCAGAGGGACCATTCGGTATGGAAATTTCTCTTTACTATCTGGGTCGCAATGATTGCTAATATTAGGGAATCAGGTGGTATTCATCCACTTGCCTCGTATGGAACCCTGCTCCTGGTTGCAGGCGGTATCGGTATTACTCACCCAATGTCCTATCTACACGAGGTGGTCACCAATTTTGCATCTCGAAAGATAGCCACACGGAAAGTGCATCTCGTGTGGATGATCCGCAACCTAGGTATTAATCCAATACAAAACAGTTCAGTTTATCTGGTCAAGTGCTGACCATTATTCCAGACCACCTCGCATGGATCCAAACATGGATGACCGATATCTTCGACCACGACTCAATAAACAGCACCACCAATCTCAAAGGAGACACGTACTTCCAAATACCAGGCTTAATGCTCTCCATCAGCATCCATGTGACCGGCCACAAGAATGATCCTGAAGAGTGCATTTCAACACCAGAGACGACGTGGACCGATATCGCACCGTCCAATGTACCTGTCAATATCCACCACGAAAAACCTTCTTTCCGGACTCTTCTCGAGACTGAGAAAGCGCAACAGGTTGGTGCGTTGGCAGTCAGTGTGTGCGGTCCAGGTGGTCTGGGAGATAGTGTGCGCGATGCTGTCCGCCATGTCCAGGGAGAGAAAACAGTTGATCTGTTTGAGGAGACGTTCTCATGGTGATCATTGCCTCAAGAGATGGTCGTTACAATGTTAATAGTATTTTCCGAGATATGCTTCTATAGGTCTCAAATCAATGGATATCCTCTGTGAGGTTTAAATGTTCATTCTTTGGAACTTTCACCGATATGAATCCACCCACAGACAGGTTTATCTGTGTATTAATCTTGTCATCTCACGGCCTTGACTGATATATGCGAAGTGAAACAGATCCCCGAGCTTGTATTGATAATCTTCTAAGTAGGCTATTCTGAAGTCGCTCCTATATTTCCCCTGGGGCCTCTAGCAGGCAAATGTTGAAATCGAGAGAAACCCCTGAATCATCTTCGTATTTATCTCGGCCAGAGTCCTCATTCCGCCAAAGCCCACTTAACAAGCTCCGCAATGTTGTCACTGACTTGCGTGCCCCGGGGAATATCATGGCCTCCTTCATGATTGTATGTCTTTCTTCTCTCGGGCACACAAATCGCAGACAAATGTAATCCAGACGCATACCGTGGGTCCTTAGAACCGTATATGTGTACCGTAGGAATGTCAATACGGAAGGGGCATTCGATTTCCTTCCGCAACTGGTCTTCCGAGAGACCGTCATTCAGAGACTCCAGTCCCGTCCAACGATTAGCGCCCTGGGTAAGAATCGCGGAATTGCCCGACTGTTGCATCAATGCATCCCTAGACACCCCGTCGCGCTCGCGCGCTGTTGCAGAAATATGGAACCCAAGTTCCTCGAGGATAGGCATAGAAGGCCCACCACAAATGAATATAGCTGTCTTGAAAAGGGCTGGTAGATGGGGCGTTTCTTCTTGATGGAGTAGTAGTGCTGCAGAGCCGAGGACACAACCCTGCGAAAACATCATCGCCGCGTCGTAAGGGCCATTCTCTTCAATATATTCATTCATCCGAGCGACCGCAGCCCGGACATCGTCAACAGTGTCATTCTTCCACCAGGAAAAGTAAGGCGGCTCATAGAATAAGTCCACGCCGGCAGCGGCACTGCATTCGAATGGGCCGTCTAAGAAATCGAATTCGATGTTTTGATCCGCTAATCTGGCCCGGAACGATGCTGCGGGGTTGTAGGATTAGGACTAGCCTATTTGCTGGGGATTGAGGAAGGATCTTACAGGTCTGCGATCGGAAAATGGCGCCACTTGTGCCTTTTCCATGGAGACAAAGGATTTTCATTGCTGATCACGCGGCTGAGATTGGGGGAAAGGAGTCGGTGAAGGAGGGGTAGTGATTATTGGGAGGCGGGAATGGTGTTTTGCTGACCGGAATAAGCGCTTCGCTGACGAATGGGGCCAAATATACCAGACGGTACGCTACAAAATCAATCATTCCTCAATCGATTCTGAAGGAATTCTAGTTAAAGAAAAGGAACTAACAGATGTTTTACAGAGACTACGGCATGGATTTACAGCTCTGCAAGTACGGAGTACAGACGGACAATTGAAGCAGATCAAGCATCGGGAGGTGCCCGACATGTACAGCAAAGTTTAGCTGGCACATTACCATAACCCCATAAATGAGGCCTTTCAAGTAAAGTAAAGTTTGGCCCATATTTTCGGTCGCCCTATGGAATGTTCCCTCGAAATTTAATACTGACCAGCTTGCCCCGCAACATGAAGATCAGCCGAGGCTCCCTCGCCTGGTGCACTCTAAACCGCCCCTCCACTCTGCGACAAAAGGAGATTCCTACAGGCACCCTTCTGTTAGGCATAAACTTCTGACTCAATGTTGAAAATGCCGACGACAGTGGTGGTCACGGAGCCATTAGGCATCGCTGACAAGTTTTCCATTGCGTGGCGTATCCCTTTACTGGGTCGGACTTACCCCTGTCCTTCGATTTGAAGAATTCAAGTACAGACTACTAACTTCTCGTGTACAGTCTTCCGTTGCACGGCCAGGTTTATTGCATTATACCTATCGCATGGTGAAGCTTCTAAGCTTCATTGGCGTCAAAAGCTTGCGCTTGCCTATCTTCAAGCATCTCGAGTCACCTTGACGCGCAAGCAACAGGCCCAAAACCGCAAGCGTTTGACTGGCCCTAGAATTCAAGAATACTGTCGCAGGCATAGATTAAAACACAGAGCTATAACGGTTCATGGTGCGACATTTTCCAATGAGCGCAGAATCCCAGACCCTGTACTACATTTCGTTACAGCCCCTGTGCCACAACCAGGCGGACCGACCATATTCTACTCACACGGCGGTGGCTACCACAACCCAATAAAAGCAGAAGGACATGTTCCATTCGCACTACAATGTGGATCGGCTTGTAAAGCCCAACAAGTTGTGTTTTTGGAGTATTCTCTCAGCCCTGAGCACCCGTACCCATGCCAGCTCGTCCAGGCCGTGGCTGGCTTAAGGCATCTTCTTGAGCAAGAGGCGATCCCAACGGAGAGCATCATCCTCGGCGGCGATAGCGCAGGCGGCCACTTGACAGCGAGTTTATTAACGCATATTACTCATCCATCTCCATATGCGCCTCCAATTGATCTCCGTGGTGGTCAATTCAAAGCCGTTCTCCTGGTATCCCCTTGGATGGCGATGTCAGAGGAGCAGATTAGCGTCCTTCCGCAAGCGCATGACGATTTCTTAACACGGGAGAGTGTTGTTCGATTTTGGGATATGTTCAGACCCGGATTGAACGAAGTATGGAGCAATCGATGCGACACTCGGGACACGGTCGCGGTGTGGAAGAGGCTGTTTCCTAGTGGGCATGATCATGCGATATCTCACAAAGCAATGCTAGCCGTGGGGACTTTGGAAGTCCTTTATGAATCTTGCATGGGCTTTGGGCTTGACATTGGCTTTGATTGTGTGTATGTCGACAGCCCAGCAGGTCTTGACTCGGTGAGGGAGACGGATTTGGTTCTTGCCGTTGTTCCGGGCGAGGCTCATGTCCAGCCTGCTCTGGACAGTGCACTCGGGTACTACGATGGAATGATGATGAAGGCGATTTTCAACTTTCTGAGATCTTGTTAGGAATTGATCAAAGGTCATATTCGTGTCATTCGGGCGTGAGAATCTTGCGCGTAACTTCACCTGGGATGGTAAATAGCAATGATGTCATCGACAGAGCCAATCGGGTATCAAGAATAGCGTCAATAAGCAGTCAGCTTATGAACAGCTTATGAATTTGAACCCGCCTTACTTAATGTTTTTCACTCTTACCGAGGCATTTTAGAGGGCAGAGAAGAAGCTAAGTACCCGTCGGTCTAAAGTCATCCCGGTGAATGGGCTTCCATCGTCTCGTATCCGGAGTTCGTCCAAATAGAACAGAATTGGAACTTGTACCATAATTCCACCCCATAACAAGTGGGACGCTCCACAAACAGAAGAATATCCGATTATTCATCTTTGTTAATAATTGAAACTAACTTTGCTGTAGAGACTTCTCCATCTCGATACTCGGCTAATCGGACAGAGCCTGTCTGGAACGGCACCTTCTTCAGGGATCCACCAGCTTACCGCTGAACCAAAACTTCGTCATTGCTCACGGAGACAACTCCAACTTCGGAAGACGATTTGTAAGATTAACTCTGTCCCTTTTCTTTCGAACTTTAAATCTAGATTGAAGACTGTCAGGTCTATATAATTACCCCTGGGCCCTCCATTATCAACTTTCCCCCACCAAACTTACCCTCAACATTCCATCATCATGACCACCCAAAAAGCTATCATTGTCATTGAGCCCAAGAAGGACGGTCTGGTTGCCGACCGGGCCATTCCTGCTCTTCGGGATGACTACATTCTGGTCAAAAACGTCAGCGTCGGCTTGAACCCAACTGACTGGAAGCACGTCGCCTACCTTTCTCCCCCAGGTGTGCTAGTTGGATGCGACTACGCAGGCGTGGTCGAAGCCGTTGGCAAGGATGTGAAGAAACCATTCAAGAAGGGAGACCGCGTCTGTGGCTTCGTTCACGGTGGTAATTCCGTTCAGCCTGAAGACGGTGCTTTTGCTGAGTACATCGTTGCCAAGGGCGACGTGCAGATGAAGATTCCGGACAACTTGAGCTTCCAGGAGGCCGCTACCCTGGGCGTTGGTATCGTTACTGTTGGCCAGGGTCTTTACCAGAGTCTGAAGTTGGCTCTGCCTACCGAGCCTATCAAGGAAAACACGCCAATTCTCATCTATGGTGGTTCGACTGCCACCGGTACCCTGGCTATCCAATTCGCCAAGCTGTCCGGCTACAAGGTGTTGACCACCTGCTCCCCACACAACTTTGACCTTGTGACCAGCCTGGGCGCAGATGCTGTCTTTGACTACAAGGATCCTCAATCTGCCGCCCTGATCCGCAAGGAAACCGACAACAACCTGAAGCTCGTCTTCGACTGCATTGCTCTCGAATCGAGCGCCAAGTTCTGCGAGGCAGCCATTTCTACTGAGGGTGGTGAATACAGCGCTCTGTTGAATGTCAAGGTCGAGCGTGACAATGTCAACAGTCGCTTCACTCTTGGCTACACTTCCGTTGGTGAGGCTTTCAAGTTTGGAGATATTCCATTCCCTGCCAAGCCGGAGGATAAGGCTTATACCGAGATGTTTGTTCCCATCGCGGAGGATCTTCTGGCTCAAGGAAAGGTCAAGGTTCACCGACCCAAGGTCGGCAAGGACGGATTGAAGGGTGTTTTGGAGGGACTGCAGCTGTTGAAGGAGGATAAGGTTAGCGGAGAGAAGCTGGTTTATAATGTCTCCGAGACTCCTTAAAGGTACTCATAGACTAACAATAATACGAATCAAAGGGACTCGATAATCCCAAACTTATACCAATCCTTTGAAATACTCTATTGAATTCTCAACCGGTGCCGTTAGAAGTTTAAAATTAATTGTCTAAGAGGGAACCCCTAGCATCATCCTCTAGCCCATGTTCAGGATTTGTCTTCAATGAATAATGCCCCTCATTTTCCACTCTTTCTGGTTTCCTGGCTTGAGTTTATACCAACGCACCATCTTCGATTATCTCCGATGCTCGAGAAATTAATCGAAGGGCAACAGCGATGATCAAGCTCTCAATGGGCCTTGGCTATTCCACACTTTCCGTATGAGGTTTAACCCCCACTGGTAGCGCATATGCCTAGGCATTCTTCAGATTTACCGGCAGGTCAATTAGAATCCTCATTGTCACCCCACATCATCTTATTGGGTTTAGTCTCCGCAAAAAGACAGCCATCGATAACATCCACACCCAATTGCTTAAGAATCAAGAATCTGAGTATAAGATATAAATGGGAGGAATTTGGGCAAAAAAACATGAGTCCAGTTAGTTCAATTTCTTCTCTATCTCTATCCTCAAAACTTTGACACTATGCCTTTCGCTTATAAGAAGGTCCTGATCATTGGTGCCACCTCCGGCATTGGACAGGCGCTGGCTACCAAACTCGTTCAGAATGGAGCGCAGGTGATCATTTCGGGACGACGAAAGGACAACCTGGACTTATTTGCACAGCGTCATGGTACCGATAAGGTTAAGACCAAGGTCTTCGATATTATGCAATTGGAACAGGTGAGTTTTGCATTTTACAGAGTGAAATCGCTGCTTAAAACGCAAACACTAAACAGTACACTGTAGATCCCTCAATTCGCATCCGAGATAATCGCTGAAAACCCGGACCTTGATTGCGTTTTCGTCAACTCAGGAATTCAGCGACCCTTTGACTTTTCGCAACCCGAATCCGTGGATCTGGAAATTTTCGACCAGGAGCTGATCACAAACTATACCTCGGCCGTGCGTCTCGCAAAGGCTTTCATTCCACACCTTCAAAAGCAAACTACCCAAACCGCTCTCGCATTCACTACTTCCCAAATGGCCCTTGTCCCAATGATGCGCTGTCCGAACTATGGCGCTTCCAAGGCAGCATTGCATCATTTCGTGCTCGCGCTGCGGACGCAGTTGCAGAGTGGTCCCGGTAATGTGAAGGTTTTGGAGATTTATCCACCAGCTGTGCAGACTGAGTTGCACGATGCCAAGCATCAACCTGATCTGAAAGAAGGCCATCTTATTGGAATACCTCTTCAGGAGTTCATTGACGAGGTCTGGACTCGGCTATCGGAAGGGGAAGATCAGATTGCCGTTGGGTCGGCGAAGGACATTTTCAATCAGTTCGAGATAAAGAGACAGGAGATTTATCAGCAGATGACAGAGATGTTGTCGGGCTTGATTAAGCAGTTCCTGCGGTAGATTTTGATCTGCTGCCTGGACAGTGACCATAGTCAAGCACAGCAATAGCAAAGTTTGCCAACCATTTCCCTAACGGGGTGTAGCGTCCTTGGGAGTCTGTTGCAACATAATCATTGTACCAGATTTCCATCTTCATGTTGCCATGTAGGGTTCTGTTGGAGGATATGATATTCCCGAAACATCCTTGCCTTTACAGGCAGCCAAGATCAATGCACCAAAATTGCCAATATCATGAACACTGCCTCTCTCCATGGCATCCGAATATTCATGTAGAGAGATCATCGAATCACAGGACTGGGAATCCAGCTCATCCCAGACATGATCAGGACTATCATCCCAAAGAGCCGTACGGACATCGAATGGCAATGCATCCACAAAGGGTGTACGAACGGAGTAATTCCTTGTGTTCAGCGAATATGCACTTCGGAGCATCAAGCTCACAATAATGGTTCGCCGAACACTTTCTGCCAGAAGCCATGCGTGCCGTCGGGTAAGAGTCGAAGGCAATTGGATAGGTGCTTGTTCCCACAATCTCTTGGCTACACTCTCCATATGACCGATGCTTTCAGAGTAGTGGCTTGATGGGTCCGGGTTTAGAGCCAGGATACATTGAATCAGGACCAAGGCTTGTGAGCAACCGAGGAGTTCAGTAAATGTGGAAGAGTGAGAAATATGGCGGTAAATTTCGTCTGACTTGATCCGAAGTAATTGGAGAATATCACCGGTATCCCGCTGGTGCCCACATTGGGAGTAAAAAGTGCAGAGCAGGTGGGTATCTGTGATGGCAGTCGGGAGACCGGATGTGTAAATATCCGGATGTATAAAGTCTGTTTTCTGTGTTTTCACAAAAGCTCTTGGATATTCTCGCAGTCCGTTGACGAGGAAGCGGATGGCAGCTTGGTCGTATTCTTTCACAATCTCCAGTCGCAACGGAGCGCGTATCTGATAAGACAAGTCTTCCGCTCGGCGATTATGCGTGACCTTCTTTTCTGAACTTCTTCGAATACCAATCGTACCAGTCAAAGGAGCATTCACGTATTCACAATCACATCCTCGGCTCAGATATCGGCTGCATTTGGGCCAGTGCTGGTCGCACCGCCGTTTGCTCTTGATGCAGGCTTGACAAGATCGGCGTAGAGTCACCTTTTTCGGTATACCAGGAGACATTGAGTATGTGTAGCTCCAACGTCCCGTAAATAAAAGGTCGCAGTTATCTTGGGAGTCGCGGAAGAGAGATCATTACGCCGCTGGCAACCGCCTCACCACATATAGGTCATGTGATTTATGCAGCTATTCTTGGCTTTGGGGTTATCCCGATTGAATCAAGGTTCTTACCTACTTCCCCGTCCTATCTGAAGTGACTCCCAAGTTCGGTCAGAATCAGTTCGGCTGTGAGCATGACTTTTGGAGGCAACACGACCCTACAAGCGTGTGTCCTTTTCCACAGTCTATCAATCTATCTCGCGATCGGATACCACAATTTATTTCAAAATTCCAAGCCTGTGCCCTGTTGAACAATTTAGGGGCGGTAAATAAACAATATCTTAGAAAAAGTAACTTGATCCATATTCCAAGTGATGTGGAAAACTTGCCATTCTTCCAGTCCCCGATTACATGTTGAATTAATCGGGGCGTTCCAGTTACCATCACTTCAACTCCACACTTGCATTGGCACTCATCGACATTGGTGTCGGTGTGTTTAATCCAGCCCGAGTCTCCGCATCTTCCAAAGTGAGAATAGCATTCTTACCACTCCCAATACCAAATGCGCGCTTAACAGCCTTCCAGCTTTCGACACAGAACAAGTACGTCACCGTGCAACCAAACACAACGCCCCATTCCCACGTAATGGCGTGATGCTTGAAAACAAGCTGGTTCACAACTGGAAGGTAGATCACGGGGAAGGCAATTACAAACCCGGCCAAGACAGCCCAGAACAAGAAGCGGTTTTGCCAGAGCGTGGGGAAGATGGAGAGCCGTTGGGGGAATCGGATGGGATCCATGTTGAATAAGGATCGTGAGAAATTTTTCACTTCCCATGCCGTGACGAGTAAAAGGAAAGTCAGAGTTGCGTATGTTGTGGCGCGTGCTCGGAAGACAGTGTCGCAGGTTGGATTGTAGCCCTGGTTACATCCGTCACCTAGATCTGAGGTACCAGTTCCTGCGGCGTAGATGACACACACGAATGCGACTAGGCATAAGGAACCCATGAAGGTTCCGTATATCATCTTGTCAACGATGAGCTCGCGTGTGAATACTCCGACGCGCAGATCATGGGGCGGGCGATACATGATATCTGGTTGAGACTCCTCGAGACCTAGTCCAACAGCTAGGAACGAGGATGTCACCAAGTTTGCCCAGAGAATCTCAAGTGGAGAGAGTGGAAACACAGAATCTCCCCCAGTATCCTTGAATGCGAGAGCGATGAGAAGCAGAATCACTTGCGCAATGTTGGAAATGAGCAAATGCATGAGAAACTAAAATTACATTTTAGCCATTTTTGGTGATGCAAGGGTGGTAATCCTACCTTCTGGATATTGTCAAACAATCTTCGTCCCTCTTCAACTGCCTTGACAATTGACGAAAAGTTGTCATCCGTGAGAACCATATCAGCAGCCTCTTTGGCCACGTCACTGCCGTTTTTCCCCATAGCAATGCCAACATCTGCTCTCCTCAGGGCAGGTGAATCGTTGACTCCATCACCAGTCATCACACAAAAGGCTTGACGACGATGCATTGCTTCAACCATGCGAACCTTGGTTGCAGGACTACAACGTGCAATGACCAAAGGCAATTCTTCAATCTGGTCAACTTCTTCATCCGTCAACTTGTCAAACTCATCCGCAGCCATGACTAGATGTCTTGATTTTGCAATCGCCGCGACCCGATCGAGGATTCCGACTTCGGAGGCGATTGCCGTTGCTGTCTTGATATGATCGCCTGTCAACATGTGGACTGTAATGCCTGCCATCTGGCATTTGCGCACCGCGGCTGCTGTCTCAATTCGAGGAGGATCGTAAAGTCCAACAAGGCCACCGAATTGTAAATTCGATTCAGCGGCACTTCGTGGGGATACTTCTTTATCATCGTCGATGGATGATCTTTTGTAGGCGATGCAGAGAACACGGAGGCCATCTCCTGCCATTCTGTCCGCAGTTTCACGAATGAGACGTCGCTGGTCATCGGAAATCGACAGCGAGGGAATAATCGCTTCAGGTGCTCCCTTTGTGTAGGTCTCATTCGCCTTTTCCACAGGATTCCGATACACAACTGTCATTTTCTTGATCGCCGAGTCAAAGGGATACTCGGTATGCAGCTGAATCCCACGTTGGGTCATCACGGCGCTCTTGCCAAAATCGAAGCGCATGGCAAGGATATGCAGGGCTATCTCGGTGGGCTCACCGACAGCCGTCCAAACATTATTGTCATGATGCACCGTTGATAGGTTGCAGAGTGAAATAGAAGAGAGAAAGGTATGCAGAGCCGGGTGCTGGTCGACAGGGTAATCCGATTTCCAATCAATCTCGTCCAAATGAACGACTCCGCTGGTCGGGTCATATGGATCCGTCGTCTGGCGAACCGACAATGTTCCTGCCCCGGGGATCCACGCAGAACGAGCGATCATCTTGCCCTGGGTCAAAGTTCCAGTTTTATCAGAGCAGATATTTGTAACACCACCGACGGCTTCCAAACATTGCAGTTTTCGCACAATGACATTTCCCCTAGCCATAGCCTTTGTGCCCACGGCGATCGTGATCGTAAGCACTGCGATCAATGATTCCGGAATCACGGCCACCGCTACACAGATTCCGTATATCAAGACTTCGCCTTGGACGTCCCACAGATTGACTGAGAAGACAATGATGGCCAGTAAAATCGCAAGAGCGAACAGCAGTAGGGCAAATTTGCTCAACTTGACCTGTAACGGAGTACCAACCAGGCCTAGGATCTTCGCTCCTGAGGACTTAAGACGCTGCCATGCCCGCGCAGTTGCGCTTCCGTCGCAAGAACGGCCATTCTCTTGAAGCAATTGTGCAATTTTTCCGACCTCCGTATTCATGCCCGTGGCAACCACAACTCCCGTTGCACGACCCTGAGTAGTGCTGCATCCAGAATATGCCATGTTTGTGCGATCGCCGATGGGGATGTCCAGGGATACCAGTGTAGTATTGGGTGTTTTGAGGACGGGCAGAGACTCGCCCGTGAGAAGGGCTTCGTCCATGGAAGCGTTCATTCCCTCGAAGAGTCGTAGATCTGCGGGTACAATGTCCCCAACTGCCAATCGTACTATGTCCCCAACCACCAAGGACTCGGCCTTGACGGTATTCACTCGGCCGTCTCGGATGACTTTGCATACTGGTGCTGAGAGTCGGTGCAGCGACAGGATGGTTTTTTCTGCTCGGTAGTCTTGAAAGAAGCTAGTTATAGCGTTAGGTATGTCCTCCTCAAGGGAGCGCGTTATGGTAACTTACCCCACAACGATGTTCAGGAGGATCACTGCTGTTATGACTCCACCTTCGATGTAATCATTGATTCCGAAGGACAGGGCCATGGTTATGAGTAGAACCTGAGGATATTAGCAACCACTGCATGACTGTAAAAAACAATGGTAAAGCATACTATGGTCAAGCTGTTAGACACCTGCCTTAACAGTATCCCCCAGATGGCGATGCCCTTGACTTCTTGGACGGAATTAGGTCCATCTCTCTCGAGGCGCTCGTTGGCTTCTGCATTGGACAGTCCATGGCTGTTGAAAAGCGCACTTTGTTAGGTACAAAAAGGAGGCCGTGCAATGATGAGCTACACACTTGAGGTCTGTTTGTAGGAGCTCAGCGATTCTAGCTGGCTCCAGAAGATGGGTATTCCTAATCTGGTCTTCAAGGCTTTGCAAGGGCTCGGGTGATGCGTGCAGGTCAGCGCTGGAGGGCAGACTGTGAATGGTCGGCGCCCGCGTTGGCTTTTCATTGACGTTACAGGGCTCAAAGCTTAGGGTCGCAGTTCCCTGTGAATTTGAAGTGTACTCCCTTAGGGCACATATAGGAGGCTCTGTCGATTCCTCGACATCAGGAAGCGTCTCTATGCCCATTCAAGTATAGATAGAGGGAAAGGGGAAGGGGAGGGAGGAGAAAAGAACAGCAGACAAAGTCAAAGAAAGCTTTCTTATTCTCGCGAATCAACTAACAACCAGCCAAAAAAACCCCGTGTTACCAGGAGGCGGAAGTCTATTCCAGATGTGTTAATATGAGAGGAGAGTTGAAAGAAATAGCACCTAGGATATTTGTATGACGATCTTTCGGTCTCCTTAGTTTCATCGAGAAGAGGGAGAAAGATCAGGTCGTGATGCGGGGCATTACTTGTCACATCTTCGAGCCACGATGTATCTCCAAGCGGATGCTTGGCTGCTCTGATCCGGAACCATCGCTTGCGACGATGTTGGTTGGCAATGCACCAAACAGTCTTGGGGCCAAGCCTAAGCCAATGCATGATTGGATGTGCGGGATGCTGGTGGCTTTCCCTGGCGTGGGCGGTGCTGACCATCCCTGTCTATCTCCAGCCACCTCTGGCTACCTCGATGATAAGTTGCTGCTCTTATCACTTCATGCCTGCAGTTGCCAGTTTGGGGTTATATGGTATCAAGTCATCAAGAGTCTCCGGTGTCAGACGACAATTTACAACCAGTTAAGCTCTTGTTTGTTGGTGTCGTTGGCCAAGAACCCGTGGTTCATGGTTCCGGAGACTCCATGCTTGCATTTACTTGTACACTTTGCCAACCTTTTGCAGTGCCACGTTCCAAGATCTGGGCACGTTAGAAATCCTGTCTCGTGGTCGGGTTTGCTGGTAATTAGTTTCTCGGCAACCGCTCCCGCATGCGACCAGTTATCACTAGGATTACGAGTTCATCATAGACTGCCTGCGCAATAATAGAGTAATAACCTGTGAAGAAGACCCTGGTAATCAAGGACCAACTCGACAGGAGTTTACTCGAGCACGAGAAGTCCAGAGGGCCGAGATGGTTAGCTGACGAGAAAGGTATCGAGCTGACATCCACGGAGTTCCGAAGGCAAATCACTATACTTGGACAGTTCTCGTCAGCACCAGCAACAACACCAAAGCTAGACCTATAGACTCACTTGCAGATTCAAGATAGCGCATACTTACTATCCAAAAAATTAGAAGCACCGAATCATTCATTCCCATCAAGAGAAAAACCGATGTTTAGGCAGAACTTCGAGGCAGTGGTGTCAATACAAAGACAGGGCTCGCGGCCAATCAGCGAGTGGCCCGCATGGTCGATAAAAAAATCGCTGGAGCTCCAGCGCCGTCGACTCTCCAACACCACCCACTCATTTGCAAACCTCCACCACTCTCTCTATCCTCTGTACCACACAAAATGACCGGTCCTACTGCATCCCTTTCACACTTGAGCCGCGCCGACGGTTCGGCATCCTTCAAATGCCCGACCACTGGCTACAATGTGTTGGGTTCCGTCAATGCACCCATCGAGCTCCCAGCTCGCCGTGACGCCCTGAAACCCGAAGAAGCCACCGTTGAGGTCTTTGTTAAGCCTGGAAATACTACTGCTGGAGTCGGGGAGCGATATGTGGAGGGCATCCTCCGGACGATGCTGCAAAAGGTGATCCTCGGGCGCGAGCGTGGATTCCCTCGCCGCGGTGTGGTCATCACGCTTGCGATCCTCGGCGGCGACGCGGTGGAGCGCGGCGACTCGGTAGGTTTCTCGGTTCTTGAGGCCATGTGAAAGAAAGTGAAGCCGCTAACATTAAAATCATTACAGTATCTTACTCTCCTCCCGGCTCTCCTCCAAACCTCCCTGCTCACCTTGCTCTCCGCTGGTGTCCCCATGTCCATGACCTTTTCCACTGCATTGTTGGCTGTAACCAAGTCGGGCGACATCATCAGCGATCCCTCTCCCGTCGACGCAAAGACAGCCTCGTCTCTGCACGTGCTGGCGTTCTCACCCAAGGGCCACCTTCTACTCAACGAGAGCCAGGGTCGATTCGATTTCGATACGTGGGAATCAGTCCGAGAGCGCGCATACTCTAGCTGCCGAGGTGCTGTCATCACCGGATCTGACGGAGATATTGCAATGGGCGAGGAGGGTGAGGATAGTCGTGCTGAGGACTTTATCCGCGAGACAGTGGAGGACCATCTGCACCGCGACTATGCCTGGAAGATCGACTCTGCTTGAAACAACAGTCGAATCATCGCGCGGAGAGGATATACATTTCGGATATACATTTCGGATGCCTGCAGATCTCGCACTTCAGCCGGCTGGCCGTCATCCGTCCTCTGCTTACTGTGCTCAAGCCTGCAACAACCCCGGCAGAGCCTCTTCGTCTTCCGTATCCAGGCAACGAGGCTGGGGTGACTTTGGTGGCTACACGTCACGCTCAGTCAAGGCCACTATCACCTGATTGTCACTACATGTACGAGGGGCTTTTCCGAGCATCGAGATCCGACATGCCAGTGTCTCTGCTCCCCTGGCTCCGTCGTGCCTAGATAAACGTGGAGGTCTCGGTTAACGCTACCGATAGCGGGGTCAATCTTGCTGGAACAGTACACGAGAGAGAGGCACGCCATGCGATCCAACCGTCAACAGAAGACCGGGTCATGGAGACCAAACTTGGTCTCGGATGAGGAAGCGAGTGCTCAAGCCTTCCGCCTCGAGGCTGCACTGGTACCAATGGGGTCATTACGGTGCGGCCAACGCGGGGGACGACTTAAATAGAAATATCGATGCATGCAATTACTGCAATGAGCCTCGTGCTGCTCCTTCTTCCCTTATCGAATGCGTGAAAGTAGGCAACTGTACACCTAGGAAAATGTGGAGATAGCTTCATGCTACCCTATACTGTAAGACTTCCAAGGATCATACAGCAAGTCGAAAGCCAAAAGCCATGGAGCAATAATAGGGTTCCTTCCGGTAGTCCATGATAGGTATGCCTCGAGCGTTGGTCCAAGGCTAGTTATTAATATCAAGATAGTGTCATCAAGTTCGGCGATAAAGTCGCAATTCTTCCGACCGCTCACCTCCCCGGACTTGAAAAATGGTCAGGAAATTTGTCCACCCCCCTCCAAGTGGATTCGATTATCCGCGGCAGATTCTCTCCATCATCTCCGGTGGTCGGCACCTGGTCTTCTTTTTCCACCTCCAACTTAAGACTGTTACTCGCTCTTCTTCCAGTTCCTGATATTTGACGCTGTGCAACCCCCTTCCCCCCCTCTTCCAGACACCAAATTCAACTCGAATTTGTACTTGTGCCCCACCGATCGGAGCACTCCTTCCCCAAGTTTATCCGGCACAACCAGTGATCCCTGTCGGCAGATCTCACACGGAGGAACCACACGGTGGAAGACGGTGGAAACCACCTTCCCAAAACCGGGCTCGAGGCCTGCGCGACCCACGGCCCTTGACAGCCAGAATTGGCTTGGTCTCTTGCGCTGTTGGAAGTAATCTTGGGCCTTGACTCGTGGTGGTCCGCAAACCCCGTTACATCCGCCCCGGGTTTCGCAAAGACCCTCTTTCGATTCTCCCGTCATCCTGCACGCTTTGAAATCCTGCCGAGAGCCAATCCCCGCCTCCTCTGTGACCTTCCCATGGCGTCGCCAGGCAGTGATTCTCCCCGATCTGACATTGCCTCGACGCTACCTGCGCTTGCCTCGAAATCCCTGTCGCACATTGCCCCGACTCCAGCGACGGCCAGCGCCAACGCGAGTGCCCCACCTCCCCCATCTGCCTCGACCGTCGGCGCGGCGCTCCTCCGCGATTATGCCCTTCATATAGAACCCTCCCAGACACACGAGGTTCCTTCGCACGACCCCGCTCAGCAAGCACCTGGCTACGGTATGTTACCCGCACAGAAGAACGGGCTTCCTCAGGAGGAGGCTGCTGGCTGGTCACTACCCTCCTCGACCATTCGTCGGTTCCGCCAAAAGTCCATCTCCGGACCCCGGTCACTATCTACCGACTGTATCCCTCGGCAAACCATCATGAAGGCATTGGCTTCACGCCCATGCCTGACCGCCAATCCCTCGAACCCCCCATTCTCAAATCCCTGGACCGGTCTCATTGCCAATGGCACGAGCGAAGCGGCCTCGTCGCCGCCAGACGACAAGGAACGCCGGAGCAGCAATGCCTCCTCTCAAAAGCTATCTACAGCGTTATCCAACCTGCAACTAAGCGGATATTTGGAGCGGTCGCCCTCGACAGCACGGTTGATGCTCCAGTCCCCATGTTATTTCCACCAGCGGTTCGACGATGCCGTGAATATCAAAAAGGTGTTAGAGGAGATTGCAGATGATGAGTGGCTATCACATTCCCGGCTGGTCCAGACAGCGACGGGCGTCCGTGAGGTTTCAAAACAGTTGCAAAGGCGGCCGATCAAACGTGCCGTACGAACTATCATGATCGTCACCAAAGCACGAGACAACAGCCTGGTCCATCTGACACGCGAACTGACAGAGTGGCTGCTTTCAACCCCGCGATATGGAAGTGACCTGGGTGTCAATGTCTATGTCGATGCAAAGCTGCAGAATTCCAAGCGTTTCGACGCCGCGGGTCTCCTCCAAAAGGAACCGCGGTTCGCGCAGATGCTTCATTTCTGGACCCCAGATCTATGCTGGACGTCGCCAGAGAAATTTGATTTAGTGTTGACGCTGGGCGGTGACGGTACTGTCCTCTTCACTTCCTGGCTCTTCCAGCGCGTGGTACCGCCGGTTCTCTGCTTCTCGCTTGGCAGTCTGGGCTTCTTGACGAACTTCGACTTTAACGAATATAAATCACATCTCAATGGCGTTATGGGCGATATTGGTATGCGTGTCAATCTGCGGATGCGCTTCACATGTACCGTGTTCCGGAAAGACCGGAGCAAAAATGCGGAGGCTGGTGCGGTAGAGGAGGGAGAGCAGTTCGAGGTCCTGAACGAGGTGGTCATTGATAGGGGCCCATCTCCCTACGTGTCGAATCTGGAATTATACGCCGACAACGAATTGCTAACCGTCGTCCAAGCGGACGGTTGCATCTTCTCTACTCCAACCGGCTCGACCGCATACTCCTTGTCCGCTGGCGGCTCCCTTATGCACCCATCGATTCCCGGCATCCTTCTTACTCCCATCTGTCCCCACACTCTCTCATTCCGCCCCATGGTTCTCTCAGACTCTCACCTCCTCCGCATTGCTGTCCCTCACGCCTCGCGGTCAACCGCCTACTGCTCCTTCGACGGTAAAGGCCGCGTGGAGCTTCGACAAGGCGACTACGTCACTGTCGAGGCCAGCCAGTATCCATTCCCCACTGTTGTCTCTGATAGCGGCGAGTGGTTCACCAGCGTTCAACGTGCCCTCCGCTGGAATACTCGCGGTGCCGTCCAAAAAAGCTGGGACGGTGGTGACGGTGTTGGCGATGCCGAAGATGACTGGGACATCGATACCGATGCTGGACTCACCGGTACAGACAGTGGGCTTGGCCCCAGTGAAGACGGAGACTCCCTGTCACCAAATCCCATGCGCCGCCAGATGAGCCTGTTGAACATGTAAAGTCGTCCCCACCGACACGTCCACCACTCCATATAATCCTGTCATGATCGGACATACCTCTCCTTCTGTCGACCACTCTTCCCGTCGGCGGTTCTACGACATCAATTCCTGGGCTGCGTTTCTGCCATGACCAATTTCATAGATTCACGATTTCATTTTTCGGTTTATTGTCCCGCTGTTGTTTTAGAGAAAGCTTAGCGGTCTTTACATTGTACCTTTTGGCCGTGTCTTTGTTGATTTATTGATCCGCTTTCTGTGGGTTATCCTTGCTATGACTAGAATATGCTGTCTTTACCTGCTGTACTAGAGAATTGAAAGAGTAGAGGGCGCTTTGCTGCTCGGGTGCAAATGGATTTGCCATTATGGGAAGAATGAATCATGAATTTTTCTTATCTTCTATACCTGTTCAAATAGAGAAGCCGTACCGGTACGCCTGACTATGCGAAAATCATGGTTGCCATGTGCCATGTATCAGCAACATTGGGATTGAAGCTAAGCACCAAGCGATTGATCTAATGCCTCAGCTCTTTATAAACAAAAGGCCCAGCATCTTGGCAGTAGAGGATGTCCCACCAAATTCAGACTAATGCGCATGCTAGCGCCCATACGTTCGAACTTCAATTGGAACGAACCTAGTATGCTGCAACCCCTTATCGTGCGGACATCCAAGCCACCACCAATGTACTAACTGATACACACAAAATTCTGCAAGGGGAGTTTTAGAAACCCGTCAACAAGACTCTCAATCTTGAACAACGGATATTGATATGAATGTTTCGTCTTGATACCGTCTCCGTTTATCTCCTGACTCGAGAGGACGATGTATTCAAATATCCGTAAACAGGCATGCAATACAGAAGGGCCTAAGCGGTACCAGATCAGATACAGCAACCGATGCATCGCTGACTTGCATCGAAGCTGGTTTGACTTTCCAATACTGACCAATGGAGTTCACGTACTCACCCTTGCACCCATACACGCCCCACACCGACACCGAATAGCACAGGTACAACGTGATATCTCTCAGAAATAGCCAGTCCAAAACTCATACTAGCCATTCTAGGGTCTATGTGTTGGCAGCCTTGCCCTTATTAGATCCCACTCGATAAATCTTTTTCCGGACGCGTCCACCTTTGCTGGGGGCAACTTCAGCCGATGCACATTTCTAGATTATTTCCCCTATCTGCTTAAGATCAAGTCCGCGCAGTTTCTCGACTGAATTTCTTCAGGCACAGACTCAATGTCGACCACCAAGGGGCGTGTTGACAATTACCCGACCCTTAGTCTTCCCATTGACTCGATGAAAGAGGAATATGACGTTGTCGTCGTCGGATCTGGCTATGGAGCAGGAGTCGCAGCGAGCCGAATGGCTCGCGCGGGAAAGAGCGTTGTAGTGCTAGAACTTGGCTGGGAAAGGAAACGTATGGATACCCTTAGCCCTGTCTTGTTGATTTCCACCTACGTGATCCACTTTTCTTCACGTTGCTGGAGTCGCATTGTCATATGTAAGCTGACAATTTGATATAGCCGGTTCGTTTCCGAGAACATTCTCGCAATGTGTGAGGGAGATGGGCGTTTCTGGAAGGTCTTCCAGGACTTCGGTTCTCTCGAAGTGGCTATCGTTTGAGGACCCAACCCAACTGTTTCAGCTTTTCTTGGGCGATGGACAGCATGCTTTCTCTGCGCATGGTAAGTGAGATCCGCCAATGTTGAAAATCACATCGCAAGCTAATTAGTGTGCCATATTGAAGGGCTTGGAGGTTGCTCGTTAATAAATGCTGGTGTCTTTCTCAGGGCCGATGAGGCAACATTGAAAATGAGCCCATGGCCATCAGAAATCAGAGATACCCCATCAGAACTAAATGAGTGTGAGTGCTGCCTTGAATCATAAATTCGAAATAAAACAACCTGTAACAAGTCATGGCAGATTACGCGCGTGCCGAAGCAACGCTACAACCACTTCCATATCCCAAGAACTACCCTAAACTGAAAAAGCTAGAGCACCTCCGACGAGAGTCGAAATTACTGGGAAAGAGCAAAAGCTTTTATCAAACACCTCTGACCATATTCTTCCATGATGGTCAGAACAGTACGGGTGTTCCAATGCAAGCAAACCGTGGCTCTGGTCATGAATCTACAGGTCTTAATGATGGATCCAAGAATTCTGTGGCTGTAACATATCTTGCAGATGCCTGGAATTGGGGCGCTGAGATCTTTTGTGGATGTGAGGTCCAGTACGTGGAACGGTCTGCAGATGGAGCCGGATACACAGTCTATTTCTCGTGGCATGGTCCCGGGAGGTCGACTTTCAAAGATGAGTTCAAGGAGCAACTGTTCTGGGTCAAAGCGGTAAGTTCCATTGGTGGGCTTCCTTCCATCTACTAGGTCTATGGCATTTATCGGTTCAGCTAATTAAAAGTACATCCGTATAGAAGGAATTTTGCTTCCTAGGAGCGGGTTCTTTAGGTGCGACTTCCATCTTGCTAAAATCAAGGGGAAACGGTCTACCAATGTCTCCACTCGTTGGGAGGAATCTTTCCGGAAATGGCGATCTGTTGCTATTTGGTACGTATACCCAAAGGTCCAGATCGTGCAATCTTCTAAATACATCTCAGGTTACAATGGACGCAACGAAATCAATGGCATTGCTCGAGATTCCCTTTCTCGTCGAACCGATCTATCCGGACCAACTGTGACTGGTGTGATTGATAATCGAGTCAATGGGGCCTCGAAGAACCCTCTATCGGGGTTTGTTATCCAAGACGGTTGTATTCCGGAGCCATTCAATCCTGTCATCAACATGATGCTCCTAATGCAGACGATAAAGAGTCACGCCCTGTCCCTACTCGTGAGCCCTCGACGCGGAGCGTTCGAAGTATTGGCTTCTATGAAATCATTCTTGCTAGGACCCTACGCTATCGGTGGAGCGCTGCAACGAACTTCAACATATCTTATTATGTCTCATGACAGTAACGAGATAACTCTCACGCTGAAGGATGGTCAGATCCACCTGCGTGCACCGAAAGAAGGTCGATCGGGACATTTTCTGTTAATCACTGGGCTTTTGAAAGAGCTATTCATTTTCACGGGAGCTAAAATGGGATTCTCCTACTTCTATGGTAAGACTGACAGCCAATATCTACGTGAAACTACTAACCAGCCTTCCAGGTCGACATCAGGAGGAAGTCACGGTTCATCTTCTAGGTGGGGCCAATATGAGTTGCGATGGTACGGGATACGGAGGTGTTACAAATCATCTAGGAGAGGTGTTTACCGGCTCTGGTGACAAAGTGTACGAGGGGCTCGTTTGCTGCGATGCTTCAGTCATTCCAACTGCATTAGGTATGCCAAAGGTTGGAAAATCTCAACACCTTCATGAGCTAATATTACAGGAATTAACCCACTCGCAACGATCTCGGCACTTTCCGAGCGATCGCTCAGCCTGATCACCAAGCGAGCTGGTCTCACAATTGATCTTGAAAGCAAGAACGGCATTCTTGAAGCCGAGAGCAAACCTAAAGTATCACGAAATCGCCGCGATCCTCAAATTGGGATCCGACAAGGATTTAAATCAGCAGGTTGGCAATTCACCGAGAATCTATTCGGTTATTTCAGTGACAAAGGAGAACGAGACTCCGCAGTGTCTGAGGGTTTAGGCAGAGGAAGCTCTTGCGCAATGCGAGTTTTGGCTACCATTGAGCTTTGGCGTCAAAAAGAAGGTAATATACTTCGAATATATCCTATATAGTAACAAGTTCTAACTTCAATAGGACTACTCCGGTCACAATATCAAGGTACATGCTCTGGGACGGTTTCATGTCGGGCTTTGTCCAAAGCCACGCTCCGAATTATCAATGGAACTGTCGACTTTTTCAACCCTCTTACTGAGAGCGCTGAAGCGTCTGCCATTACATACCACCTAGATCTGGCCTCGGTAGAGGGTGTCCATTACCATCTCGAGGGGCGCAAAGTCATCGACTCGAACATTGCATTTTCCTTCAGCAAAGCGTGGCAAGCAACAACAACCATCGATGTCAATGTCACCAAACACGATGGCACCAAGGTTGGATCAGGCGTCCTTCATATCTCATTGGCAAACTTCCAGAAGCAAATGAGAACCTTCCGAACCACGAAATCCTTTAGCAGGGGTCTTTTCTTTGCTTTGATTGGATTCTTCATATCTTTCTTATATCATATCAGTCTCTACTTTTTCCGCCCATTCGTTCCAATTCGTTTCCCCGAAATTCCAACCGCACAGATCATCCACTCAAAGCCGCCAGCGTCATCTTCAGTTAAAATCAAAGCACGCGATGGCGTACATACATTCTTGGAAAGATATGAGCCAGTTCCATCACAAGACCAAACGGACTCGACGAACAGCTTGAGCCCAGCCCCAATTCTATTCTTGCCGGGGATTACTGGAACTTGGGCAAAGCATAATGTGTTTGCACTTCCATTCTTACGCCGCAACTTGGTCGATTATTTCACTAAACGCGGGCATCGCTGCTACGCACTGACTCCCCGTTGGAGCTGTGATCCCAGCGTGGCTGAGAAGTCAACGGTTTTCGACTGCCGTCTCGACGTTGCGGCAGCGGTGCAATACATTCGAGACAACGAGGCCCAGAAGCCCTACGTAATAGCACATTGTCAGGGCTCAGTTGCTCTCTGTATGGCTCTACTCGACGGCACGATTAGACGTGATCAAATTCTCGGGGTGACTGCGAACTCAGTGTTCATGCACCAAGTGTTTGGTTACTGGAACTGGGTCAAAGGCAGAACAACTCTTATCATCCAGCTCTATGAAACTCTCGCTGGAAGTTGTTTCCCAATTGCGAGCAGTCCAAGTGATGGCATCCTTCAGAGAATTCTTGACCAGATTCTCCGCTTCTATCCCGTCGGACACTCGCGCGATGTTTGCACTTCAACGGCCTGTCATCGAACTTCTTTCGCATTCGGGTTACTATGGAACCACGAAAATCTCGATGTCACCATCCATGATAACGTCCATGAATTCTTCGCAAGTACATACACGAAGTTAATGAAACACTTGGTGCGCATGGGAACAAAAGGGATCTGTTTGGATAACGATCTACGCCCGCTTCTCACGACGCAGAGCTTGCAACGACTACGAGGACTGCCGATTTTGTTCATCTCGGGTACTGATAATCAAGTCTTTGATCCGGAATCTACACTCAAGGACTACGAGCTGTTGCGACGACAATTTGGAGAGAAGTTTTATCGCAGGTTTTTGGCGGAGGGATATGGACATCTCGATCCCATTGTTGGGAAATCAGCTGCTGAGGATACGTATTGGAGGATGCTGGCCCATATGAAATGGTGCACTGAGAATGATGGCGCTTCAACGGCTAAATGAGATTCATGAAATCATATTCCAACATCAGATAGAGAATACAATTATTCATTTCATCTTCATATTTCGGTCGGGTCTTGCTCCAAATGGGTTTCTGGGCAATACTCCTGGTAGCATATTCTGACCATAAATAGCTACGCCGTCGTGCTTTTTGCTCAATCCGTTAAGGAGAAGTTCTAATAATCCAATCTACTCCGACGTACAACACCCCAAAATGGTAATAATGATGTCAGCCGCGTGGCTTTCCCTGGTGTCGGTTGTGAAGCGAACTTGAGACGCTCCATGGTAACTCCAGAACTATAGACCCCACACACCCCGGCTTCTAGAAGCCGGCATGGGCCGGCATAGGAAGGTGGATGGACATGTTCAATTCTCGGGAGTTTCAGTTATTTATTCTTTGCTAAAGCTCACGAGAAAACAATAAGGACCGGACCTAATTGATGTTCCATCTCCGAGCATTCCTAATGTAACACCGTCGTATGGTTGATTAGGTTTGCAGATCTCTATCCACTGAAACACCGCGGTGTTTGGGCTTGATTGAGCGTCAAGGCGCTGCATAAGCGAGAGAGACATATAAATACCAGAAGTCGAGCAATAACAATCGTGTCCTCACTCAAGAATACATCAAAATTTTCCAAAATGAAGACCCCGTCGTCCATTCTCCGTGCCGCCCTTCTCTCCTCTATCTTCCAAGCCTCCGAGGCTCTGGTCGGTCTCTCATGGAGCGTCTCCGACGTGCCCAGCACCGGACTAAAGGACATCACCTTCCCAATTTCTATGCCCGATGCCACCCATGCATCTGGGTACTATTACGCCCAACAATTCAACTTCAACGGCCAATCTGACGTCGGATACACCGGCCTCCAACCACGCCCGGATTCCGGCTCTCAGTCCGTCGTTCACGGCGTCTTCTCCAGCTTCATTAGTGGAACTACCACGAATGATAGCAACTGCAGCGACGGTGCCGATGGAGGTTCCGGCGTGAGTTGCTCCGTCGATGTCGACGCTACCTACGCGGATGGCTATCTGTTACGGATTCAAAACACCGAGGGCACGACTTGGACCGGTACTTTGGTCGACGCCGTTACGGGGACGGAGACTCATATCGGTTCTTATACGCTTCCCTCGGGGTCGGGGGGCATTGAGGGATCGCAGGTTGGCTTTGTTGAGTATTATCCCTGGAACTCGGGTACTCACTCGTGCGGCGCTTTGCCCAAGACTTCGGTGACTTTTGGCGCGCCGACTACGTCGAGTGGTAACTCGGGAAGTTTGGGGAAGCCTTATGAGTATGGTGACTGTGTTGGTCAGGTCGATTTTTCGACCCAGCAGAGCGGTAGTAGTTATGAGGTTAGCGTTGGGTTCTAAGATTTGGGGAAGCATAGTTCTTCAAAGCCGAGCTTGTGGAGACTGCGAGTTTCATGCATCAAATTTTGATAAGCGGAGCTTCTATTTGGAATCCAATACGTCCATTATGGTTCACAGTCATACCCTCACGCTGCTGGGTGAAGTCACGGGAATAATTTCCATTAGCAAATGTCACTCTACATGAACTGTTGCAGACTGTGGTTTCAATGATTTAGCTTAACGAACTGACACTAGTCAAGTGTCTGATACGCGATGTCACTCGGCAGGGGTCTCAGGGTCCCTGTGCGCCTCCCCCACACTGCAGATCTTGGGTTTCAAGGGTCTAGCCGAACCAGATGGTAATTAATCGTTCGTTACAACCAGGGAGGCGTTGCGGAATCGACCTCTTGACGAGGGAGCGTGCTATGATGTAGTGGCATTTCAATTGCCGAATGTTCATCGAACTATATATAGCGCAAATAAAAGATGCAAAACTTAACCCTAGAGATAACTCACTAGGTACCCTGTAACCATACCAGGTTTCAAGAGTTATTCAACCCAAAAAGAATCCAGACTTTTATCAGCAAAAGTTTCAACCCCAAGGCCCGAGTGAAACAAAGAACCCCCTTTACAATTCCAGTCGTATCGCATAACCCAGTTTCCCAGTAACTGATATAAACATTCGAACTTTTGTTTGTGGTTGATTATCAATCACCAATCGCAGGTCTCGCCCAGAAGCTCGGCGAGCTTCTCAAGGTACTTCTGGTCTTCCTCATCGAAGCCAGAGGGGAGTGTGCAGTCGATATCGATGATGGCTACAGTCTGTGAATCGCAATGTCAGCCTCAGTCTCTCCTTACCAATCACCGCACAAAACACACGATAGGTACTTACCTCTCCACGAATGACAATGGGCACGACAATCTCACTCCGACTGTCGGCATCACAGGCAATATGACCAGGGAATTCTAGCACATCAGGTACAATGACGGTCTTTTGGCTAGCGGCAGCCGTACCGCAGACACCCTTTCCAAAGCGGATCTGCTGGCAAGCGGGCTTGCCGTGGAAAGGACCGAGAAGCAAAATCTGGTCTTCGGGAGAGGCGTACGTCGTCGAGATGGTTACACCACCGAAGCTCGGTTCGCCAGTCAGCGGGGGTGAGGAGACGGGCGAGGCGAGAGCCGGGAATTTGTCATCGCGAATGTAGAAACCGGCCCAGTTAACGGCGGAAGATGGGGAAGGGAGGGCGGCGTAGGCGTGCCAGAGGAGGGAGGAGATGTTGGACAGGTTGCTAGTGGGAGAGTCAATTCCATGTCGCTTGTTTGGTTGTAGGGGATGAGAGGCGCAATTCAAGCACGACGATCTGGTCGCGTGATATGGAGGATATTGTGCTCACCTGACCTATGCTCGTGGAACTTGGTTAGATCTCTGGTCTTTCAAGGCAGTGCAGACACGAATGGGGGTTATGGAGGTGCAAGGAGATGCCAACGCGACCCTGACAAGCAGCACTTACCCAGTTGCGTTGTCCGTCAACGAGACCTTTAGCTTGGTCCAAGAGCTGTGAGTAGACCTCGGCCTTGGTCTGGCCATAGAAATAGGAGGAATCGGCGTGAGGCTAGCAATTGCGATCGAGTTAGCATCATCTTGAGAGATCTGCAGCTCCGGCGATCAACGATCTCGCGACCGAAACCGCAGGGGGGCCAGGAGTCGTTCCAGACCGTATTTTGGCGATCAAAGAGATGAAGAACATACCATTGTGAGGATTGGTCGGATTAAAAGAGAGGAGACTGTTCAGTTGCGCGATCTCGCGGGCGTGTCGTGCGAAGGAGTCGCGGGGAGTCGTTTTAAGAGACGAGAGGACACGGCAGAATCGGAGGTCGGCCAGCGGGACGCAACAAAAAAAGATGAGCATAACCCCTCCCCTCCAAATTACACCTTCAACCCTTCTTTGTTCCTCCGTTAACCTTTTCTCTTTTGTCCGTTTCAAGCAATTGATGGCGTGAGGAACTCCCTATACCCCGGACACCCAGCCCCTTCGGACAGACAATCGTCCGTAGGCTCTTTGTCTACCAATCGAATAACAAACTCACATTTTACGGCCGTTGAACAGTTGGTTATTCGATACTTCCGAAGTCTGGTCAATCCCCCGCTCGGTAACCTTAAAGCGCCTCCTTCGGTACTGAGAGGCCATCTCCTCCTCCCCTTTTACCAGACTTGACCAGTTAGCAAACTCTCCAGCTCACTGCTCTCCGGGTCTTTCTCGTCCCAAAACTCTGTGGAGTCCCAACGGGTCTCGAAACGGCAGACTTCGACCGCCCATCTCCTGCATCGTCGAATACCATGCTTGCCCGCTGAAGCCTTACGGATACCACAACCGTGGGCCTGTGTTACCCGACGTGGGGAGCGGACCCTTGCACTCCTGGCTGGATCTGGACATCGATCGGCCCCGCGCCGAAAGCAAGGCGGTTGGAGATCCATTTTCAAGATCGCTTCCTTCAGTGTGATCTGTTTGGGGTCCACGGAGCTCGGTTATTGGGATAAAGGACCGAATCCGCGAGCTGAACACTCGATGGACTTGATGCTTTCGGACCAGGCCGCGGATGATCTGACGGACCTCGATCTGGAGAATTGATCGCACCTGATTCCTTATATGGAAGCTTTTGGTAGTGTCTCTTAATTGGTCACGGCCAGCATCTAGAACCTCGGTGCCTTTGATCCAACCCTCGGCATAGTTAGGATTGTAGAACTGCTCCTGGACATGGACCTCGTCTGGGGTGATGCGGACGACAGGACCTTCCGAACATGTCAGTACAGCATCGGACATCCGTCTCATGCAGGGTACGATATTTACCATAGATCCGATGCATTCTGTCGATTTCGTCATCAAAGGAGCCAGCCCCCCAGGCTGTGTAAATGAGCTCGTAGAGTCCCGTCAATGCGGCCAGTCGCGGCCCAGGGAATCTGCTGAGTGGATGGACGTGAAGACGATAGACTGTGAGGACCAGGCCATAGGCTATGGCACTTCCTAACAAAAACCAAGCAATCATGTCTATCGTTTGGATTTTCGCTAATGGAGGATAGAGGTTCGACTGGTACAGCAAGTCAAATGTAAGCTGAAATTTCAAGGCTGTGAACGTTTAGCTGCCATATAAGGAAAAGCAACAACTCCCAGGCTTGGGCCCCAGTGATAAATCTCACGCTATGACTTTTGACTCGGTGTGGTGATACTGCATTCAAAGTTTTCCAGCGTCAAGGGCCCAAACTGCACAAGCTATTGGATGAAGAAGTCGGAGGACTTGTGGAATTAGACTCTCTACGTTCGCTTCTCAGGGTTATCTACACTAGAACACGGACCAACGACTGACAAAGTGGTCGCACATTGCCATGCACGAGGCCAGAAGCCATTATTATCCATGATCAAAGATGCGGTGAAATGCCCATTGGCTGGTCCAATCCTCACACCGCTTGTCCATCGAGAGGTCAAAGATGACAAGCTTCTAGCCCTCTTTCTACCTTCCCCGATTGGCTACGGTAATCCGTGGGATCGCGGACGGAGCCATTTCGGGGATGGTTTGAGGGGTTGGTGTTGACACCTGAGGGTTGAGGCATCAACATAATCCGAGCGGAAATTGAGTCATGATGAACAAGAACACATGGAGGTCCAAATTAGGAGGATAGATGTTATTTGACTGATAATATATGTGCTATCTAATCTATTTTACTTTTATAGAGGTGAAAGGGGCACGTTAAATAGAAGAAACTGGGACTACAGCCAAAATTTCAAAAACACTTCGCACACCTACTGGGGATCGAACCCAGGATCTTTTCTTGTCCAGAAAGATCCTAACTAGTCTTGAATAAGTCTAGAATAGGAAGCTAGGGGTTAAGAAAGTGGAAGTGTATACTGGTTATAATTGTTTGCGGCGCATCGTTGTCGGAAGTATTCTGGAGACCACCGAAATAGCTCCGTCATACCAGCAAACAGAATACTGATCGTGATGCCCCCGGGGGGGAGAGAAAGAGGAGGAAGAATTGGCAGGAGCGGTGTGGGCCCTATTGGCCTCCCGCTTATGTAAATCTCCCAGGCAAACCTGCCACTGGGAAAAACATGTAGAAACCAAAAACTAACCCTCGTCTGTTTCTCACGTTAGCAAAAGGTTGGTGGCCTGCGGGGGGCTCCACTCCCCCTCACCCCCCTCACCGAACTATTTCCTGTTTTTCAAGAGAAATTTGGGGCAACACAAAGGGAATTAACATTTGGGGCCAGAAAAATCCATGGCCTCTCTTCGAAAGCGCTTCTGGATGGGATTCGGCCGGATGAGAAAGAATCATCTGGGCTCCACTGGGCGCCGAAATTCCACATTTCTCAACGCATGCCACTGGTGTTTAAGGGTTGCTTTTTGGTTTGATCTACGCCAACAGCCCTCTACACATACCCAACGTCTTCTATAGCACGAAAATGGCGACTATACTGCATGTGAAGTTTTCCCTGGTTTCCCTCCTCCCCCTTCTCGCTCTCTTTCTTGGTGGTCACACTCACAACACTCCTTGTGATCGTCTCTTGCTGCTGAGTAGGCCCGTTTGATTTCTCTCGCGGAATCACAAAGTCATGTGAGATAAGATCGGCAAAGACATAGCCGTAGAACCCGTGCAGGCCGGCTGCGTGAAAGGGTCTGTTGGCAAGACGGCATGCCGTGTTGATGGTTGTATTTGTTGCGAAGTCGAGCTCGGTTGCGATTGTGATGTCGAATTAGGTAAAGAAGTCTGGTGACTTGCTGTGTACGTCGGAGGACGGGTTGGATCTATAGCTTCTTTATTCGAGGATCCTTGTAAATCTACATTCTGCGGCTAACGATCTTCTCACCGTCTATCGACGTGGTGGTAGTCGATGGAGAGTCTCGGGCCGAAGAGTTGGATGGAAGGAAAGCGCAAATCAGAAAATGAGGAGATGGGGAGGGTGAGACTTTTGAAGAGTTGAGGTTGCGAAATGGGCGAAATTGTTTCGGGAAAGCTGGAAGTCATAGGGGAGTAGAAGTAGTAATTATCTATCGTACGGTACTGCCATATTCGAAAACAGATTCCCCCGCATACACTCACAGATTGTTTTTCCAGTCCTATCCTGAAGAACCCTAGTCTATGTTGAGCTTAGTTGCAGATCTCCTCTTCTGTATGCGAGAATTAGGTTAGATCCTTGCTCTTACATAACGTGAGTTACTGTAAATTACAGGAAAAGCTCGAGAGGGCGCAACCTCGATGCCCCTCTCCAGATGTCTACGGTCCGCAGTTGCGTAAACATCCGTCCACTCGCTGAAGTGTCGCTCAAGGCCATCTAGGCGACATAGCATCGAGGCTGCCCGGTTCAATGCTATTTCTCATCCATGATATGATATAGAGCCAGTCGCTAACTACATCCCAAATGAAATGGCTGACCAGGCTGAATGCAGCGAACGTACGATCAAAAACATTCGCAAGAACTTACGGCGATTTGGAAACGCTCACACCCCCTAAGCTGTGATCCTTGAACTTGTTCCTTCCCTCGGAATGATGTGTCTGTATTCCTAGGTCTTACTGTATAGTTATATAATATAGTTTAGTTTGGACCTCTCATCTCAAAAGTCTAGATAGTGGTAGAGATTATATGATCAGCGATGATGTTTACTTATCTGAAATAGCTACACAAAAGAAGCATATCAGCGGTTTCGAGGTCACCACACGAGGGTAGCCTAACAACGCGAACGGTGATTAGGTCGTAGCGGGACTTGTAGAGGATCTATGTCTGTTTTCACGGTGGTAGACTCTCCCCCATATACATAGATGTAGAAAGTTATAGTAGCCCACATATCCCCTCAATATTTAGATTCTAAGCCACTGGCCACTCTACAGTACTGGGTAGGATTCATATTTTAGCCTAACTAGGTAAACCATCCTGACATGGAGTCTGGGTCTGGGTATATAATCTCTTCACACACACAGACGGTACTAGACTTACTGGGTTTAAGAACCCAAAAAAACTGTACTGTCTGCAAGATCTATAATAATCTTAATATAGCGATGGTCTTCTCAATTTCAAACCAATAATCTCATCGCCATCCTCAACGAAGTCCGTATACCTCTCAAACCCAAGTTTCTCCATCAACCGTAAGCTCACACCGTTCTCTTTATGCGCATCGGCAAATAACGACTCCTCAATGTTAGATGCCTTATCTTTGCTATGCCGGGGCAATTCCCACCATTGCTGTAAGAAAGCCGTTAGAGCTTCCGTTGCATACCCTACACCCCACTTATCAGGATGCAACATGTAACCAAGCTCTGCTTGAGGATGCAGAGTATACACTCCCGCCATTCCAATAATGTAACCTGTAGTTTTTTCAATGATCGAAAGGTGAAATGGTGGATTAGATTGGTCTGGTTGAAGAAACTTTTTCATCCATGATTTCGTTTCTTGTATGTCGGTGTCAATTTTGCGTTTGTGGCTATATTCAAATATTGAATAGCGCGGTCAGTTAATTGCTCTTGGAACATCTCCAGTTTATTATAGTTATATTAGTGGAGAAGCCTACGTCCACTTCATAACATCCGGTCTGGTACGGATATCATGGAAATATTCAATATCCTCATCGCACATCGGGCGGAGTATCAGCCGAGAGGTCACGATTTTCTCAACCTGATACGGGAAAATAGGTCGACAAGGTTCGTTATTTTCTGCCATGATGCCAGCCAGTTTTAATGCGTGCTATCTTAAATGTGAAATATGGACGTCGGGGGATACATGATTTATAAGTGATGGCTCTAGTATACTAGGTTACATCGTGTTGTTAGGAAGCGAGTACGAGATCTTGCCGATCGGCGGGGGAATTTATCACTAAGAACAGGCTGATTCAGTATCCCAACACCCTTCCAATTACCTTTTTACAGTGTACAGCTACTGCAATACCTCAGCGGTGTGCCTAAATTCTTGATCCTTTGTGCCCCTAAGGCATCTTTATTGACAAACGGAGCATTACAGTAGTTATGCAATAAAGGATAGCACCGAATCCAGCTACACCTCGGAAGGATTTTATCAGCAGAACTTCCCCACGCTTTTGAGAACCCAGCCTAGAACATTCTATGGAGGTTTCCAGTAAGTTAAAGTTAATTAACCATTTTTACAAATGACTCATTGGATACGAGTTTAGCGGGGTTCCGCGTACCACCTAAACAACAGCCTCACCGTCCACTAGCTAATCTGCTTTCGAAACCGGGTAACAGGCGGAGGTAGACTCGTCGCCTGGTCTACTTTAATGCTAACGAGACTAGTGTATATATCATTCGGTGATCGATCAAGACACGATTTCAGAATTTTTAGTTTGCAATAACTGTCTAGAAGTATCTCGACTGAATTTGTCTGTTTCCTCATAGATAAAATTCGATAAAATCGTTTGTGTTATTGGGCCTCCAACCCTGTCCCCTAGCCAGGCTGTAAATACGATTTAGTCTATCATTTCCCTTCAATGTCGATTGTGACGGGTGGTTTTACATGATAGAGCCAGAATATGTCTTCTGTATCTTTATTTTCCTTTCTTTTATTTTCTTTTCACTATGACGGACGGCCTCATGGGTCGTATGGCTAGGTGCCTACAGGGCATTGGTTTTTTGTTATTTCACAAGGGGAGTGGAGGGCTCATCGGTTATAGGGATGCTCTGCCAACCAACCAAGTAAAAATGCAATTAGTATAATTATAGTATAAAAGCAAAAATTTACATTACTGTTGCAGCCGTGGCCTAGTCGTCAGGGCATCCGTCTCCTAATCAAGGTCTTCAACGGAAGGTCCCGGGTTCAAATCCCGGCGGTTGTGTTTTTTGCAACCTACCTAGCGAGTGAGAACCGAGCCCAGAGGATAACGGGCCGCCTAGGAAACGGCCCCGTCAAGGAACATTCTCGGATGATGGGCGTCGGCCGCGGCCCGCAGGTCCTGGTCGCTTCACCAACAGCACTGGGTCCTCGGCTTCCTCCGACCTGGCAATATCAAAGAAGACAAGAAAAAAACAAGAAAAATGGGAAAGAAAGGAGCAGACGAAAAAATAAAACCTCCTTTACTGATATCATATTTCTTTTCCTGTCTCGAAGATTCTATTGCTTTACTGACTTGGTTGCCTGTACCAACGTTTTATATCTGTTACGAGGCCTCTCTCATGAGGCTATTCCTATGTGTAGTTAGTGCCTTGGGCTCCAATGTCTTGGCACCGACGACCCCACTGAACCCAGTGGAGCGGGGACATTCCGATAACTAACTGTTTGGTTGTTATTGGGTGACGTAACGATCAGGAAGACCTGTATGGGCGTCAGCTTGTGGCTTATACCTCATATTTCTGTATATATATCCCTCTGTTGTTTTCCTTTAGAAAATGTATATTATTAGAGAAGACTCATGAGAAGAAGGGGGCAAGAAACAGCCTCTGCAACAATTTGACTTGGTGCTTTTCTTCTACCTGACTGACAGGCCTTCTACCCTCAAAGTAGATAATCTCGTAACAATATCTTATATCATTTACGAGAAGCACAATGTAGATATCCCTTAATAACCAGGTTCTTTCTCCATGGTCTATAGCACATCGTACACGTAGCACTTGGATAGTCCTAGGGATTTAACCTAGCACCGCTGCACGCATTGTTAGAGCTCTGTGCGAATGATTGGGAATGAGAATCAAAATTACCTTGCCGGAAGGCCTTTGGGTTCTCTGAAATGAGCCAATGCCCAGCATCCATATCTGCAATCTAAGCATTCGGGAAGAATTTCTTGATCACTGGGATAAAAAATGAAAAATCACTTCCACACATCGATGAGGTGGGGGCTGGTGCTGGGGAGGTCTGTATGGCGGCCCGTTAGCTGCAGCCACGGGGGGAGATACTCAGGTATGGCACTGTAACCGTGGGTGGGGTGGCCAATGGGATAGGAGGCCAGGGGTGATGGAGTTGAGTATAAGCCTGGCTGTGATCGGTGTTCGCCCGCGGAAAACCGCCCATGGGATGAGGTGTGATGAGGTAGGCGGCAGCGCCAGGCATGGGTCCTCGGGTCACCACTAGCAGGTTCTGCTGATCGTTCACGGTCGACTCAGGGTACAGAGCTTTCTGTGGTCGAACATGTAGGAGAGCCGGGTCAGTTGTTGGTTGTTGGAGGTTGGCACCAAAATGGCCAGGGAGTAGGCATATGTACAACACCCACCCGAGGACAAGCTCTGGGTGCATAAACCAAAATTGAATGGGCCAATCAAATAGAAGAAAAGCGACCATGAAAAGATGTACAAATAAAATGCATTTATTGCAACCAAAAGACTGACAAAGGAGTGTGTAAAATTGCATGTAAACTGAAAAGAATGCGTCCTTCCCTTCTACATGGGGCCATTCGCCGCAACTTTCCAAATCGACAGATCAAACCAATTAAACAGTACAAGGAAACCAAACAGAGAAGCAGAGACCGGACCAACCCAGAGAAATCAATATGTTCAAATGAACGAACCGTTTGGTGCCTAATCCAACAGCCTACCGGAATTAATCACTCTCCCACTAAATCTCCTACTGAATTTCCTACCGAAGCACCTAAAATCTATGATTTCCATCCTCCTCCTACGAATCAGCGATTCGAATCCGCCGAAGATAGAATTACCTATGTAAACAATTTTGCCCTGGATCATGGGTACGGCGTGACCATATGAAGTGTTCCAGCGTCACCTCCAGGTGTTATGTCCGCTGACTCAAATCCGTTCACTAAGGCAAAAAAAAGGAACCCGGCTTCGTTTCAAAACAGCAACGGGCGTGCAAATTTCCACACATGAAACCCTGGAATGGTGCGAACACAATCAGTTCGTGGGATTGTTTTCTTTGCCGGCACTCAGAGACCTCGAGATGTGGGTTTAAAGCCGATGGAGATTCCTCCCTCCCTTGGCCTCGATGGATTGGTGCAGGACCAGCGATTGCAGGTTGCCTGCAGGTCTCGGTCTGTGTAGATGCCTTCTGGATTCTTTCTTCTGCTTTCTGGATTGCTTTGTTCGATGGCCTATTTTGGCCATCTTCTGGTTTCCCTTCTTCCTGTTCTTTAGAGGTTTCTCTAGATAGTGATTGATGGTTGATTCCTTTTTTCCTGGCTTCCCGTGCGTAGCGGCGTCGTTTCGCCGTCAAAAGCCTATGTCTTGCAACATACATGAGGAAGGAATTACTACCCAAGCTTGTACACTTGTACGTCTGCGCTCATTATCTCTTGCCCGCAGATGAGGTCCTCAGGCACCTCGTCTTGAGTCTGCAGTATGCTACCTGTCTCGGATAGCTGCCGCCCCAGCAGTGACCCGTATGCGGACTGTTGAGGCCACATTCTACCAGGACGTGATATGGTCCCGTATTGCCACTACATATTTCCCCTTGTCTTTCCTAACTCTCCCTTTACAGCGATCAGCCTGTCATCTAGCCAAGTAATAATTATATTCACCAGATTTCTCCCTTTCCTTATGGCCTTATTCTGTCCCGACAATGTGCATCCACCTAAGCCGAAGGTATTCTGGAGTCGGCGCGGCCTGGGGCCGAGTGGCAGGAACTTGTGCAATCTGTGGGACTTGGGGGACTATAGGCTGGACGGGCGCGGCTTGCGCTGGCGCGGAGCCAACGATAGTGGCAGCGGCAGCGGCAGCGGCAGCGGCAGCTTTCGCCTGTCGACCCTGCGCTTCAAGCAAGCGATTTCTCTCATGGCCAGACGGAATGAGAATGTAACGCTACTGCCTATGGCATAGAGCACCACTTCTACCATAGTGATAATAACTGGCACATCGATTAGGTAAAGCCATCAGATTTAACCTTCTCAGTAGATTATGGACCAAAACCTAGGTACGGCCCTAGGTGTGCATCTTTCCCGGCTCTCGTTTCGTTCTCGCTGATGCTCGTAGGTATGTTCCAACTATAGTGTACAACCAGAGTTTTTGCTGAGAGAAATAATTATTGGTGAAGAATTTTTGATTACAAGCTGAGACTGCCAGCTAGAGATTTGAAAAAGACTAGTATACAATCTTGGTCATATTGAGATCAAGTCTCCACGACTGAACATATCTGCACCTAGGCCTTTTTTGTTTCAATCCCGGTGGAAGTAACATCACCTTGGGGGACGTTCTGTGCAGTGTTCTGGCCTTTCAAAAAGCTCACAGCTCCTGGGCCCGTAAAGTTCTTCCGTCCAGTAGTGAACCAGGTCACGATGCTGATGAGACCAATGACACCAACGGCAGCGCTAGTATAATTCATCGACTCCTCGTTAACGGGATAAGTACTGGGGAAATTGAACGTGATGGAAGCAAAGAGAAGGAATATCAGTCCCACAAAATTGAGCCCGATTGACACTGGAGTAGAGAATGAATAGGGACCCTCGAGCTTGGTGACATGGCCGGAGAAGTATCCAATCAGACGGCTGAAAAGAGCCATTGCGTAGGACAGATCTAGGAACGTGGTTAGTCATTCCCCAGTCAGCAAGCTGGGATTCGATTATCTTACAGAATCCTTCGGTCGAGATCGAGATAACAGTCTCAAAGCCCGTTGTCGTGCCGAATTCGATGGCATCAAGGGCCAGTTGGACGGCCAGAGTAAGAAGAACGGCATTGACTGGGACCTGGCTCTTACTCTCGACTTTGCTGAAGACGTTCGAAAAGGGCAGCCCGTTATCACGAGCAAAGGCAAAGACGGAGCGAGATCCTTCAGCAAGAATGTTGACACCCGCAACGATGACAATTACCGCAATCATGCTAGACAAAATGCAGGTGGCGACCTTGCTGCCGGTGGAATCGTAAATGATCTGAATGACGGGTACACCAGTACTGCTAGCCGCAGTCTCTGCGATATCGCCAATACAGAAGCAAAGAGTAAGCAGGAAAGCGAATCCTGTGACCGCACCCAGAACCACGGCCAAAATAATGGCCTTGGGTGCCTCCTTCGAGGCAGACTTCATTTCTTCCGTCATGTGGGAAGGAGCATCGTAGCAACACATTCCAAAGCATGCCTGCAAGATACCGATAATAGCAGCCATCCCGGTACCCCAACCCGTGGTGTTCTGGAAATCCTGAAAAACAAAAGAGGCCGGTTGCTTATGATCATTCATCGCCAGGAGGGTAACTGTAATGATCACGAATGAACCCACGTTCCAAATCAAGATGAACTTGGAAATTCGGTGGAGTAGATGGGAGCCCCAAAGATTGACCGCAGCCGACAGGAGAGCCACGAGGTAGGCTACCAAAACCGTCTGCCATCTTTCAATTGTGTATTCTGGGAAAACCAGGTTTGCCATTCCCAGCACAAAATTGGAGGCAATAGAGTTGTTCGTGGCACCCATTGCTAGGAGACCTTTTTTCCACTGAATCAGCATTTATGTTTTCCCCATCATCGAGTTAGTTGAATGCATACCGATGAGCATGAACCAGCCAGTGGCATATGATAAACCTCGAGCAAACCGGGGAGGCGTAAGTGCGGCAACCCACGAGTATTGTCCTCCAGCAACAGGGTACATGGAGCACATTTCTGCCATGGGGATGGCAACAGCCAGGGTGAGCAAGCTAACACCGATGAAACTAAAAATCATCACTGGGGGACCACCCGAGGTCACTCCCACGATGAACACACCACTCAGTGCCGTCCATCTAAGGGATTCGTTAGATACGAGCATTTCTCCAGTCTAGGCCAGCCAGTACTCACGATGTCACAACACTGAAGCTAAACCCGATCATAGAAAGTAACCCAAAAGAACGTTTGAGCTCTAAGATCGACCAGAGGTTAGCATCAAGACTGCATTCACTCGACGAGCGATGTGGTTTTCTCGTTGACTCACCCTGCTCATAGCCCAAATTTTCAAGGCGAACATCTTCAGTTGTAGTGCCTTTGAACACCTGTGAACTTTCGTCTTCTTTCGACATGGCGGCAATCAAGTCGTCCTATACAGGTAAAAACAGACGGTGTTCACCTGGGCGGGCGAGGCCTATCTTTAAGAAGACCGGCTGGAATCCCTGTCATCTCTACCCCATGCTATCTCCAACACCCCATAGAGGGATAGTTGAGACTGTCGGGGTGATAAGATAGATAGACTCTCATGATTTCCCGATTGAGAAGGTCTGCGCGATGCCGGTGGAGCTTAGTCTGCCAGTCCCGAACGACCAGGAAACTTTCTCGGGATTTTTGCGGGGGATCAGGCAACGCTTTGGAATCGGCCCCTGCCGCCGATAAGCACGGCCGGCTCTTCTTGGCCTGTCATTTGTCCAGTCACCATTCGAGCCAGAAATTCAAAGACTGGTATCAATTGCCGCGAGGAAACTGTCGTGGGAATTGAGTAATCAAAAAGCGGATGGATCTCTTGATCCTGCCCTTATGGATGTGGTGGTCGGCAAATCCAGGAGCAACTTTCCTCTCTTGTAGACTCCGAGAACTCGGGCAAGAGTGGGAGGCGCAAGCCTCTTCTTTAGTCAGCCTGCCTCCGAAGTATCGTGACCAACCACTCGCTGGTAATTCTGCTCTGGAGAAGCGGTGGTTCTCCGTACAGTTGCCCCCCAATCGGATGGCCAACAGGCTTCCGCCGAGGGAAAGGCACCAGCCCTTCCTGATTAGGCCTTAGGGCTTAGGGCTCCGGATGCTGGAGGTCCCGATAAGCAATTGCATGTAATTTTGCGCGTTACCCAATCTCGTATTGGTTTCGGCAGATCCATGCACAAGGTTGTCATCTCGAGATGCTGTTGACGAGGAAATAACCTTCACCACGTGGCAGAAAGACAAATCAGTCTAAAATTAAGCTTCTTTCTCGCAGACATCTTCTCTTCATTAGTGAACTTAACGTAATTTGTCTTCATCGCTCTCCTATTACGGCTGATAGCATGCTAGCCCTCAGCGGTACTGAGATTACGCATCGGCATTAACGACTGCCACGATGGTTCGATGGCTACTGCTCTGACCTTCTCCCCGGAATCACTATGACCGAGGCCGCTCTAAGCGAAGCATGATGAAACACTCCAAGACGGAGTGCGGATACAGTAACTCCCGTCGCTATGAGCCAAAATAATACTTAAGTTCAACAGTGGCTGCCCTTCACTGTGGACGCGACGAATCCTCCTTACCAAACTCTTCACCTAATACAACCAATACCAACTCTCCACAATGCCCGAGCAGATCCTCGCAGGAAAGACCTGTCTCATCACCGGCGGAGCTGGTGGACTGGGCAAGGCGATCGCGACTCAGTTTCTCAGCGCTGGCGCCAACGTCGTGATTTGCGACATCAACGAGGAGCGACTGCAACAAGCCTCGGCAGAGTTGTCCTCCAAGGGGGCCATTCGAGCCATCAAGACCGATATCACCAAGGTCGACGAGGTACAAAGTCTATTCGACGAGCTGATCCGCGAGTTTGGCAAGATTGACGTCTTGGTGAACAACGCCGGGATCATGGATCATTTCGCTCCGGTTGGAGACCTCGACGTGGAGCAGTGGGAGAGAGTGATGGCACTGAACCTCACCGCTCCCATGGTCCTGAGCAAAATGGCTGTTCGTAACATGCTGGAGCAGCCGAAGCCCGATGGCCGGATTATCAACATTGTCTCTGTTGCCGGTCGTGCTGGATGGGCTGCTGGTACGTTGAAGTCCCCCTCTTTTTCGCTGTGTAAATTACGCTGATTCTGACTGGAATATATCAGGCGCCGCTTATACTGCCAGCAAGCATGGTCTGGTTGGTTTGACCAAGAATACTGCTGCATACTATGGCAACAAGGGCATTCGCTGCAACGCCATGATGATGGGGGCCATGAACACCAACATTGCCGATGTGTTCAAGACCGGCATGCACATGGAGGGCTATCAGAAGATGAATTCCGTCTACGAGTCTATTAAGGCTCCTGCTTGCGACCTGGATGAAGTTGCTGGGTTCTGCGTTAACTTGACCTACGGCCCTGGTGCCAGTGTCATCAATGGCGCGTGCATTGCCATCGACAACGGCTGGACCTGTGTTGTTGGTTAAAGTTCTGGTCTTGTATCGACTTAGCGTGTGGGAAGGTTTAAAGTTTATCCATGTACATATGTCAATAGCGATTCCTGCTCATGCCTCATTCATCGCGCTGTGAAAATTGATAGTCCTTTAAGAGAAACTCGGCAAACCTGGTCGATTATCCACTTTCTTTCTCATTCCATTGTGTTGCTTCCAAGTAGATGTATTTTGTACACAGACCACTCATATAGTCCACTCAACTCTTAGACTCCAGCGGATTCGCCTGCGGCGGCTCCCTCTCATATCTCTCCGCCCCCTCCGGAATATCAACAATAGCATGCTGGGTCCAAATATGCACAGCACCCTTCATCATCTCCTTATCCAACCCCACCAAACAACCACCCTTAACATTCGTGGTAGCCGTCGGACCGGGCATTTCCCCCGGCGCGGGCATCAAATCCCGAAAACTGTGGAAGATGCGAGCGCCACAGTTCTTGCAGAATATGCAGTCCATCTGGCGTCCCTTGAGGGTAGTGCGAGTGTATGTTCCCACGAGGTCGGTGGTGGATTCGGGGAGCTCAAAGTAGGGGAATATGGCCGTGATGCCGTGGGCGGAGGAGCTTTGGTGTTGGCATTCTGTGCAGTGGCAGGCGTATAGCGCGAGGGGTTCTTCTGTCGGGGTGGTGAATTCGATTTTGGAGCATTGGCAGCGTCCTTTCATGCCCATTTTTGCGGTTGTGGAGGGTTTGTTGTAGATATGTTGGTTGTCGTAGGATGATGGGGTGGGTGGTTGTAATGAGGGGTAAGCGAGTCAAATACGAGCCTGGTGAAAGAAAGCGGAATCGTTCAGGATGCATCTGATCTCGACAACTAGGTAGCATGTAAAGGAGTCAACGTTGGGACGATCTGAAATTGTGACAAATAGGATGAATCAGGGAATATGTCAGATTTCTGCTGCTGGTAGGATGGTCCAATGCCCTCATACAGCCCAAGATTATCCGCAAAGCACTGTCGAGCAGGAATTAAACTCATACATAGTCATTTCGCCAGACTAATCTGTCCATCTCGCTCGCATTCTCTGAACGTCAACACCCCTATATGATTATGAATGCACTCGGATAGATTTACCTGTACCTTAATCAGATACTATTCTTCGTGTAAACAAACTCACACCTACCGATGCACACTGATGAGTCCCATCATGATCATTCAACTCAGCATGCAGCCACGGAGCTCTCTCAGGGCCCTCGAGGGAAAGACGAATCTCCGTCGCACTATGTGCGAAGCTATCTCCTCCCCAAATAAACTCGCCTCCAGAGAATGGTTAGAGATTAGGGCTGCAAGTCTCAGTGGGTGCTGTACATACCATTGTTATTTCCCAGACAGATATTCAAGTCGAGCTGAGAGTAACTCCATGATCCGTTTGGGCGCTCACAGCGACAGCTGAGAGTGTGTCGATTTCTCAGGTTGATGTTGATTGAGTTTCTATGGAACGCCATCGCATCCCACTATCGCTTTGTGATACCCCAAACGAAGCGGATGGATCTATGCTTCAAATAGACTGTATGGATCAGGTACTTTTCAAATTAAGGGTTATTCTTGAGCAGCTTACGATAAAAGACGTTGCTGCTCTGAATGACGATACAGGGGCGTCAGGGCATCTGGCGTGACGTGCTAACGACCCATGGTTCTTGACTCGGATGGAACCGTGGGATTCACTCCTCTATATCTTTACTTTAATCACATTTAGGCATCCGGAAGAACCTAAAGTCTTGAGCTTCTATCAATCTACTTCGTTCTTTTGACTTTGACTTTATCTAGCTAGTCATTCATCTATAACCTCCCTCTTCTCACCCAGCCAATCATCCCAACACAGCGACAGATATGCCGTATCTCGACCTCCATTCTTCTCCTCGCCATACGGCGGTTACTCCCGACCATGATGCACCTTCCTCCGAGTCTCCAGATCCTTCAACGCTCCATTCCATCCTAAGATCACCTCAAGCCGAAACCCCATCCGTTGTGCTGCGGTCAACGAAGCCTGGATAGGCGGGTCAGCTAGCCGCTGCATCCGCCGCAGACCAAGAACCCCTTGCTTGGGACTATCAAGCGCATAGTGCAGGAGTAGTCCGACCGCGTGAGTTGTAATATGAGTCCGTTGTATCCCACTTCGGCGGACATGTGTGTTTCAGAGGCGTTCTTGTACGAGACCATCCCGGCGAGTTCGCCGTCCGATATCTGCGATGCAGGCCACGCCTGTTGAAATGTTTACAAATCTAGGAACTGTGAGATAATGGCTTGTTCTGACTCGAAGGGACCGATGGACATGTGTCGATATAATTCTGTGTGGTTTGTGGGGCCCTGGAAGTAGGCTCTAGCACGTTTGGCTGGCTACATCGTATACGGGGAGGATACGAATCGGGTTAGTCAATAGGTACTTTTTTCGGAAGAAGCAGCAGCGCTGGTCTGTCAGTGGCACGCTGGAAATGGTGTTAGCTTGACATCATCATCCGACAGGTCTCGTAGTGGGAAGCAGAAACCGGCATGGATAGCCATGTCTCTGAACTATTCCAATAATCATACGGAGGAGAGAAATGATTATAGTGCTATTGATGGTGCAGGAAGATGGAGGGGCAGCATGACATGCATGAAGTCGGCGTAAGTAACGGCTCGGAGTATGCAGGGGCATCATCGGCAAGGCTGCACCGATCTTGCCTTTTCTAAGCCTGAGCCAGCCACATCTTCCACCGGGAGATGTACATGCTAGCCGACAGTCCTAGAACCCAGTCTTCGAACACGATGTAACTGAATCATCTCACCAGAACCAGTGAGTCACTATTTCCAACCACATTCGTCAGGCATGTTGCATCTGAAGCATTTCGCGATCGTTGTCCCCTCCAAGTCGGAGCATCATGAGAGCTATCAAGACACCCATTGCCCCCGAGCATCCACGCCATTGGGAAGAATGAGAGACTAGTCAGTTATAGTCCGCTGGTAACATCCGCAAAGCTTCTCGTGTAACCAGCATGTACCCGCTGTGGCCAGCAGGGGGGTGGAGGGGGACACCACAAATCAAGATCTATATGCATACCATTCCACACCCACATATCCATATCTCGACTAGGTGAGCTAGCCGTGACCCCCAGATTCCAAAATCAATTCTGCAGCCTCGAGTAGCTAGCTCTTGGGGGACGAACCTCCTGACTCATTATTTCCAGCTTTTCCTGGCGGGCGGTTGTCACCCCCTCCCAAAAGGAAGACAGAGGAGTCACCCATCCGAGACATCCCTCCCCCCATCTGATTCCCCCGAAAAAGCAAAGAACCAAAAGCAAACGGCTGGAGATGGTAAGTGAAAAGTGGTCAAAATGAAGGACATTCGTCAGCGATCTCAGCCACTGAGAAGCACTGGGACCCTCCTTCCTGGGATGCTGATAGGTGTGAATGTGGATGGAGAGGAGGGAAGGTTTCTAAAGGTGGTCCGAAGGTGTGGGTGTCGGCTGATCGCCTCCGCTAGTGAGACGTCCTGGTTGGTTGGGATGAACATCCCTGACTCTTCCCGATGCTTTTTGCAGCGATCATGTAGATTTATCATTTTATGGATTAGAAATATTAATCATTTTGGGATTTATGTCTAGTGCACTGCTTCTGACTGCTATTTCCAGATGGCCTTCCTAGTACTCTAGTCTTCTTTCCATCAAATACTCACAGAAATGACCAGGCACCCATGACCGTCCCTCGGAGATCGACATGCCCCCAGTTTGCCCGTTTGCTCGCTGCCCACCACTCTGGAGATCGGTTGACGTGGATGATCCCATCCCAGGTACGTGATATGAAAAACCACGCACACTCGGGCCGGGGCTGTGCCTTGGAACGAACCTTTGGGCCCGGTCACCAGGCGACGCCGCGTGGAGGTATATACCTCTGGTAGTGGACCTCAAGAAGGCGTAGAGTTACCGAGAGGACATCATCGACTTTGCTACACCTCGGACTAGTATCTCCCACGACAAGCAGAGTAAATAAAGCCAGTCAGTCCCATGTTTCACAGGTGCCTGGCCAGCTGGAGCTTTTATAAACCAGCTGTTCCCTCATACCTTAGAGTTCTCCTTCCTCCTTCTTCTGTCCGCTGAAGCTTCACTCTACTGTATTTCGACCTGATCCTCGAGCGCATCGAATAAACCGCCGATAACCCGCTCGATTCTGAATGAGACTGGGTCCTCTTTCAAAAAGGTCTAGACTGGCTTCAAACGAGTCTAGGTCCACCATTTCCGTTGAAACTCGGTCCAGCCTGTGCCAGACTTCGAATCGTGGCCGTGATTACAAAATCCGCTGCATGCTGTCCACAGCGAATCAGCAGGGCCTCGGGAGGGAGACTCCTGCCGGGCTAATCAGAGGACCAGACGATACTCTCGGGTGAATCTTACAGAGAGAAATCTTTTGAGAGAAGTCTATAGGTGACTCTCAATCATACCAAACCCTATACCGTCCATCCTCGAGTGGTGACACTCTCAATGGTATGTGCTAGGTTATGTTTTCTTTTTCTTTTCTTTTCTTTTCCTTTCCTTTCTTTTCTTTTGTGCCCGCTTTCTTTGGCCAGTCCAGGAACCCCGATGCCATCCGTTGGGAACCGTGGAATTGCGGCGCCCAGTGGAGCCCGGATGATTCCTTTCGCATGCGCTAAAGGATCCATCCAAACGCCCTTTGACCTGGAATTCTGGGTCCCAGGATGTTTAATTTCCCTCTTTTTTGGTGTGCCCCCCAAAACTCCTTTGAAAAACAAAAAAAAAAATGACGACATGCCGCTGTGTCCGGAGTGGAGTCCACCCCCCGCAAGGCGTCCACGCACTAACTACGGTAGTAACCTGATGGTAACTTGGTGACCAGGACCAGACAATGCGCCGCAAACAATTAAATCCGGCCTCCCCTCCTTTTTCCTACTCTTCCTCCTCGTCCTCCTTTTATCCGTCTTCGCTGAGCAGCAGCTCATACTCCGACAGTAAGTGATCTTGTCTCGTTCTTTGGTTCTTCCCTATATTCCACACATTGCCCGTCGATGAGTGATATACTCCCCACCCTTCCATCACCCAATGTCTCTTCTACAGTCAATACCCGCCTATCATCTCTTGATACGTCGGTGGTCTACCAATAAATGGTGTTTGCCGTGCCCCCCTCCTTTCCCCTTGGCCCAATTCATCCTGATACATTCCACAATCCGACACGTGTGACATTCCGTCACCTCTCATTCCTCTCATTCCATGTCTGATCCTCCTTCCTCTTAGGCCTCTCCTCGAAATCGCGCTCTCGTTCGTCCTCGTCCCGGCCCCGCGACCATCTCGAGCATCTGATCCTCAAGCACGGCTACCCCACTCCGGTCTCCCTGTCCTCCCTACGGGATTTGACGGCCACCTCCTCCACTTATAACCCGCCCACCCCTCCTCACCACCTGCGACGCTCACGTCGATCGGAATCAATTCCCATCGACGCCTTGGACTCTCTCACCCTCTCTGCCTCGTCAACCCGGCCCATTCCAATCCCTCGGCGTCCCCACGGCCTCGAGTACGACGACCATCTTCCCGTCACACCGCTGACAGGCCGCTTCGATCACGACGACTACCTCGAAGACTGGGAGCGTGCCTCTCTATCCGCTCGATCCAGACACCTCCGCTCGCCGCCTGGGTCAACCCGTTCGACCCGGCATCACCGTCCTCCTTTCTCTCCCCCCAGAATGCGCGCCGATCATTCCCCCTTCTACTCGCCCGTTGGTTCACCCACCATGTCCCCGCGTCGCCCAAGTTCCCCACAACCCTCACGCTCGCGCACCCAAAACCCAGCCAAAGCCATGCCAGGCTTCCACCTCGGCAGCCTCCCTCGCTTTCACCCAGCTGTCTACCAGTCCAGCACGGGTGGCCACACATTAACCGGCCAGCCGCCGTCTCCCCGGCAATCCCGGCAACAAAATTACCGCACGGCATCCGGGTCACGCGACATCAAATGGCAGTACCGGGACCTGCTGGACGGCTCTACGCAAAGTCCGTCCGCGCCGCGCCTTGATCCTCTTCGCAGTCCGGGTCCTGTCACGCCGCTGGCTCTCGAATCCGCGGACTACCTCGCTGCCGGTAATGCCGGTACCGCCGGGCATGGCTCCCGTGATGCTGCAGGTCAGCACTCGGGTCCGTCGCCGGATCTGGTGGAGAAGCTGATCGCGCGCGAGAATGAGAAGGCGCGGCAGAAGAACCGCTTGTCTGCCAAAGGCCGATGATGGGATTGGCTCTTCCTTCGTCCAGTTGTATGACATATCTCGCGACTGCGACTATGACTACGGCTACGGCTGCTCTTTCTGCTCCTGCATCAGAACCGGTGTTTCCATTGGACCTTCTTTTCTTGATTCTATTCTTATGTTTTCTTTGCTTTATGGTGTTCTGGGCATGAAAATCAAGACCTAAGAGCGCCCCGGGGTGAAACTTCTGCGCATGGGATATGCGTGGGATTCCCTTTCTTTCTTTTTTTTCTTCTGCCCGTTTTTCCCCCACTTAATATTATTCCAGACCAGACCAGAGTTTTGTGTTTCAGGTTGTTCCTTTTGCATTACGACAGCATATATCTATACCCCCCGCTGGTCCACAGTTCGGCGGTAAGCATTCCAGTTCCAGACCACTCATTATTGTTCTTGAATTCCAATACATTTTTGAGGGCTTCTGCGACCTTCAAGTTGAACCAATTTCCATTTCCTTCTCCGTATTCTTTATATTTCGTGTGGATTGAATTTGATGGAATGGCTTGAAATTGACGGAATTGACGATGCAGGACGCAGTGGTCATAGCAAACCGTTCTCATGGTTATCGTTCTCGAATATGATTTGCCAATCCCCTCCTTATTTTCCTTTTTCCTCATTCGTGCCCATCCTCTTCTACTGTAGAAGAAGAAATTTGCGGGGAGAATTGCCAAGACCAAGGCCCGTAGACTCGAACCTTGGCAAGCTCATCAATCTCGAAATCTCCAACCCAGATCCAACTAAGCAGGAAGATCAAATGGAGATCTAATCCAAGAAAATCCCTTCGAAATCCCGCCCTCCATACGAATCACAGATTCCCATAGAATAATCTACATCACCGATCGATCCCACCCGATCGCTGCCTCATGGATGACCGAGGCGTCCAGTGTCCAGTCTACGCAAAGCGGAGCCCGGAGGAAGACACCCACTCCCCGAAAAAAACACCTGCGGTTGCGGGGCCCTTCGAAGGTGGATCGTTAAAGACTTTCCGATCTCGCTCTTCACTCTCACTCAATTCCAATTACTTCTTTGTACTGCACAACCCTCGTAACCACGCTCCCCAAGCCTCTCGCAAATCCCAAGTGCCAGGGCCAGGCCAGGCCAAACCAGGCGTCGTCCCGTCTCTACCTCGGTCTATCGGAACCTCGACAAATCCCGCGACTCTGCGCTACGACGCGCGAATACGACTTTCCCGCCTACGCTTGGCGCCGCTGACGCACGCGTTGGCCAGGGACGATGTCATCGGCGCAGGCGCCCTTGGAGGGTTTGGCAACATCTACCATGACGGAGAAACAGGTTGCGAAAGGTGTGGAGAAAAGCAGTGGGAGCGGGAGTGGGAGTACTGCTAGTGCGCCTGTAGCGGCAAGCAAGTCAAATTACAAAGGCTTTGTGGCGGGGGTGTTTTCAGGAATTGCGAAGCTGAGTGGTGAGTTTCTTCGGAGTTTTTGGGATCAACGGCTCGTTTTGTTACCAGTGCTAATTGTTTTTGAATCTTTTTAGTTGGACATCCGTACGTCATTCGAGTTTACTCCCTGCTTTTTACATTGTTGCGAGTTGGATCGTGTAATAACCGTTGGTATTGGTGGATAGATTCGATACTGTCAAAGTTCGCTTGCAGACTAGCAAGGATGCGCATTTTAGGGGACCTTTGGATTGTACGTTGCAAACGGTGCGCAAGGAAGGTGTGCGGGGATTATACAAGGGCGCTTCACCTCCGCTGGTCGGATGGATGATGATGGACTCTGTGTGAGTATACTTTGGATGATATCCACAATCAGATATAGGGCAATACGTGGAATATGGGATGCTAATCATTCCCGTGTGGAACAGAATGCTGGGATCTTTGACACTATACCGAAGACTCCTTCTCGAGAACGTCTTCTCGAAGCCCCATCTTCGCCAATGGATTCCCTTCTCTCGCAGTACCGATCTCACAACACTCCCCTCCTTCGGCCACGGTATTGCAGGTATCCTCGCTGGCACGACAGTCAGTTTCATTGCGGCTCCAGTAGAGCACATCAAGGCTCGATTACAAGTGCAATACGCAGCGGATAAATCAAAGCGCATGTACAGCGGACCAATCGACTGTCTGCGCAAACTCGTACGCCTCCAATCAACCCTTTTCCCCTCTAACCTCACAAGCTAACAAGCCAATTTAGCTCCGCACACATGGAATCCGTGGTGTATACCGCGGCCTCTTCGCCACAATGTTCTTCCGCTCCTTTTTCTTCTTCTGGTGGGGCTCCTACGACGTCCTCACTCGATTCATGACCAACAACACCAACATGTCTGCGCCCCTAATCAATTTCTGGGCCGGCGGTATCTCAGCCCAGATCTTCTGGCTCACATCATACCCCTCCGACGTGGTGAAGCAGCGCCTGATGACAGACCCGATGGGCGGCGCCCTCAACGATGGACAAAGACAGTTCCACAGCTGGAAGGAAGCTGCACGGGCTGTGTTGAGGGAGCGTGGGTGGAGAGGGTACTGGCGGGGATTTGTGCCGTGTTTCCTGAGGGCGTTCCCGGCGAATGCTATGGCTTTGGTTGCATTCGAAGGCGTGATGCGTACCTTGCCATGAAGAAAAGCGGTTATATTAGGACTGCTTACATCTTCAATCAATGACCTTGTACATATACATATCAAACGGGTTGATACATAAGGGAAGCATATGGGATGCGGAAGGAAACTCATCTCATCAATTGAATACTCATTTTTCCGATAATCTTACCCGTCTACGAATTTGTCACCGAGTTCATACCTCCGGCGGCTTACACCGAGGTTATCCGAGCTCAGGAATGTGAAATGTTGACAGGCCGCTTTCGGTAGACGGGGCTTCTTCAGGCAGCTGTTTCGGGCATTCCGCAGTAAGACCTCCAGAGAAACGGGTTGCCAATATGCCATGCAATCTAGCGATTGGGCCAGCTCCATTGTTTTCGAGATTATTGCTGTTTAGAGCGGGGCTACCGATTAAGGAGTTGCATAGGTAAAGCCCAGTCCTGGGCATAGTTCTCTTTCCGGCCCTGTAAAAATCAAAAGACTCGAAAACAAGAGATCATCTTCAATGAAGTTTTCTCTTCTTCAAATCTCCATATTCAAGCGCAATTCCTTCGGAGTCCGGACCAGACCGTCCGTGTCGACAAGGAAAGTCAACCAATTATCCACTTGATACCAGGATACTACGTGGACCGAAGAATTGAGATCGTCCGCTAAGACCGCACCTGGCTGCCTGAGGCCACGACGGGCGCGCTGATCGCCGTTTCAGATCTGAGCTCCCGCATTTCTACAACCTGTCCACCCTGCCTGTAACTTCAACCTCGCCATATTGCAATTGGAAGGTGAACGGCCATGGCCGTCGCACGCTCGATGCGCCGTACGAGTCCCATCAGCCTCGTGTTGGCTGCCCTGCTTGCCTTTGGCTTCATTGTTTTCATGCTATCACCTTCCACGCCCTCCGTCTCCGCATCCGCATCCGCCGTGTCCTCGCAACATCGCCAGGAAGACGCTGCCGAACATCCTCTCTCCCCACCAACAAAGCCCTTCCTCAAGTCCCAGGCTGTGCGCAGCAATGGCCTTCAGGCTGCCCCGCCAGTCGTCCACTATAACCTCAACAACCTGACCAGTTCGGGCAACGCAATAGCCAACCGCGAGCGGATCCTCATCCTCACCCCGCTAGCCCGCTTCTACCAAGGATACTGGGATAACCTGGTCAAACTGAGCTACCCACACGAGTTGATCTCGCTGGGCTTCATCGCACCCAAGACGAAAGACGGAAACGCCGCAGTCGCCGCGCTAGAAAAGGCCATCCACACGACGCAATCAGGACCCATCGATAACCGCTTCGCAAGCATAACCATTCTCCGCCAGGACTTCGAGCCGCCCCTCCAATCGCAGGACGAGAAAGTCCGGCACAAAATGTCCGCGCAAAAAGAGCGCCGCGAGTCCATGAGTCGCGCTCGTAATAGTCTCGTCTTCACCACAATGGGGCCGAGTACCTCGTGGGTTCTCTGGCTGGACGGGGACATCGTCGAGACACCCTCGACTCTCATCCAGGATCTTACAAAACACAATCAACCCGTTATCGTACCGAACTGCTACCAACGATACTATGACTCGAATTCCAAGAAATGGGATATCAGGCCGTACGACTATAACTCGTGGATTGATAGCGAGACAGCTCAAGATCTAGCTGCGCAGATGGGTCCCGACGAGATCCTGCTGGAAGGTTATGCGGAGATGCCTACCTACCGCACGCTAATGGCCTACTTGCCTAATTTCAGTGCCCTAGATCCGCACCGTACGGTCGCGCTGGATGGTGTCGGCGGTACCGCGCTCATGGTTAAAGCAGACGTTCACCGCGACGGTGCCATGTTCCCCGCTTTCCCGTTCTTCCATCTTGTCGAGACGGAGGGCTTTTCGAAGATGGCTAAGCGGTTGGGGTATGCCGTCTCTGGACTGCCGGATTATTTCGTATGTATTCTTTCTCACGGGATTTTGTCGAGGATGTTGCTTGCTGACGCTAGACTCCAGGTCTATCATTATAATGAGTAATTGGGGCCTCAGTTCCGACTTTTATAACAACGTTTCAACATGCAATGCTTGTTATTGAGCGCTGTGCGCATGATCTGCGTCTTTTATTCGTCTTTGCTAGCAAGGAGGAGACGTGCCTCTTACATCAAACACTACATTCCGCGGCATCTTTGTTTTCTCGCAGGATTCTTTGTTTTTCTTTTATCTTATTTTCTCGATCTGTCTTTCTTGAAAGTCTTTTCCCGCGTACTTCGTTGAATATCTTGCCCGAGGGGCACCTGAATCTCAATGTCCTTTCTCGTGTGAGGACAGACTTGGCATTGGACTTGGTTGGGAAGTTTTTTCCAGGGCAGTTTTTGATGTGGCGTTAGGAGTCTTTTCTTGGGCTGGTTGTGGGGCCACTGGTTACAATGGTGGTCTGCGTCAAATCAGCTAGATGGGTGTGAACCTTTGGATCGATAGATGCACGATTGAGAAATGCCATCTGTTCAGATGATTGGTACATTGAGATACTATAGATTAAGGCTCAAGTTACAATGCCAAGCTCTAAATATCAAACGCCAAGACCGGGGCTAAATTCTACTATTTTTACCCCATACAATGGAGCAAAACTATACCCATTACCATTTGGAGTAGTTGTATAAGACTCCAACACATCGCAACTATCTCAATCCCAAGAGATCCTATCACTTAGTCAGTAAAGACACTTGTCAGAAGAGGGGACTGTAGACTCACAAAAGCATAATGCCCGCACCAACAGCAACAGCCAAGAACTGGACAATAGTCTTCCGAATTTCGGCACCCTTATCTTTACCAGTCTCCAACAGCTCGGGGATAACAGCAACAGTACCAACATACAAGAATGTTCCCGCAGTGAAGGGAAGCAACATATCACCCCATTGAAGGCTGGTACCCCACAGTCCAGCGCTAGGGCCAGCCTCCGAGCCGGCGCTGTTACCGCCAAACTCCTGAACAGCGATACCAATGAAGGTTCCCAAGAATGCACCCACGGCCGTGACGAACTGCGCACCCATCGCCTTGCGCTTGGAGAAACCAGACTGAATGAGGAGGGCAAAGTCGCCGACTTCGTGGGGGATTTCGTGGAAGAACACGGCGACAGTGGTAGTTGCGCCGATGGTGGGTGAGGCATAGAAGGATGATGACAGGGCGAGACCGTCGGTGATGTTGTGGGTGAAGTCTGCAATGAGGTTGAGATATCCGCCCAGCTTGACGCTAGGATTGATCTCCTTCTCTGGCGCTGAGGCTTCTGAGACCTCCTGTCCAGACTTGTTAGATTTGCGCTGCTTCAGCTCGCCGCTGGTCTTGCCATTAGATTCAGAGCTAGTTGTGCTTGCGACTGTCGTGTCTGCATGAGAATGGCCGTGGGAGTGGTCGTGGCCGCCCTCGCCGCCCGTGGCGATGCGGAGAGCCTTGTCCATTGCGACAAACGTGAAGAAGCCAACCATGATGCCCAGACCAAGGAGGAGGTTCTTGTTCGGTTCAACCATGATAAAGCTCACATGGTCCGGGGAGTCTTCTCCAAGGAAGATCTCTGGCAGCAGGTGGAACAGGGTGTCACCAAGCAGACCTCCGACGGCAAAGGCGACCATGATTGACAGCGAGGCGGGGTCAATGTTGGGAGGGCATAATGCCAGGAGGAAATCTATCGTTACGAAGAGGATATGGTGAGAATAGCCTTCATTTTATCTGCAGGAGTAGTCGACGACCAAGGAGACATACTAGGGGGTCCGGAGATATACAACGTGGCCAGGAGAGAGTTCACAGCTGGGCTTCCAGGGAACAGCACGGCGAAGATCTTCGAAGTCAGACTCGCAGCCTCCGGCGCAGAAGCTCTCTTGTGCTCATTGAGAGCTTCAACCAAAGGACAATTCTAAATCCAAGTGTCAACAGCTGCAATGGGGGCGTAAAAGGATGTACAAGCTCAAATCGACCCCAGCTCGTGATGTATTACCTGCAATTGCTCCTCAATCTCACCAACAGACAAGTCACCTGGATGAGCAGTGGCAGCAGCCAGCGCTGAGAACAGAAGACACCCAGCAACAAGCGCAAAGCCCGTGCGGCGCGAGGGCATGAACCGCGAAGCCATTGGTGAAAGAATAGACCGCAGCAGCAGAGTGACAACAAGGGAATAAACAGCCCGCGTGTTCAAAGTGCCGCTTATCGCCGTGGTCGGACCACTGATCACTTTATCGGACCCTGGGACAAACATGCCAAGACCCAAGCACCGACGATGATGCAAACACAAAAAAGTTTCGATAACGCCTGATACTGATAATTCTACAATTTTTCCGACCAACCATCCACATCAACAGTTGCAAAGATGGGCAAGATCCTGCAGAAGAAGAAGGCTCGCTCTGGCCTCTCCAAGGCCAAGGCCAAGAACAACCGCCTGAAGAGCGGCAACAAGAAGATCAATGTGCTGGGCAACGCCATCATCGCCCAAAACTGGTATGCGGGAGACAACCTCGAAGAAAAAGGCTTAATCCATGGTCGCATGCGCTAACATTGTTTTCCCCTAGGGATCGCAACTTGACCCTTACGCAAAACTACAAGAATCTCGGTCTGCTGCACAAGCTTAACGCTCCCACCGGCGGTAAAGAACGAATCCCCGGACGCAACGACTTGCAAGAGAAGTCGAACTCGCTCCACATCAACGGCAGCGCTACTGCAGCCGCACAGATCGATCTGGGCGAAACAAAGGTCGAGCGCGATCCCGAGACTGGCAAGATTCTGCGAGTGATTCACGACTACGACGAGATCGAAGTTGCAGGCCAGAAGCGGCGGCGCGATAACCCGCTCAACGACCCTCTGAACGACCTATCAGACAACGAAGACGCCCCTTCCCGGGTTATCTCCGGCTCCAGGGTTGTTCAGCAGTTGGAGCGCCAGGCTGATTTGGAGGGACAGGGCGAAAAGGCCAAGAAGCCGCGGCATCAGAGCAGCCGCGAGGGAGAATGGATCTCGCAGTTGATTGAGAAGCACGGGGATAATATCTCGGCTATGGTCCGTGACCGCAAGCTGAACCCCATGCAACAGACTGGGGGCGATATCCGGAGGAGAATCAATAAGTGGAAGAAGAGCCAGGCATGATATCGAGGAAGTCGTTTCATTTTCAGCATTTGGTTAGGGCGAGTTCGGCGTTTTGATTTTTTTTGGCCACAATTTTCTTGTGGCGGTGGTTATAAAAAGTACCTCTTTCTATACATATTCTCGAGGATGTACTTGAACAGTGTATAATTCCTTCAAACGGAGCAGATATCAGAGCAATCGGTGTCTACTATATACATCTCTTCATGGAAATCTTGGTATCGTAAAGTGGTCGTACATTCAATTCTGGCCCAGCGTCGAATATGTAACAGTGACAGTTCCCGCTGGTGGGACATTCTTGCGCTGCACAATTCGCACCCACCGCCGGCGTCGCCATTCTCCTACTCCAAAGGAAGCAGAGGCTGCTTCCTCCCAATCTCCAGGCGCCTTTGCCCGCTGCTTGCCCTTGGGCGGCGAGGCACCTTTTGATTTGGACGTAGGGGTCGACATATCCAGATCACCGTACGCCATCGGAGTCACTTCCTCGTCATCTTCTTCTCGTGTAACAGATTGCTCAGAGGAGGGGAGATCCCACACCCAGCCACCGACTTGGTCAATGATGGCATGGCCATCGGGGGTAACCCCGGGGAGCTCAAATCCAACACCCGTAATCATACGCTCGACGACCCACTCTCGACAGTCCAAGTCGAGCTCCCACTTCTTGCTCTTCCATCTCCAACCAGACGGAGCCTGTACGTCATCAAAGAATCGGCATCCACGAGGCCGGTCTCCAGCGATGCGTGAGGGCGACAAAGGGTCATATGGCTGCGGGCTGAAAAGGAAATTCTCCCACCCAGACTCTGAAGTCCCCGACGCTCGATGTTGGAGCTCGAAGATCTCAACTTCGCGCTCTTCAGGGTCGGTGTCAAGTGATATTTCTGCCAACTGCTCCAATGCAGACATTGCTACGGAGGGGTCCTTGGGGATTGCGGCTCCAAATCCGCCCTCCTCATCGTCGCCAGCTGTCGAGTCCAAGTCCGATAACCCACCACCCACATCCTCCATTAAACCCTTGACAAAACTCTGCACTTTGGGATTGATGGATAGAACAGCCGCATTCCCACTAGCAAGCATGATCAACTTCAGAGGCAAAAGATGCGCCATGAGGAACATCACCGCTGTAGCAACTGTACCTCCAAGGAAGATGGTCGAGGATAGCTTTTCGTTGGAAAAATTCGTCAGTGGGGCAACTATGCCGATGACTGCATCATGAGCATCTGAGAAGTCTGCCATGACATTCTGGAGATCTCGCATGTTGCGGAAGAAATCCTTCGAGGTCTCCGAGGCTGGCTTTATCGTCTTTGCTGGAGCTAGTGCCGGTCCTTCGTAGGAGTAGTATGGAATGATACTAGAGGTGGATGTAGAAGGTGGTGGAGGATGGCGAGTTATAAACGCCGGCACCATGATAAACAGAAGAAGAACCACCAGGGGTAGAATGAGGACCAGATGGGGATCCAAGCAGATGAAAGAATAGACAAATAAAAAAGAAATAGTGTGGGTAGGTGTTTCCCAACTGAGCAGACGTTCAACTCGAGTCTGGAAGAGAAACACTACGCCGATTCTATACAACATGGGTTAGCTTTCCCCGGTCAAGCAGTCCAGTGATCAATGTATCAATGTCTCGGCTTTCTGCTCACCTGGCATTAAACCGGCGGAAGTTGTTAGACATCGTCGGCAGGCTGAAGGGTGGCCGCTTGGGAGATGCCACAAAGGACCTGTCCTCGGTCCCATCATCCTCGTCGTCGGTGGGGATGATTTGTTGTAGAAGTCTAGGATTGCCACGGTTAGAAAACCAGCGTATCACCATTATAGAAGACCAGTCTGGATAAGGGAGTAAATTACTTGGAAAATAATCTGTCTCGGATAGAGTTCTTCGACTGCGACGATGATCGCGAATGTGCGCTGTCTGGAGAGCCGCTCCTCTCGCGCCTCGGCTTCTTCAAGTCCATCATGGGAACAGGATCGTCACGGTTCACCAGGGCGTCCGGGGTATATTCATCCATGCTGGAAAAAGACCACCATGGTCTATAGGTAGACGGTCAGAGTGAGAGCAACAGAAGAGTAGAAGAGGAAGAGCCGGGGGAGAGGCAGCCGAAGAAGACCGGCGAGCAGTCGAAGCACATGTGCTCTGTCGATGCCTGCTGAATCGGGCAACGGTCCTTTTCTGGGGGTGGGCGGTACCGCGTATGGTCAGATCATCGCCAGCGGGACTGTGATGGCAGGAAAAATGCTGGTAACTCTGGTATGGTATGGTAAAGGCATGCAGTCCGCAATCAGGGGAAGTTTGGACTTGGGACAGTCGAGAGCGGCATGTTTATTCTTTTCCTCTTGTCCCCTCACTCTCCCTCTACTTTGAACTCGCTTTCCCTCTTCTTCTTCTTCTTTTTCATCATTTGCAGCATTTCATCTACAGTCTCCTTTGTTGGTGTTTTGTTGGCGGTGGATCCCCATAGTATCCATCGCGACCGCCTTGTGCTCCTGCCCCAGCAACAGGACAAGGAAAGCTACGCCGAAATTATTTCCCCAGTTGCTGAGCCTAAGCACAAAAAATAACAGCCCACCATTACCTTCTCCTGGCACCGCTCATCGGCCATTCTTCTCGCTTTGCTCCCGAAATGGACCGGTAGCCGCCTCTCGACGGGTCGCGCGACAGTGCTTACGGCTCTTCCTTTTTCTTGATCGTCGAGGACGCCAGCTTTCTCCTGAATGCCATTGCCGTCGGACCCTGACACGTCTGGGTTTCGTCTCTAAGTGGGCGGTCAATTCGACGCGAGTCCGACTTTTCTACGGCCCAAATGGATTCTTGGACAATGCCGACCAAACCGGCGCAGACCACGGGGAGGGGTCCAACGGGGTCAACCCAATCTCGGGGGTCCAATCCGTCTAGACACGACGATTCGGGCTCTGGAGGTAAGGAGATCATCCCTCTTGGGCGCATTGAGGTATATACAGCTGACAAGATTCGTTACAGCAGAAACTCCCGCCCGTAGACGCCTGCAAAAGGCCGCCTCTACTACTTTCCATATGAATCCCTCCACCAATTTCGATTCGCAGTCTTCGAGAGGCATTGCAGGCCCGCGCTCAGGGGAAATGGGAAGGAGAAGATTGTCCATCAGAGGTCCAAAGGCTCCTCAGGGGCCTCGCCCACAGGATGCTTCGCGTGGGAAGTAAGCGCCACTTTTCAATATCCTTCAACCCCTCCCCCTTTCTCGCCCGGACTACAGAGTTGACTTGGGGATAACCACAATCACCAAAAGCTAACCACCCATGATTCATAGCAAACCCTCTGCCCCCTACTTCCACTCCGAGAGTTCTTCAATCGATTCCACAAACGATGCGACAGTGGGTTATAATCTCCGATCTACGAGTGTGGGCAACCTGTCGAAAGCGGAGCCCAGCCAAACCCCTCCAGCGGAGAAAGGGGAATTTCTGGCCCCGATCAGCTTCGATGACTTCCACAACAGCATCATGGCTGAGCCCAGTCTCAATCATTTCCCCATGCCTGGTAACGGCGGTGCGGGATCAGAAAATCGGGACTCTGGGTTGTCTATAAACAGCTCCTGGACGGCTCACAGCTATGAGAGCACTACCTCGGAGCGGGCCAAGGGACCTGCATCTCGCCGGAAGAGCGAAGTCCACCGCTTAAATGGTCAGACTCCTACAAACTCAGGGCTATCAATGGCCTCCGCCAATTCCCGTAGCCGCCGCCAAAGTCTTGCCCAAACCTCCGCCGCGACTGCCGCCAGCACGCGAGGCTCCCGCAAGTCTATAAGCTCAGGTGCCTTCGCGCCCACCAATGCGTCGGCTAGGCGCGCTAGTCTCAGCGCTCGTAAAGTCAGCGTGGACACAACGCGAATGGATGCGAACAACTTCCTTCGCCCGCGGGCACAACAACCGGACCAAGTTCAAGATGAGCCTAAAGTTCCGTCGTCGGTCCGAAGTCTAAAGGCCAAATCTTTCCAACCATCTCCGCGCGAGCCACGCAGTACATTCTTGACGGCAGCTAAGTCCACGGATCATACAAGGTCTTCATCGACCAATGCGGTTCGTACGCCAGTCAAGAACTCCACTGGACTTAATGGCGTGAACACGACACCCTCCTCATCCTCCAAGCGCATGTCTACCATGCCGCACGCGACCGGCTTGGGCGCCCGCACCATCAGTCCTACAGATGCACGACGCATGAAACGAATGTCAATCGCGCCTCCAGCACCACCTATGCCACACACTCCTCCCACGCAGACGGAGCCTCTTCCCACCCGACCCATATCTACAAATCAATCTCCATCATTTATTCCGAGGAAAAGCGTCACCCCTTCCTCTAACCGAACTACTCCTGATCCGAACCGCAAGTCGTATAGCTCTGGACTGTCATTGTCATCAAACACTAGCTACAACTCTGTTCGGAATTCTGGGAGTTCGCTCCAACCTCGTCTGTCTCAGAATTTCTCGTCATCACGTCTACCAACTCCCAAGCCACGTACGGAGCAAACTACAAAGGATTCGGAAGAAGAGGTACCTCCTGTTCCCGCAATCCCTAAGGCATACGAGTCTCCCAAGGGCGAGCTTGATGCGCCAGTCTTTCCTGCGCCGAGAAAGTCAAGCTTGCCGGTCGATATCAGCCTCCTCAACATTGCACGAGACTCAGATTCCGATGCCCACGGCAGTCTTGGTATGAATGGAGGCGACAATGCTGACATCACTAATGGCCGGGTGACGAAAACCCCAGAGTCACGGACGCGAACTTCCACAGTGCTGGGTCGCAAGGGTCTGCAGCCATTGAAGCTGCCCCCTCTCAACTTGCTTCCTCTGGGGACTCCAATGACAACGAAGATTGAGGCATTGAGGGACAGAGAGGCCGAGGAGAGGAAGGCTCACACCCCTTCCAACCAGGTCTTGTCCAAGACACCAAGTACTCCTATGACTGCCTCCAAGGCCAACTTTTGGTATCGTGATGAGGATGACAAGGGCCCAGCCACCCAAGTTCGCAGCAGCACGTCGCACTTTGCGCTTAGCTCCATCTCCACAGCAGGACTGCGCACGGCCAGCAGCACCAGTGCCTTTGGCCCTACAGATACGCCCAATGGTACTCGCAACATCTCACCATACGCTTCGTATACGCTCCCCAAATCCGGCTCCGAGTTCAATGCTCTCCGTCACCAGGCAAGCGGCGATTACTCCAACCGAGTATCCCAGTCCTACAAACTTACTGGGCCTCGACCTCAGACGCAGAGTGCCATTTTCGCACCAGCTTCCGAAAGACTTAGCCAGATCTCGACACCATCTGAGCCTGAAAGTACCACTGTGGTGCCGGCCTCTACTCTAAAAGATCGGATCAATGTGGCTAGACTCCGCAGCAATTCCAAAGCAAATCTTTCGTCTGAAGCTGATACCGACCGCTCCAAGTACGATAACATGCCACCACCGAAGCTTCCGGCTTCTGCAACATGGAACAATTTTTCTTCCGTGACCTCGACCAGCCCTGTTACGAAAACTTCCTATCTCAAGCCTCGGCGCCAGTCCTCCGTCTCCAGTATCACAAAACAGGCTGCTCCTCGGAAGCCAAGTGTGAGCAGCGATCGGAGCCTTCCCCTTGAGCATACCACTACCAATGAATCCATGAGCAGCGACCATTCTCACAACCGTGCCACTAACAACTATGTGTCCTCTGTACACAAGATTATCAACACTGCTCGATCTAGCGCGGCGGCCACTTCGCGCACTGCTGATGCTAGCGTCGACGCAGATACAGTCATCGCAGATGAAGAAATGAGGCGTCTGGGCGCGAAGAGAAAGGACTTTGAGACAGCGGCCAGGCAATTGGATGAACTACGTCGCAAGGCAGGGCCAAAGGATCGCGTTAGTCCCGCTCAGGCGCTTAAGATGGCAAACTTGAACATCTTTGAGCGTGGTGAGATCATTGACTACCGTGACATCTTCTTCTGCGGCAAGCAAAATGCGAAGAAGCATGTTGGAGATCTGCACTCGGGCGCTGCGAACTTTGGCTATGACGACGATCGTGGTGACTATAACATTGTAATAGGTGACCATCTCTCCTATCGCTACGAAGTTGTGGATGTCCTAGGCAAGGGAAGTTTCGGACAAGTCGTGCGCTGCGTCGACCACAAAACCGGCGCTTTGGTCGCTGTCAAGATCATTCGCAACAAGAAGCGTTTCCACCAGCAAGCTCTCATCGAGGTCAACCTCCTCAAGAAGCTCAAGGACTGGGATTCCGAACGCCGGCATAGTGTGGTCGCGTTCGATCAAAGTTTCTACTTCCGCGGCCACCTGTGCATCTCAACCGAACTTTTGGGCATGAATCTCTACGAGTTCATCAAGGCACACGACTTCCGCGGATTCTCGCTCAAGCTTATTCGCCGTTTCACCAAACAGATGCTCAGCAGTCTGGTTCTTTTGCACGCCAAGAAGGTCATTCACTGCGATCTGAAACCTGAGAATATTCTTCTTGTTCACCCGCTGAACTCGGAGATTCGAGTTATCGACTTTGGGTCAAGTTGCTTTGAGAATGAAAAGGTCTATACATACATCCAGAGTCGTTTCTATCGCTCTCCGGAAGTCATTCTCGGAATGTCATACGGCATGCCCATCGACATGTGGAGCTTGGGCTGTATTCTGGCCGAACTGCTCACTGGTTATCCCATCTTCCCTGGTGAGAACGAACAGGAACAGCTGGCCTGTATTATGGAAGTATTTGGTCCTCCCGAGAAGCATTTGATCGAGAAGAGCACTCGCAAGAAGTTGTTCTTCGATTCTCTCGGGAAACCGCGCTTGACTGTTTCGTCCAAAGGACGCCGTCGCCGTCCAAGCTCTAAGGACATTCGTCAAGTTCTCAAGTGCGATGACGAAGCCTTCTTAGACTTCCTCTCTCGTTGTCTCCGCTGGGACCCTACTCGTCGACTCACCCCCCATGACGCCTTGAAACACGAGTTCATCACCGGAGTCAAATTGTCTACTCGGCCGCGGATGTATGCTGCTGTCGCGTCTCCTTCCAAGCGATCGGCTACAACGTCCAATGCACGCCCGCTTCCCGAGCCTCCTGGTGGTACCCTGAAGAGTGCTCGCACTCGCGATATTTCGGGCAGTTCCCCGGTCAAGGGCTCCAGCGGAAAACGGCACTCAACGGTCACCGGTCTGCCGCCATCTAGCCCCGCTAAGCGAGGGTCAAACACTACCACTATCTCAGGGACTGGGTTGCCTCGTGCCTCGGCACGCAGTATCAGTGGGAAGCCAGACCTCGCCACGGCGGCAGCTGCGACGAGCCTTGTGAGTTAAAGATGCTGCCAATCATGCCGGCACTAATCAGGAAAAATATACTGACCAGCAACAGAGGAGCAAATAAGCCGGCTGTTTCCCTTTATATGAGGCCCCTCTGCCATGTCCATAATTATTTCTCCACGCCATCACATGCCCCTTCCCAATTACCCCCTTTACCCCCCTTCCTCGTGTAATCATAATTGCTCTGATTTCTTACTTCTTTTGGTTTGCTTTATTCTCATGCATCAGGAGGTATGTCATGTCAGCTTACGTTGGTCTGGTTCGGCTGAACCCATGGAGATGAAACAGGACGACATGCATCCTATACCCACTTTATGTTCGTTGATAGCATTTGCATCTTGGGCCCTGATATGATTATTTGTGATAGGGTTTTGCGTCTGTGTCCTCCCATTCTCACGTTGGCTTTTCTTGCTATTTGACGACCCCCTTTTACTTCTTCATCAGGACCGCTCTTGGTCCTGCTATTTGTATATTCTTTTTCTTTACATTATTTCCTTGCATCTCTCCTTGAGAGCTTCGCTCCATAACGTTGACACTCATGAGCATTCGGATTGGCAATTAAGCTTGCATTAGCTATTCAAAGACAATTTACCATCATTTGTACATTACTGGCTCATTGACCCTCATTCTTTGAAATCAATTGGTACGGATTATGATTGTTGGTGTAGAATATTTCCTTTGTTCGGCAAATCGAGTGGGAGGGCGATCGTCAACTGGCAGATCGCGGCAATCGGGCTACTTGGCCTCATCGCCTTATCTGACTTTCATACTCCACTTCTCAAAGCCTCCCCCAACTTTCTGCCATTGGCGACATTTGCTTCCCTTCATGTCGCTGTTGGGCTTGCATATTCGCAATGAATGGCTTTGAAACTAAGGGCCTCAATGAGGATACCTTTGGGGAGAAGAGTAGCCTGTCAGGGCTAAAGACCTTCGACGCTTTCCGTGAGTCTATAATCACCTCCCCATCCAAGAACAAGGAACTGCCAGGAACAAGCAGTTACCACAGCAAAATGCTCGTTCTTATACTCTTCTGGTCTCCAATTCATCCCGAACTTACTGTATGAAGCTGACAAGTGCCCTTTTTCTACCAGCTAAAACCAAATCATCCTATACAACACCCACCACCCGCGGCGGCCAATGGACCGTTCTAATCCTCGCCATCTGCACCCTCTTTAGCTTCCACGAGCTCAAAACATGGTGGCGCGGCACTGAACAACACCACTTCAGCGTGGAAAAGGGTGTCTCGCACCAACTCCAGCTCAACCTTGATATAGTCGTCCACATGCCCTGCGACACGCTCCGAGTCAACATCCAAGACGCCGCAGGCGACCGCATCCTCGCCGGCGAACTCCTCCAACGCGAAGACACATCCTGGAACTTGTGGATGCAGAAGCGCAACTACGGATCGCATGAGTACCAGACTCTTAACCACGAGGAGGCTGATCGGTTGAGCGCGCAGGAGGAGGACGCGCATGTGCACCATGTTATGGGCGAGGTGCGGCGCAACCCGAGGCGCAAGTTTGCGAAGGGTCCGCGCATGCGTTGGGGCGAGAAGGCGGATGCTTGTCGGATTTATGGGAGTTTGGAGGGCAATAAGGTGCAGGGGGATTTCCATATCACGGCGCGTGGACATGGATACCGGGAGTTGGGGGAGCATTTGTCGCATGAGAGTGAGTTTCTACCTTGCGCTCATACTTGGTATCATTCAATTGCTGCGAGTTGGATCGACAAGCTATCCAGATCTGTCGATCTGCATTCTATCACTCTATACACTATCCACTCAACATCCGCTAACACTCTATATCTAGCATTCAACTTCTCCCACATGATCACCGAACTCTCCTTCGGCCCTCACTACCCAAGCCTCCTAAACCCTCTCGACAAGACCATCGCCGAAACCGAAGACCACTACAACAAATTCCAATACTTCCTCTCCATCGTCCCAACCCTCTACACAAAAGGCCGCTCCGCCTTCGACGCCTACACGCTCAACCCCGCCGCCCTCGAAGCCCGCTACAACCGCAACACAATCTTCACAAACCAGTACGGGGCAACCAGCCAGTCCGGCCCCATCCCCGAGAGTCCCTACCTGATCCCGGGTATCTTCTTCAAGTATAACATTGAGCCGATCTTGTTGCTGGTCAGCGAGGAGAGGACAGGATTCTTGAGTCTGATGATTCGGTTGATTAATACCGTGTCTGGAGTGCTTGTTACCGGTGGTTGGGTTTATCAGATTTCCGGGTGGGCGGGTGAGTTTATGGGGAAGAGGCGGAGGCAGAGTGAGGGCGTGTTGACGGGAAAGCATTATTCGGATTGATGCGGAGTTATGTTTTTGATTTATTGGATTTGTTGTTTTTCTACTGCATAGTACTGAGTATATGAATTCATTGCATTTGTCTTTTTGAGATAATGGTTCAGTGTGTTGCGCGTATAGCTAGTCCAGTGTTGACTTTTAGACCCTTACTAGTAGACCTTGCACGGCATCATTTACAAGGTTTCTGGGTATATCAAACCAAGGTCTAAGATCATCTCTCCTATACGACAGCATGAGCATTGGCCGAGCATGGAACCTCCAAAACGTGTATTGATGACAAAAATAGTGGTATATAAAACATGAATGCGCCTCCACCCCAAACATACCTCATGCCCTCCAGTTCAATCGGAAGATACATCTGCAGAATACACAACGAACCCTCAAACCTCAAAGATCTGCCCCAAAGCCAAACCAGGACCTTCAGCCCCAGCCCGACTATCAACCAGATCCAGACGCCAGCCCTGCCAATCCCGGAGCTTGCGCTTGATTTCACGCACCCACTCCACCCGCTTACGGGCCTCCTCTTCAGCCTGTGCGCGGGCGAACTCTGCCTCATCGAATTCATCTTCCAGATTCTCCTCCGACAAGAGCTCGAGACTACCGCGGGTAGCTGGGTGCGGTGGGTTCGACGAGCCAGCGCGCGCGCGATTACCACCTGTAAATGCTGCAAAGCCACTAGACAGAACATCTGAGAAGGACGAGTGTTGCTGCTGCAAGGCCATGCTCCGACGGCGCGAGTGATCGGGTCGACCGCCAACTAGGTCGACATCGTCAAAGGCATTCGCCGCAACGTCACCTGCAGACTCGGGTCCTTCGTCGGAATATTGCTGGCCAGTCAGCTCCGAGCGCTTCTCCTTCCAGACGCCGCGACGCAGGTCAAAGTTTTCGCCTTCCAATTCGCGAATTCGGCGCTCAAGACGCTGGCGTTCTTCGTCTTCGAGCTCATCGAGGGCTTCGTCGTCTGCACCACCGGCATCACGCTTGCGCATGCGATCACGCTCCTCACGGAGGCGAAGGTTCTCGTTTTCAATGCTGGCGAGCTTCTTCCGTAGGACCGCGGTTTCTTTCTCTGCTTTCTCACTCTCGCGTAGCCGAGTCTGATGCCGAGCCTCTGATTCTTTGTGAAGATTACCCAATGCTTGGAGTTTCTTGTCCAAGGTCTCGATCTTCTTTTCACCCTCAACCTTCTCATTCTTCAACTCTTCGATCTCGCGCTGCAGCGATTTGATCAGGGTTTCGGTAGATGTCTTGTCCACGCCTTCCTTGACTGCTTTCTCGGAGGCGCGAGTGAGAGCTAGCTTTGTATCATTGAGTTCACGCTGTGACTTTTCGAGGGTGGCCTGGCTCTCTGATAGCTTCTCTTCGAGGGCGGTCACCTGTGTCTCATGGGCGCTCTTCGAGGATGTCTGCGACGTCACCTGGGCGCGCAGATTGGAGATCTCTAGTTCCATGGCTTCAATAGTGGCGGATTTGGATTCTAACTGGCGCACAAGATCCGCTGGCGGCGATTCTGACGTCCCGGGCACGGAGATACTAGCATTGTTGCGGTGTGACCGAGACTGGAGCTGTGAGTTTTGCCGTTGTAGCGAGGCAATCTCCTCTTTCTGCAATTTAGGTCAGCTCAATCCGTCACCAGAATACAGTTTCAATAGACCATACCAAAGCCTCAATACTAGCCACCTTCTCCTCAGCTTGTTTCAATCGCTCCCTCAACTCCGCCCCATCCACACTCGCCTCCCGCAGATCCTCCAACTGGTCCTCCGTCTTGCGCCAGCGAGTCGTCGCATCCGAAAGCTCTTTCTCCAGCCTCTTATTATCCTTCTCCAGTTCCTCAATCTTCGTTGACTGTTTCCGGAACACTTCATGGACGGACTCCCCGTCCCCAGTCAAGGGCGGCAGAGGCTGCGATGGAGACTTGAGGGCGGATGGAGATTGGGCGCTTCCTTGAGATATGGAGGACCTGCGGAACGATGACGAGCGCATCTTCGACTGAATCGACAGGGACGCCTGGCGGCCATGGCCGGCGCGAGGGGTATCCAGACGTGCAGGCTGCGGCTCGGCCTCTGGATCAGGCGGGGTGGGGGCCGAGGGCATGGGCTCGACAGGAGACTCGACAGGTTCGGATGGTTCAGCTGGCTTTTCTTGCGATTCTGGCTCTGGTGGTTGTTCCGGGGTTGCAGTGTCTGCAGGCGTAGGTTCTTGCGGCTTCTCGTCGGCGGGGGGGTCTACTGGAGGGGTAGTCTCCGTGGTAGCCGCAGACTCTTGCGTAGCTTCGACATCTTTAGGACTCTCGGTATCCTTGGATGTCTCCGTGTTGGTTGAAGCCTTCTTGCTGGCCTTCTTCTTCTGTTTCTGGAGCTGCGCTACCTGCAATAACATGGGAGTGGTTAGTGTTGGTGATTGCAATGGCGCCAGCGGCGATGAGAGCGTACCCTTTTCTTGGCAGCAGCGAGCTTCTCAGCTTTAATGCGCTCGTCCTCGTCGGCCATTATGTTATGTTCAAAGGGGTATCAATGGGTGCGAAGTAGTTGTGTCAGAGTGGAATGGAGAATGGACAGCTTTCCCCAACTCGGCGCACGGGCCACCTCCGATGTGTTCGCTGGCGTGATAACATGGGGCAAGTCTCTGTAGATACAAAGCGATACGAGAGATCAAGTCCCATTAAGTACGGAAGTCGATGAAAGAAACCTGTCTTGCATACTTTGGAGCAGGTCTTAGGATTCCACATTGCTGTCTAAATCAGCCATTCGGCTATCAGACAACAGACTCTAATAAACCATCAAATAGACCAAAGCATACAGGACAAAGTCAGAGAGAAAGAGTATATTATTAAATTTATAGACAGGAGCAGAACGGAAAAAGTCTCAGTGTCAGAGTCAGAAGAGGGCGGCGGTTCATATCAGTCTTGTTCGTAACGCCCCTCGTGGCATAAAAAGATATAATGCAGGTTGAATTGCTCCTCGAGTCCCAGGTCCCCAACGCCCCCAGCTAAAAAGACAGTTAAACGATAAAACAAAACCAAATCACCGATCAACGGGACCTGAAAGAATCAAACGCAATCAAGAAAGAAAAAGTCAGACAGGTACACCAGTTGCATAACTCATATCTCCATGGTATCCACAAGCTCCTCACTCATCGCCCGAACCATGCCCCTGCTGCCCCTACGCGAATGGGTTTCCTCGTCACTGAGGACGTACTGATCCTCATCATCCGCGTTCTCGGCATGATGAAGGGACGACTCCGCCCGACTCCCGAACCAGTACCGGGCTCGCTTGCTTGAGCTCAGGTCGGGCGTCAGGTAACCGTCGTCGAACGTCCGCTTACCAGGAGGCGTAGAGACAACCTCGTTGTCTTCGGGCGGCGTGTGGCTGAGGATTGGGATCGCACGGAGATAGAGGTAGCAGACCCGCTTTCGCAGCGGGTTGAAGAAGAAGTAATGCAAGCTCCAGATTGCTCCATCATCGGCGTCAGACGGGTCCTCCTCAGGGGAGTACGAGTAGACCGAGCACTCCTTGAGCGACATATGCTCGTCCATAATCCGCCACATCCGAGGGCCCCAGGGAGGGGCGCCAGAATTGTATGATCCAGAAAGTGTGGCTGGTGATGATGGCGAGAGATCAATTGACTCGCGGGGACGGAGGTTGAACAGTGTGGAGTTGACTGTATTCATCACACGCTTCATGTGTCGCTCACGGCGGAAATCCGTGGGCCTCAACACATGCGAGAAGTCGTAGTCGGGATGGCTGGCATTGAGCGTCGCGATGAGATAGGCAAAGGTACGCCGACTGGAATGCTCGCTCAGGGGGCCAAACGGACTTGATCGGGATAGGTTCAATGTCTCGGCCGCATCGTGGGCATTTGGTGGGGACAATGACGCCGAAAGACGAAGGATCGATTCATATTGGGCTTCGAGGGATTGTTCGATGTGATTGTAGAGTTTCCGATCAGATCGGGCAGCCTTGGTCGTGTACAGATCGCATCCACCCTCGATGTGACAATCCGCTGTATCAAAGTTTAACGAGCTCGTAACATCTTCGAACTCGGGGAGAGGTAGGAACTGAAGAGCGAGAGAAGTAGGTAAGCAACTGCGACCAGAGCGATGAAAGAGCGGTGGCTCTCAGCGTTATCGCCATGGCGACTGAGGGGAATAATGGGGGCCAACCTTCATCCTGTCGAAGTTGTCGTAGCGGGTAGAGAGTTGGATCGGTAGAATAAGCGTTGGGATTGGGAATTCTCTGCAGATGGTGAGAAATATCACGATCGCCTCACTGTCGCTGAAGCGATGAATGATGACGCGAGGTGGTCGCGCCGGAGACGGAGGTGATGGGCGCCGATCGGCGATAACCGCAAACAGGCCAGATAAGGGGGGAAGTGAGTTTCCACGACGCCGTACACACCGCGGAAGGTGCACTTATAGAAGAAAGACAAGGAGTAGAGAGGGTGAAATGCGATGAGGAAATGGAAATCCGATGCGATGCGATCGACCAGACGATTGAGGGAGGGGGAGAAGATGCGTTGCGACCGGGGATCACGTGTCGTGGTCTGGGGGCCAGTGAGAGCCCGCACTGACCTCACGGGCGGGCCAACCTTTGGGGGTGTCCAGTCGTCGTGTTAGCAGCAAAAGGAATGAGTGGAATGAGTGGCAGAGAGTCTTTCCGAGTTCCTCCTGAGTGGCTCGGGCTGGGACAAGGTGGGCAGGTCTGATCAAGACCGGTTCGGGCCACAGTTCCATGGGTCCAGCCTGGCTCACAGCCCGACTCGGTCCAAGTTGCGCGACACGTCGTCCGAGTCCTGAAAAGGAGACCCAGTCATATTGATTAGTGAGGTAAAAATAGAGTCACGAAACACGCTACGCCTGTAGACAAAGAAGACCAAAAAAGGACCAAAGCAGAATAACAAAGAATGAAAGAAGAAAGAAGAGTCTCGAATCCCGGTCGCTACATGATCTTGGTGACAACATCTTCCTCAACCTAGGGCGGAGAGCATTAGCCCGATGGCGCCTGGAAGAGAAAGGGGAGGAGTAGAAGGTCAATGAGACACGGAGAAAGGAGATCCCAACTGTCAGGTACTGGGGGTAGCACAGCGCATGACAAGGGATCCCTTGAGGAGGAGGAGACGGGCAGCAGGGACAAAGCATGGTCGGACTCACCTCCATATCTTCCAGACTGTCCTGCTGGCTGATACAGCGAAGCACATTCTTCTTGCTGCTTTCTTGCATCTCTCCCGCTAGTAATAGCTCATCCAGGATGAAGTATGCTTTCTGGAAATTGAAGATGATATCCAGTTCGCACACGTTCCCGTAGTATTTATCCATCTGCTCGACGTAACGGTGGACGATCTCGAGGGTGATCAGTTCGTTGTCGGTTGATGCGCAGCCGGCAATGAAGAAGAGAGAAGCATAGCGGCGATAGACGACTTTCGAGTCTGGCAGTCAGGTCATGGTCAGCAGGCTGTACGACTGGTTGGCCGGAGCCGCGGAGAAGAAGCCACCTTTGTATTCAAGGAAATTGCACATGCGCGTCCGGCGGGACAGCACAAGTTGAGTCACATCCTTGATGATCTTGGCCTTCTCCTTGGGGGAGAGAGTGGTGAACCACTTGGCGAGACGCTGCGAGGAGAAAAATCGGCGTCAGTCGACCTCAAGCACATCGGCGAAACAGGGTGGGTGACGAGGGGGGTTGGACATACCACTTTGCCCTGCCGGGACAAGAGGATGAGGTAGCTGGAGATAATGTCAGCGGATACAGACTCAATCCAACGCTCATTTCACAAGCTCACCTGATGGGCATTGTGATGGAAGACTGGGAGGTGAAAAGGGGATGGCGAAATGGGAGGTTGGTGCTGTCAAAGCCGTGGCGGATCCGAGCTCTGGAGAAATTCTTCGAGTGGAGCAGAGGGGAGATGCCCCGCTACCAAGCCCTAGCTTGAAACTGCCAACCGGGGAGTGTTGGAAGATTGTTCAATCAGATGATGATGAGTTTCCAATTGATCACAGAAAATAGATTCTCTGTTGAAGTCGACGGACTGAGATGTTGCGTCTCTTCTGCGCACGGATGCATGAGTCAAGGCTGCCGCTCCATGACTCGTGAGAATCAGCAACTTTGTACGTCATGCGATCAATTTTCCAATTGCTGCTTTGAGCTTCTCTATGAGAAGTAAAGCAAATGGACATCTTAGATTCCAGTAAATCCTACTTATCCAGTTTCAACATTCTAGAAGTCCGGCAGAAGAGAACTCCCCCGGTCGGCGAACATATATATAGCCCCGCGTATGCGGATGGAGTATAGTATAGGTCTTGCGTAGGGGGCATGCCGCCCTTACGAGAGCTCTTCAACTAGCTCCAACGAACAGATGTCTTCCTATCTTACCGGAAGCGAGTTACGGAAAAGCTGGAGAAGATTGAAAGCTCTGGAATTACCCAAACAGTCGGTATCAAAGCAAAATTAATCAATATTATTATGACATCGTAATTGCACAACAGCACCCAAAAGCATTATTCCATATCGTACTTTGTCGCGCGATATTATCGGGAGAAAAAAAAAAAGAGTAGTCGCGTCTTCGTTCATCATTCTCCGTTTTCCATTATCCATTTCGAATCATCCAGGATCCAGACACGGAAGAAAACCAGGTGAACATTCTATATATCCTCCATTCGGTCTCATCCAAACCGGATCGTCAAAAGTCATACAACCGTCCAACAGTGCATTGCCGTCAAACGCCGTTTCAAATTATGACACTATCGTATCACACCCGAAGTAAGAGATAGGCTTCTAAGCTTCTGGAAATGAACCTCGCGTGAAATTCAACCCAGGAAGTTTTCATGAGCCAGCTTGCACCTCGTCATGTCTGCGAGCTTAAACCTGGGCCATGTTAGGGCGGCGACGGCTAGCACTGCGGCCACGGAGGGTGGAAGTCGAAGACCGAGCCATGAACACAGAGACGATGACGGAGGCCATGTACCCAGCCCAGGCGAACCACAAAAAGGCCGTTGATGCTTGGGACTCACGGCAGCGCTTCGTCATGTTGTTCGCGCCGTTGGTGATTTCATTGCTTAAAAGATAGGACTAGAGGGGATTAGTACATTTAGTCGACATGCCTAAAACTAAAGGAACACGATAACATACCTGGTTGTGGCAAGAGTGGACTGTGAGCTTCGCAGCGAGCGCGATAGCCGCGGCGAAGAAAAACACGCAGTTGAGCGCGTCGACCACGACCATGATGATCGGGTGGAAGGCCCAGTCCGAATTGAACGAGGCCGGTACCAGGTAGATCAGCGAGAACATCGAGAACGCCGAACAGAACATCGCGTAGTTGATAGTAGCTGGGTTGCCTGAGAATGCCGAGGCGATTATGTTACCCACGAGGGCCATGATGAGCAGAGTCCACAAGAACTGAAGTGCAGACAATAGTGTTAGTAAACGCATACTTGCGCCATAACTCCACAGCTTCGATCGATACGTACCTCCCACGCACGGAGGCCCAACTGAACGCCCCTTAGACCCATTGTGAATTTTGAGATGGAGCTTGCTTGGATGGCAAGAAAATAGAGTAAGTCACGGTTCGCGAAGAAACCCGAATATAAGACTTAGGCTGTAGGTTAGTGTCGGACGCCGAGTCGAGAAAAAAAGGCAGCGGGATTTCGAGACTTTGACAAGGATGTTGCAGTGTCTTTAGCTACACTAGGTACTTTCGGGTCTTGCTGCGATTATAAAAGTCGCGGATCGCCCGGAAAATGGTGATGACGATATAGAAAGGCTATCCAAGACCTTCGCTACGTCATGCATCGACGCGCTCGGGAGCTGGCGGCACGAGAGCAAATCGGGGTATGATCAGGTTTGAAAACTATGTGACCAGCAAACTATGCGGCCATTGCTTGGTCAATGACCAAATGAACTGGAGGGAACGGGTCATCGCCGACGATGAGACCATGTGCTTAACTCGGGGACTATAGTGGTTCGGCCGGAGTTGGCTCTCCCCAGTAGTTACTACATGTATGTCTAACTGCAGACTTTGCAAGATAAATGGGAGAGGATTTACTAGGAGCATGAGCATTTAATAAGGGGTTACACTTACAAGTACCTCTGGATTTTCTCCGACAAAAGAGGGGGATCTTCTTCTCATGTTGATCATGCCCTTTCTTGTAGACTGGGATTGCATCGGATCTGCGCATGGAAGAGTAGAACGGAGCAGCACCGTTAGGCTGTAGGAAAATTGAGAGTTTTACTCAGTATCGTGGTGCTTGGTACTCCAAGGGGAAGATGAGCTCGAAGGTCAAGATGATATTATTTAAAAAGAACAGAAAACGAAAAAAAAATGATTGACGAACAAAATTGTAGAAATAAAAAAAGATGATGAAAAATAAGTGGTCCCAGAGGGGGTCGAACCCTCGACTTTGGCGTTATTAGCACCACACTCTAACCAACTGAGTTATGGAACCCTTGCTGGAGGATATGGAAAAACTTTGATTCATATTTTGATAGCTATGCGGCCTCACTCACCTGCGCCTATCGTTCCACATCAGAAACATCAAATGGTCGGAATGAACGTTCCTGTCAGCGTCTAGAATATTCGGATTGATTGCCAGAATCAGCTATCAATATCCAGGGCCAAGAAAAATACAATCTACTGAATTTACCTCGTTCCATAGGTTATGGTGAACGTCCTTGCCGCAACGCTCCCATAAAGAGAATGATCCAAGGTCTCCGTTATAAGTCCCTTCGTTGCTAGGAACCGATAAAACTTCCATACAGTTCAACGGATGATACCAAACTTCGGGGAATTTGGCTTTGCATTTTATATTACCCTTGAATGCAGTTAGCATGCACAGCGTTACGAGCAAGTTGACAATGCAGCGTATACATATCTTGTATTTGTCCCATCACGGGACAGTCGCCTTGAGGAAAGCGATGACCTAACATGAAAGATCGTTCGAAGGTCTGCATAGCGGGCTTCGATCAATGTCCAGGGTATTCATTATTCATTCCAGCGGGCAGCCCTAGTATAATGAAATCCCTAAATGCCACTCGAAATATATATCGTCGATCAGGCTGGTACTTGTGTATCATGTGCCGCTTTTGCAGAAAGGAATCAGTCAAGTCACCACCAACCTTGGAGGCTGACATCTTCAAACTTCCTTGAAAAAGAAACCAAGAAAAGAAGTATCCCGATGGTCGGAACACACTAACATTCTAAAATCGCCCACTCTGGCACATCTACAGCCTAACTACCTGAACGACGAAATCCCCTGGGTTCCCAAATCAGTGCATGGAAGACAGTCAGGGCTGGTGACTGGAAGCTTCCCAAATAGACATCAAACCATTCCCCATCAGAATAGTTTGCTATATGTATAGGCGCCGCGATTACATTTCTACCTATACTGACAGCAGGGAAGTATGGTGACTCTCGGTTAAACAAGTCTACCGGTTCCGTGGGAGAATCCCAAGAAGACACCGCAAGAATGCACAAGACGGCAATTGATTCTCAAATTTCTCATGATTTCATGCTTCGCTATCTAGTATGTGAAAATGAAAAACGTCGAGAACTATGGACAGAGCCCGGCTACGGGCACACCATGATATGAATCAAGCAAGGCTGAAGTACATAACTACGTCGGCTTGAAAGCGCTCTGGACGGAGGCATACCTAGAGTCCATATTAGCAAACACGCCCTTCGACCAGGATGAAAAAAGTAATAAACTTACCCCTGCGGACACTGCTGACCCAGAGCAACGCTTCCACTCCGCATGTAACAAATCTTCGCCTTCTGGCAAGCCTCCGTATCGCACTTGGGACTCTTGACACTCATTCTACCCTGCAAGTGGTTCTGCAGCGTAATGAGGCTTATATCCTTCTCCATGGCCTCGGTTACACGGTGCCAGAATGTCGCATTCAACGGAGCATCCTTTTCCCAGCCCGCCGCTGGACCGTAAGTGTCACGAGTAGAATATTCGAAGCGGTACGTTGGCCCGGTTTCACGGAGACTTGTGTATTCAGAGGTATTGCTGAAGAAAGTGTATGCCTCGTAGATGTTGAAGTCCCCGGTGTCAACCTCGTACAGTCGGAAGCCACTGTTCATGTTAGTCAAGGGCGTGACGCTAGGTCCGATCCAGCCAGTGGTAAGTGCAGTGTTTGAATTTTGGACCGTGCCGTTATTGGCGTAGTAGATCATGAATTGGTCCTCGTGGTTGTGGCCGAAGAAGATGTTTGCAATTACATGCGGGGAATAGCGGTCCACGATCTGGTAGAAGAGATTGGTTGGGTCTGGGATTGGGCCGTTGCCATCCCAGCCACTGGGGACGTGGCCGACGAGCCAGACACGCTCGTTCGAGTCCTCGGCCTTTTGGAGCTCGTCGATCATCCAGGAGAAGATGCCTGAATTGTCTGGATTGGTGGTGTTGATCATGTTGAACAGGTTGGAATTGTACCAGAAGTCTTTGGCAAGGTCAGCTCACTCGTCATTCCCATCAATCGAATGGCCCAAAATACCTGTGTTGAAAGCAATGACACGCAATCCGAAATGCGTCTTGACCGAATAGCCACCGTAGTGCGTGCTAGCCTCCTCCGCTGTCTCCTTGCTGATCCACCCCTCATGCTGCCACAGACCAGCTAGATGCTGATAGTTCCAGGAAGACTGCTCCCCAAGACGGCCTGGAAGGCTATGAGGGGCATCGATATTCTCAGGACTGGAGTCATGGTTTCCCAAAGCTGCAAAAACAGGGCCCGAAAGATACTCCTTGAACATGTGAAAAATGCTAGTCTCGGTGTATTCAAGGTATTCCCGAGACATCTGAGACTCGGAATCGTGGGAGATCAAGTCACCAGTGTAGATCGTCCACGCTAGGGACTCATCCTTACGGCCCTTACCCGTGCCGGTCAAAGGTCCCACAGCCTGGAGAGCAGCTAGACCCAGGTCGTACGGGGTATCACACTGGAAAGCCCCATACGCCGAAGCAGGAGAGAGAACGTGATCTTCCGAGTCAGCATTATGTCTGTCGCTGCGGCAGCACAGTCCACCGGTACAGTTGGCTTCCGCACTAACCGCATACCGTGCATCGAGATGGAAATCCGACATGTGGAGTACCTTGACACGCTCTCCACTAGCCTTGGGCACGTGCACCTGTGCCGGCTTGGGCTTGGGGAACAACTTGGAAGTATCCAAGTCCCGGGTCTGAGGCTGCTCGCAAAAGTCACTGTTGAGAGAATGGCAAATATACTGCCCGTCCAGACCTTGTAGATCAGCAAAGGCCAGGATCTGCGTCCAGATCGCACCAAAGGCCTGTGGTGCAAAGTTCTCCTCGCAGGAATCATCAGACTGAAACTCGAAGGTTTTGCACATGCTGATCAAAGCATCCGGCACCAGTACCGGAGCGTACAAGGCAGCTGGCTTGGCCGCTGCCAGGGCCCTCTTGCACTTGGAGCAGGGCGCCTCCGAGCCAGATGACTTGATGATCTTAGAGACATTTGTCTTCACACTTTCGATCAAGGCATGCTTCTGCTGCGAGTTCATGTTCCCCTTCGGCACGGGGTAGAACACCTCATCCGAGCTCTCGGGGATAATGTCTGGATTGGTCAGCTCATAGGGGAAGGTGAGGTCCAGCACCGGATCGTAGATGATCGGCTGAGGTTCCCGAGTTGGCAGTGCTGGGGATACATAGTAGGATCTACGGATCAGATTAGCTTTAGATTTCGATGGTTGCCCCAAGCTTCCCGGTATCCCTACCCAAATACCGAGGTGGGGAACCCCGGCCCTGCGACGTATGAGGACAAGCCAGGTAGCGAGGATGCCGTGACGTTCGGAGCCAGACCTCCCAGAACTGCTTGCATGATGAGCAGCGGAACCAGAGCCCAGAGTCTTTGGAGATGAAGAGTGAACTTGGCCATCTCGGAGGGACACGGGAGTGGCTGTCTGGCGGTGGGTAGCGTTGTTGATCGTTCCTGAAGGGGCGGTGCACGTGGGGAAGGAAAGGAGCGAGAGGGGGAAAACGAGCGAGATGGGAGGGAATGAGGTGAGGATTAAATACAGCAAGATGCTGACGAGAGCAGACATTCTTGGAAGTTACAGGTTACTAGTGAGTTATTGCTTACAATGAGTCTTGCACCCAATCGAGGATATCGTGATGGTCCAGGAACGACGGACTTCCTATTCTGGAAACCCACACCGGGTAAACAGACCCTGATTATGGGGACTGATGGCAACGGTCAACATTATTGGATCCATGATAATCCTGAAGACCCGTCAGATCGTAAATTGAGCTAGTTATACAATCGAAGGAATAAGAAAAGAGTCAATTAGCACCCCAGAGTAGCACACACTCCCATGCAATGATTCTAATTGGCCAGTTTCACTCCTTCCAACCCGTCAAGTTAATCTTCCTGCCGGAAGAAAGATGGCCCGCGAGCCACACGTGATCCACACTCTTAACCAAAAATTTTCTCTCATCGCCCAAGCCGAACTCTTTTACACCAACAATACCCTGAATTTTGAATGATGAATTACTTCAAACATACGCCTACAAATAACCGGACAAACGCACCTTTGAAAAAGCGCAAACAATACCCACTGGCCGAGAACGCAGCGTCAAAGGCAGACAATCCTGCTAAATCTAGTGTGGGTCTTTGAGACCACCAATGTAGACGGGATCGGTGGGACTTATAGGCAGTTATCCTGAAAGGAGAGGTACAACTCGCGGGCTTGTGGCCTAGTTGGTTAAGGCGTGGCTCTTATGTGATGATCCCTCCCCAGGGACGTTGTCATGATAATATTAGCCGAAATCGGGAGTTCGAGCCTCCCCTGGCCCAACATGATTTTTTTTTGGACATGCCGCCCAATCGGACGAAGTATCACCGAATTATTTTACACTCCAGCGGGATATTGGACATTTTCTATCTACTACTTTGCCTGTAGTCACTATTGGACAAATACAAATAATATTTCAAACTTTGGAATTCATTTCGCGAGTCATGATATCATACAAGCAAGCCGCATTCTATATCCGTGAATTCCGTCAACACCACGAATAGCTGGGCATGGAGACATCCAAGGTGGATATGAAAGTGGGCTGTGGTGCTATCCATCGGGCCGTACGGCACAGACGAGTAAGAAAGATCGGACGGAAACCGGATTCGATGCTAAAATTATGTACACTTGGTATTATTCCGATTCCATGCCCTCAGTCAGACATATGAATCGGGACATCCGAAAGCTATGCTCTCTGAGACCACCTCTTGCACCCAAACTTCAATTGAAATCTACATCGTAATTCAAACACAATCCACACAAGCCCTCACGATGCCCGTCCGTCCGTCTCTAAAAGGATCAACCTTCAACGCGGATCTCCGCGACCGCCATGTGATATACGACTACGACGCACAAGACAGCGCCGGTCGACCCGAGAAATGGCGATACGAGATGTGGTTTCAAAACGAGGACCGCATCAATTATGCAATCCACGGCGGGCCAATGGCAGGTCGTATCAACTTCCAAGCCGCGGAATATCAATGTATCCGACCAGGTGAGCTATGGCAATGCAACTGGCTTGAAGAGACTGGGACAATGTGCTCGCTGGTATTCGATATCCCTCGGCAGAAGATCACCACCATGCTGGGATTTTTTCCAAGGGCCATTGGGAGAAGGCGGAGGATGCGCATGGCGACAAGAGGAATCCGGCCGATTTGGAGAGATGGAGAGGTCTTGCGAAGATTGGGATTCAGACGGAGAGAGTGCTGCTGAGCGAGCAGGCGGATATTTTGGAGGACTTCAGGGGGCCCGGAAATTTGAAGCCTGTTGATAATAGTTGGCCGACTTTGTGAGGCAGAGGCGTTGAAGGCAGAGACCGAAGGGCCAGAGGGAACAGGGCGAGCGATAGGTCCTTGCCTCCTGCTGCTCCATGTATATTACCCAATTCGTATCCCGAGTCCGGATAATGATTAGTATATTAGTCGCTTCATATTGGAAAAATCGACCAAGCCATCCCTGGAACATATAGACAGCGAGATATTTCGACTGATCGTGATCAGTGGGCAGACCCCTCGCGGCAGTGTTGCCGGCTTCTCATTTGCACGATCATGCCGAACTCCATGGACTGGCACATATGATCAATGAGCTGTCGAATGTTTCCACATATGCAGTCCGCAGTCAATTGTTTTGCTCAACCGACAGACCAGAGAATAAGATAAGAGAAATTCAGGAATGATCAAAAATCACCCTTTCGCGAAGCCCCCTCCATCATGATCCCTTGGAAGGACCGACTGGCGGGCCTTGCGGAGCCTGAAGACATACTAGCTCCACCTGGATTTCGTCAGGAGTAAGCGGTGGCGGGCTATTATATGTCGGTGAACGAGCAATGATTCCAACTGCGACCTGGGAAGCTTGCTGATTCGAGGTCATGCCATCAATGTACCAAACCTGCCATGGGTGATTACCCGAGCCAGAAGGCATCGCAGTGACATTTGGACCTGGGACTCTCTCTTTGGCGAATTCTGGAGTCTGATTAGTGAACACGATCACATTGTCGATGATATTGACTGGAGTATATACCTTGCACAGGAATGGATGCTACATCAAAGATAGGAGCTCCGCAATTCGGAAGGGAGGGAGGGTACACCATCATGTGTGCCAAGGTCGCTTCGAGAGGCTTTGAATAGTATTCGCCCGAGGTAGCGAGGTGGAAGATGGTATGCTGCAGAGCGCCTTTGATATCATGGGAGCAAGGACTCCCCCAAATCCCGTCGCAGCCATTTGTAGTTCCCGACGGGGTGCCCGTCAGATTGCCCACACGCAGGGCAATTTCGGACGTCCGATTTGACGTCACCGCATCTTTGTTGATGTTCCGATCCTGATATCGCAGCCAGTAACTGGTCTTGGTCATCGGGCCCTGGCCTTTGCCGGATATGAGTTCATCGAAGGCATAGAAGAAGGTGATCGGGTCTGGAAACAGTGGCGAGAAGTCAATCGGAACGGCGGTTTGGGCGAGCGGATCGATACACCCGGACTCCCAGAAGGAGCACATCTGGGCTGAGCCGCAATGTAGCAGAGCCAGCACGGTCAACAATATAGAAAGCCAAGCGGCCGAGTTGAACAACCCTAGGATGGAAGCCATCGCGTTTGACATTCACGGCTCGGACGGAAGATGGCAACCGCGATTGTTTGGTGATCTCTGAGTCAAGGTCCACACGAGCGACCGCGATGGGCCCTCACAGGTACCACGATGAGCGAGAAACGACGTGCCAGAACAGCCTCTTTTCATGCTCTACTCATCGTCTTGCTTTGACAGGGGGGGGGCGTCTGTTGTGGGAGGATCGTGAGACGTCTGGTATTACCTTCTTGAGCGACGAAAGGGATTCGGTGATGGATCGGAGGGCGAAAGAGGGAATAATATTGACCAAGAGCAAAAACCAAACCTGATTGTCACGGGCGAAGGAGGAGTGGTGAACGGACCAGGACCCTGCAACTCCAAGAGTGGAAGCCAGGGAAACTGTCCCCGCAGCACTAGAGGACACGGCGCTGTTTTGGGGGCCTTGGGTCCCTGTGGCTATCTCCGACGGGCTCCTCTTTTTGCAGGGTCGACCCAATGGAGGGTCGCACAATGGTGGAGTCCGTGCTGAGAGGCAACGCCCAGCGGAAAAATGGAAGAAAAAGGGTCTTGAAGAGTGGATGTCAAGGAAATCACCAGTTCTCAATGGGCCAAGCCAGTCTCGACAGTAACAGGAATGGGGCCTCGGGAGAATGATCCAGGGAAGGGGAATTGAATTTTGGGATGGTTAACGAGGTCAAAGGGTGTTTTGTCGACCGTTTGACGATTGCCAAGGGGTCCCAACGGGCTGGCGGTACCAACAATTGTCCCAGGACGGGATGCACGCGATAAATTAATAAATAAAGCAGATAATAGATTGTTTTTCTCTCCGGGGCATTCTCAGGCAATTCCATCAATAATGGACCAGTGAGATGCCAGTCAGTGAAACAGGGAGGACCGGCGGGAGGCCGTAAGTAGCTGCTCCCTTGAGGCTACCTGCAGTGGTTGCTGACGGAGTGGGGGGGGTCAGCATGTCACTGGAAGGTTGTCCCAGCATTGCTCAGTCTCACAGGCATCACTGGAATCTTTCTCCTCTTTTCTTTTCTGGACTCCTGGCTTGGGGTGGAGTGAGATGGAGTCATGCCATGAACGAGTCAGAAGCAGTCGAGCCAGTTTGAGCTCCGCAGTTAGTTCCTTGGCCTGCCGAATCACGAGCCAGTCACGGGTTGCAGATTTGGCTCGATGGGGCAAATTCAGGCGGTGATCCTTTCAGGGTTACAGAGAGACAGGGACCAGCCACTCACCTTCTTATCCAAAGTACAGACTCGGTATCTCTTTCTAATTGGTGCAGTCCGGTGCATAAGATACACCGCAAACACTGGCCGCTACTGACAGAGATACAGGTAGTTCAAGCCGTTTGCCATTGCCTATCACGCCTGATACACTTCTCTCCGAGGCTCCAAGACCGGGGACTATGCCCCCGGAAAGCCTCCGTTCTCGTGGTTCCATCATGCCTTTTCTACCTAATAACCCGCTAGGAGCATTCCGAGTCCTGCAACTGGCCGCCGATAGATCCGATCATCCAGTCAAACAGTCTATCTCTCGTATCTATTCTTGTGTATACATACATACGACGCACCCTCGGTGCATTTCATCCTCTCACAACCCAAAATCCAAACACATTCCTGTATCAGATCTGAGACGCCGATCGGCCAGATTGACAACAAAATATACTCCGTTCTCCTGCCCTGTCAATCATCCAACCTCCCTTTCCACCACACGATTGGACCCTTGCCCGACCACTCTGACGTAAGAGCATAGTGAGTGGAATCGGAGCATTCCGACAGGAGCATCGTGAATGTTGCCCTGCGTCATAGGCTGGATGGGGAGTCTCACATAGAGCCTGTTAATTGGATACTGTCCAAAGGGCAGACCCGCAACCCTTCGGGATCTGGTGGGTTGGTGGGGGCGCCACCAATGAGGGGCGTTTAGCTGCATCGCCGGACTGCTGGGATTGGTGGGCATTTTAGGGGGCTTGGCGGGTGCATAGAAAGTGGCAGACCCTGAGGCTTTTGTGGATTGGTGTTTAACTAATCCGACATTCCGCTGCAATATTGCTTGGGATGCCAAAAATAAAGGCCTGTACCTACAGAGAGAATTGAAAGGCGCAAACAGATACAGTCGCGCTAAGTGTATGATAGATGACATAATCCTAACCAAAGCATTAGAAGTACGGAGTAGTGTCCATGAAATTAGCGGTCTTTGCCAGTCTTAAACTATCTATTTTAGGCAATAGGTACCTATCCTTCGCTGCCAGCCCGGTCTATTGTTTGGTCGTGCAGAGTAAGCAGCATCGGTCTCACGTAATGATAAGCTTACCTCGTGCTTTTCTAGAGGGTGCTTGCCTATCTAATGAACCTTCGATCTCCATCTAGTGCATCCATTTTGTTTTCTTGTGGAAGAAGTCCTTCCGGCCGAGGCACAGAGCCGGAACCATCATCCTGTGCTTCAGATCGAGATCCGAAAGTCGGAACTAATTGCACTTGACCGCACAAATAACTGTCATATTCCACTAAGTCAAGATACAAGCCAGAGAAGGGGCAGGCTACCAGGTGGATGAATCTCCCAGTTGGACTTGCAGGGTAACGGAAACCATGACTCCTACAACTGACCATCAGATGCCCAGTCAGAGTACTTCTGAACCTGGCTATTAAATGTGATTGTTTAAGTTGGGTGTTTTGGAGAAACAAACCAGACTCAATATTTCTCACATGTTGCACCGATACTATATGCGCCCTCCCCGAGTTGACAACAACCTGAAGAATGATATCGTTTCCTGAAGCATGGTATTTATAAATGTCACTGGTACACCGTGATGGTCAGGATGATGTCTGATTAATAGACCGATATACACTGATAATTTAATTATAAAAGCTCAGGATAATTAGGCTATATTTATAAGGCAGCTTATTAGAAAGCCTTGATTAACTTTCAGATTCAACTCGGCAGGGCCTATATATCTCTACGGGTCTCTATTAGCGCTAGGGGCTCTAATCAAAAGGTTTTAAGATAGCACTCTATTTGTTACGACATGCGCCTGGACTACGGTGCCCAGACCCGCTAACCGAACAGGCCAAAGACCAAATAGGTCAGAACGCTATGTTCTGACATGACCGGGACTGATATAAGTAGTGCATATAACGTTTAGAGAGCCAGTACTAACACTATTTTACGATCCGCCAGTTACTAAATCCGAAACCCTAAATAGTAAGCAGAAAATTAATTACTCGGATATTTGGCTCGAGATAATGTTACTCATTCCGGAAATGATATGATGAATCGTAATATATTATAGTCTATCTAATCTAAGGGCCATCGAGGCTGGAGTATGAGTAGTAGTAGAGCTTTTTTGGATGGGTATATAGCAGGATAGCAAAAACACTCACCGCCTGAAAAGGGACCGGGACTAGGGACATTTCGGAGCTGGTTCAGCTTCACCAAGTCAGCAGACAATCTGCATTATGCTCCGGTTCTGGCGGCAGTTGAAGCCCCCTTCGCCAGCAACCATGCATCTCTGACTCGGATGCTCCTCTCAGCGTAATCTGTTCGACATGGGACACGACCCTTGCACAATTTCACCACACACCTTGCGTGACATTTCGCTAAATGCTGTTGTATAGTTCGTTGGTGTTGTTTTGCGTGTGAGGATCCAATCATATCCCGAGCTCGGCTGTTCCGAGACTCCATATTTAGCTCGGGTGTGGCTGCCGATTGCCGATCACGACAGGGATTCCACTATAGGGTTTGAAGTCTATGATCAAAGGATGGCTGCCACAATGACTACTAATGAATGACCCTTATCTATAAGCTACGAGTCTAGTTATCCATTATTTATCTACAAATTGAGTGTGTCATAGAGGGAAATAGTTATTCATATCGCTAATGCAATGACTAACAGAATCCGCATTCTGGAATGGTTATCCCAAATGGGCGGTTGAACCCGCCAGTGCACCAGGTACGACTGGAAGTTCCAACGATCCATTATTAGTAGTTGTTTGACGTCAATCTCGATTGACTAACTACTCTCTCCACGCAATTCATGATTTCCAGAGCCCCGCATCTCACACCCCACGCTACGGCAACCTACCGGCTATTCCCCACAAGAACTTACGGGATGGATTCACGCGAGCTCGCGATATCGGGGTTATAGTGTGTACTGTGCACCTATTTGAGCACACATTGAACTATTCGAAGCAAACGGCAAGCCTTGCCAATATCCTTTTAAAAGTATCAAGTAGCTAAACATCTACTTAGGGATCTCGAAGCCGCTTTAACTTTGCCTTCAATGATAGCAACAAACAACATCTATAGAGTATTTAAATTAATGTTTGCATTCCGATTCATTTGCCAACTCAGGTGTCTCCCTTCTCAGAGATCTTCCTTGCCACCGACCACTCCAATTGCTTTTACTCTCACCGGTCGATCAAATTCCTAGTCTAAGCTCCCTTCCGTGGACATATCCGAGAATCTTTCCAGAAATTCGCGCATCAAGGGGAAGATTCACTTCAAGTAGGCGCCTCTCTCATGAAGAGTGTCAATTAAGAGACAAATGAGAAGAATCGCGTAAGATTTTCCTTGTGCGCCGGGTGGAGCATTCGCAACAAATTCAAATTCGGCACTTATTCCGTACATAATCCAATTTTAATTGAAGGACTTCACCCCTCACATTCAGAGGATCTACACCTGCCCCCTCTTCTCCGCACATTACTCCAATTCTGACCCTCACCCAGCGTAAAATGTGGAGTGAAGAGGACGTTCTGTCATCGGAATTGCTGACCTTTAATTGGATGCCTGGTACATCGCCATTTATAAAAGCAGTGGGCATGCCTTTGCAGGAAGTTTCTTTCACATTCCACACTGATTTTACACAATGACAGTGTCAGAGATACCTCCTATAAAAGCCGAACTCGACCCAAAAGACTGGCCAAATGAACCGACGCATGATGTCGTGTTCGGCGAGATCACCGAAGATGGTCCCAACTATCGCAATGTGCGCATCGCAAATAGTCAATGCCACTATCATTTTTGGAGAATCTAACAATTTATTAGGTGGGGTTTATGGGCACCATCATTCTCATGATGAAAACTCAGATTGGCCTGGGAGTACTCTCAATACCAACAGCCTTGGACTCCCTGGGCATTGTGCCCGGTGTAATCTGCCTATGTGTCATTGCGTGTATTTGCACATGGTCCAACTATGTTATTGGTACCTTCAAATTGAATCATCGCGAGGTATATGGCATTGATGATGCCGGTGCTCTGATGTTTGGGCCAGCCGGTCGAGGGGTCCTCTCAGTAGCATTTTGCCTCTGTGAGTACTCAAAAGAGGAGTAGACCGAAGCCATTTTTAACAATTGGTAGACTGGGTCTTTGTTAGTGGCTCTGGAATTCTCGGCGTCTCTATCGGCTTCAATGCAGTCTCAAGTCATGGTGCATGCACTGCCGTGTTTTCTGCAGTTGCCGCAATTTTGGGATTCACGCTTAGTAGTGTACGGACACTCGGACGAATTACCTGGCTGGCATGGGTTGGCCTTCCCTGTATTCTGACTGCAGGTATGTCTCTACAAGCAATGGGTTACCGTGAAGTCAACCCAGACCTGACATTTCTAGTTATGACTGTGACTATCGCGGTGGGCGTACAAGACCGCCCTGCTGCCGCACCACAAACCGATACGCCCTGGGTCCCTGATTATAAAATAATCGGCAATCCATCTTTTACCGAAGCAATAACTGCCGCCTGCAGTCTTGTGTTTGCATTTTCGGGCACTCCGGGGTTCTTTGCGATTGTTTCTGAGATGCGCGACCCTCGAAAGTATACGCCAGCTTTACTAGTATGCCAGGCGGGCGTAACAGCGATATATATGGTTATCGGTTGCGTTGTTTACTACTATTGCGGAACTTATGTCTCTTCTCCGGCACTTGGGTCAGCTGGAGGTGTTGTGAAGAAAATTTGCTATGGATTCGCATTGCCAGGATTGATTGTCACCACAACGATCTGCTCACATGTAAGCTCCCCCCACCAAGGCTGACTCTAAATTTAGCTGACACATATTGGTTACTGAAGATACCAGCCAAGTATATATTTGTTCACATTCTCCGTGGATCACGGCATCTGAATAACAATACCGTCACCCACTGGGTCACTTGGCTCAGCTGTACTTCGGGTATTGCAGTGATCGCTTATATTATTGCCAGCTCCGTCCCTGTTTTTAACTCATTGGTTTCTCTCATTGGTGCTTTGCTAGGAACTCTCATGTGTTTTCAGCCAATGGGTTGCATGTGGCTATACGATAACTGGGCTAAAGGTAGGCAAAGTTCGAGGTACTGGATGTTCATGGTTTGTTGGAGCATTTTTGTGGTACTCTTGGGGTGTTTCCTCACAGTTGCAGGCACTTATGGGTCAATTGTTGGGATCATAGATTCTTATAGAGAGTCAGGTGGATCAGCTGCCTTCTCTTGCGCTGACAACTCCAATTCCACCTGAGGGTCGGGTATATAGACGAGAGATAGAAGTTGCCCGAGACAAAAAAGAAATTATTTGACTGATTCGATGATGGATATTGTTAAAACTCAAAGGTAACCGCTAATTTACACATTGAACAAACTTTAGTTATACTAATTGTACTAAGTCCAGATATGGAAGAGCTGCAATTCATTTATATCTAGATTTCAAAACATCACAAAACTCAGTCAAACGAATATGAAGGCGGGTCTTCGCCCAACAGCCAATCTGGCCGGACCTCCAAGGCGCCATACGGCATCCCTGGATTGTTGATTTGATCGACAATAGAAAGGAACTCATTGGACGAGATTCCAATACTATCAAGGAACTCAATGTTGGCAGGCGCAAGTGAACCTGCCGAGGACGGCCGGTCGTCTCGTCCCAAAGACTGGAAAGCCGTCACTGGCTCTGTAATAGTGGCATCTGATCGAGACTCGTTTGGAATATTCAAGGGTGCAAGATCTGTGAGTCCTTGATCGGCTAATGTCAAGATTCGAAGACCTTCCTGCTCGACTCGCCTGGCGAGCTCTTTGAATAAACCCTCGATACTAATCAACTCTCGCTTTCGTGCTTCGGCAACCCGATTCCCGGACAGAACCATTTCGTCCAGGATTGAATGTGCAACCTGACTATAAGACCTGCTGTCCGTATTCGTATTGGGAGGAAAGAGTGCATTGGCCATCGTTAAATGCAGAGCAGCTGCATAGGTCAATTCAAGATCAAAGGGCAGGAATGTTTCTAAGTTTCAGTCAGTTTAAGGGATGACACAAGGCAGTGAAAGCTTTCACTCATCGTACCAAGAAGGCCATTCTCATCGCCAATTATCCGAAGAGTTTTTTCGGCAGATTTGATGCCAATGGATATCAGAGATATGGGGAGAGCCAGGAACTTTTGCCAGTCCTCTTCTGCCCGACCAAGCTTTTCCAGCCGCTCCTTGAGGACGGACAGTAGTAGTGGCCTGGTGGCAACTATGACACACTGGACAAAGTCAATCAAATGATCCATTGAAGTAAAAGAAGGGGCTTTGCTTACCTGATGATACAATAATATTGTGTGACGTGTTTCCTCAGACACATTGTCAATGGAACCCTGAAAGCTGACATGAATCATCTTCTCGATCTCCTCTGCGTACCTAGCCATAGTCTCTAGAATATTGCGAGTTATTTCGAGAAATGTACCAAGCGGAGTCTTCTCAGTTTTGTAGATAGCTTCATCACATATTTGTCAGTCAGGATCGTGTGCGGAAGGAGAGACGTTATTGAATTTAAGGATAGACTCACTACTAATGATGAAAGAATGCATTCGCGTGATCCTCACTTGAAGACTGAATGCAAGGTCTTGTGGACTGGAACTTGGTGAGCTGATCAAAGTCGTAATTTCACTGTCTTTTGTTGTCATTGGAAGTCCCAGTGATGGCGAAAAGTGACGATCCATGGTGTACAAAGACCACCACAGATTGCGACAGCGGGCAACTGTAGCAGCACCAAGAACTTCTTCGGGAAGTTGAGTATGCATCCCTTCCAGCTGCGCAATTCGTATCGCATGACCAACCTATGTTGACATTAATAACAGTCAGCAAGTACCCCAATAAGACAGGGAAGAAATTCGATACATACGTGAACATGAGCTGCTTCTCTATGGTCGATAGCATACAAGTACAGTCCTACTAATGCTAGTGCCTCGATCGCTAGAAGACTATCCTTGCCGGTACTCGTGTAGTTCGGCATAGCTGACATAGCGCGGACGAAGAATTTTGCGCCAGGAGGGTCTTTCTGATTGCGCGGCCTTGAAAGAAAAGCATTACCAAGGGCTAGAACCATGAGAAACTGGACGAACCAGAAGCGAGGTTCGGCAGCCTTTCCGTCCGAAGGGCTGTTGTAGAATTGACGAATACGAGCAATGAATGAATCATGATCGAAGAATCTGTACGCCTGGCCGAGGTGGAATTGAACGATTTGGAACAAATGAAGGGTGTAATCCAGGGAAGGCAAGCCGCTGGTGTCGATAGGGTCAGAACTTGTGACGCGGTTCCATGCGAATGGATAGATGTCCCCATCCAGGTAAAAGCGAGGCGTATCTTGAGTAGAATCGACCTCCAGTTTTTCTGTCATCATGACAATAAGTCGAGCTGTGAGGGACCATGCCGAGGATGGAGCCAGCCAAACTATTCAATATGTGAGACGATGAGAGAGATGCAAACATAACCAGGCAAAAGGTGCAAAAATATGACTAACTCCAGTTTCTTTGCTCTTGATGTGTGTCTTTGATGACGGTCGTTGGAAGGGTGAACGGACTGGCCCAGATAGTGCACGATAAATCAGCTGCAGGCGAACTAGGAGATCCTCCAGACCCCGAGCCCAGAAGCTCTGCCGTGGCTCCGAAATCATTCACAATATGCCCCACGTCGAGGTCATCATCAAAGCGAAAGCAATCCTCTCGGGGACGCTTAACACCGGTCGCTCGCTGCCAGTTATATGCCTGTTTTTGCAAGTCTCGAAGATATCTGCCATAGGTCCCAGCCGCGCTTAGCCAAGTACTTCAAACGTGGGATTAGGAATTGGGGAAAGGTAGAGAACCTTTCGGAAACCAAAATCTTGTTATTTCCCTCTGAAAACTGGCAAGTCAGAGATCGTCTTCGGCAATTGGCACATGGCTCATCGCCAGAGCATTTGATCTTGCTCTGCCTGCAGGCGGTACATCTGCTCACATTCCCATGTCAAAAAACCGAGTACGGGTACGGATCAACTGGGATCTTACGCGATAGCAGCTCTTCTTTGCTTCCGGTTTGCACCAATTGAATCTGATCGTGGTACAGGCTGCATTATGGACCAGCCATGGGATTCGGTGCGACAAGATAAGGTCTTAATTCACGAAAGCTGTGGCTGCGGTCGTTCTGATCGGAACCCCGCACCGGCCCAAATTCTTTCCTCCCCACCTCCTTGTTGGGGTCATTCCATCCCCTGCCCTATTGACCTATCTCTTGTTGGTTAGAGATAGTATAGTTACACAATTAGCATATACCAAATAGATAAGCCCCTCTACGAGGGTTCTCTAGGAGGTGCGATTCTACCCTCGTGGCAAGATGAGAAAGATTGTTCTGCTTTGTTAGAGAAGCTTGGCGCCGACAAATGAAATCATTCTTGCTAGAAGAGATCACATTTTCCACTGGCATCTTCTCGATAATGACGATATGCTATCTTCGAGCACTGATTCGTATCTTACCAAGTGATTACGTGGCACCGAGATGAAGCACAAGTGTGACCTTTGTTGCCCAACATACAACTGGCAGCGATAATGATTCATTCCCATGTCAACCAAGACGGGTCGGCTATGAAGACCGAGCCGAGTAGTGATCATGTGCCACAAAAAGGTTGATAAAAGCCCCTATCCACGGCTCGTACGAGCATCCTTTTGCTATACCTCGGGGGTGCCGAACCCCCACGTCATGCTCGGCTACGTTGCCGAAGGGTTCAAGTCTTACCATCCTGGGGATGTGGGGCGGGATATCAAAGAATCATCGATTGTGAAGACTCTTATTGGCCTGTCATGGGGTAGTTCGTATCAGCCACTTTGACTTAGACTCAAGCTAAGTGGCAGCGACTGTAGCCTTTGGGATCCTGGCCTTGGGCGTCTCGGCTCTGCCGAGGGAAGGTTGACCCAATCAGCACAACGGTCTAGCTGGTATCATCCGCCCCAGTCCTAGTTGGAGGGCTCCAGTGCCTGATTTGGGCGATCTTACGCGCCAAGCTTTGGGTTACTTGACCAAATAGGAGTATAAGGCAAATCACCTGATCGGAATAGATAGAATACCCCGGAGATATGCCTGGGACGCGTTCACGTATATATGGAGGGGTGAGAAGGCTCTTTATGATAGTTGGCATATCATCAAAGGATTGAATACACCATCAGTTCGGACGATCTTCCTATGGACTCAAGCGCGATGGCGACTTCGATGATGCATTATTTCGGCTTCGGCAGCAATGCTCCCCCCTCTGCCAAGGACGAAGTGAAGAACGAGCCCGTGCGTGCGTTGCCATCATCATGGTACACGTCTCCAGAGATGTATGAGCTGGAGCGTCGTGCAATCTTCTCTAGGAGGTGGATCTTCCTTACTCACAGCTCACGCCTCAAGGAAGCCGGCGACTGGCTCCGATATGAGATTGCTGGCTTCGACTTCATTGTTACCCGTGACCGACAAGGAGATATCAACGCATTCCACAACATTTGCAGACATCGTGCGTATCCAGTGATTGAGAAGGAGCGCTCTGGAAATTCGAAGATTCTGTCTTGCCGGTATCATGGCTGGTCCTACGGACTGAATGGCAAATTGGCCAAGGCTACCGGATTCAAAGACGCGAATAGTATCGACAAAGAGCAGAATAGCCTCTTCCGGATTCACGTCAAGGTTGACGCCAATGGTTTCATCTGGGTCAACATGGACGCAAAAGAAGTCCCGGAAGTATCCTGGGAGGAGCATTTCCGCGACGTCGACAAGCAGGAACGATACAAAGCCTACAATTTTGACAACTATGATCTTGATCACACCTATGAGCTGGAAGGCCACTACAACTGGAAGATTCTGGCAGATAATTTCAACGAATGCTACCACTGCCCCACGACACATGCCGATATCCCGGAATTCCTCAACCTCGACTCCTTCGATAGCGATCTCAAAGACGGTCATATTCAGCATCACTGCGTTTCCACACCCGAGCAGATTGCCAAGGGTCTCTATACCGCTAGCACTTACTATTTCCCCATCACGGCCATGGTTGTCTCGTAAGTCCACTCATCCTGCGCCTGAGTCTGCGAAGCTTTCTGACACATGCCTACAGACCACATTTTATCATGGTTCAGAAGTTCCTTCCAAAGAGTGCGAATAGTTCTAAGATGGCGTACGAAGTTTATCGCAACAGAAACTCCTCAGATGCGGATTTCAAGCTCATCAGCGACATGTACGCGCGTGTCATGGGTGAAGACAAGGTCCTTTGCAACAACCAACAACTCAACCTGGACCGAAATGTCTTCATCAATGGCCAACTTCACCCGAAGTTTGAAAAAGCACCCATTTTCTTCCAGAGCACAGTTCGCGAGGTTATCACAGAGCACTTTGAGCGGGAAAAGGCCGAAGGTCGGGAGATTTGGCCCGCAAAACAGAAGTTAGCATGCAACTCGAAGGTTAGCGAGAAGGACGAGGAAATTTGTGCCTCTATCAGTTGTGCAGCACAGAAAGAGGTCTTGGCTTGGTGACATGAGAGAGTATTTAGAATCTGCACGGCTCCATCAGTTGGTCGTTTTCAGCCATTTTTACTGTAACTGGTCTTAGCAGAATGCATAGCATTGCAATTTTAAAGCAGTATGACTTTGACTTCCAAGAATGATGAATCTTAGAAGGCCCTTCTTTTTACCCATACCTTAGGTAGTCTAGTCCAGGCCTGTCTGTCTAGAAAAACAAGCGGCTAAAAAGCATCATGACAGTACAGTGGTGTTGAAAGCTCTGAGGACCCAGGCTTTTACTTGGATCCAATTCCATTTCCCCCTTTTATTCTTGAGTTGTGTTCAAAATGTATTGGACTCAGCAAAACAAGTTGACATTTTTGCATGAATAGGCTACTTAAAACGTACTCATAATATCGAGTATTTCTACGACTCGAAATCCGAGTTTACCTAAATGGAGCTAATTACGCAAAGACCGAGGGAAAATCATCACCATAAGAACTGCAATTCGTGTGAGATAAATTTCGATTTAGCAGACCTAGCCTAGAGTGCATCATTTGGACCAAAATGGAGTGAATCAACAGAAAAGAAAAGAGAAAACAAACATACCTCTCAACCGATTACAAAACGTAGCAGCCGCCGCATCCACCCCGGAAACATCTCAAACAGTTACGTTGCCGTGTAGAACGTCGAAGACCCTGATCGCTCTGAACCTCGACACTTTCAATATCAAACCGCATGTTGATCGACGCGGAGTTATCAATACGATAGGTCACGACCCTGGCAATGCTTCGAGTACCACGCGGGTATGATGCAAGAACCAGGTACGCGACAATTTTCCCCATTCGAGTTCCCAGAAGAGCCTGGTACTCTGCAGTACCCCTTTCCCAAGTGCGGTGGTCGCCGGGGCGTTCGATCCATGTATACCCGAGACGCTCAGTCGTGTACAGGAACTGGGTGATGAAGGCACGAGTCTGCTTGTGAACGATATTCTGGTAAAAGACATGCTTGAGACCGTTAATGTCAAATGTTCTTTCGTATACAACCTTGGTAATCTCAGCAATGGATGGAGAGGCGGAATCCGGGGCTCGTTCAATGTCGGTAATGAACATAAGGCCTGGGCCAGTGTAGCCGGTCCACTCGGCACCGGGTCCACCCCACTCCTCATAGGCGTAATTGAAGTGTTCCAATCTACCAGTTGGGTCTGAGTGATCTTGAGGGATGTCAAGGCCTCGAATCTCGTCAACGTCGAACCAATTCAAGTCGGGTTCCCGATCCTGAATGGACCAACCTTGATCATACAGATCCTGGACTGTCAGATTAGAACGAAGAATAGGGCATGGCACTGAAGGATCTTCAATCCAAGTCTGGCGAAGTGACCCGGCAGCCTGGAATTCTTCGAAGGTGGAAGGAATTGGTTCCTCGGGATTTGTGTTTCTATTGGAATAAGTAGCTCTTTCTTGTTCCTCCGAATTGAATTCTTCAGGGCGTTGGACTCTAAATGTACCAATCCATGGGTTGGATAGCCTAAGAGCTTCTTCCTCGGTCAAAATGACATCCTCGTGGTTGTATGGTTCCCCTATAGGGTTCACATTGCTGGAAGAGCCCATTGTCGTAAGTGATGAGTTCGGCAAAGACTGTCAATCAATAGATATGAGAAGACTGTTCTTACCTGATGAGGTGGAGGGTTGGTATCGAGAATCGATGAAGAAGGTATGTAGATGGAGCCACGAGGTGCGTTTATATTCGAGGTAAACACGCTGTAAGACGTAAAAACCCGTCAACCGCGCTGAAAAAGGAACCAGACCAAAGTCATTGAAGAGGACAAAGAAGAGGATTTTCTAGAAAAAGGCATTGTCTTTAATATCTAAAAATTAACCTCAGGCGGTGCATATTACAAGACCACAACAATGAAAGTAAAAAAAGGCCTTGTTCGAAGGCTTTGAAGTTAAATTAAGCACCAAGCGTCGCTGTACATGCTTTCATAAGTTTTCTAGTACACAAACAAATCCAAATATAAGACTTTGGCCGTCTGGAAGGAGTAGAAACTGCTCCTTTTAGAGCCAGTTTATAGTAATTCTCAGTCAATCAAAGCTTTGTCGTTTAGTCCAGTCGACACTCGCCCGAGAACGGGTAGTAGTCTTCCTCGCCAGCCCATTGCGCTTCGTATAGTGATTCACCCATTTGCGAGGCGTCCATCCCAAGTACGATTTCACTGTCACCATCCATATTAGCAGGTATTCTGGCTGGGAACCATGTAGTGGTACTGTGAGGCTTCCAGAGCAAAACTAATCACTCACCTATCCGCAGCCAAGACCTCGAAGCCCGGAACGCAATCAATCAATGCGTATAGCGCATAACTACCAACAAAACTCCAGACAAAGCCAACAAGAGCCTCAAGAATCTGAATGCCGAGTTGATTCCAATGTCCATCAAATATACACCCACCGCGTATCTCCGTAATCCCGTCATACGCAGCAACATCACTCCGGGCAAACAAACCAGTAGCGATAGTACCTACCCACCCACCGATGCAATGCGTCGCAAACGTATCCCCATTATCAACCCATCGCCAGCGCACAGCCAACTTGGTAAATTTAATCCGAAGCGCTTGTCGACAAATCACCGCGCCTGCGATTCCAAAGAAAAACGCCGTCGGCGAATCAATAAAGCCCGCACTCGGCGTGATCATAACCAAACCCGCAATAGCACCCATGAATGTGCTGTCGAGGCTCCATTTCCCCGTTTCCCAATACGTGATGAGAGCCCAGGTCAGCGCGCCGGATGAGGCGCAGATGTTGGTTACTACTGCAGCCATTATGCTCTTGAAGTTTAGAGCGAGGGTTGTACCGGCGTCGAAGGCGAGCCAGGCATTCCATATGATCATCAGGGCTAGAAGCTGGCACGTGCTATTGTGAGGACGGTGGAGCTTCAAGTGCTGTGGTGTGCGAGAAGCGGATTGTCTTGATCGGAATAATGGGTGGGATAGGTAAACGCTTATTGCTGTCGCTGATGCTCCGCTGCAGATGTGAACGGGTGTTCCGCCAGCGAAGTCAAGGACGCCCAGCGATCCTAGGTATCCGGTCTCTGACCAGACCATGTGAGCGAGCGGCTCGTAAACAAAGGTGCACCATAGCTAGACAGGATCGAGTTAGAAATGAATCTTCGGAGAAGTCGTAGCTAACCAGGTTGAGTATTCGCGACATACAAAGATAAAAGGAATCAAAGGAAGGATTCTTCCACGCTCACAGGCCCCACCGATAGAAATGACGCACACCGTAGCACAAAAGATGAGCTGAAACTCGGAAAACAGAATCTCTGGGATCGTGCCTATCGGGTTCGCAAGAACACCGAAGTGGAAAGCTTTATCGAAGCCTCCAATGATGCCGCCCCCGGTTCCGTATGCTATCGAGTACCCGATGATCCACCATTGAATAGAACACACGGCAATGACAAGTAGACTTGGATAAAAAGATGCAAGTCCATTACGGTGAATCGAGTAACCCGAATAACCGAGGCCGACTGCGGGGATAATTAGCCAGCAGAAAACACAACAGACCAGAATGAAGAGCGTGTCTATCTTGGAGCATTCCTCCCATGCGGTCAGGATGTCGGACACTTCCATTGTGACCAAGCCGGGAAGACGTATCGCAATGGAATTGACGAGCGAAAACGAGGTGAGTGATTTTATTAGAACATATAGAAGTCCTGGATGAGAACGGTCACATCGCAGGTACATTCACTCTCCTCAGCAGCTTATCAGGACTATACTGTCGACCAGTAGATCCCAAGCGATAAGCTTGCTCTCCGCATCAACATACCTAAATCGGACCCGGGGCGGCTTACTTCACGATCCACTTCTTGTTGCAGTCGTCAATGTGCGTTAATCACTTTCACCCGCGGGGAAGAGTGGGTGGTGGTCCGTTTGCTTTCCTCTACATTCAATTCCATAGCTTCGAATTTGCTGGTCGAACCGCAGCTCTCGGAGCCTTAGCCCACCGAGGTGGAAGGTAGGAAGTATCCTCAAATACAGAAATAGGTAGGAATAGTGCATGAGTGAATGATAGATTGATAATATCATATTGTAAATTTCCAAGTGGCATGCTTCCACCAACATCAGCAACGCCTCACCACCCAACACGTCCCAGTCTCCTAATATACACATTTGAGGAACGAAAGCCTCGATGTAGACCTCATCAGGCCATATACATATCCCAGAAGGATCCAACAGGAAAAGATAAACAAAGAATGTCGTGGGAGAGTGTCCGTCGATAGTATCACCCCGAAACTCCAGTAACGCCACGCTGGATAAATCAGAAAGATGCAAGGAGATGCGCTCAGACCGCGAGTACACGGAGATGCGAAGAAAACAACAATAAACAAAAGGTTGGGAAAAAATACAAAAGAAAGAAGAGAAAAGAAAAAAAAGAGTCGCAACTCAGGGCATCAGTTGTCATCGTCATCGACGTAGACCCGGTCCTTGAGGCTATTGCCTTGCAACCAGACACGCTTCCAGGGGCCACCATCTGGCCCAAAGGCAGCTTCGCGGTCTTGGCGCATGCCCTCAAGAACACCGACGATACCTCCGCTGCGCAGACGTTCCAACACTACGTTCATGCCCTGTTTGCTTTTCAACACAGCCTCGCGGGTTCTGCTCACGCCGATCAATTCGATGGTCCGCTGGATGCCGGCAGTGGACAAGGAAGAGAAGAAGCCCTTCTTGGGAGCCTCATCCTCAGCGTCTGCGTGGTCGACCGCCTCAGTCTTCTTGCGACCGAGCAACTTGCCCTGGCCGAGGCGGGAGCGGAAGGTGACGGTTGTCCGCACGGTGGTCTGCTCCTTCTCATCGACTGAAAGACCATCGAGGACGTTGGAATTGTCCTCGGACAGATGACGCTGATACCGCTGTTTCTCGACAACACTGAGGATGCCAGTCCACTCCATGTTCCGAGACTCGGTCTCCATCCAACCCTCAAGAGGATCAACCACGGTGGTCTCGAGGATATAACTCTGGCCGGAACTGTCGGAGCCACCCATTCCCTTGGGCAGCAGTTTCAAGATGCCAGCCGGGATTTTGGATTTCTTCAAGTGAAGCCGGATAGTGTGCAGGCGCTGGGTGGCCGGATCGACATAGCGGTCGATCACGTCGGTGGTGAGGACATGGCGGGAGTAGGGATTAGGGTAGCGGAGGAAGTAGGCGAGAGAAACGGCAGGGAAGGAGTAGTCATAGGTAAACACATTCTCGAAGAACTTCATGGTGGCGGCGTCCTGGAAGACATCAGCAACGCAGGGGAGATGGTCGAGGCTGGTCGTCTGACGGGGGGGGGACTTTTCTGGCAGAAGACGATGGGCAGGATGGGGATGTGGGGGCCCTCGGAGATTCAGTTGTTCCGGTACCAGTCACATGTCCTCCTGCCTATCTATCTGCCTATCACTGAAGCCGAATACCTCATGGTGATGTCGTGGGATTTTCTGGTCATGCCAGACTCGCATGAAAGTTACTTTTATTTGTTGGCAACCTTGTACACTAACAGAAGGTGCCAGCTCGAGTCTTGATGTGTTGCTCTATGCGCGGATATGCTCTAGGCGTAGTCGATCGTTACGAATCCTCATTATCTGCCACGGCCTCGCTAGTAACCCATTAACCATTGTCCGTTAGTTAATCTTGCGATGTCGATACTCTACTGTAGAATGGTGCATAACAATAGCTACAATCTACGTATGCCGGCGTCTTTTTTGGTCTTTCATATAGGCTGACGTATGAACTGGGACTGTCTACTACTCGAGGTTCCAACCCGTCCTTCTTGCTCTCACCCATCTGTTTGAGACCTTCGATGAAGACAAGTCGGAAGAGTCCAAATCCTGTAGGCCCAACAGAAGGGCAATTAAATCCTTCCACCTTGAAAAGCCTTTGGAAAACCCAAGTATATAGAGCATCACGCGATACGTTATTTTGGGTCAACGAGAAAGATCCCTTGAGGCCATGCTCCTCCTTTTCAAGAATGAGAAATTCAAAATGATATGAAATTCCTGATAAACACAAAGAAATTATGATATTTAGGGGTATTTCCAACCAGCCAGGATTTTCCAAATCCTCCCGGATCCAGCTTCCATCAGCCCGACATTATTATACAACGCGATCTATAAGACATCTCCGAATCCACGAAGCATCCAACATCATACTTCCAGCATTCGCTCACCGACCCACATTCTACTGCTCCCCAAGAGTCTTCTGGTCCTCAGAAGAAACAGTAGCAGCAGTGGGGAGGGAAATGGGCTCCTGGACCTCCTTGCGCATACCGCGGATCTCGGGGCTAGTGCGCTCGAAGTATTTGTGCATCGAGCCGTGCAGGATGTTCTCATCAACGTCGTCCATGTCGTACAGGGTCTGCTCCTCACCACGGGCAGCCATAGCACCCTCCCACTCGGCGCGGAACTCCTCAACCTTCATCTTGTAGTCCAGCTCGGCATCGTAGTGCTTGCCCTTGCCGGTCCAGCGCTCCCAGACAGACAAGTGCTTGGAGTGGATGGCGGGGCCGTGATAGTCCTGCTCGCGGCCCGCGCGGATGAAGCGCCAGCGACGCTCCTGCTCACGCAGATCCAGACCGGTTGTGTCCGGGAGGAACAGGTAGGTCACGACGACACCGGCCAGACCGAACCAGGGCACAATGTAGAATTGCTGCTGGGTGGTGGTGTAGGAGCCGATGATGGCGATGATCAGGGCACCGAGCTTACCGGCGGCAGCAGAGATACCGTGGGCGGTACCACGGATGGGAGTGGGGAAGACCTCGGCGGCGACGAGGAAGGTAATGCAGTTCGGGCCGAACTGGTTGAAGAACGAACTCAGGAAGTACATCGCCTGGAAGGAGTGGATGTGGGCGGGCTCCTGGTAGTAGTCAAACTTGAAGGCGGGGATGACGAAGAGAATGAAACACATCATGAAGCCGACAATCTGCATCCACTTGCGGCCGTAGAGCTTAGTGTCGACGAACCAGGTAGCGAAGTAGTAACCAGACAAGCTAACACCGATGTTGGCCAAGTTCCACAGCCAGTTAGTGGTAACGTCGTTACCGCTAGCGGGGCTGATGACCTTGATGAACTTGCCCTGGAACAACTTGTTACCGTAGAAGAAGACGTCGTTAGCGAACCAGCCACCAGCGGTAGCAATAATACGGGGAGTGAAGTGACGGAAAGTGAGCTTCAGAGACTCGATGTCATAGCCGGTGACGGAGGCCTTCTTCTTAGTAGCCTCGAGCTGCTTGCTAGCGGCCTTCATGTGGTAGGTACGGTAGTAAACGAGCCAGGCAGTTCCAACGGCAGGGATGGCGAAAGACACACGGTAAGTCCACTGGGTGGCGGTGGTGGAAATAGGGAGAGCACCAGTACCGTGGTGGAAGATCAACAACAGGATAATGAGGATAGCCTGGTTGGCGAACTGGCCCCAACCCTGCATCATGAAGGCACCGACGACGGAGCGACCACGGTGCAGACGATCCTGGGAAGTGACGAGCTTGCCGGAGCCGTAGCCATTCTCCATACCGATGGTAGCAGTCATGGGGTATTCACCACCGACACCGATAGAGTAGAAGAAGAGAGACCAGGCGTAGCAGACGACCCAGCCGTTCTCAGTGAGACCCCAAGCGGCCACGAGCATGAGCAGACCGACAAACATGATAGACGCATCCTGGATCAGACCCCAGCGACGACCGATACTACACGAATGAAATTAGCATATGCTTGAACGGGAGGAAGCTGGCGTTGAATCATGGGAACATACGCATCACCCAAGTAACCGACGAGGATCTGGCCAACGATGATACCGACAACCTCCATGTAGCTGATGGCGGCAATCCAGTTCTTGTTGCAAGTCTTGCCCGTCCAGCAGTTCTTGAAGGCGGCATCGAAGAGAGCCGTGTTGTTACCGATGGAGAACAGCACGTAACTATCATCATGGATTGTCAATTAGTCTCTTTTTTCATATCTAACAGTCAGGGCTTTCAATTGATTGGCACATACCCCTCGAGACCCAGACCAGCACCAGGCAGGACAAAGTTGCGGAAGTAGTGGGCCACCGGGGACAAGGGGTCCTTCTTGAACTCGGTCCAGAGCCAGGAGAACTCCTTGCTCGCCTCGGTGCGGTCCTGCTCCAAGCAGAAGCTGATGCGCTGGCTCAAGGGCAGATCGGCCCAGTAGGTACCATCGGCGGCATAGCAGTCCTTGGGACGGATGACATCGTCAAAGGCGGCCTTTTCATGGACCTCCATCTCCTCGAAGGAGATGGCCTCCTTGGTAGGGTGCTCCATTTGAAATCACGGGGTATGCAAGTTGAACTTCCAATGTTCACAAACCACACCGATGTTTCCGGGTCGAGGGAGGAAAAAAGAATGCTTTGTGACCTGAAGGGAAGAAAGAAAAAAGAAAAAGAGTTTCCGAGCTGGCGCAGAGGATCGTATTTATCACTACCAGCCCAGCGCCATCCGCTGTGACATGGTCCAGTCCGACGACGAAAAAGCACAGTACCAGGCCGTCTAACTCGGAAAGCCACGTTCTGAACTTCGAACCCGGTCTAAGCGCAAGAGCCAAAGAGTTGCAGCCCCGATGGATTGATCGTCCTATGACAAGCAGGGAGGAGCGCACGACGGGTGACGCCAGTGGGGCCTGGCAATTTTAGTTCCAGCAACGAGGTCGGGGTATTGCATCTTCGGGTGCACTGACCGAAGGCGTACCGAAGGGCACGCCAGTGGCATGGATGGATGGATCTTGTCATATTACCGTATTCCCATATTCCCATATTCGCATCTGGTGGATCTGATGGCACGCGCCAGTGGCTCTCTCGATGGTCCGTCCGAACCAGTCAGACGAGGGTACCGGACCAGGCGATCGAAATGGGAGGCCTGCTCGGTGCCTGCAGGAGGCCATGCGCGTGGTGCGAGTGGTAAACGTAGTCAAAGTGGACGGTCCCCAGTGGAGACGGGGGACTTTCTAGAACCACGCCAAACGGCCCTCGCCAGACGACCGAGGGCTCGCGTACGGTCATTGGACCAGTCTGATTGGGCCCGGGTGATACGTTGCTAACCGGGCTAGGCATTAGGTTCGAAAGACTGCAAAAGCAAGGGAATTGATCATGGTATTCAGGGCGGTGGCCATCGAATCACCGACCAAACAGCGGCAGTCTATATACGGGCCACGCTGTGCTAGAGCGTCAAACTGCCGACCATCTCAAACTCTCCGACCTGACAAGCAACGCCTTCAGCGCCGCAAGTTGCCGTTGCCGGCTGGGCATTCTCTGGGCATTCTCTGGGCATTGCTTGTCCTCTTGCCAAGTCGTGGAGGAACCCACAACTGCAAAAGAAGAGGCACAAGAACATGCGCAGATGGTTGCTTTGGGCAAACCAGCACATGTCGCATTTAAAGTCATGCCGCTGGACCAATCAGAGTGCCCAATTGCACCCCGTGCTTCAGCGATCAGTGGGAACTCGACCACCGCACGCCGGGAGTCTCCGCAGATGCTGCATCCCGCACCCATCCAATCAGATCGCCGGATCGCCCCACGCCCCCCCCTCCACGAAGGCTCCCGCGCGCCTCCACACGAGCTGGGCCACGACTCGGATCAACGACGGAGTCCATCGCCTCGTTCAGCACGACTCCTCGAGTCCTCAGGATCCATACGAATGCGACATTTGGTCATGGTCAGTCATGCTGCTCTGAGACACCACCTGGGCATTTCCGACGCACCATTGGTACGAGGACTCCGGTGCCTATAAAAAGGGTCATCCAGTCGGCTAATCTCTCGATGAGTAGTACAGTAGTACCCAATTGGTACTACCAATGGCCAGTCTAGCCCCCAATCTAAGACCACAAACAGACCTTACTCCCATATTCAAGATCTCAGGATTCCTTCCATCTAATTAGCTCGTGAACAACTCTCTAACCACTGATCGAAATAATAATACAGTCGGCCCCTATTATCAGATGAACATCAAAATCCATCATTCATATACACACCTCCCCATGAAGATCCATGCAATACACTATCATTCTAGCAGGTCCACAAACGATCGTTTTCCCTTGAACCTTAGGTTCTCTCACCTCAGACTGCAATCGCCAGGAGAATTCTGTCAGATGAAAATTTCAACCTGCTAGCCCAAGACGTGTCAGCATGCCCCCGTTCCAGGGTAGCCACTGGCCAGTCACGCACGCACGATGATCAGCATGTACCCGACGATTGGACCACAGCCCGAGGAGAGAACTGTGTCAGCATATCTAGGCTCGCCAAGACACATGGCAAAAAAGCTTGACAAAGCTTGGTATTCTGGAGGTTTGCTTGTTGCTTTTTTGGATCCATTCGCTTTTATATTTTACTCATTCCACTGGTAATGTGCCGCTGTATCCGCTGACTCCATTACTGCGTGATGGGCTTGCGCGTCCCGTCCCCGTTGGACGGTTAGTTCAGGTCCAGAATGGATATTTTCTTGCAACGTTCTGTCCAAGTATTATATGTCAAGTCTAAATGCTCTATATTGTTAGTGTTGTACACGGTGAGATGTATATATACAAGAAATAGTACAGGAGTGAGGGGAGGATAAATGACAAGTCTCCACGAATCCGCGCACCGGGATATCAAATGCAACACGCTAGCATCAAAAAGAAAAACGTGGGAGACTGGGAGACAGGGAGACAAATGGTGAAGACATGCAGAAAGGAGACCGATGCAACTCATTGCATCTCTTCAAGTCGCCTCGTGGTCGGAATTCCAATCGAGTTCTGGAGCATCCATGCCAAGGGCCACGGTTTACCTGCCCACTCTTGATCCATAGTAGCAGCGGCCTCCAACATCAAAGCCAGATTGTATTTGGGCAAAGCCTCCGTGAGAATGTCACGGTGGACATAGGCCTTGGCCAGTTGGAGTTGCAGTACTCGTTCACGACCCTCGCTCTTAAAGCCTGATACCAGATAGAGAAAGGGGTTATGGTGGAATTCCGGTGGCAGCTGTGCGAGGTGCTTCTCGCTGATCTTGAATTTAGCCTTCGAATTGCGGCGAATGATCACCTTGCCAGCGCAAATCTGCCAGATTTTTCGGACATCGTCGGATGCGGTTCTCAAGGACGCGTTGCGAGTGAGGGAATCGAGGACGATATTTTGCATACTACTCGTCACGAGGTCCTGCATGCAAGCGTAATGCCACAACACACGGCAGATATTGTAGTGGCAGCCGTGGTATGCGATCACGAAAAGCTTGTTTATAGCATCGGCGTCGATTTTGAACGAAAGTCGTTTCATAAACTTGAAGGTGTGCTCGAGGGCGGTGAAGATGTTATCCTGAACCATGAACAATATTTGGATAAGACAAGCATTGTTGAGATCAAGATGATACTCGATGCAAATATCAAGCAGCTCCTGCATGGCTGCATGATTATTCAACCGTGAAGTCACGTTGAACATTTGGCTGAGTAAAGAGGCAGTGAACCAGTCTGCCCCATGAGTCTTGATCATGAGGTCGAAGAAGCTGCGCACGTCCCGCCCGCTCTCGAGGTGAACGAAGAAGGAATCAGAGATCGTCAGCTGCAGCGCACTGCGAACGGTATTGACATCTTTCATGTAGCCCTTCTTGGCCATCTCCTTGATGATAGCGGCCTTGCTCTTTTGCGTGAGCATAGCCTCCAGCAATACAAGCCAAGTCTCCGTGTTCGGTCGAAGGCGCTTTTCAGCCATTGCTTCCAAGAAGAAACCGAACATCCGCTTATCCTGGCGCAAGGCCGCGGATTTGAGCAAAATGTTATATGTGTCTACCGTCGCGAGATGCTCCCCTTTGCTGAACACAGTCCGAGCATTGTCAAGACGATGGTGCTTGTAGAGGAATCTCAGGGCACTATTCAAAGCGGCAGTGGAGAGAAATTTGCGGTTCGATTCCCGTTCAAACAGCCCTGAGACATGAGCCGCAGCCCGGAACGTATAGGGAATTTCCATTAATTGACCCTCGATGGCCAGCTTGATGGTGTTCATTCTTTTCGCATTGACCACGTCGTCAATATGATCCGCAAATTCTTTCACGGAACCAAATGACGGGCCGCTTTCAAGGACTCTACTCAAGTAGAGGGGCTCTTGGTCATCGAAGGGAGTGGTCCAGACTGCACGGATCAATGGCACTGGACGCTTCAGTCGCCGTAGCTTTGTCATTGAAGAAACCAAAGGGACTGGCGCTTTCTGAACTTCAACAAGAGGGTCTCCACTAGCCTGGAGATCTCGCAGTCGTTTTATGGACCCCTCGACAAGTTCAAGGGTGCCTTCAGAGCCCACTAGAAGAACCTTGCGGTGGAGTCCGTTTCCCTTATCGACAGGAAGAACCTGTACAAGGCATCCATGGCGAACTGGAAGATGCCAGATATTCTCCTCCATTGCTTTGCCAGGCATTGTAGATCCAGACATGAGAGCGACAGTCTCCTCGGGGAGAAGCAGTTCTTTATACTTTGCTCCCCTCCGATTCACACCCTTGGTCTGCCGCTGCATCTTCAACAACAAATCTCGCATGTCCATCCAAGATTTGGGACTCTTCGATGAATTCCCATATTCTTTTTCCCGCTTAAGGATGTGCTCGCCAAATAGAACTTGCTTTCGATTCCGTGGCGACAGTTCCCTCTCCCACACGTCCCTGGGAACACGAGTACGCGATCCGGGGGCGACTGGCCACAAGTCCGAATCTTCTGATGTTGAATCCTTCGGGGTCTTCACTGCCCGGGCGCAGACACCACTAAGCTCGGTGGATGCCGTCGGCTCTTCCGACGCTGGGGCAGTCGGACTCGCGGTTGGCGGGCCAGCAAACTCTCTTGTATCCTTATCCCCTCGTTTATCCTCTACCGCATCATCTGCATGACCACCAGGCAGTTTGACATAGGAGTCATCGTCGAGCTCAGTAGATATCGTATGGTTGGAGATCCATCGGCTCGCATGGCGGCGGCTCGGGGGAACTGGTGAAGCGGATGGACGGGGATCTGGGCGGAGAGGAAGGCTGGAGTTCTTTTTATCCTTGGACGAGACGGGAGACTGTGTCAAAGATGAGATAGGACGCCTTCGCTGGACGGCCGATGCGGCCCATCGGGGGTAAAGGAAAAGCAGCGGTTCATCGGGGCCAGCCCCGATGGTATCTAAGGCGGCAGACAGAGGCCTTCTTAGACACGTGTGGCCACGCGATATCATATGGAACGATGCCTCCCAGTAGCATCCAAGGCATTAAAGGGAGGTATATGAGCTCAGGGAGGGTTCGAGAATGAAGACCGCAAAATGCAAATACCGCACGCTTCCTCCGAAAATTGTCGCGCGTGGTGGCAATTCAGGAAGGCGGTGAGGGTCAGCGTGAGGTTCCTGGATCCAACCTTACACGTGACCTTCTAATCCGATCTGATAAAAAGTACTCCGTACTGTGTTAGTTTATGGCAATCGAAATGTCGTAAAATAGCGAAGTTGTCTACGAAAAATGAAATGTTGAGGAAACCTCATCCAGTCATCTCAACCAGCAATTCTCGAGTTAATCCCACCAACGCCCAATCTCCTCCTGCCTCTCCATGTGCCGATTGTAGCTGATGTCAAAATCCACACATCCCTTTCGAACCCCCACGGAAACTTCAATCAGCCCGAATCTGCGTGCAGACTTGATTAGAACTGAGGTAGTTCCATCAAACTCCTCATTTTGTTAGAACAACGTGCCTTTCGCTCCAGCTGTTGGTAGAGACCAGAGTAATTCATAACAATTTCAGGGATAGCTGGTGTTCTGGATTTTTTCCGTCCTTCAGGGTTGGTATAGCGAGAGGTAAAGTACTCCCAACCATGGAAAGTTATTTTGGCATGAGCTACATGGACAGCTTCAAGAACCGACAGCAAGTCTGATGTATTGTCTCAAGGCACTGGACGGGGCCATATGGTAGTGAACCTGCCCACAGTCCGAGAAAGACCAAGAGACGGATCCCGGACTTCTTTGCCGTGGCCCTCGCAGTGGATGTTGGGGGTCTGGACAAGATCTAAAGGTGCGCACAAAGGACACCGGCATAGCGGTGCGATAGGTCTCCAAAGGGTTGACTTGAAGACCGTCCAGGCATGGAACCACACTGTACAAAGAAGCTGTATTCTTTATGTCCAGAGTGAATGAGAGAGTTGCAACGTCTCCCCAGGCGTTCTTGTTCTCCGTCACCCCAGAATCCTTCCACAGTGGGCAGAAGGCCAAAGGGAAAGACCTGCGCTGGCGAGAGCTTTTTCCTGCCATATTCAGCTTGCATTCAACGCCAAGTTGGGAGGGAAAGAAATAGAGAGGCCGAGATCTCCCCTCCCGTATGAAGTACTTCTTCCAAGTCCGCAAAAATGATTCGCCAAAAGACCAGATAAGGCCCAGAACCAAGTACCATTCATTAGGGCCCATAACGAGGAACCAATTCAACAAGGTACGCCGAGTAACTCCGAAGATCCGCCCAAAGATGCCAGGGGTGGAACTAACCATGTAACCCTGATACTGTGTGTAAGGGGCGCGGTCTGGTAGCACCCAGGGTGAGTTACGGTTACCGACGAGGCCACAGGTGGTGGGCTGGTAATGTTGGGGGAGGAGGGTGTATACTGGAATAGGAGTTTTGATAGGGGGTTTGATAAGAGATAGGTCTGCCATTTTGATATTATGCAATTTGATGTTAGTTAGTTAACCTGGTCATTACAACTATCATATAGACAGTCATCTCTAGTTGTAACGCTACGCAGATGCAGTCTTACCTGAATGAACATGATGCTAGACCTCACGATCCAGGGGATGTCTACGGCTGGCCTCTTGCTGCTAGAAACACTACATCTTTGAGATCATCACGGCTATTCTGCACACTAGTGTCTATATTCTTCGACACTTTGACATGATGCAATATAAGGAAATGAAAGCGCTGAATAGCAATAGTAATACACATCTTTCCCTTTCACGAGCCACAGACCGCATTAATAGATATGATCCTCCCTCCCAACTTCTGCTTCCTTCGGAATTCCCTTGATTTTCTTCTGCTTCAGCACATGTAGTGGCTCATCGGTCATCTGGGAACGTCTCGACAATAACGTATCATGTCTTGATACGGGGGTCAAATCCAGTAGACCCGTCGCCGATTCGCCATAAGTATCTGTGAAGACATCTGGGCCGGTGACGTGACTTTTGCCAGACTCGGCCGCACGAGCCAGACTGTCTCGCTTGCGCTCGATCTTGTCTTTGTCTTGGCTGTTTGGGTCAGAGAGCTGTATAGTAAGATTGTCGATTGTCTCTGTGAGAAAAGAGATGAATTGCCAGCGGGAGGCTTGGAAAAGGAACATTGGCATGATCTCCGGGATCTGATATGATAAACATATGTGATCAGCAATGTGCTAACGAAATTCCAAATCAAAAATGATTCTTACCTTATCGTTCAAATAATATAACTCCTCACCACCCTCCTCAATAAATTTCTTCAGCGCATCGATCTTCTCCCGATCAATAGACGTCTGTTTCAGCGCATGCAGCAGACTCGGGATATCCCCAATCTCCTCCATATGCGTCTCTTCTTCCACCTTGGAGCCAACACGGCTCAAAAACCCCGTCTCAACCCTCGACAACCCAACGACACTCTGCTCGCGACTGCGCACCTTGGACGAATGAATTGTGAAATAATCCTCATTCAGCATATGAGCTCTTTCAAAGTCTGATCTTCCACGGTGCCGCCTCTCAGAAATCTTCGTCCGAAGACGCACCCAGCGACGGCGCCGGACGTAAGAGTGGAACCAGGGGTGCGTGCCGTGCCATTGCGACGATGAAAATGAAAAGGCATACTGCCAGCCCTGCTCATCGACATCGCCGGACATGTCAACATACCAGGTGCGCCAGGCCCATTCCCAGCTGGGGTCGGGGACTTGTGCGTTGGTGATATTCACGGCGCTGGGGCGTTTATCTTGTGTCATCCAGGCGGAGGGGTCGAAGTTGAGGAGGGAGCTGTGCGAGTAGAGGGGAATGCCGAAGAAGAACCAGCCACGCTGGTTTTCGTAGAGAATGTCTATTTCAGAGAGAAGTTTGGGTTGTTCGGTGGTTGTGGGTGCTTGGGTGAGACCGTTGGATTCGGTGGTCTCGTTGGTAGTGGTTAGGGACCGCAAGGGAGCAAAGTCAGCTGTGTCGATTTCTGATGAGCCTTTATCTGCACCTGCACCTGCCCCTGCACCGCTGAAAGTACCAGTCCTCTCACGGGACGACTGTCGACTGACTGGTCCTGCGGAGCTTGCTGCCGAGATCGACCCTCGTGCCCGCGAGGATTCTCTGCTCAACAAATGCTCCGTGTCGGACGTAAGGCCGAGTCTTTCAGGTTGCCATTTGGCATATTTCCTCTTCGCAAGTCGACCGGACACGGTTGCTCGACTGAGGTGTTTTGTCAAAGTGCGCTGGCGATCGAGTGTAGAGGTCTGCCGTGAGGATTCTCCGCTAGTGGGCTGCTGCGAGGGATCCGTGTTGTCCACGAGGAAAATGCCGTTGGAATTGTCCATGGATGCTGATCAGTCAGTATCGATTGAGTATTAATTGGCATTAAGATTAAACACGTCGATGGAGAAGGGCCACGAGCTCTAGCTTGGAGTTCGTCGCATCACTCCACCTCTGCCAGTTGGAGGTCAGGCAAGAACTCAAGAATAGGTGGAAGTCCACGACAAGAAGGCAAAAAAAGGAGTATTATTAGCGAAAACAAAAAGAATGAATGAGATAACCAACTGAATGGCCTTGGAGGTCAACTACATCGAAGAAAAGTGTCCGACCCAAAAAAGGAGACGAGCTTCCAAGTCTGAAGAAACGAGGCGCAGTTGTCGATGACATCGTTTGCGGGGACTTTCTGCAGCAAAACAACCTTTCGATCGCCAACGCCAAGAGGCCAAGCCCGCTCTCCCTCCGAAACCCTCCAAAACGCGTCGCATCAACACAACTCCATCAATCCCCCACTACCACCCACAAACCACCCATCATGGCTGCACCACACTACCGCAAAGTCGAGCTCCAGTCTCCAGCAGACTTCACCTATTTATACGCAAACACAGTCGCGCTCTCTCGACAAAAACTAGACCTCAACCTCCCCCCTTCCGCAACAAACGATGACAAGCCCGACCCGATGCGCGAGCGCGTGCGGGAATTAGTTGACGAGGTGAGACCAGCTGCTTCAAAGACAAGCAACTCAAGCGCTTAAACTACGACGATGCACGATACTCTACCATCCCTCCCTGCTCCAACCTATCCACCACCCAGTCGAACTCCAAACGAAAAAGTCCAAGTACCTGGAAACTAACACCACTATCTCTCTCCACCAGTACATAACCCGCACCTTCACAACGGCCTCCTCCTCAATCAGCATCAACGGATTAGACTCCTCCTCCCCAGCCTTCCCCTTCCCCGCCGCCTTCACCGCGCCCGAAACAGTCGAGTACGAACCCTTCGACGCCGAGCTCGCCGCGCGCGTCAGCACGCTCTACGCCCAACTAGAATCCCTCACGACGACCGTCGCGCAATTACGCCGCGAGGCGCCACGGAAGGCGGCCAAGGCGTATGCGGCGCAATTAGCCGGGTTGATTGAGGAGGAGAGCAAGGAGGACGATGAACTTGATGAGCAGGACGAGGATAAGGACGAAGATGGGAATGAGAATGCAGAGTCTCGAGATAGGACGGCGCAGGATGCAGAGGCTATGGATGTGGATGTGAATACGGGTGCTACCGGATCCGAACCAGCATCTACAAACGCGAAACGCCGCTCTCGCCGGGGCCATCCCGATCCAGCTTGGACACTTGATATTCCGCTCGGCACGGACGAAGAAGCCGAGCGCTGGCGGAGCGGGGATATTGCCGAGGTATACGAGAGCACTCTACGCACTCTGCAGCGGTTGCAGGGTGAGGGCGACGCGGAGATTGGAGGGGCGGCCGGTTCTGGTTCTGAGGGGAATGCGCTGGCGACAACGGTGGGGAAGGCTGAGCGGGCTGGGCGGGCAGCTGAGGTGGTGGAGAGTATGTGAGGGCATTCCGTTCCTCTTCAATTGGCATTATGCTAGGGATTTTGGGTGGTTATGTCGTGCTATGACGGGGGGTTATTATTTGTTTCCCACTCTATTGATGGAGGTGGGGGCGTTATGGTGTAGTGGGTTTGGGAATCGAGGATTATGATACCATTCACTTATTTTGTTCTTACTTTACGCTCGTTGTGATATCATCTCATTGAAGAAATTCTTACCTATGACCCCAACCACTCTTCTCTCCTGGCGAATATCAGATCTAGACAAGGTATCTGTATTGGCCAAAGGACTGCATATACTACCTAAGGACCTATAACAAGCAACGAGAGACGTTGTCAATGAGAACTTTAGACACGACTGTATTGAAACAATATATTGCACTCAAACATGGCCGGGCCAGGAGATTTGGGGATATCAAATAGAAACATGGTTTTTCTTCTTGCAGCAGTTGACCTTAGAAACGACAGATTAGATGGCACATCACTCAGATCTTCCAATCCACGATCTCGCCAATCTGAGAGATTCTCTTTCGTTCTCTCTCTTTTCTATTCCATATCCAAAAGGGCGAGTTTGAGGGTTTCGGTACGACCAAGTGGGAGGGAGAGGGAGGGGCAGGAGGGAGTATGGGGGGTTTCAGTAGTAGAGCAAGACTGGCTCCGGGCGAATGCGAGACGAGGCGAAGCGAATGGTTGAATAATAAAATCGTTCTCTATAAATTGCTTGGCTTTGCTTTCCGGTCCTCCTCACGCTTACGCGCTGGCCTGGGCACCCTCCTCGGCTTCGGCATCCTTCTTCTCGAAGCCGGGATCCTCGTTCTGGATAACGGCCTCCTCGCTCTCCTTCTTAGGAGCAGCAGTGGCCCACGCGGGCGGGTGCGCCCACTCCGACTCCTGCCAGGGGCCCATATCGGACAACTCGCAGCCACCCTCACAGGTGCAGGTACCGCCAAACTCGACGGGGAGGTTCTCGGCGGGGACCTGGGCAAGGAGCTCCTTCTGATAGCCGGAGCCGAGGACGTGGATCTTGTTCACGGTGACGGGGTCGAGGAAGCCCTTGACGACGGAGAAGACGCTGCTGAAGCCCCAGGGGGCGTTGATGAGGTACAGCTTGCCCAGGCGCTCGGGGTAGTAGTTCTGGGAGATCTCGGAGGCCTGGCGGACATAGCCGTAGACGGAGGGGATGCTGGTGACACCGACGCCCTTCAGGTCCATAATGGTGCAGCAGGTCTCGAGGAGCTTGCCGGCCTTGCGGGAGCAGGCGGGCAGACGGGGGTCGGCCAGCTTCTCGTACTCGGTGACCAGGTTCTGCAGCATGCGCTCGCCAGTGGTGATCTTGTACATGGCAGTGAGATCGATCTTGCCCAGCTTCTCGATGTAGACGGGGCGGCCATCCTGTGGGCGAGGTTGGGGGGTCAACTTGGTTTTCATGACCTTGAAGAAGCGAGGCCCTTGTAGCAACAACCTCGCCACCACCGGCAGAAACGTACCTTATCAGTCTTATGATAGTATTGAGGGTAGAACTTGAACACCTCGGGCTTCTCGGGGTACTCGAAAGTGCGAGGCAAGTCATCAGTGCCGAACTTCTTGCGCCAGTCCTCGCAGTTCACGAACCTATCCACCACAAGGAGACACGAATTAGAACCGATCATATCATCAAACATCCAGCAATCACGAAACCAAAGCTGGACCTCGACAGGAGTCCCAGAAAAATTTCTCCGTAACAGATAGCACTGCATCGCCACCCCGCCCGCGTTGGGTGCCAAGTTCGGGAACAGAAACAACATACATGGCCTTGGACGCCTCCACATCGAACTTGCGGGCGCGCAGGAATCGCAGCAGAGTCAGAGTATCCAATCGCTCCGTGTAACCCAGCTGTTCCAGCATTGTCCGCAACTGAAACACCTTCGCATCCTGTTCTGGGGTAGTGTGGCCAGGGTGACCATCTTGGGGCTCTGGCGCGGTGGTCGGGTAATCGTAGTTGTCGTACTTGGGGTCGGTGGGCAACTTCTGCTCGGTAGTTTCCGCCATTGTGAATGGGAGTTGGGAGGATTGGACTTAGGGAGGTGGTAGGAGGAGGAAGAAGAAGAGGGAGGGAAAAGGAGAGGAGAGAGGGGGGGAAGAGGGAGACAGACAGAGAGAAAGAGGGAGAGCCGCGGAGAGTGGAGGGTTGTGGGTGGAAGGCGGGATTGTGGCCACCTCGAGGTTTAAAAACGGCGCTTGGGAGATCGGCTTGGGTTGCTGCGTAAACAGTGACGCTAAGGGTGCCAGGGCATTTTACTCTAGAATATTGAACTTCTGACATGCTGTTTAGACCAGGTTTACGAGGAGATAAATGTAGTCATTACTATATTTCTATTAGAAGGGATTGGTCTAGTATGTCCATTGGATGGAGTTGGACCAACAGGTTAGGCCCATCGACCAGCTGTCATTCCCCCAAGTTACTACTGGAGAGACAGAGTCCATGTAAATACTAAACCCAGGCCATATAGGGGTGCGTGGGGCCTTATAATCTACCCAATATGCTTTCCCGTGTGGCTGTGTCCAACACGGAAGCTACAGCCATTCTGGCTACTATTCTGCTTCATCATGGGGGTACTTACGACTGGGTAACCTATAGAATCTCTCCAGGATACATTATAGACGTCTGATTCAACTCTAAAGGAATCATTTCTCATTGCCAGAAAAAAAAAATCAAACATACCAAAGAGAGGGGCACGAGGCGGTGTCGAATGAATCCACTTGCAAGACACGACGCTAAGACAGCAAGTCAGGACGAACTAACGAACCAATTCTTAGTTCATGCTAAGTCGGGCGAACTAAAGCGAGTCCCAAACACGAGATCATCGGCACTTGCAAACTAGAGTCACCGCAAATTCGACGTCAGTCATGTCTTGATCCTTGGCTTTGTAGGTATGCAGGAGTTGCCCAAGATAAAACAGATAAAATCTCAATCATATATGCCCATAGTCAATTTCGCGATGATGATTAAATGGCCAATGGCTTGGCGCTGTACAAGTAGGGGCATAACAGGCAGAGACGGGTATTCAACTCAACAGACAACCGCACAGCAGAGAGCAGGGATTATTATACACAGCGCATAGAGACCCGAAAATTCAACGGGTACGAGCGGTGATGGAAAAGGCATCCAGAAATCTCGAGACAGTATTCAAAGACAGATCAACCCCTTGGCCGACAACAAGATAGATAAACAAAACACAAGAGCCAATGGTAAAGAAAAAAGGAAACACAAAGAGAACAATAACTATGCGTTGGGTATAACTTGCCACCAAAAATCCACCACAAGGGGACAAACACAAAAGAAAAATAAGCCCATCCGATACAATTCAATCATTCGATCATCCGATCAATCCAACAATCCCCGACGGGGCCCGAGCCAGCGGAGTTCCCGTCGTGATCATCCTCCATAAAGTATGTTCGTGTATCGACAACATTCAGATTCACATTCACATGCACAGCCACACAAGACCACCGTGCCGTCCATGTCCAGCTCGTCGGTGAAGAGTGTAGGTCTGGGCCAGTGGACGGGCACGGTCAAGTGACGGCAAGTGTATCAGTCCAGTCCATCGTTATGTACGCCGAGGACGGACGGGTATAGGGTATATTACGGACAGGTCCGTGTCCATCAAGATCATCAAAGGAGAAAGTAGGTGGCGCAGAAATGAGGCCCACCTTATCCGAGTCAAATAGAGAAGTTGGAGAGACAGTGTAAAGCTGTTCCTTCGTGCTCGGTCTCATCAATCGTAAGGGGGGAGGTTCGTAGACAGCAAGGCGAGGGTTATGCAAGCACCTGTGTGCCTTTACCACCCCTTCTTGCGTGCAAATCGTTTGTTCAAAAGGGAGAGCACCTTGGTGACATTAAACTGGACGTATTCCAGGTCAAGGTCCTCCAGGTTGTCCTTTTGCATCTCGAGGAGGTCGTCGAGCTTAAGGTCGAGCTCCAACAATCCACGGGCGCGGCCTAAATCGACCAATTAGTTAGCATGCTAAGATTGCCTGGGAATGGAATTCAAGACCCATAACTCACCCTTGTAATGAAGACTGATGACAAACGTGCCAGGCAGCGGACTCTTGAACATAAAGTAAATGTTCGCCCGGCGGTTCTCCGGCACATTACTCCGTCGAATGACACCCTCCTTCTCCAATTGCTGATGCGTAAACTTGTAGGGTCCCAGTTCCTGATGCTTCTGCTGTTTCCGCGATTTGCCCTCCGACTGGCTACGCACGTTGTGGAGATACGACTTGTAAGTCTCCAGCTGGCCGACCAGGTAAGCATTATGGTCGCGAATGGTTGCAAACACCTCCTCGAGTTTCCCAGTCTCCTCGAGCACATTCTGCTTGAGAGAGCCGAGATGCACGAGTTCCTGTTCGACTTCGTCCCGGAGCAGACTGAACTCGTCGGAGCGATCGATCACACCCATATCCTGCAGTTGACTCAACAGCTCCATAGTGCGAATACCCTTGCGCACCATCACGGCGTCGTTCTTGAGGGTGGCAGCCGCCTCGGCGATACGGTCCAGTCGCAAGGGGCGGCGAGCGACTGAAGAGTTCGGGGGCAAGGAACGCAGGATCTGCACAAAAGTCGCTTTGGCCTCCATGAAGAACACCTCTTCTTGAGTGATGTCCAGGGCAGCAGTCAGATCGTCGAGGGCAGTCTCCCATCGGCTATACAGGGGTACTGTGATGGTACGGTTCTCCTTGCGGGGGACCTGAGGCGGAGCTGCGCCGAGCTCCTGGAGCAGCAGGGAGAGATGCGAGTTGTGGTCCTGGGCAAGGGCCAAGCTATGCTTTTCCAGAAGAGCGTGCGTGGCGTACATTTCGTTGAGAGTGATCTGGAGCTCGAGATCACGCTTCGACAGAGCCACGTAGTTGTCCATTTCCAAACTCTCGTAAAAGTCCTGGACTTCGCACAGGTCAAGGAGGAACTTGTTCACGCGCCCCTTATTCTCCTCAATGAAAGGCTGCAGACTCGCCATGTAAGGCTCC